AATTTTAAAACCTAATAATTTAATAAATATAAATAGTTAATTATACTAATTTGATTTCTTAAAATGCAGTTTCTTTATATATAATAATATAATTATTAATGAAATAAACATAATAAATATATAAAAAGAAATAAAAAAAAAAAAAACTTACCTAAATTCTTTAAAAACAAAAAAGTAATAAAAAAAAGGAATAATATTACAAATATAACAGAAATAAAATTAAGAAAGCATTATTAATCCCTTAAAAGCGTAAATAAACCCTATAGGCTAGCAAAGCAAACTTAAAAGGATTTACTATATAATAAAAGCAGGTTATATAATAAAGTAAAAAAATAATTAAAATAACTAAAGCAACACTTTACTTTAAATAATTTAAATAATTTAATACTCCTATTATTCTAAATAAGCAATACTTTAAATAAACTGTTAAAAGTAATACTTTTATTACTTTAGTTAAAAAGATAAACTATATAAATTACGCTTATTATTAGTAAATAGTATTAGCTTAAAATAGCTTTTTAGTAGTTAATTTAAATATTTACTTAAAATAGCTATAAAGCTTTTAATTTATTATTGTTATATATTATTTAGAATATTACTATTTTAAATATTCTTTAAATATAAACCCGCTTATTAGGTTTATTAATTAAGAATTAGCTATAATTATTACATAAAACTCTAAACTTTTTAAAAATTTATAGTTAAAAGCTATATAATATAGTATATAAATAAAGAATTAATTATTAATAAAGGCTTTTTGCAATTAAGTTCCTATTTAATTTAAAATTTACTTAATTATATACTATTTTCTATTTATTTTTTTAATATTTACTTTTAATAATTCTTAAAGTATTTTATTATTTTTAGAAATTTTATTTTTTAATGTATTTATATAGTAAGTTAAAACTTATAAGAATATAATTTTATAATAAGCTGCCTATAATATTAAGCTTAAGCTTAATTATAAATAGGTTTAGGAAACTAAAGTTTAAGTAATAATTCTATCTAAAGCTTATAATATTAGTAAGCTTTATATACCTAAAGCTTAGCTAAAATAGTTTATTAAAATAAATAGTAAAGCTATTTATAAAGTTTAAAATAAGGAAAAGTATAAAGTATTTTATATTAGTAAAGCTAAAGTATAAAAAGATTATAAAAAAAAAAACTTATATAATAGTAAAATCTTTACTTAAAGGAAAAAACAAAAGTATTAGCAGGATTAATTTTTAATATAGTTTAATAATAATAATGCTAATAAAGCTAATTATTGCTTAAATTTAAATAAAATTTAGTTAATTAAAGGTAATATAGCCTTTAATAATAAAAATGTTTTTTATAAGTTTAAGAATAATAATGAAAATCTGCTTCTTAATAACTCTCTTTTGTTATTAAAATAAAACGCTAACCCTTTTTAGTTTTTAAAAGATTAGCTTTATAATAATAAGTATAGTATTAATAATGCTACTTTTAAAACTTTAAGCTTTAATTATAACTAATAAATGAATTTTAAGTTTAAATTCTTTACTGCTATTATTTATATAGTTATAATAAATAATTTTTTGTTTAATAATTTATATATTTTGTTTAATAATATAGCAGATAATAATATAATTGCTACTAATAAAGTTAGTTTAATTAATTTTACTTTTATTTTTTAATAGATTTTAAAGGATAAAGTAATTAAGTATAAAAGCAAGGCATACTACTTTTGCGTAATAAAAGGGGGTTATTATATTTTTATTAAATATATTAATAAAAATAGAAATATAAAGTTTATAATGTGTATTAGATGTAAAGGAATTAGATAAAGGATTTATTTTAAAATTAGTAGAGCTGAATATACTTAAGTTCGCTATAAAGCTAAGGAGCAAAGTAGAGAGTGAAGATAGAAGCGAACCAATAGGCTTATGTAATAATAAGGTGTGCTTAAAGACTAAAAGTGCTATCACTATTAAATAATAATAAAAGTATATAATAAAAACACACCTTATAACACATATTTAGCTATTAAATCTAAGCAAATTATTAAAGTATATAAATTAAAATAAAGTTTATAAATTAAAAAGTATAATTATTATTTATAAACCTAGGGGATTTACAATAGTCTTTTATATATATTATATATCTCTATTAAATTAAACTATACGTTTATATTAATAAACAGTTTAGTTAAAACAATTTATCTTATAGTAAAAAAGGAAAAGGTAATTTTAAATACTAATAATAGTAAACTTTATTAATCCTATACTAATTTAGGCTATTTAAAATAAATATATTAGTTTTATAACCCTTATATATATTATATTATAAAACCTATAACCTATATAAAGATTAATAAGAATAATAAAACTATCCTATAGTATGTAATTAAGGCCTAAAAAGTATTTTTAAATATAGGAAGACTTAAGCTTTATAAAAACTAAGCAGATTTAGCTTATGCTTAACTATAAAAGTATAAGTTTATAGGTATATTAGGGCCTATAGTAGAATTTTAACTTTAATCTAAGATAAAAGGGGAATATTAAATAAGAATAATATTTAAATATAACTTTTTTTATTTATAAAAACTAGTAATATTTAAACTAGGCAAGCTATATATATAGAATGCTTTAAAAAGGTTATAAATAGTTTTTTATTAATAAATTATATAATATATTAAAGCTATTATATTAATAAATATTACTAATAAGCAGCTTAATATAGTATATAATAGAATTGCTTAGCAGAATTTTAAATTTTAAATGTAGAATTATAATATATTTTAAGTTAACTAAATAGCTGCTGCTATTAGTAATATTTTATAAATTAAATTCTTTTTTAATATATAATTTAAATATGTGTATTTGTATAATTATTAATATTTTTTTATTATTTTTATTTTAGTATTAGATAACTTTTTAATAAATTATATTTTTTAAGTGTATAATAATAATGTTAGAGCTTAAAAATAGGATTAGGTATATTTTAAAAGTTTTATAAATAATATAAATAAAGTGTTTAATTATAAAGAAGTTTATATAGTTTAAGTTAAAAGTTTTAATAGCTTTTTTAATTAAAATATTTTTATTTATAATAATTTATTGGATAGTAATTATAATAGTTTTTTAAAAGAACTTTTTTTTAATAATAATATAGTATTATACTTTTCTCTTTATAATATATAAGCTATTATTTAATAAAATATTTTAGCTAATTTTTAATTTTATATTAAGGTAATAAAAAGCTTTAATACTATAGAATAAATTAAAGGTATAAGGGAAGAGTGCGCTAGTATTATTAAAAATAAGATTTTTAAAAAAGTTTTAATTAATAGTATATTTAAAAGAATTATACCTATTATATTTAAATAGGTATAGATAAAATAGTTTACTATTAATAGATAGATTATTAAGTATAAGGTTTAACTTTATATTAAAGGCTTTTAGTAAAAACTAAATATTAATTATTATAAAATATATATTATTATTATTAAAGCTATATTATAAAGAATTATTATTACTATTATTATAATTTTAAAGTAGCCTTTTTATATTATAAATATTAAAATAGTTTTTTTTAATAAGAACTTTAAGGAATTTATTTATATAAGGCTTTTTATAGAATAGAAAATTTTTAAAGGAATAATTTAAAAATTTTAAAAAACTATTTATAAGCTTAAATAAGTATTAAAAAAATAATATTTTAAAGTTTTTATAAAGCTTATAAAATAAAGTTTTTAAAAATTACTTTTTAATAAATATATTTTTATTAATTTAATTAGTATTATTATTATTAAAGTTTAGATTAATAATCTTTTTATTATTATTAAGTTAATAAAGATAATAATATTATTAAAGGAAAAACTTTATAATATATTTAAAATAAAAAATAATATTAAAATAATGCTTTATTTAAAAGTATAAGTTTAGTAAAAGTTTAATAAAATTATATTATACTAAGCTTATTATATTGCTTATATATTTAAATATTTTAAATAATAAAGGCTATTTAAGAAAGTAACTTTATTTTTATTTAAAGTTGTATTATAAAAAAATTAAAATTTAGTTAATTTAAAATTTTTATAAAAATACTAAAAATAAAGTAAATATTTTAACTTTTTTATATTATAAATATAGCTAAATATTATATTTATAAATTAATTTTATTTTTAATATAATTCTACTTTATTAAAAAATTATAATAAAACTTTAAATTATATATATAAATATTTCTTTAAATTTTTTAATATTAGTATTAAATATAAAAGAGAATTTATAAATTTAGTAGTATTTACTAATTTTAATTTTACTAAATATTTTAATATTAAATAATTTACTATTAAATAAGTTATTATTTTTAAAAAAATACTAATTTTATAGTATTTATAGTAATAGAAAATAGTAATTTTATTAATAATTTATATTAAGTATATTATTATAGCTAAATTAGTTAAAAAGCTAATTTAAATTAAAGGATTTATAAACTTTTTTAATTTTCTAAAGTTTATAATAAATATTATATTTATATATATTAATAATAATATAGTAATTATAATTACTTAAAGTTTATATGCTTATAGTAAGATTAAGTATATTAATATTTATTATTATTTTATTTAAAAGCATATAGTAAAAATTAAAGATATTACTATATATTATATAAATATTAAATTTAATATTATTAATATTTTTATTAAAACTTTTTTTTAAAATAAGTATTATAAGCTAATAAAGTTAATAAAATTAGTTAATATTTAATTAAATAGTAATTTATAAAGTAATTTAGAAGAAATAGCTAAAAAAAAATTTAAAAAATATAAAAAAAGTAAAACTTATAAAGGTTTTTAGAGTTAAGGGGAAAATTAAAAATACACTTTAAAATATTTACTTATTTTTTACTTTATAAAAAAGTATCTATTACTTATAAGGCAATAGTGGTTATAGCTTTATAATTAAAGCCTTTCCTCCCTTTAAGAGGAATTAGGAGTTTTGATAGCTAAGCAAGCTAATCAAGGTTTTCTCCTATTTCGCAGCCACAACCTGCAACAGGTGCCAATGCAATGCAACGTAATGCGATTCTGCAGCTGCCAGATGGGAGTGGCTGGAGCTGCAGCTGGGAGGTGGGACAGATGATGTCAAGGCAGAAGGGGGGATGTTCCGCAGCGGGCTTGCAGCGACCTGTCTAGAACCCCGACCCATTTTCTGACATCTAGTTTGAGGGAGAGACAGCCGCAGCCGATCTCTACTGAGCGACACGATGCGTGGAAACACCTCTTCGTCGAGTTGTACGGTAAGTAACCCGCTAACCATCGCTGTGGGTGTCACTCTCAACCTTGAAACTAGACATGGCGGTTGGCTCCGCGTGGCATGAGACACAACGTGGACAAGCTTCACAAGCAAGACACGGACTATGTCTCGTAGCGTCTTTGGGGGGACTGGGAAGAACGGTGGAGGCTTGTTGGAGTGAGTGAGATGCTCGTGCAGGATCGTGGTGAGAAACCGTCCGTGAGATGACATCAGTCCGCGACGAACCCTGCTCCTCAGCGCTCCAGCAGCCAACCATGCACCCGCGCCCACACCTCGCTCACTCCACGGTCTTTGTGGCCCCTCTAGCCCTTCAGCCCCTCCCCTCCTTACGAACAGTGGCTGCCAAATGCCGGCAGAAGTGATGCTGTTCGCCTCTTGCCGCGTTGGAGGGTCCGGGTCCTCGGGGCTCTGGTGACATGCTCCTCATGCGTTGCATCAGCCCGCATTCGCCGCGCCATCCAGTGGGCAGGCGCCCACCCACCTTGATACCGGGACCCTTGATGCAGATCTGCATGGCGCACAACTACTGTGTTAGTTTCTACAAAAGAAGCAGAACCTGCCGTTCTGAAGCCGGATGCGTTGCCAACCGCATTAGGAGTCCTCTCCCGCTGTACCAAAGACAATATCAACAACGTCTTGGTTCATAGCCTAGCAAATATCCTCCGTACTACTTCAGTTGTCCTCTTTCCTCCAATATCTCTTCTTCTTGGCCAATATCTCTGTGATGCCCTCGCCAAAACGTCCCAAGGCCAGCGTGGACTATCTGGATAGCCATATCAGCAGCGAAGATGAGTCAACTCGTCGAAGATCGGCTCATCCACGTGGATTCAGCCCAAAGCTGGAGAGAGGCATTTCAGAGACTTCCCTCATGAGACGGGAAAGCAAGGCCGAGGGAAGCGACAACCACGACAGTCAGTTTGAATCAGACACAGACTACGATCCTAGGGACAAATACTATCTATCATCCGAAGACGATCCTCTAGACTCACACCTATCCGAGAGACGAGATCCAGTGAGGAATCATCTGGACAGAGATCGAAAGAGCCATTCGAGACATGGCAGCTCTCAACCTGGCTCATCTTCGAAAAGCGGACACACACATTCCCGCTCTCACGGCAGCACTCACGGACATCATCATTCTCCCCGACACACTCACTCGCACTCACAATCACACTCGCACTCGCACCCGCACTCTCATTCCCACTCCAGAGACAAAGATAAAGACGACCACACCGACAAACATAAGTCATCTACATCTCATTCTAAACCAACTTCACAAGCCAGCAGCCGCCCTCGGCCCAGACCATCCCGAGCTAGCTCTTCCTACTTGAACGCTGTTCGCCGTCCACAGATGAAGCGAACAGGATCATCTTATACTGCGTCCCGAGCGCGTGCTCGGCCCCGTCCAGTCAGGGGCCTATCCCATAACAGCCGACAAACGAAACCCAAGCCCAAGACAAATAAGATGCCCTGGGAAGATTTTCCGTGGGAGGACGCTGCCAAGGTCGCCTTTCAGGCTGGAGGCGTCGCTCTGATGAAGGTTGGGACAGAACAGATGCCCTGGCAAATCAAGGGGACCAAGGTTGCGAGTGCTGCCCTCGGAGCTGCCGTCGTGGACCATGTTCTTAAGCCTAAAAAGCGAGGTGGTGTCAAATACGCGGCAATGAGGCACCTCGCTGAAGTTGCGGTTGGTAACATGGTGGTCAGCCCTGCGCTGGGGAAAATGAGCGGGGGAGGAGGGAGGAAACGGTAAGAGAAATGGATAGCATTGCGGCTCTTCAACTCGTTGGAAGGGGTTCTCAGCGCCCTTTGGATTGTTGTTTTCATTTTATAAACGGCATGGTATGATTCATGAAAATTGGGAAGGGGGCGCAATATTAACAGTTCTCGGGCCATTCATGTTTCTCGCCCCTGCATCATAGCATCAGCGGCGCAACGGGGTCAACGAACACTGATTTCATCAGAACTGGGGTAGACCGAATAACAATTGATACGGTGGGACTCGACCAGATTTCAATGTATATTCTGGGGACTGGAATGGTAGTGAATAAGCAGGCTGTTTTGTAAATACAGCAAGCCTTTCTTGTCGATCACCCAAGTGAATATATGATGTCCCTGGGACGGATACTTGCACTCTTTGGAATTAGAACTATTACGAGGTGACTACTCCTGTACAGGAGGCCATAGACTTCTGGTATCGGTCTAACGTATCCAGGTAGTGTTCTGTTCGAGTGGCTGCGTTGGTCCAGAGCAAATGCATCATTCCAGGCAACAACCGCGCGGTCCCCACCGTCAGCACAAGCCAAGCGAGATCGAGTCTCGAGCATTATGAACCCAAAATTGAAACCTCATTTCAGCGAAGTAGCAACAAACTGAAATCTCCAGGAAAGATTGTCTTCGGATAACTTGCACCTACTGCTTATGGCGGTGGTGTGCTTCGCTTTTTGGATGTTGACATTCCCCTTTCTCCTCACATCATGTGTCACTCGCCCTCATGGGCGACGGAGCTGGCGCCTGGAGTCTGGACACACTCCAATACATCACTCTCTTTTTATGGCGCTGTGGCGCATTCATTATGGCGATAGATTGCATTTCTCAAAATTATCTTTCGTCTCATCAGATTCAAGCTGCCACAACACGGCCACATTGCCCTTCCTGTAAGTCGCAGCCTCGGCATCCGGTACCAGGAGCGTCGGCGTCGGCGTCGGCGTGAGTCACCTGTGTGGTTCCAGGGTGCTCTTTCCCGGCTCTTCACACGCGATGATCAATAGACAATAAGCTATGAACAACTGGATTACTGTAATATATGCCTGTATTAACGCCAGCATCATTCTCACGGGGAAGAGACATTCACACTATCACTTGAGCAGGTCCTGGGAGCCACGCCCACCCAGGCACACCAGTATTAATTCTTAAACACCGGGTCTGAATAGGAATGAAGCCCATCTGCACTTTTACACAGTGGCATCATATTAATTCCACAACTTCAACGTTCATTAACACGGAAGAAGGCCAGCTCCATTTCAGCCGGTTGAGAGCATGAACGAAACGGTGGCACTGTTTGCTGCCACACAGGGTTTAACCCTTATGTCCCAGATCTCACAATATATCACTCAAGTCAAGAGCCTGACATTCCAGTCTGCATGCTCTTCGATGCAGTTGGGAGTTGCACGGCGACAAAAGTCGGGCTCAAGGAAAAGCTGTGTGACGCGTGAAAAGGGTGACAGACCACCGGCCTGCGTGCACCTAGTTAGATATCGGCGAGCGATCGCGAAACAAACGGCAAAAAACTCGGAATGCATTTCCGAAGAGGTCTATTCCCGCCGACTATTGCCAAATGTGAGCCATTCTGGAAGGTGCTGCGGAGTTGGGGTAGATCTTCTTGGTACTGTCCACGATCATTCATGACTACCACCATGTCTTCTGACACAGTAGCCACACTTATAAACACGACATGACGTTCCTTCTTTCGTGCGGATTCCAATCTGTGCTTGTCTTCCATGAACAGCTTTGGTCATTCTGGTACAGAGGTCCTACACGAGATCGACGAATCACGACCCCCCACTGTCACCGTTATATTAGACTATTTCTCGTGTATTTTGCTGTCTTCACACGTCTCCTGAGTCCTTGAGCTGATCTGAAGTAGGCGGGTCATTGCGGAAATACTTTACTTGCGAGCTGCATTTCTGCTTTCCTGAACTAAGTGAGTGAGCGCCTATGTGATCTGTGCCAGCCACACAACAATTCTAACGCCTCTAGCAGGAACACAACATGGCATCGGGCGGCAAAAGAGGCAAACCTCGTACTCTTGCTGTTGGTGTCGTCGGCATTGGACGTATTGGGCGCCAGCATGCTCTCAATGCCTTGCACAATGTCAACCGCACCGAACTGCTATGCGTCTGCTCTCCAGCACCTCAAGATCTGGAATGGGCTGATGAGCATCTGATCCCCTACGGTGTAAACGTTTATAAGACTTTCGAAGAAATGATTGCGGAGCCAGGTCTTGAAGCAGTTATCATCGCCTCGACCACAAAATTCCATCATGATCAGGTCCGGGAGTGCATCAAACGCGGCTTATCGACATTGTGCGAAAAGCCATTGTCTATGACAGTGGCTGAAGCCCGTGATATTGTCGAGTTTTCCCGGAAGCAAGAGAATGCACATATCAAAGTGATGACGGCATTCTCGAGGAGATTTGATGATTCTTACCTCAATGCTGTGAAGGCCATTGAATCTGGCAAGATCGGCACCCCAGTTGTTGTCCGCAGCGAGACAAGGGACATGTTCGACGACAGCCCTTTCTACCATCGATACGTCATGGGAAATCCCGGGATTTTCATCGACACCGCCGTGCACGACATCGACCTGACCCTTGCGTTCTTAGGCAACGGCCTGCGGCCAAAGTCGTGCCATGCCATTGGCAACATTGCGCGACACCACAAGCTGGCCGAGATTGCCGATGTGGACAATGCAACCGGCTGTGTAGAATGGTATCCACCGTCGCCTGGCGCAGTTGCCCCCATCTCGTATTATTTTTTCTCCCGCATAATGCATCATGGTTTTGACAACCCCACGGAGATTATCGGCACAGAGGGGATGCTCAAGATCAACCTGCACCCTCACCGAGACTTGATTACTACAGGTGACAAGAACGGCATTGGCAACGACGTAATGCCTGACTTTTATGAACGCTACGAAAAAGCTTTCGTGACTGAGCTGCGGGTCTTCGCGGACGCAGTGCTGGATAACAAATCGTTGCCTTACGAGCTCGATGTGGCTGTCAAGGGTATGGAAATTGCTGCAGCGCTCCAGGAGAGCTTAAGGACGGGGAAGAAGATTGAATGGGACGAGACTGGGAATCGGAAGACCCCAACAGAGAACTTGAAGAGCCATATTTAGTCGCCGCCTGCTTCTAAATATTATTGAATTTTACGGCAATCATCTGAGCACAGAAGTGAGGATAAATATGAAAAAGAAATTCAAGCATTACCATAAATACCCGTGACTCACTCAATCTGGAGAAGTGCACTTCGTTTCTTTCAATACACAAGCAGTTTTCTATGAGCCAATCGGCGGGTTAAAAGTTCTATGAAGTATAAATCTATCACGCTGATATAATACATCGGGTGTTTATCCAGTCAGAAAAAAGACCTCAGACTCCATTAACTCCGTTGATCAACTCCGCGATACTCAACGAGACTTGAGTTGTTCTTGGTATGTCGTGGCCTCCTTTGTGATCAAACATCTTCCGATCATCACAAAAGTACGCAAGCTGGACACCCGCCGACCACCTCGGATCTTTCGCCCCGACAATATGGACAGTTGGGATCTTGATCCTGATGTCCTTCGAAAATGTCGTAAAATCTAGTCCGAAGCAATCTGCTTCATCGGGCAGTTCGTCTGCTTTGTGCTCTAAATCCGCGGTGTAGTCCCACAGTCCCTGGCCCTTGGGCAAATTCTCAAGGTCATACAACTTTGCGCTCTTAGCCTTCATCTGATCCACAGTTCTTTGGTTCAAATCATACGCGCCCTGCGCATTAAGTCCCATGTCCTCTAGCACGGGCAGGGGCAGCCCTCCGCAGATGAAAACAGCCGATCGAAATGGAAGGGGAAGTTGTGGGTTCTCCTTGGCGTGGTACAAGAGATAGGTGCCGACGAGTGAGCAGCCCTGTGAAAAGCAACAGACCCCGTCGTAAGGACCGTTGTCCTCGATGTATTCGTCAAGCCATAGGTGAGCAGCACGCACAGCGTTCACGATGTCTTGTGAAGCCAGCCACCAGGCGTATGTCGGGCTGCGGAACAAGACATCGATACCAGGGTGTGCCTTAGCCGAGTAGGGTGCATCTGGGAAGTCCCATTCCCAGTCAGTTGGAAGCTTGGCGCGGAAGGAGGCTTGAGGTCTGGTCAGCGTTGAGAATAGCACGAGGGCAAACAGAAACCCTTTGAGGTTGCTTGTATCTGAAATACGAACCTGACTGCGACTTGAATATTGAGCCGCTGGTTCCTTGACCGTGAAGGCAGAGAATCTTGACCATATTGGCGGGCAGCGTCTTGAGTCTCAAATTTAGGGCTGGGACATTCCGGAGAACAGAAAGGATGCAGGCGCAACGTAAACGTCCGCGTGTTCGCGCTCCTTGTCTTACATGTTCGTGCAACGTTTTCTGGCATGAGACGACGTCAAGCCGGATGGCTAGCCCGGTCGGGGTCCGAGGGAGAAGTCCGTGATCAGTACTAAGAAGCCCGGAGTTGCTTGTGTAACTACTTACAGTGGGGCTCGAGAGCAGTACAAAGACTAGAATGCATATGCCCAAAAGTCAAGTTAGCCCACTTTAGAGTAGAGCAATTGGCTACCGGGTTGAGTTCGGACGCATTGCTTTGGGGCGATGCGCACGAAAAGCTGGAGGTGGAAGGGGAGCCGAATTAGTTTACCAAGCCCCCCTAGGCACATGCATACGCCACTACTTTCCATATCTGGTCCATAGAAGCTTGGTAAAGACGTGAAGGCAAGGTAATCATCGCCTTCGGTAGGATTCTGTAGTGCTCATGTCCCATCTCTCTTCCCCACTGCAGATATTGAAATATCGAGGTGAGATTGGGCCGTAGTAAACGCGTTGCCTGAGGTGAGACCGTGGGGGGTCTGTTTGGACAGGGCCTCAACACTAGGCACCAATTTCCACCGGACTTCTGATCCTGATCTTACCCGACATATTGCTGCTGGCTTGGTCAACGTGGGGCTCGTTAATCTGGGCAAGCCATCTCCATTTCCTCTCTGGGCTATTGTCTCCTGAAATGGGCCATCTATTACATTAGTTGTGATTTGGAGGCCAAGCACCCTGCCCATCCTTTGCTGATGGCTGCGTCTACTTTCGAACATGGCTTCAACCTCCCAACCAGCGACACCGGCACCGGAAACAACTGCTACTCCTGCGCCGCAGGCGCGAGGGCCTGAAGGCCGGCATGAGTACTCGTGTGTTCTTTGCAAACAGCGCAAGGTTCGCTGCGATCGGCTCAACCCATGTAGTGGCTGTCTTCGCGCTGGAGTTTCGTGTCTCCCCGGAGTGAGGCAACCATACAAACGACGGCGAAAACATTCCCCAGGCGGCGGTGACCTGAAGAAAACAAGAACCTCAGAATCACCTCGAGGAGTTTATTCGGTATCTTCAAGGACCCTGGACAGCACTTCCAGCCCCGAGGAATCGCGACCCCAGCGGCAAGTGCCAACATTTGGCCAGTATGAACCCCATCTTCTAGCGCCCGCCGGTCTCTGCCACAGCCCTCTAGCCCTCCTGAACTATTTACTGATGCTTCCATAGAAGCCTATGGACCGGCTTGAATGACGAGGTTGGTTCCCAATGCCTGTTCACGACATGTTCGTTCGAGATTCGTTGACTGAAGCCCTCCCCTCGCTCATCAGTTCCAAGACCCGAGGGCCACCAAATCCTCCAGTGAGGACGACACTCTTAGTTCGGCAGAGTATGGTTCCAGTCGTGATCCCAGTGCACTACTGTTTTCCGCATTTCGAAATGTCGTTGATCTCCGCGAATTGCATCCCCCTCCGATGCAAGCTTTCATGCTGTGGCAAGCTTTCTTGCAGAATGTGAATCCTATGTCTAAGGTCATACATGCACCCTCGGTCCAGCCGATTATCATCGAAGCAAGCAAGGATTTCGACACCGTCCCCAAGCCATCGGTCGCCTTACTGTTCGCCATCTACGCAGCGGCAATCATGTCCCTCAAGGAAGAGGACTGCCAGACCCAGTTCGACGCGCAGAAAAGCCTGCTGCTCACCCGGTACTTTTCAGCATGTCAACAAGCTCTGGCAGCGGCGTCCTTCATGAAATCTCGGAACCTAGTCACGCTCCAGGCTTTCGTCATATTCTTGGTAGGCTGGCCTTTATTTGCAATATCGTGCTGATACTCACTACTCTACAGCTTCCTGCCCGCCAAATTTACGATGAACAAACTTTCTGGCTTTTGGCCGGAGTCGCCATGAGATTGGGCCTTAGATTGACTGGGAAAACTGTCAGTGATTCGCCCAATGACTCGGTCTACATGTCGCAATTGCGTAGACGTCTCTGGAGGCAAATTGTCTGGATTGACGGCCGCAGTCATCACCACATTGGGTTGCGGCCTGCTTTCCACGACATCGGCACTTTCCCCCTTCCTGAAAATTTGAATGATGTTGACCTAAATCCACACATGGAGGAGATGCCACTGATACACAAAGGCCCAACAGAGATGACCTGTAAGTGTATCTTTTCTGATTTCTGGGACAGGCACACTCTACCTCCAACTGCTGACAACCGCAAATCAAGTTTGTCTCTGCCGATACGAGGTTGGCGAATTCATGGTTCGACATGGGAGCACGTTCCAAGACCCTGCCGTCCCCGTTCAGGAGAAAGACAAGCTCATCGACCAATTCGAAGCTCATATGGATGAGAACTATCTGAAGCATCTTGACCCTGCTATTCCATTACATCTGATGGCTGAAGGTGGTGTGAGATCAGCCACCTGCAAGATGAGGCTCATGGCTCATCATCCCTCTCAGTACCCCGACAGAGGAAAATCAATACCGCAGAGTGAGAGAGACATACTCTTTCAAGTCAGCGTTAAGATGGTCGAGTATGACGTGCTTGGCAAATCCACTAAGACTCTTGACAACTTCTCCTGGCACATTGACAACGCATTTCAGATCGATGCTTTCGTCTTCATGCTGATAGCCTCTCGAACTCAAGATGCAAATGCTATACTGACCAACAAGGCCTGGCAACTGGTGGCTGACATGTATGAGCACCGACCATCGCTCCTAGAAGAGACCAATAACGAATTGTATGCCGCTGTTAGGGAGCTGACGCTACATGCATGGGAGGCGCGGGAGGCAAATATTGCACACGGCAACTTGGAGCCGATCCCAGCCCCGGAGATAATCGCAAAGCTTCGAGAGCGGAAGGCCATGAAGGCCATGCCGGCTAAAACATCGTCAACCAACCCGACCGCACCAATGCCGATGCCTCCCGGGGCGTCTGCTCTTCACCAACTGGCCGGGGTGGCCACACAGGTCGATTCGAGGAACGGGTACAGTAGTATGGGTTATATGTACGGAATGACTCCTGAAGTCAACGCAAGCTCGTTTCAACCGGGTCTTGATCAACAGTTTGATAGCATCTTTCGCAACCTCAGCGGGGACATGGACGCTGCCGGGCCGGTAGACTGGGACTATTGGGACGGACTTTTGGAGCGAAACAATGTTTTTAGGTGATTTAGGGCATTGAGGTCAAGGAGATAGAGAGCCAGATAATATGCAAAAATCTGGTCTTAGATCCATCATATTCTTCGAGACACTTCTTGCCCCAAGAACATATGACGGGTGGATAGATTTAGGAACGCGGAGGTGCTAGTTGTGGTCTGGAGTTCGAGCCCCTTCGGCAAACAGTATGTGTAAGTCGTTGAGGACAGAAAGTTTGAGCATGAAGTTAGCCAGTGTTTAGAGGGGCTTTCTCTGAGTTCCTCGTCGATATGAATTCGGTGCGACAGAAGGTTCTACTTGCTGGTTTCACTCAAACCTCTTCTGGCTTGAAGGCATCTGAACAGGCTTTCCTCCTATGTTTTGGCAGAAGGAGAATATGCAATAAAGGGACCGTTTCAAGGGTTGCGACTGTCACCTTTCTATCATTTGCAAAAGCTGTCTATAAGGTATTGAAAATGTTGAAACCTCAGAGGAGGGCGGCTTTATTTGGTCCCAGCCCGTTTCATCATGTCTTTTGTGAAATAGAGCCGCTTGACTCACCCTTTCCTTATCTACCTAGCCTGAGACATGAGAACCACAAGGCAAACAATGCCTTAGACAAGATGGATTGATCATAGGGGAAACGAGCTGGTTTAAGAATGATTGACGGCTAATAGGTGAAACGATGCCAAAAGATACTGGCTCCATGATTAGAATGGTACAGCTCTAAGGCATTTGACGATTCTCTAGGCCGCGAAATGACAGTGGTCGTGCTTACACAGAGTTGAGGCAACCACCGTCACCGTCGCCGTAAACGGTTGTCTCTAAGGTACTGTGAATACGGCGCGGTCTAATGCTTCCTTCAGCATATGTGAAAGGTCTTAGTTGGACTAAGGCGAGCTGTATTTCCCAAGTTACATTCTTTGAGCTCATCCGCGGACCGTATGCATCAGGCTTGGGACTAGTCGCTACAAAACAAGGCAACTCTCCCCAACTCTGTCCTCATAAATAACTCTCAAAAATTCAGATTGCATCACTCGACGCCTCTGATGAAAAGATTGATTTCTTGCTGGACTGCTCAATGCCTTTCTCTCTTATCTGACTTGAACTCTACACCCAGCGTCGCTATCAACCCCATATTAACACCTCATCAACATCCCGACATTGAACCTCGACCTTATTGATGAAATTCAACTATCAAGATGGCTCAGATCGAGTATCGCTGCTCGATCGGAGCCGACAACAAGAATGGAGCCGCCGATGCCATCGCCGTCGACCGCGTCTTACCTTCGACCAAAGCGCCTCAAGGCCTCACCATCTCCTTCCAGCGAACCATTCGCGTTCCTGGCAACGGAGCGTTCTCCCAACTCCCTCCTTCTTTCGGTGCTTTCCCCCTGTATAAAGTTCAAGACTATGCCTCCCGTCTCCCACCAAGTATGATGAACAAGAGAGGAATTTTCTTCCCAATGCACCAAAAAGAAGCCATGTGGATATGCTTCAAAGCAGACGCACCTTTCATGATCAAGATTTACTGTGGAGGTGTCAATGTTGTCTCAGGTGAGCACGCGGATGAGGACACCGCAACCAAGCATCGGCGCTCGAGGCTTCGTGAGCAAGGCAAGCCCATTCAAGACTACGTTGTTGTGCCGGAACAGCTCTGGCTCGATGGTATGGCTATTGAACCTTCAATCGTGCGGCAATTCGTGGCGTAAGTGGCCTTAGCAGGAAATCATAATTATTCCCTCGCATAGTTGAGTCCATGCGGGCCGCCCCAGCCTCAATCACAATGCGCCATCTGCCCACAAGTCAAATCAGGGATTACTAATTGTATTCAAATTTCATCAGAATGCCCATTGGCCATAGTTATACTGTGGAAGCCCAGCTCACTGGCAAGGAGGTCGCCGGAGGGCTAATGTTCGAGATTACACCTGCTCTTTGTACGTGCTTCCTTTCTGTGAACATGACTATCCCGCATGCTGACAGACATAAGGTGATCCAAAGGATCAACCGCCCCTCGAACTCTTCGTAAAAGATTTCACAAACAGGCATCTTCGTGTGCGATGCTATCCAGACGATGACCTGTTTGCTTTCATGGACCGTCTGCACGATATGATAGGACTCCCGCCTGGGCTGCAGAAGCTGATGTATCAAGGCACTTTTAACCCAACTGTTCAGCCTGGTTTCAGGAGGCTGAAACAATCATACTATGAACTTCATGAAGATGACAACAGGACCCTCAGTGATTACAACATTCAGACGGTGAGTATTTCCTCTAAGTGACTTCTCACGTGCTTGCACGCTGAGGAAAGTCTCGACTCAGGAATCTTCAACTAAACCTAATTGAATCCATTGCAGGGTGATATCTTCCAAATGGGGTTGAGACTGCGAGGGGGCGGCGCTCTCCCCTTACGAACTCGTGACGAACGGCTCGGAATTGCTGCTGGAGGGATGATCAAACAAAATATCCGGCAAGACACCCACAATCCTCAAGAATGGGTCAAAGGCTTGACTATCACCATCTCTGTCCAAATTCTGAACAACCTGGCCTTCCGCCGTATCACTGGCCTGGAGCCACCCGCATGTCCTATCAACGCAGACACTGTAAGACCGCCTCAAAGACTTGTTAACTCACTTGTGATTCCTTCAAAGCAGCTATGCTCTTCCCTCCTCTAATTGGAAAGCTCTGATGTCTTGGGGTCAAATGATCCGGACACAGTATGAAGCTGCTGTTGCGTCTACCTTTTGCATTGGGAAACACTAACTCGGGTCTTTTCTTCTTCTCAGTATGCTCAAGCTGGCCTCCCATTCTTTGAATTGTACGAGGAAAACTCAACCAATGTCTCTGGCGCTGAGGGTTTTGGAGCTCTTCAAAGCATCAACGAAATTGAGATGGCCCGTGGCCAAATAGATCGTCCTGAACCTATGGTCTATCCTCCCATCAATAGACTGTATGAGAACAGTCTTGGAACTACGGTCTGGAAAAACGGCGAGGTCTTCCACATCGAAGACCCGGATGGATTGCTGAGCCCTGGCGGCCCATGTCAGGATTTCCGCACTCTTGCAGACCTCGAGGAAGAACTCAGAAACTTGAAATTGTCAAGCGAGGGCGACTAAACGCCTATGGTATGGAACATGGGGGCATCATGGTAGAACTAATGTCTTTGTCTTTCCACCGTCGCGTTGGTGATACAGAAACAGGACACAGGCAGAGTAGCTGCGTTTTATCAGTGCGCGCAATGCACTTCTATGTTTCGAGGGCGAGGATGGCAGCTCGACTAGTCAGATGGACGTTGTGCTTGCTCGGTCTTGTTGATTCCGAAAGCGCCGGCAAGGTCATGACCTTTTCTTGGTTAATCATTTTTGGTTATGCGCGGCTTGGAATTGGCACCGAGGGATCTTGGCTGGAGCTTCAATGCGGAGAAATTCAGGCAGAAGATGGCGAATCCGGGGATGGGGGAGCCGAAGCCTCCACTCTAAGTTGCTGGTTCCCCTGAGCATCACCCTAGATTCGGTCGAAATCTCCGCTGCCGACGCCCCAAGAGAATGTCGTGAATCCCCGCAAAATCATGGATCGTTTAGCACGTCACTACGCGCATACGTGCATGTAGCGCGATACTTTGCCATTAGCATTTATGACAATGTAACATCACGGTTGGTGTTCTTTCGTATCCATGATGCCTGAGGGGGCGCATATTTAAGAAAATGACACCGCCCGTCCAAGAATAATGACCAGACAGTCAAAGTGAGCCTCTCTGTGAGTGCTACTATGTTGTTTAATTTTACGGGTGCGACTGCTGCTAATTTACAATGAGGTCTTCCACACTTGAGAAGCGATACCTTTCGCTGGCTGAAGCAATCATTCTGCTCTTGACGACCGCTGTCGGGAGCTCCACTGCCCTTCCTCAGAGTTCTAACGATGGCGCGGTGCAAGTTAACATACCTACTTCGGCCGCAGGCGCTTCTATTCCCCATTCTCCTTCATTCCAGTCCTTCTCCTTCGAGCCTGCCTTCTGGGTAGAGTTCTTTGGAAATGCTTCCGAGCCGAATGAGCTCACCTTTGGGCTCCTCTCAAGACTGATCGAGCGAGGTGCCGAGCCCATCATCCGTCCCGGGGGTATCACTCAGGATAGCATGATATTCAATGCTTCTGCGGGTGACCCAGTACGCACAACCAACGCAGCTGGTGGCGTGTATCGAACTACCGTTGGACCTGAATACTGTACGTAAATCAACAGTCACTTTACTGCACAATATTGCTCGAATGATCTGTACCCCGGACCAAGTAATTGATAAGTCCAAGACCAGAGCTGGGATAACTTCCCCAAGGGTACAAAATTCGTGTCGACCCTCAACTTCGGAAATAACAGCATCGACATCGCCCAGGGCATGGCCGTGGCCTCTGTCCAGTACCAAAAGGACAAGATTGAGTATTTCGAGCTCGGGAACGAGCCAACGAATTACCCGAGCTCAAGGTGGAACTATAGCACAGACGCCTATGTTGCTCAATGGAAGTCTTGGACAGCGCAAATCGACCAAGCAGTGAACGGAGTAGTGGGCTCAAATGAAACTGCTTTCGCAAGTGAGCGTTGGTGGGCTTCATCGGCTACTACCGACCAGACAGGACTTCACGTCAGACCAGCAGACATCATCCCCGCTGGTATTAACTCGGACAACCAGGTCGCCCAGTACTCGATCCACTCGTACGAATTCGCCACCTGCGATCCCGTTCGCGCAGCGCTGGCCACAATCCCCAACATTCTCAACCACACTGGCCTCCTGCGCTACGCGGACGAGGAGATTTACCCCTCCGCAAAAGCAGCTCTGGATGCCGGATCTACCTGGGTCATCGGGGAGTTTAACTCGATCGCCTGTTCAGGTGCCCCCAACGTTTCGGACACTTTTGCGCAGGCACTGTGGGTCACAGACATGGAATTAATCTACGCCGCGCGGAATGCGTCTTCTGTTCACCTCCACCAGGGCGCGACGCTGGTCTTTCAGAGCGCCGATCAGTCCAACAGCGCTGGGGAGAACGGCACACCTGGGTTCTCTACGTACAGCTTCGTCTACCCGCGAAACAGTTCTAAGAGGGGCGAGCCGCGTGCCCTACCCAGCTTTGTGAGCCTCCTCTTTATTACGGAGGCTCTCGGCGGCTCAGGAGTCCAGATCAGTGCCCTTGATACACCCGCAGGCGTCAACAAGGACAGCTTCTCCTCCTACGCCTTTTACGAGGATGATGTCCTTAGCAAAATTGCCTTGATTAATATGAAGCCTTTCTATAAGAATTCAACGGAGGACTTCACCGTCACAGTCGATCTATCGCAGTATACGCAAGATCTGGAGTCTCCGGCCCAGCTTAAGCGGATGACAGCTCCATATGTCGATGAAGGGAAGACGGAAAATGTCACTTGGGCAGGGCAGTCTTTCAAGAACGGTGACCCGATCGGTGAACTCAACATCGAGGAAATCGGGCAGGATGGTCTGGTTGAGGTGAGAGGAAGCGAGGCTGTGCTGATCTTCCTCAATGATAGCTCCGTGTATGGCTTATAAAGTGTGCCCGTCCAGCTAGCTAGCTGCATGAGTTGAATATCATTTATACAATAGGCACCATTCCACTTTGGACCTTACCTATAATTTTCGTATTGAGCGCCAAGGTGCTGCACAAAATGAAGCTTTTCAAATTGAAGACAACACACAAAACCAAGTAATGCAACATCTTTGCAATACTCAAACGGAAACTTGCTGTGAGAAGGAGATAAAAGAATCTACTTGGTGGTCTCTCAGTGCGATCCAGCAAGTTCTAAGATTTGTTTTACGTGTGTTCAGATAGCGAAGCTATCGTTCACAACGTTATCAAGTCTGTGAACGAGCCTTGGAAGCAGTACGCTCTAGAAACTACATAGAGACTTCCCCGAGACTATGTTACAATGAAACTAAATGTGAGCCCTGCGACCGCAATTTGCATCATGGATCTCATAGCTGTTATGTCCTGCATTGTTCCCAGCACACTATCTCACTACGTTGGATTCTTGTTGTTTGCAGGCTTACCCAGTGCCAGGAAGGCCGGAGACATAGTGACTTAATTTGACGAGTTTCTGAATGTATGGGGAATTTTAGGGCAACTAACAGTAATCGCCTCTGGAAGCGCCAGACTGGTCTGACTGAGTCAAGTTGAATACGTCAGCTTCATATCTTGAATTTCGACAGTCCCTCCTCAACCGCTTCTCTCCATACTACCACCATATCCTGCTTCTCACCCCGCGGGCAGACTTCCACGATGGCTCTCGTATAGCGCAAAACGTCCTGCATAGCCATCTGATGCGAATTTGCCTCGGCGTCCTCCAACACCGTGATCCCACGCTCCTTACACATCCGCTCAAACACAATCATCAGAGCCTCTTTCTCAGCCTTCGCCTCGTCCGTGAATTGACCCTTCCATAGGAACGCTCGTACAGGATTCCACCTGGGCGCCGGCACCGTGCCCGCGAATTCCCAGTCCAGGATGCCAGTGATCTCCCCGGTGAGGGGATCAAACATGATGTTGGCGAAATGCAAGTCCTTGTGCGCCAGCACGATCTTCGCGTCATCGAGCTTCATATCCTTGACTTTCTCCTGCTCCTTTGTGAGGAGGTCCACGAACGTCTGCAGCCGGGGCACCAGTTCACGGATCCAAGCCAACGAGTCGTGCTTTTCAATGGCGTAGATGAGCCGCTCCATCTGGGCAGCGCACAGTGCCGTGTAGCTTTCATACGGGCCGGAGATGTTGAGCGTCGACACAGACTCCTCCGGTGGCCAGTACTTGGCCACGTCCGTGGCCTGCCAGAATGTCTCGTCGAGGACTGGCCCAGGGACAATGGCCCCGTCCTGGTGGGAGAGCTGCATGCCTCCTATCAAATCGAATGAGTGGGCGTGGATCTGTGCCAGGAATCCCGCAAGTTGCGAGATCAGGGAGTGCTTCGTTGCCGTGTCGAGCTGGTCGTAGACCTTGTCGACGCTAATGCCTGGTGCCCTCTCCAGCAAGGTGAACTCGTGGCCCAGTGGGTTATCCTCCGAGGCGTCGAAGCGTACTACTGCCGGCACAGGTATTTTGGTGTTTTCCTTGACCCATCTCATGACTGACACCTCATTGATGGTCTTGATGCGGGGGAGATGTTTGCCCGAGACACGGAGGACGAGGGTTACTGAGCCGTCTGGCTCTCGCACCTCGGCTGGCTCTAGGCTGGAAGTACATTCTGGAGGGAAATTGAGGAGATATATAGAATGGTAGGCAGCAGTTGCTGTTAAAGGTGAGATAACCTTGGCGGCAGGGAGACTGAGATGAGATAGGAGAGCTTGGATCGTTCCATCTGAGAGCACCGGGGGCAGGTACATCGCCGGTGTGCCCATTGCGAGCCCTTACTGTGAAATTCGGTTGATCAGAGCGAAATTTGATTTCGTGCCATGCGAGGTGTGGTGGATTTGCTTTTTATTGTTGTTGTTGGGAAATGAGGATGAGGCATTGCTCACGTATTCCAACATGAGAGGTTGTTAACTGTACATGCACTAGTGCTTAAGTATGAATCATTTCGACTCATCGTGGGCACGCTTAGACTCCTATGATTTTCATCGTGGCTAGGGCAAAACCTCTCCTCATGCACCCTAAAGAGACGTAATCCTCGTCTGCTTCGGCCATGGACCACAGATGCTATACAGTACAATATTGCCGAAACATGCGGAAATTTGAGTGCCGAGTTGTTGGCTTGCAAACTTAATTAAAGGACAAAATTACATTCAGCTATCAATTCGAGTGGTTATAGGAATGCACAATCTCATAGCAGTACGACTCAAGCAGCCTGTGCGACCTCTACCGGGCCTTCAGGCAGGTAACTCGCGGCAACATTACATTGACGGAACAGTCTGACCTCCTCCTCAGCAAAGGCCCCAACAACAGAGTGCAACAGCCCTCGGTTGTGGAAGAGAACAAAATCACCTTCCTGCCAATCGTGCGCATAGACCTTGTTGGGAGCAATACCAGGCCTCTGTAGCCGGTATACAGTCTCTCTGACCTGCTCGAGGTCGTCTACAACAGTCCCATCCTTCAGATGCAACTTCCTGACAGCAGACGGGTGCACCTGAAGAGCCAGCTTCCCATTGACTGGGTTGCGCCAGCACATTGGCAGAATCTGGATCTTGTCCTGCTCGATTTCTGGGAGCTGGTCCAGTGGAACCTCCTTGCCCTCGCTCACAAGCCCGAGCCCAGTGGACCGCGACTTGGCGCTGCTCATCCATATGTATGGATGGGGAGCGTATTCGACCTTTGTGGTCCGGGCGAACTCCTGATCCTCGGGCGACAGTTGATCGAACATGTCGAAACCACTGACGAATGCCGTGGTGCCCAGCGGAACATCCAGCTCGTCGCCGGTGCTATCGTCATATCTGCAGATCTGTCGGCGGCCTCCAGGCACCTTTACAGCAAGGAGTGTAGTGACGATAGGCGGAGCAAGCCCGTACAAAGCAGCATCGATGTGCCACCTGTAAAATCTGGTAAAGTCTAGGTCGTCCTCGGGTGGAATCGAGGTTGCATGGAAGGTCTTGTGGTGAGGATGGCGCAGCCTGATGTCTTTCAGGCCCTCGTACTCGGACACAAATCCATTGCCGATGACCTGGACTTGCGGCTGATGGGGGGCTGTCTTGAGGTCGGGATGCAGGATTGATCGCTTCGCGTCGATCGTCTTGCCGTGGCCGTATGAGTTGGCCTCAGGGTCGAACCGCCGGGTGAGCTCGTATTGAGCTTTGGGAGTTACATGGCTTTGGTTCTTAAAGACCAGGACCTGATTGTTGAAGAGCGCGTCACGGATGACAGCAAATTCATCATCTGCATCTTCATCAGCTGGTGTTCATTCGAGGGCGCCTGCTGGGAATACTTACCAACGAGGTTACCGATTTAGCCCTGGGGTGGGCATTACGGGTATGATTCTCGTGATACACATAACATAGGCATGTCACAGGGTCTGGCATCAATAATTTCACCGAATCTTACCAGTAATACTTTCAATGTCGACGTTTGAAACAACTGCACCCAGATGAGGCCCATTGGTGGCTGACCGGCCCGAGAAGTCTAGAGGCTGTACAGTGATGGCAGACATTGTCCTTCTATTTCAAGAGGTGATTCTTGCAATGGCGATGTTGTTAACTTTCGAAGAAGATGTTATATGCTGGTTAGGGATGAAAGGATGCGTGCTGAAGGTGATAGTTGAGAGGTGCAAGTTAGAGGGATCGAAGAAGGAAGCTCAGGGGGCGGATCCTAGCCCCTATATAGCGTAAGCTAGGGAGGCGTCTTTGTACCTGTGACTGGTCTCGGCGCCCGCCGCTGAGAGCCTGCGGCGGCGGCGGCCGATTGACACCAACATCTCCGGCAACTATCTCGCAGGTCAGAGATAAGATGATAATGTGTAAGACAAGATAGGATTACCTGACTTTTTCTTCAGTTGCTATCGAGAGGGACTGGGTTCAGTCGGATTTCAAGACTTCTATATCCCATGTCAAATCAAATCAAATCATGTAAGGCCCGCAAGACTCTCTCCGGTTGCTCCTTCAACCACCCATCCTTTTTTTTTTTTTTTTTTTTGTCATTTATGGTGGTGGCCTGCAATTCTTTTGACCTCGCTTGCCACAAGCCTTGACTACGGAGTAATTGAACAGATCCAATATTGTCGGCGTGCAGGGAATCTAGGCATTGTAGAAGGATATGGCATGGACTGTAGTGATAGGCGAACCAAATGCTGACAGTTCTACCGTGCAAGGATCGGCGCCCGACAAGGCTGAACTACATGAATGGTAGGGCTCTGTCCCGATGACATCGACACCTCGAGTTCGGAGCCAATTCCCCATTCAGAGTATATGGAGATAGGCACCCTTTGTATTTTGGTTACTTAGTCTATGTATAGATTTGTCCCCACGCATCGCATATCGTCCTTCAAGCCCCTACTAAACATGGCCTCAACGCCGGTCTTCCAAGTCATCACGCCCAACGACTCCGAGCAGCAGCCCTCGTATCCTACACGGTCCGTCTTTCTCGCCGGACCAACAGAGATACCTTGGCGAGAAGGCTTCATCGCCGCACTCAAGCAGCGCCTCACCACCACCAGCCTCACCATCTTCGACCCTTTCCAGCCTAAGTGGGACAGCACGTGGAAGGAAGACGTCGACCTCGACCCCCGCTTCAAGGCCCAGGTCGAGTGGGAGCTCGGCAGCCAGGACAGGGCCACTGTCATCGCCGTCTTCTTCCATGGCGAGAGCAAGGCGCCCGTCAGCCTGCTGGAGCTAGGGCTCTGTGCCCGCTCCGGCAAGGCTGTGGTGGGCTGTGAACCGGGTTACTGGAAGAGGGGTAACGTGCAGGCTGTCTGCCGCCGGTATGGTGTGCCGCTGGCGGACAGCCTCGGCGGGTTAGCGGCTATCGCAGCGGAGAAGTTGAAGGAGAGCAAGGCTTGAATGTTGGTGCGGCCTGACATAGATCTCTAGGATCATATATGAGCAGATGTGAATTAATCCTCACAACAATAGGGGCGAGATGTGTTCTGCTCCGTTGGCCTAACCTGGCCTGGCCGAGACGCTCTATTCCTCAACGCCGAGCCCACGCCGTTGATGTCGTAGGATTATAGTCTTGATCTATCATGAGTATACATGGCCGCGTGATGACGGGTGCCGTTACCTCCCTTCCTTTCCTAAGTGAAACCATCATCGGCTTCGGCCTTCTCTGTCTCGCCACCGTCCGCCAGTGGTGCCGTCTCAAGAACCGCAACTCCCGCACCAGGAGGACTGGCCAGGCTCATCCTCCGCGACATTCGCTTGTTCTTGTTCAAGCGCTCGGGCTCCTCCTCCTCCAGCAGCTCGATCTCCTCTGCTTCCGGGGCCGGTGCGTCCTCCAGCCCGTCCATGGTAAGCCCTTCTTTCAGCTTCAGGTGGAGTTGTGCCATGTGCTCACTCGCCAGCGCCCACCCGCCAATCCCGTCCTCACTCTCCAGCTGGCTGTACATATTCCTTGCTTCATTGAGGCACCGTTGAGCTTGTATGTATTTGGCCTGGTTGATCCACGCCTCAGCACCAAGAACACTCCAGAATGCTGACTTCCTCCGCCAGCTGCCCCACGCCATGGAGCCCAATCCTTGTTTCGTAGCACAGCACACAGCCATGCGCTCCTTGAACAGCGCATCGCCAATCTGTCCGGTAATGCGGCTCTCCATGATGCGCGTGCCCCATTTGACCGCCTCGTCCACCGCGGAGCCTCCCCGCATTCGGAGGAGCTCCAGGCCCAGCGCCATGGACCGCAGTGTACCGTAAGGCGAGCTACACCGCGTATTGTAAGAATAAGATGCTTGTTCGAGCATCGAAACAATGTTGTCCAGGCGGGTCTTGGAGGACATGTTCTGCGGCATGATCAGGAGCGCGAGAGCGGCCATCTCGTTGGCGGCGGCGTGGTATTTCCACGCCTTGTCATTGCTGAAGTCCGATCGCAGGAGCTCATACGTGGACATGGAGAGCTTCCAATCCCTCAACATGAAGGCGTAGTCAGCCAGTTTCCGCATGATGGCCTCGGGCGTCTCTGGCCTATAATATCCCGATGCCTCGTAGTTGCTTGAGGACGAGCTTCCAGTGGAATTCCTAGTTCCGCTGGCGAAACCTGTCCATCTTTTCGAGAGATTCATGAATCTTCCGCTGATGCCTTTGCGCTTTGAAGCCACCTGATCATTCCACACCGAGATATTGCGCTCCATCGTCGGTACTATCGACTGCGTCACCATCTCGCGGATGAATGTCCGTATCGCTGTCACATCTGACTCATAGATGTACCGTGTTAGATCTACGGGTCCGCCCTGGGCCTCGCCCCTCTCTATATCAACGAGTTCTTCCGAGGCAGGCATCCATTCGCTTCGAGGCAGCGGTACGCTGTCGTCGTCAGTCTCGACACTTTGGCTGCTCCGTATCCTGAGAAGGTGACAATGCAGACCCAGGTTCCTCTTCATCTGGTCAAAAAGGGCCATCGTCTTAGTGATATCACTGTTCTCCTCATCGTGAACAAGTACGTAGTAGCGCAGATATTCCCCATCCACCCAGGGCGGTAACCTCCTGTCACCATTTGTAGATTCGTGGTAGAGCCTTCGAAACGTCTCGATCGGGGCAGGCTCCCGTGAGCTCGCAGCGATGACGCAAGCCACGGGGTGTGCCCAGGATTCATGCGCAGACACTGGTATGCCCGAGAGTAACCGTCTGAGATACAGCGCATAGTACGGAGACGTCGCGTCCATGTCCAGCCCATGAGTCGTCGGTGTGCTGGGTTGGATGAGATTCGAGAAAGACTGTTCCGCATAGTTTAAGTGCCTGCTTACGACCGCCTCGACGTCCCCGACCCGTCTTGCTGATATTGCCGGGCTCGTCGCCTGGCCGTTGGGGGATTTCAACAGCCCGTCGGGCGGCTCGACATTCTCTCCAAACCGTGTGAAGCGCACCGAGAAATCATCCCACGATCGACTTGACCCGTTGCTGTCTCTAACAGTCACCTTGCCCGGCACGCGCTCGCCGAACGGCCGGAGGAGCTCCCAAAGACCGCGTTCAAAGCCCTTCTCCTTGACCAGACCATCCGTATCCGGTGACGCATGTATGGAAATGTGTGGAACGAACGCTTTGAGTATGAGGTTAAGCGGATTACCGGGCTCGGAAGCAGCATCGGTATCGACGAGAGAATGCGTCAAGGTCACAGAGCCGGACCTGGCCCGGGAGAAGGGTCGCGCGGGTGAGCCTCTGCCGACAGGAGACATGGACCTAGAGCCCGGGGGCGTGAGCGTTGAGGCATACAGGCTGGCGGCGGAGGGGTGGGAGCGTCTCTGGGGGAGGCTTGCTTCGGACTGGGAGAGTGATATGCTGTCGATGGTGCCCTGCCTCTTGGGCAGTCTTATGGAGGATGCCGCCATAGGCGGGGAGCTGATGGGTTCGGGGCCATGTTCGTTGTCCTGCATGAAGGCAACGGCTGGCGTCTTGCAACACTCGAGAGATCCGTGTGAAGAAAGGAAAGGGCTCTGCGTCCTCAACCAGCCTGTGAGGCGTGAGATGGGGCTGCGTGCGGACTTGGGCACGGGCTAAGTGGTGTAAAGGCTGGGTGTGGAGGGCGTGCGTTCGTTCGTTCTCGTAGAAACTCGCTGCAGGGTGACTGGTGGCGCAGGGCGGCACTGAAGGTACTGGGCCTGCCTGGCTTGGAGCAGGCTCATTAATATTCTGTAGGTCTAAGGACTTGATCGCATGCTGGGTTCAGTCGTAGCAGTGTGCGCATGAGGAAAGGAGCACCGGGAGCTGCGGCAGAACAGAGCTGATGTCGCCAGAGCTGCAATGGCAAAGCACAGTAGTCGTCTACAAAGATCTACCTGGGTACCTTTTGCCCGTGGTCTGTCTCCCTGCTTCGTACCCCAAGCGCCCAAGATAGACTAACCAGCCCACCAGCTATCGAAATTCGGGGTAGCGTCTTATCACCACGAGGGCCCCAATCCTTAGATTCACTAACAACACCCAGTCTTACATCATTCCAACCCCAGCGCCATCGCCTGGGTCTAACAAACAGAAAACACCTCACGGAAACAACATTGAATACAAGCAGCTCACCAGGAACAAGCCTTCTCTTTCTTGATGTTTTGAGACCCAGGAGACCCAGCGGAGCTCAGGACCAGGCGGCCCAGAGTCTGTCTGCACCTCTGACCCAAAGTCGCCTCAGCATAGTCCAAAGCCATGGATAGCTCATTTGGCGATGCCAGGCCCGACTCTCTACCCATTTCCAGTCCCAATGGGGTTGGTGGATCTGGAGCTGGTTCTGGCGCTGGCACTGGCAGCCCCGCTACTGCTTCTGTGTTGGAGCCATCGGTCGAGGCAGGAGACCAGGCTCCTTTCCCTCAGTTGCGGAACGATCCTGACGAGGAGTCAGGACCTGTGCCTCCCAAGTCAGCCTCCCAGGTTCCACCGGCGGAGGACGTTGACGATGGGGACGACCACACAATTGCAAAGCCGTTCCATCGCACCTCAAGCCCGGATCCAGCAAGCCGGGGTGGTGCCGGCGTTGCATCTGAAGAGGAGTACGACGGCGGGACTGGCCCCGAAGACCTCGGCGAGGATGGCCGGCCAAGGAGGAGGCTGGTGCACAAGATGCACAAGTTTAGCCTGTATGAGACTGCCAGCAGGTATTACATCGTGGGTGGGGACGTCACCGAGAAGCGGTATCGTATCTTGAAAATAGATAGGACGGTCGATGACAGCGACTTGAGTATCACCGATGACAAGATCGTCTATTCCCAGAAGCAAATGAATCAGCTTCTTGACACCATCGACGATGGGAACAAGGGGACCGGTGGCATCAGGCTGAAGTGCACCACCTGGGGCTTGCTCGGATTCATCAAGTTCACAGGGCCGTACTACATGCTACTAATAACCAAGAGGAGCATTGTGGCCATGGTTGGCGGCCACTATATCTACCAGATCGAAGGAACAGAGCTCATCCCGCTCACACCCGCCAGATATAAGACTGACCAGCGGAATGCCGAAGAGTCTCGATTCCTTTCTATCCTGAATAACCTCGACCTGGCCAGATCGTTCTACTACAGCTATTCCTACGACGTCACTCGGACACTGCAAGACAACATTAGCAAGGAGAGGAATGCCCTCAATAACGGCCTGCCCTGCTTTGTGGACGATGACCACAACACCATGTTCGTTTGGAACAGCCACCTGCTGCGACCAGCTGTGGACGCTTTAAAGGACCCCTTTGACTGGTGTCGCCCTATCATTCACGGATACGTAGACCAAGCTTCTGTGTCAATCTACGGCCGGACCGCCTTCATTACTATCATCGCCAGGCGATCTCGCTATTTTGCAGGCGCACGCTTCCTAAAGCGAGGAGCGAATGATCTCGGCTATGTGGCCAACGATGTTGAGACTGAGCAGATTGTCTCGGAAGCCTTGACTACTTCCTTCCACGCACCCGGTGGCAAGTTGTTTGCCAGTCCCGACTACACATCCTACGTCCAACACCGAGGATCCATTCCGTTATACTGGACCCAGGACAACACGGGTGTCACACCAAAACCGCCCATCGAATTGAATCTTGTCGACCCCTTTTACAGCGCCGCAGCGTTGCATTTTGATAACCTTTTCGAGCGCTACGGCTCCCCCATATACGTGCTAAACCTGGTCAAGGCGAAAGAACGCACCCCGCGTGAGTCGAAGCTGCTGGAGGAATATCGAAAAGCCATCACCTATCTCAACCAGTTCCTGCCTGAGGAGCACAAGATCATCCAACGGCACTGGGACATGTCCCGCGCCGCCAAGGCCCGAGACCAGGACGTTATTCAGACTCTGGAGAACATTGCCGAGGAAGTCGTATTGACGACTGGCTTCTTTCAGAACGGCGATGGGATCATTAATCCCACTCGAGTGCAGAACGGTGTAGCCAGGACGAACTGCATCGATTGTCTAGACCGCACGAATGCCGCACAATTCGTAATCGGTAAACGCGCCCTAGGCCATCAGCTCCATGCTCTAGGTATACTAGGCGACACAGCTATAGAGTACGACACTGACGCCGTCAATTTGTTTACGCATATGTATCACGACCATGGAGACACAATCGCGGTGCAATATGGCGGGTCGCAGCTTGTCAATACGATGGAGACATATCGCAAGATAAACCAGTGGACAAGCCATTCACGGGATATGATCGAGAGCTTCAAGCGATACTACAACAACTCCTTTATGGATGGGCAGCGGCAGGAGGCCTACAATCTGTTTCTCGGCAACTACATCTTCGCACAGGGACAGCCGATGCTGTGGGACCTAGCCACGGATTACTACCTACACCATGCAAATCCGAGAACATGGTCAGTGACGAGTAAGAGGAGTTATATCCAATGGTTCACCGCCGAGAACTTGAAAGAGCGGTCGCTCCCTGACTATCACCCGCCAAAGGGTGCTGAAGCCAAGTTGCCGGTTTCGTATTTTGACGATTACTGGCTGGAGTATTACCGCCCTCTAACTCTATCATCTTTCCAAAAGATGTTCCCATACAAGATGAACTCAACCATCAAGTACATCCCATTCAAGTCCACGCAAGACGGGCGATACGACCTAAGTCCATTTCGCGTTCGCACGGACGCAGACGGGGATGCCCAAGACAAAAGGCGACACAAGAAGGGCGTCACCATTCTGGACCCGACCGAAATTGCGAAGGCTGATGGCGACGATGACACGGCCTCTATCATGTCAGGAAAGGCAGGTAGTGCCAACAAAGGAGGCATATCGCTACAGCGATGGCTCCAACCTGTGGCCCATGACAAAGTCATCAACAATGGCAGTCCTCAGAGTATTATGAAGGAACCTTCGACTCCCATCGTGAATGGCAATGTCGAACAGCCACCGGACCCGAACCAACCGAAGACGAAGCCCACCCCGCTGGAAAAATCCCGACAGGCGCAGTGGACCTTCACCAAAGTTGTGCATGAATCTCTCAACCCTTCCGTCAGCAACCAAGAAGCAGAGGACTACGATCGCTACATCAGCCATCCGCAAAACCTGCCCCTCGTCGTATCTGCCGACACGCCGGCTGAAGCTGTCGAAGGTGAGTATCAGGAGTACCTCAACGGGGCATGGCAGAGCGACGGCCTTCTCCTCGTGCCTCCGGGCTCCTCCTCTGGCGCCCCAGGCACGAGCAGCTCAGAGGACTACTACCACATGTACTCTGATCTCCTCAAAATTGGGGAAGACCCTCTCACCGTGAAGGAGGAAGACGCCCAGAAGAAGCGCTACAAGGCTTACGGCAAGTGGCTGCGCGGCAAGTCTCTGTTCAAGCAGCAACCCATCGACTAGGAGTGGGTTTCGGAGGATGAGGATGAGAATGAAGAGTTGGGTGCAGACGAGTGGCAATCGCTGGGGTTGTACTGAAGCCTTTGAAATCATCGGAATTAGCACTGGTTCAGAGTGTTTTCCTAGAGTCGGTAGCATGGTAATTTCTTCCCCTTCTGATTGTCTTGAATATGAGCCTGGCGCAGATTTGGAGCATGGGTGCACCAGAGAAATAGGACACGGATGGGCGGCGTCTCAGGTTCTGGCCGCATTATATCCTCTTTGAAATACACAATATAGCATAGCAGTACCGGACTTTGTGCATTGACTTTCCCAAATCCACTATTTAAGTCGCAGACCTGCACTGATCCGAGAAAATGCCTATCACTGGTAGCACGTCCGTGAATTTCAAAAGTCTCAGTGATATGTATGCAGAGTATTGCATTTCACCATGAGAAGTTGGTTGGGCCAGATTTGAATACATTCACAAAATATCTCAAGATCTGCCTACGGTCTTTATCAAAATAATTACATAGAATTGGTGTCCAATGCCCTTCACTTAAACAGCTCCGCAAGGAGCGGCTCTTTCGCAATCAGCATCGCCGCCTTGTCTCCCAGATCGTCCACAGCTTCACCTCCTGCGCCCCGCGTCGCGACCGTGAGCATGGACGCCGTCTTGACCAGGTCGGCATCGATGGCTGCGAAGCGCGTGCCCAATTGGTCCTGCTCGTCGTGCACCGTTAGGTAGCATACGACAAGCGCCTTGATGAGCTCGTCCTGGTAGGCAGGCGTCGAGAGACGCGGCCAGCAGTTTGCGATGAGGGCCTGCAGGCCCTCGATCGCGGCGGATAATGTGGAGGGAGCGAGGGCGGCGAAAGGATTTGTCATGACTTCGGTGTGCATGGGTATAAGATCCTAGAGACGGGTCAGCGTGTTGTCAATTTCTGCGTGCAGAGGACTAGTTTACTGACCTTGAGGTGCTTGACGGAGTGGATGCGCATCTCATCCACTATTTTGGCTGTCTGCATCAAAAGTACTTCGACGATACGGACATGGTCTTTGACATGGAAGTAGGCCGAGAACACACCATCGCGCAGCATCTTGTCAAGAAGTTTTGCCTTCGGAGAGCCACCGTATGGCTCTGACTTTCCAGCTCTGGTGTCCGTCTTGCTAGCCAGACTCAGCAAGGCTGTATAAGCCGCTTCAAGCAGAATGATGGATTCTTCCTCTGGCGTGATGCTCGGCAGGAAGTGTAGCGTAGGGAAGACTGCATCTTCGAAAACGCTAGTCAGCCCGGTATCACGGAGTATGTTCGCTGGAAACCTCGCCAAGAAAGCGTCCAATATGAGAAGACCATGCTTCCGAACCCTCGTTGTGCCATCATCTAAGAGCGCCAAAAGAACAGGAATGAAAAGAGGCCATTGTTTGCTGATGAAATCAGGCTGTCTGGGCTGTTAGCTGCCATAGAGGTACCGGGAGAGGTAGACAGGGTCTCAGGCTCATTGCTATACTCACACCTGTGGTCAGGACAACCCAGTGGAAGACCGTGATAGCGCGATGATCCGCATACTTCCACGGCTTCACTTCTTTGGTATCATCTGATAGACCGCGATGGGGATCATCTTCTTCGGGGAACTCTGACTTTCTCCCCGAAGCGGTGACGGCCTTGGGCCTTGACTTGGAGAATGCAGGACGAAGGTAGTCCTTCAGGATGGTTTCAAGCAGGACAGGTTGGTTGAAATGGTGCAGGAGCTGCTCTGACAAGAGACTTTGTGCAACACCGCATGCCTCCTGTGTTGTCCACGGGTCCGTTAAGGTGGGGTTAGTGAACGAGATAACAGTGAGCAGCGTGTCAAGGCTGAACTTGGCGGAGTGCTCTGCGTTCAAGATCTGCAGAATGCTGAGGCCATAGATAGCTATCTCGCGGCTGCGTTGGGCAACCTGCTCGTACTCCGGAACATCATCATCTGTATTCTTGTCAGCTAAAGTCTCGTGGGCATGCTCACGGAAAGCCACGGCACCTGAGACCTGACCTGCATCAGCATTTGGGCAGGGAGAGATAATGCGGCCAACGTAGTCACAAAGATTCTGGACCGAGGCGCTGTCATCTGGCTGCTGTGGTGTGCTAGGCTTGTGCTTCAGGCACGCAAGTACAGCCACAATGCCTGCTCGTGCATCCTGGAGAGCCTCGGATTAGCCGCAGTCCCTTGTGAATTACAGTGGTTGTCCATGCACCTGCCGTCTGTTTCAAGTCTGGTATCTCTTCTGTGATCCGTGCCAACGTGAGATGATCCGGCAGCACTACCGCCCATGAGACGAGACGTTAGTCGGGACGGCCACGGTCAGAGTGGACGGATTGATCGGTTGGATGGACGAACAGGCACTTAGGGAACGCCATTCGTCATCGGCGGTGAGAGGCGGGATCGCGCCCAGGTTGTCGATGGCGGCAATAGCATTGGCAAGAGCCGACATGCTTGAGGATATCAGCCCGCAAAACAGAGTGTTGTTTGGGGCTCGACTTGCGGGCAGCGAGTGCATCAAGCGGATGCTGGTCAATTCTTGGGTCGCGAGGGGGTTGCAGCTGGGCTGGGCACGCTAGGGCCCATCCCCCAAAGCCCCTGAAAAGCTGGCAAAACCGGAGCGCCAGGTGCCCAGTCACAGCACTTCGGCGAGCACTGCACAAGGATTTAGGCTCCCAGCTGCCAAGAGTCGTTGGATCTTCGGCAGACCTTTAGTGGCCTGCCACAACCACAGCAGAGGACTGGGTATCGTTAGGAGAAAAGGGGCATATTCAGATTCACACGCAAACATCTACATCAGGATGCACTGTAAAGACCAGCTTCAATAACAGCCACTTTTGTTTCTCAAATTGGAGGGTATCTTGAATTTTGATGACGAGCCTAGGGGTTATCCTTTTCGGCTCTCTGCTGCACCATGGAAAATTGCACTTTGCAACATATCTTCCGCCACCTCAGGCCACACACGGCCTGAGGCTATGTGGGAATACCAAGCTCCTCCCTGCGCTGTTGCACTTCCTCAATCGCCCCAGCTGGATCCGTCTCCTCAGGGTTTCTGAGTTGCCAGGCCATGCAAACGTCCAATGCAGGAGACATCCACCTGCCGGGCTTCTTGATGTCCAGAGCTTGCAAGAGCCTGCGGCCGTCAACGAGCGGCTTCATCGACGGTGCGTCCAAAAGGTCCAACGTCCGAAGGTGTTCAAGGAAGCCTTTCCAATCTCTCTGAACATCCCCCAGCACTGAGACGTTGAGAGGATCTTCCATCCCGGGAGACTCTGAGGCCTTGTCAGAGGTGTGTGAGGAGGCGCACTGTTCCGTTGATGCCGTCGTCTGCACCATCACATCGTAGAGGATAGCAAACAGGACCTGAAGCCGCCAATGTGACCCTTTGGCTTCCCAGCCCCTAATGGCCATTCCAAGGCGATCTCGTCCAATCTCGGAGGCATCGCTGCTGCAAACCTTGCTCTTCAGCTCGCAAATCTCCTCACGGTGGCGGACTGCGGCCGTGACTAGGTCTGACAGCTTGGTAGGCGCCTTGATACCCTCACGTGCCGCCACGGTCGCAAGGGGAGGTTGCTTTTTCGGATTAGCCGAAGCAGAGCTTGGAAGTTTGGCAAAGGGGGCCACGCAAGCCAGGACCCAAGCATAGTATCTTGCCTCGTCCGATGTTACCAACACATCGTATACAGAGTCAATGTCTGATGCCGAATCATGCAGAAATCCATAGGCAGCACTCCATCCCTTCAGGCTTGGCTGAGGCATGTTGAGGTTCACCGGATCTGTGAAGATGGTGTGATATAACCCGAGCTGGTCAACCAAGCGAACAGCATCACGAGGGTGATCTCCTAAAGGGATAGTGCAAAGTTAGCCGGGAGGCGCGCAAATCTAAGGGGCGGGAGCGTAGGCCATCCAGGATGGTAGTAGTTTGACTTGCCTTTCAACATCTTCTCAACTTCAATGCCTACCCTCTCGCGGCTGATCTTGGCGCGCAGAGCCCCAAGAACTAGGGTATTTCCCATGAACTCCTTGGTGGACGGGGCGATACTAAAACCAAGCCGACTCGCAAACCGGACGAGCCTGAGCACCCGAAGTGGGTCATCCATGAAAGTTTGAAACGGATCCATGGGTGTCCTGATGATACCGGCCTCCATGTCGGGCAGGCCGCCGACAAAGTCTTCGACCTCACCAGTGTGGATGTTATAGAACAGCGCATTTACGGTGGCATCCCGGCGCATTGCATCCTCCTCAGCCGTGCCAAATTCGACCTGCGGGTTGCGACTGTCCTCGGAGTATACCTCTGTGCGCAGGTTGACGAAGTCCACGTCAAGCCCAAAAAGCTTCACCGTAGCCGTCTCTAGCTGCTTGGACTTCTCCGGGTTTTTGGCAATCTTGTGTAGTCTACCAATGTCCTCTCGCTGGAGGCTATGCTTTGCCACGTTCTCGTGAGATTCGCAGAAACTTCGAAGCTCGTTGCCAAATACCTCGCCTGTCATGTTATTGATGGCGACGTCGATATCGTGGCTTGGCCTGCCCAGAAGCTTGTCGCGGACCCAGCCGCCCGCCCATCTTAACGTGACTTGTTCGCCAGGCGTCTTGGTCTCAGTCTTGTCAATGTGGGCTGCCACATCGAGAAGCAGGTATTTGAGCTGCTTCTCGAGAGGGTCCAGCTGCAGTGTTGTCATCATTCTGGCGCTGTCAGGGCTGAGCTTCCTCTTCATCTGGGGCCGCAGAGCAGACAGAAATCTCGGTCTCAGGCCAGGGCTTGAAATGCAGCGTCGAAACATAAGTCATCGATTCACAAGGCCCGTGAAAGTGAAGAAGACAAATGACTCATCCGGCCGGGGATTCGATGGGCCACTGCCCACAGCTCAACGGAGGATACGAGTTTTCCTCCTCTCTCCAGCCCTGAGTTTCTCAAGCAATCTCCCAACTATACTCATTCAGCGCACGAGTCGTTGAAGAGCACAAAGCAGGTAGAGTGGGACTGAGAGTGGGATTTGGGAGCGGTGGATAAGAGACCTGATGCTCATAGGGGTGCTTGTGTAGGAGGGCTCAACCGCAGTGCTACCTGGGCACCTGGGCACCTGGGCACGTTGAGGCTGTTGGCGGACGACCAACCAGAGCCGTCAGATTAGTGGGTCTAGCCCCGGCTGCACATGAGGCTCAAAACATCCCGGGAACCTTACTCCACATCCCACTTCACCTTCCCACAGCTTCATCGCCAGCCAAAGTCACAGTACGTAGCATCGCATCTCCGTCCCACTGGCATGGTGACTCGTGATGCACTCCAATCGGGCACTTCCATCCGGTTTCGATTCTGATGGTAGTCAGCTGTGTGGGCGGCAAAATTGACCATTAAGTTGTCCCTCCCGGGCCATTGTTGCTCGTCCGATGTTCCTATGGCACTGCGTTTCGGCACGTCTCACAAACAGGACCACTAAATTGACTTCTCTCTGCCTTGCGATTGGGCCATCGGAGTGGCCTGGAGTGAATCTGACAATGTGACACGGATGACAACGTGGGCTAGGGCAACTGGTCTCATCCTGCCTACGCCCCCGACATCCGACCCCTCGCCGTCCCATCTGTCAAGTGAGATGGGATAGCGGGAATTATGGCGCCTCCAAATTATCAAACCAGCCATTCATACATTCCGCCGTCCATTCATGCATCTGTGTGGATGAGGTTGGCCCTGCAGCGCACTACGGGCCGAACTACTCATGTCGAAGTAAAGACGACATCTGGCAGGTGACAGGGGCGCAAGAAACAAACAACAGGCCAGGGCGAGATAGGGCGTAAGCCGGATGAAGCCATCACCAACTCGCTCTGCAGTACGGGTTCCCACATGGCTGGGAGGTGCGGCTCCGGCGTTTATGATCAGCGCTGGGGTTTTCGCCAATGCTCCAACCGGTTCAAGCCCTTTACTCAAGCTTTATCCGGCAGTCTCGGCATTTCACAAACTAAGGGTGTTCTCAAGTCTTGGTTCTCGGTTATTCATTCTCTATAGACGTTGGCCAAGACCTCCAGCCCCATGAGGCCGTCTGCGAGAAACCCCGGATGGCCCTGAACTTGGGTTGTTTGAAACCTGCCAAGCGGAAAGGGGAACGCGGTACCGTCACCCGCCAAGAGGCTCAGATGTTTCTTGAACTAAAGTCTGAGCGCCAGTATTTCCTAATCGGTGCTAATACATAACGCCTCCCGGGGCTTCCTCATGCATTTGTGGGCGAGTTTTCTGCCGCACAGGCCAGCTGCCAAGTTTTTCAACCGATGCTTGATACCGCCCTGGACGACATCCTATAAGGAGGCGCCTCCCAGGCTGTCGGAGCCAAGACGGATCTCCAGTTTCCACTCAGCATTATTCCATGTTGCTCAGCTGCCGGCGACGATTGCGATAGGTTCCCTACTATGTAGCCAAGAGAATGGCGAAGCTTGTGTGATCGCCATGATCCTCAATTCGTTTGTGATCGACCCAGGTGATATTCATGACCCGTAACTAAGAGCAATCCCAGAAGCTTGCCATAGCGTGGCCCGCCTTCAGTGGAATGGCATAGACAGCGCGACTGTGCGATAGGTCCATCACCAGCCACCATGTCTCCATTGCGGCTCCTCTTGCCCTGAGGTCCACGTCAAAGAGGCTAAGCAAAACGCTAAGCTGTGATCCGCCATGGCCACGCCCGAGTGACAGGTGCTATCGGCCAGGGGTACCGGCGTGCTCTATGACGGCCAGGTGAATCGGCCCCTGAGCAGCATAGTGCGGCATCGCAACTACGGCCCTCGATGAGCTCTCGCCCTTTGCCTTGGCTGTTTGGTCCGATATTCCATGGAATCTTCGAAACTACTCGCGGTATGAGCCCGGCTGAGGGCGTCTGAATGTGAAGAAGCTTCACGGCCCAAGAGCCCAAGACACTACACTCAACGCCAACCGGCTTCGCCAAAGAATCTATATATTGGACGTCCCTTTCTCGCCTTTACGCCTTCCAATCTGCCTCATCATCATCAGCTCAAGCACAATCAGCCCAGTCATCTCCGGATCTCTCCAGTCTCTTCATCCCTAGTTTCTAATTCCTCCACATCCTGTTGATCAGGTAATTCTCTATTACATCATTCATAATGAAGTCCGCAATCATCTACGCCCTCATCCCCCTCGTGGCTGGCCACGGTGCCATCATCAAGGCTACCGCACCCGGCGGCGGCTCCGGCATGGCTCTCGGTGTTGACCCCAACACTCCTCGTGACTCCACCCGAAGAGACCCCGGCCAGCAGGATTCTACCCGCTTCAAGGGCGATGCCGCTGACACCGTCGGCGAGACCCTCGGGGGCGGCAGCAACGACATTGACGCCGGTACCAAGGCCATCATGGCCATGACCGGTGACATGCTGCCCCAAGTCGCAGCTGGCGGTGAGATTCAGATGACCGTCCACCAGGTCAACGGTGACGGTGCCGGCCCATACGCCTGCATGATCAACACCGACGCCACCGCTGCTCAGTGGACCGACATCCAGGTCACCACCAACGTTCCCGGTGAGGCTGGCCGCAACAGGGTAAGTTCGCTTTGTCCCGGATACTCGCATCCCTTTTATGCAGCAGAAGCTAACATGGACTCAAGGACGGTGCCACCACCGACTTCCCTCTCAACGCCGAGATCCCCGCTGGCACCTCATGCACTGGTACCGTCGCCGGCCAGCAGAACGTCTGCATGGTCCGATGCCAGAACCCCGCTCGTGCCGGTCCCTTCGGCGGTGTCGTTCCCGTCCAGATGGCTGGTGCCAACACCACCGCAAACACACCCGCTGCTGCACGCCGCAACCTGGCCATGGCCATGAAGCGCGACGTGATGATGCTCAAGAAGATGGTCAAGCGCGCCTCATCCATCGAGGACGACGCCGAGGAGCTCGACATCCCCGAGGCGGACCTCGCCCAGCTCCGCGAGGACGGCGAAGAGATCTGAAGGGTCGCAAGCGACTCTGCGGGCCTGGAGGGAAGGGACAGGCAGAAAAGTACATAAAAGGCTGGAGACTGGTGCTGATGCTGATAATGCTGCAATGCCCCTGATGATCATTATTTCCTGTAATTAGCAAAGATATCCGACCTCCGAGGACTTGATGTCCTAGTAATCTACATTCCTTTATCAAACCTCTCTGGTATCTCGTCTCCGTGACAGTGAATGTTCGCTCTTGATTAGACAGACACCACTGAATAAGTATTCGGCTGGTCTGCCATTGTACAATTAGGTTGTCATCGAGATAGACGCCATTGAAGAAGTATTTGGCTGGTCTGCTTATTGTTGTTATTTAGGTTCTAATCGAGATTAAGCCTCCGGCTTAGACTTGCGAGGTCGGCCGATCCGGATCCGGGGACATGACAGCGCCGTTAGCATGGCAAGTAGTGGCCCAAGCCACGGCCGCTCAGGCGGAACGGCCCATCACGGACGAAGCCCAAGTGACGCAAGCTGCTACCTGCCGAGCTCACAGATTCTCGGCTGGAGGCCTGGAGAACTAACTCGGTTGTGGATCACAAACCTGTGGAGCCTGATGTGCAAATATCCCTCAGCTCGTCATACTCTGAACCTGCGGCGTTTTCCCACTCAACTATGCGGGCTAACGTAGGCATAGGGTAGATGACCCACGTCGCACGGCAGCACCCGGGTGGTTTCTGTGGAGCGTCGCGGGCGGTCGTCGGCGGAGGGATGTCTGGAGTAGCAAGCGTCGATCCGGAGAGAGGTGTGATCTAGCCTCAGACAACCGAAACCCTGTCCAGCCGCCGAAGGGAACCAATCCGGGGCGGGCATGGTCTGCCGATCATGTTCCCTGTCCTCGCTCGCTAACTGCTCGTCACATCGCCAACGCCCGAATGTCCAATATGCCGTGGAGATGTGGTCAGGCGATCAAAGTCGAGATACTGTATCTAGTCCCCCTCCGCAGGCTCGCCTTAGTGTTGAGCGGGACCCAGACTATGTGCTGTGGTGCCTCGTCCCCGGGCAACAACGGTAACAGTACTGGTGGGGCCGTCCACGCCAAGCCCTAGCCCACGGGCTTGGTGTGTGTAAGCTTTCCTGAGCGGCGTCGAATGGGAGGAGCTCGTGTGCTCGGCCGAAGGAAGCTATCGCTCCTCTGCCCTCGCGCTCCTTGGCCGTCGCAGCGCCTCGACACCCCCCCCTTCCTGCTCGCGCGCTACTGCAGCCACAGGGAGGCGATGCTACGACGAGGCGGCCACCCTGAGGGCATCACTCACGTCACCGGCCAGGCCATGCGGGACATACTGGCGCTCGAGTGTGGTGCACATCTGGTAATGTCTTATATGAAGAGGCCTCTTCCCAGGCGCTGGTTGACGATCGGGGCGGCGGGCGGTGACGTAATGGCGAGGGGGGAGGGGGAAGGGGGGCGCAGCGGCGCTCTTTCAAACCACAGAGCTCACACTGCCTGACCTGACTGCGAGCCGTCTTGCCCCTGTCTTCTCTCATGACGGCCTGCCGGCCTGCTAGTTCCCTAATCCCCCTTTCATGACGATGATGTGTGTGTTGTGTGTGGCCAGTCGAAGGCCCCGGCCCGGCTGCCTAAGGCTAGGTAAGTCTGGTAGTCCATTAACCTCAGCAAGTCTGCACACAATTGGGCGAGGGCAGGGTTGTGCTCACCTGTCTCCTAGATCCCTCGAGCACCTGAGCGGGCCAAGGTTTTGTGGAGGCGAATCACAAGTTGGGACGGGCTACGATAAGTCGGCATGGACAGTGACGAGAAACAGCCTTGATACTTCCAAGAGTCGCTGATCGCCCGTCTTGGCCCCTCGTTCCGACCTAGCTAGTTCCTCGAGCTGCTGCATTGTACTGACTGTGTCGACTGGTCCCTTCCGTGACCGTCAACGCCCCTCCTCCAAAGCACACCAAGACGCGCGAGGTGCTACGCAATTGGGGCATCAGGGCAGGGCAGGTGCTTGGCCGTCCATTGTGTCTAGCTAGGTAGTCTCTCCTTGAAGCTTTCATACATGAAGCTTAGTTAGTACTCGTCGATCCTTGAAGCTGCCCGAGTACAAAGACAGTGGCCCATCCGCACACCTGACAAACGAGTTAGCAAACTAGTTTCCTTCTACTCTTCAATACCTACCTACCTACTTAGACCTTTCATCGAACTCAAGAGACTCTGAGAAACACCATCAACTTGACATTGCTGCTTCCAAACACCGCAGCAGCCACTCCCCACCTAGGAATCCAAACATCATGACAGGTTCGTCTCCCCCAAATCGTGGTACACTTCCCCGGATTTTACCCCACAGACGCAAGAGCTCCGCTCGCCCACGAACATATGGTGGAAACGCTAGTCTAATACCCCGCAAACCCGCGCTCTAGACCAGAACCAGACAGCGACCCAGGAGGCCCCCGGCCTCGCGGGCCTGCAGAGCCCCTTTGCCTCGTCGACGGCCGCGGGCGGAGACGCCGACGTGCTGTCATCATCGCCGACCGACAGGCGGCAGAGCGCCGAGTGGGACGCCTCCAAGGTGCCGCCCAGCCGCTTCCAGCGCCGCAAGGGCTCCATCTACAGCACGCCCGCCTCGCGCGACGGCCACGTCGACAAGAACTACGCCGAAAAGTACCATGACAAGCTCGTCGAGAAGGGCTGGGCGCCGTCGGCCAAGAAGTAAGACCGTCGCTGATGTGAGGCGCAGCAGCCCCATTTCGATAGCATCATCGTCTTGCGTGTATTCCTTGGGTGGTTAAGGGCGTTGTGACGTGGCAATAGTGATACGAACAGGAAGGGCGGAACGCACGGGACGGGCGGGACCGGTTGGGATTGAGATTTGGTTCCGGACGGTGGTTTGCATGTTCAGCCGGAACTTTTCATACAAACACACACACTTTTGCGGGGACTCATGAGACGTGCTCGCTTTTCGTGGAAAGCAGTTTCCGTATTGAAATCAATTCGAATCGTCAACAAGAATTTGCTCGCGTGCGTCTGTGCTGTGCAAGGCCGCCTCGTTGGGATTCTGAGTAACCCGAATATAAATTTCACCGCTCTCCAAAAGAGCAAGCGCCGTCCTTTCTATATGCCCCAGATCATTCATCCATGTCATCAATATCAATCGCGTCCGGGTTCGCAGCAACACCTTGCGGTTCCGGTGCACCCCGTGGGTTGTCTGTGGCAGCCACAAATCCAACAGGCGCCTGAGCCTGCTTTTCCAGCGCCGCCATCGCGTCCAGAACCTCCTGGTCTGCCTCGCCATCGCCTTGAGCTTGTGCTTGAGCCTGGCGGGCGATGGCTTGAGAGGCGATGAAGTTGACGTCGGTGTTGTACTGCGCCTGGACACTGCGCTTGATCCTCCGCATCTCCTTGTACGTGTCATCGTTGCCGTGCTGTACCTCGAACTGCTCCCACTTGGTCCAAAACTCGGGGTTGGTGCGGGGGTCGCAGAACTGAGACGCGTGCCCATAAATTGCGCGAGCTCTGTCGATTTCGCCAAGGCGCTTCTCCATGTCTGCAAACTTCAAACACATGTCGCGTGCCTCATTGTCCGGCAGGGCCGCAATGGCCCGTTCGTATATGGGTCGCGTTGATGGTAATCCAAAGTTGGACGCAGACTTGGTGATGTAAAAGTTGAACATGTCTGCGCGGTCCTCGTCGGCGACAGCTCTTGTCGCTCTTTCGTAGATGCGCATTGCATGCCGTGCCAGGCCCCTTTCCTCTTCCAGATTTCCATACATCAGGTAGAGCACCTTGGCGAATTTGGGTGGACAGTCCTCGATGGCCTGTTCGAAAAGATCTCGCAGTCGCTCTATGCCAATTTGACGATCCACGGCCTTGGTGAGATACAAGTTCCAGAGCTCAAATGCCACCGGATAGCTGAAGAGGTCCAGACCGCGCTCGAAGATCTTGAATGACTCCTCGTAGTAATTGTTTTCTTCCAGAAGATTGGCGTAATTGACGACCGTTTGCGGTGTTGCGATCCGAAGCTCAAATATCCTCTCATAAACCTTTTTCGTTTCTTCCAGGGAACTGACGCTCTCCACCAGATCAACGTAGAAACTCCACAGCTTCCAACTCTTGTGCACTCTCTGCTGCGGTGACAGCGTCTCGTCAAAATAGTCAACGGTCGATCGTTTCGGCGCCTGTACCGCTTTGGCCATGATCTTGACGGCTTCATCGAAGTTCTCATTGCGAAGCTCCATCTCGGCCCATTCAATCCACATATCGGCCAGCTCGGCCACTGATTTGAACGGTACCTTGACAGCCTTTTCCATGATAATGCGGGCGTTCCTTAAGTCGCCTCCTTTTTCATAGAACTTGGCATAGTTTGCCCATAATTGATGGAAGGCGCCGACAGCTTTCTTTGGTTGGATCGCTGCAATCGCGTCCGTATAGGTCTGGACAATCTGCTCCTTATTGTCTCCCCATAGCGCCACGCGCTTCTCCCACTCGTTGACGTTGTTTGGGTTCTGTCGCAGTAAAACATCGTTGAGTAGAAAAGGTCGCCGGTCCATCAGGTGCTCGAACCGCATCATGCGGATATCCAGGTCGAAATCTGCGTTCTCATCAACAACCCCTTTCTCTGCTCGGTTTTGTGCCACCTCCATAAGAGCGCCTATTATGGACTCCTCAAATTCCGCATACGAGTCAAAGACAAGGGTAAAATCACGGACTGTCATGACCGTCGTGACGCCCTCCTCAAAGACGTCTCTTGCGCGCTCAAAGCTCCCCTTCCTTATCCAGTACGTGGCCAATCCAACCCACAACTTTCCTCTCTGGTCCGAGAACCGCTCGATGCCACTTCGAATGATCCGTTCGACGTCGATGCCCGTCTCATGGCCTGTCTTGACCTTGGTCGCGTGCTCGACAATCAAGTCAACCATCTCACTCCACAGCTCGTAGTTGCCTTTACCATGTTTGCTCTGGAAACGCGGATTGTTAAGTATCAGGATGTACTTTTCGACTGCCTCCGTGTACAAGCCCTCCTGTACGAGAAGCTCGATAAAGTCTTCGGCGTCCTCCGGATGGACCTGCATGTACCGCCTCCAAATCTTGACTGCTGTGATACCACCAGCTGAGTTCGCGAACGGCCGATAGAGCGCCCATATCCTGTTGTGCTGAGTGATCGGTAGTGCGCGGAGGGCGCGATCGAAGGCGTGTCGCGTGAGGGTGACGAGAGGCTGCTGCATCAAGAACTTGAGGTACATTTCCCATATCCTCGGCATCTTGTTCAGCAGGATCAATGCTCTCTCGAACAACGCGTTCACCTTGCGGTATTCGGCGGCGAAGACAGCGGCGTTGAGCTTCGCGACATGCTTGACTCGGAAGTTGAGGTAGGATTTCCACAGTTTGTACGAGCGTGGAAGTTGGATGCACGCCCGCTCAAGGACAAACGCCTGTTCTTGGACAGTACCGTGCTGGAACTTGAACTCAAGGTATGAGAGCCATGGTTTCGTGCTTCCAGGATTGCGCTGGATGTCCTGTTCGTATACGAAATCGTCGTCAGAGACAAGTGTGATGTCAGGCTGGCGTGCGACGCCATTCCTGACGAGCGCGGTCGACGGCATGGCAGGCATCGTGATCTCGGCTGCGGCAGCAGCCAAGAGGCGCGAGAACAATACGGCGGATGAGACTGAATCCTGTATCAGGACATCGCTGCCGCGTCTCAGCCGAGATGAGGAGAGGAATGCGGTTGTCGTGGGGTTGAGGACGACGTCGAAAGCGCAGGTCCCAATGTTGCTTTTTCTTTTCAGTCGCGCCGCTGCTAGGTTGGTTCATGCGCTGAGAAACGGGCGCTACCGAGCCGACGACCGCCCACTGTTGGACAGGCCCGTGCTCCACCTGGGAGCTAGCTACCCAGGCACTGCTCCTCCAGCCGACCTCAACTGACGACATCCCGAAATAGACCAGACCCCAGCTCCATCCGTCGGCGACAACAGCTTGCGAGGGCTCGCCGAATCTATATCGCTGCACTGCGACTTCCCTCACCTCTGCAATCGCTGTCACTACCGTGTCAAACAGCTTCAGCATCGAATTTCTCATCCTCTGTCTGTCCTGACAAGCATCCGTCAATATGTCTGGAGCAGGAGTAAGGTCCCTCGAACCAGGCGGTATGCGGTACAATGAAGACGGAATTGCTCACACGCTGCGATAGGAAAGGGAAGCGGTCTTCCCGACTCGCCAGTCCCTTGGCTTAATGAAGGCCAAGCTCAAGGGGGCTGAGCAAGGCCACAGCTTGCTCAAGCGGAAGAGTGAAGCTCTCACCAAGTGCGTCGACGACCACGGGCCTACTCCTTGGAACCTCACACTAACATTCTATGTCACAGGCGATTCCGAGGTACTGATGCGACCCATATCATCCAACAAGTCCCCTTAAACCCACGACTGTCTAACACTGAATAGAGATCACGAGGCGAATCGATGAGGCCAAGAGGAAGATGGGTCGAGTGATGCAGATCGCTTCCTTCTCTTTGGCCGAGGTCACATACGCTGTTGGCGGAGATATCGGCTATCAGGTCCAAGAGTCTGTCAAGTCGGCACGTTTCAGGGTGCGGGCGAAGCAAGAGAACGTCTCTGGTGTGCTGCTACCGGCGTTCGAGAGCTATACTGAGGACGGCATCAACGACTTTGCCATGACCGGCCTCGGCAAAGGTGGTCAGCAAGTGCAGAGGTGTAGAGAGACATATGCCAGAGCCGTGGAGGCGCTGGTGGAGCTTGCCAGCCTTCAGACCGCCTTTGTGATCCTCGACGAGGTCATCAAGGTCGTCAACCGGAGAGGTCAGTCTTTCATCACCCATGTATGGTTATCAAACTGACTCGGTTACAGTCAATGCCATCGAGCATGTCATCATTCCTCGAACAGAGAACACCATCAAATGTAGGTCTAATACTGTACGACGTGCGGAATGATAACTGATCATTACGGCAGACATCAACTCCGAGCTCGACGAATTGGACAGGGAGGAGTTCTACCGGTTGAAGAAGGTTGCAAACAAAAAGCAGCGAGACAATGCTGCTTTGGACGCCGAGATGGCTGCCAAGAGAGCAGCTCAGGAAGGGAATGAAAAGGCTGACAGGAACGAGAACACTGGCCCATCTGATGTGCTTGGGGCCGATGAGGATGAGGACGTTATTTTCTAAATCAAAGCGGACAACCATGCATGAAGGGATGAGATAAGAGCGACGCAAGTTGCGTCTGTCAAATTAGTATCACGATATTTTACACCAGCACGCCCATCTCGCCGCCTGCCTCACTTCTTTTTGCTGTGCGACGACCTTTGAGGAGTCTACTGCCTCTGGTACGTGACCTTGATGTTCTTTCCACCAAGCTGAGTGCCAGCCAAATTCTCCCTTGCAGCAATAGCGCCCGCTTCGTTCTCGTACTCCACGAATGCAATTCCCCGACGCCCAGGCACCATACGGACTTCGCGGAAGCCTTCGAAGCGGCCAAAAAGGTTTGTGAGAGTGACTGCATCGCTGTCGTCCGGCAGGTTTTGAACGAAGAGAATCTTGTTGGGCGGCAGGTATTCGTCGGGGACGACGGCGGCCGCTGCGGGACCGGTCGGCTTGAGGCCAGCACCTCTTGCTGCCTTCGATGGGCGGCCAGACTGCTCTCCGCCTGGGGCAGGGCGCTTGAGACGTTGCTGCTCGGCTTCGAGGGCTTTCTTCTTGTCTGTAGCATGTGTACGAGTTAGTCTAGCCGCCGAGGCGTGACAATTGATGATCAAGGTCCAGTGTATCCTCGACGCACCTTTCTCTGCTGCTCGCCGCCTCTTGTGCAGCTCGAAATCCTCCTCAGTCCCAAACTTCTGCACTGTTGCATCGCTCCTTGACCTGGCAAGCGCCACCTGCATGGGCTTCTCGAACAGGTCGAAGCCGTCGACCTCCTCTGCAGCTTGCTTGGCCGACTCGGGATTGTCAAAGACAACGAAGGCCTGGCCTTTGGCCTTCAGATTAGTCTTGGCGACGATGTCGATGACATTTCCAAACTCGGAGAAGAGCTCGCGCAGGGCATCCTTGAGGGGCTCGATTTTGACGCGTTCCTCGAGGTTTCGCACGTAGACGCTGGTGGGAGAACAACATGTTAGCTATACCAATTACCTACGCAGTGTCGGGGTGCAATGACACGAACGTGGTTATCGGTGGTCCTGCTGACGCCATGACGACTTCAATAGACCGCTGGGTTTTGTAAGGGAAGCAGATGTTGATAATGATCTGTTTGAGACGTGATGTACAGATAAAGCTGCTCGACCCGATGAGTGGAAGTTCTGCCTTGGTTGCCCACAGCTCGGCAGCTGGCCTGGGTGAGCACTGTATGCGCCCGTGCCCGTACCGTGTTTGTGCACGGTCCCCAGACTTTCCTCCCAAATGCGGCAAATGTGGACTGGACTATCCTCCATTCACTATTCTAGAAACATGCTTCCTAATATTCAAGGGACTTCGACAACAGGTAATCCTTACAGAATGTTGTATTTTTTACTTCGGTATTCTATGCTGTTCTCTCTAATCCAATATACACAACATACAGTCCGTTGAAATTGAGGACTTGACTCCCATTATGACGTTAATGATCGCACAATGTCCATCATCACATCTTTGTTGAATGCAAAATTCAAATCATCATCCCGTGGATTGAGCCCAAAAGCCTCAGGGCCATTATCGAAGATCTGCATGGGAAGCGTTAGCATCGTGAAGCTGGTCTTTCTCTCACTCGGGCCAAGTCTTGGGCTCGAGAATTGATACGTCTCAGAGACTTACACCACAACGTCGCATATCCCTTCTGAATGCGCCCTTGAGCCCGGTAGCTCGGTGTAAAGTGCACGTGTTATCCCAAACAACTAAGTCGCCTACGTTCAGCCATTCGACGCTGAGCGTGTACTTCTCCTGGGTAACGTGCTTCCTCAGGCAAGCCAACTTTTGCGCTGACTCGTCCTCGGACAGTCCTTCGATGCTGCGGATATGAGATGGGATATACAGGTTCATGCGTCCACTGGGCCGATGAAGCTGGACTAGTTTGTGCCTTGAGAAAGGGTATCGATCCGGATCGAGCTTTGCCAGGGCCTCGGGCGATGCGGTCTTACGACTGTGCCAGAACGAGTGCTTGGTAACATAGTCTTTGCTTATCAACTCGTCTCTCCACGACTCATCGAGATCGGAGAAGGCTGTCCTTGTATCGGCAAATTCTAACATCCTTCGTCAGAAGACTGCGCTCTTCTCCCAGGGCGATTCACTCATGAGGCATCAGCCCCTGGTGAATATTTCCTGCTCTTCAGGGAAAATGCCCGCCCGTCGGACAGGCGCGAGGCGGCTCAAGCACTTACCTGTGTTACCGCCAGCTTCCAAGGGTGGTATCTCGAAGGCTCGAAGGAGAGAGAATCTTGTTCGTCTCACGTTGTAGCTGCCATCAACGTGGAAAAGTTCATTTCCCTTGTTGGACAGAGCCTTCAAGCCGTTGGGATCGAGCAACGTTCCATCAACCTCAAGGTTACTCTGGTCAGTCAGCTCAATTGACTTCAGCCGGGACTGCTCAGCCGGCGTCCCTTTTAAACGCTCAACTTCCCCAAACCTGCGCGCCAGCTCAACTTGGCTGTCATCATCAAGGCATGTGGCTCGGAAGACACATACGCCGTACTATCAGAAGTTTCTTAGTTTACACCTAACTTCATGACCCCCGTGTTCTTTGCTCAGGGGATGACCAACCTGAGCGATAGTGTCCTTGATCTCCGTCAACTGTTCATCGCTAATGGGTTTTGAAAAATCGATCCCATCGATCTCTGCACCGAAGCTCGGGTGCAGCCTGTTAATCTGAAGGGTCGATGCCATTATTTTGGAGAATTGTAGGTGTGGCTTGGCTGCATTCGAGGACACAGAGGGAGGCACAGACGTCGGTAAGTATACGGTGACATTGCGACTGACTCAAACACTTCGTAGACTAAATAGATTGGGTAGAGCACTATCTCGGCCTTCCCAAAAGGGATCCATCCCCTAGGCCTAGACAAAGTTTCCAGAACTCGTCCCTAGTCATGTATCTTATCCCTAGGCCGCCAATCCACGGCAGAGGTCCACAGCGCCTTGCCGTTCCTTGCCGTAGATCCAGCTTACATTGATCATGAACTCGAAGCAGCAGTATAATTTGCATCTAGGCGCATCTTGTCAATGTCCTTCCCCTGAGTTAGATGACTTCATTAGGAGCCCAGAGCTTCAAGAAGCCACACAGCCTAGAATGGCCTTGGTATAGAAGAGGAAAATGAAAACGATTTGGGGGGGTGGGGGGGGGGATAGAATATTCAACCTTCAGCATTTAGCTCAAAGACGTGTGTTGCTGCAAAATGCTGTTATTGGTATTGACTGGAGACCTTCTCGGCATTCATAGTGCGTGGATATTGGTGAGTTTCAGGTAGATGAGCCATAAATCTATACATGATGTACTTATGATACCACAGTTTGACCAACACCCTTCCTTCGTATCTCAGCCAAATTGCATTTATGGTATAGCTTAGCCATTGTCATCATAACATGCGAAACTTGTGTTCGAACGCCTTGTTCATAGCTTCATATTGTATTTGACCATGCAACTAATCTCATCCTGGGGGAACTTGACATGCTCAACAACGTTTCTCTCAATGCACTCAATCTCGCATCCATTTGTGCCCTGTTCTCGTCCACCCTGCCCTCCTTTCGGCTCACATCAATACGTACACAAAGTCACACAACGACCACCAGCCTGTTCCTGAGAGGGATCTAATAAATCGGCCAAGGAACTTTATAATTGAATGATGGCCAAGTACAGTTCCTTTCGCCCCTAATGACGCTAACAAGCCAAGTTTTACAAGTCTTTCAAGCCCCCAAGCCGCCCGTCTCGCCGGCTTTGCCGAAAAACTACATCGTCATGCTATTGCTGCAATCATACAAATAAGACCGTCCCTTTCTAAAGTACATTTCGAATTACTTTCTCATATCGAAGCGCTTGTGACCGATTATTCTATCGGTACTGCGTCCCCAGCATTTGTTGATGGTAAGAGAGCTGATATAACCATTCTAAACATTATTAGGCTGGCATGAAGACTGTATACTGTTGCTAATGAATTTGCTCTATAGCGAAATAATAAAGTCAATTCCTTGTAATACTTCCGGTTTACTGTTCGACTTCGCAATCCACTGCATCACAATTTCAAAATAAACGTCAATAGCTACCCGGGAACTCTCTAAATGATGCAAATGAAAATTACACAGCCGAGATGTGCGATTTTTCCGTCTACCCACTAACACCGAATTCTGACGACTCTACAGAACAGACAGCTTCAGTGCTGCAAACATCCTCGTCGATGATGTGTCTGCTGTATCTCTATCATGACAAGTTGTACACAAGGCGGCCTCTATAAACAACACAAGCGCCATAATATTACATTTTCGTAAGGTTTTCAGAAAAGTACTAAATTTACGTGGCAGCGGAGACGCCGCGGACTAGGTCGCTCGCGTGCTTATCTGGCCTCGAACCTACGAGTCAGAAGCACAAGCATCCCCGAGCGATAAAGCATGGACAAGGCTACAGGCGGCGACAGACTCCCTGAAGTAAAGAGTCTGGGACGATGCTTCGATTCAATCTCACGATTGATCTTCGTACAACCAGTGCCTTTCGGCGTACCATCAGCGTCAAACAATCAAGACGATGGTGTCCTTTTTGTCATGGCTGTTCAGTGGCAAGGGATCACATCGGCAGCGTCCGGAGAGGGTTCATACTGACACAGTGGTCAAGTTAGCGACCCTCGAGAATTCTCTGATGATGCGAAGCATGTGCATGAACTGGACTTTCCGTTTCGAAGAAAAGTTGGACGTGGATATGCTACGGAGTTCTCTCGAAGATCTGATCAGCAAGGCCACAAATTGGAAGAAACTCGGGGGGCGTTTCCGTGTTAACGTAAGTACCCTGCCAGATCGTCTTCGAGAGCCAACCGTGAAGTTGTCGAAGCAGACTTACAGGCGCCAGTGACTGACATCGGGCACCAGGACGAAGGACAACTTGAGCTTCATATCCCAGAAAGCTTTGATCCGAAGCGGCCAGCAGTCCAGTTCACTCATGAGGTTCAGGCAAAGAGCGTGCACGAGCACGTTCTGGATGGAACGCTGCCCTATTCCTGGGATAGACCTTGCGTCCAAGATACACCAGAAGAACTCGACGCACTGTTAGCTGGTCCTGAGGCGCCAAAGTGCCTGGACGACTGGTTATACTCGGACAAGCCTGCGCTTGCAGTGCACGTCATTACCTTCATTGACGCCACATTCATCACACTTAATTACTCACACAGTCTGGTTGATGGCGTGGGTAAACGTGAGATCATGACGAATTGGTGCAAGGTGCTCGCTGGGCGGATGGCGGATGTGACTCCCTTGGCCGATTGGGATGAGGACCCAATGAGTGTTATATGTTGCTCTCCAAATGCACACGAGGAGCGTTATATCCACGCGGAAGACCGGCTCGCTGGCTGGCGCAAATGGTCTTGGGTTTTTCGGTTCATCGCAGATCGGTTCAAGAACCGGAATAACTATAGGCAGCGCAACATCTTTATTCCCGCCTCGACAATGGCCCGACTAAGGCAAGAAGCTGATGAGCATGCTGCGGACAAGACATACCTGAGCGATAATCAGCTCCTGACAGCCTGGCTACTCAGATTGGCCTGCTCGCCCCTCAAAGGCTCACGTCGTCCAATCGGCATTACATCAGCCGTCGACCTGCGAGGCTTCCAGCTCCACGGTCTGCGCTCCGGTACTGTCTACCTGCAGAACTTGCTCGCATATACCTGGATCAACACTACAGCAACATCGCTATTATGCTCGCCCCTGGGCACCGCGGCCGCTCTCTTGCGGACAAGCTTGAAGCCGCAGCTCACATTACCCCAGGTACAGGCAGCTGCACATCTGACTCATGATGCGATCGGAAGGACGGGGACGCCATATTTCTTCACGGGGAAAGACAGCTTCCTTGTCTCGGTGAGCAGCCTGGCCAAGGCGAAGTATTGGGAGGCAGTGGACTTTTCGCCGGCGATTCTGAAGGCCGAGCCTGGGAACGAGCACGCGGGCAAGCCGTCCTGGCAGAGTAGCACACCGCGCTCAGGTATGAAGCCAAGTTGTTTGGTCGTGATCCAAGGGAGTGATTTGAAGGGCAATTGGTTCGCGCAGATGGTGCTATCGCAACGTACTTGGGATATCGTGGAGCACCAATTGTCCAATTTCTAGAAATAGGACCATCATAGCTTGACGACAATCAGTGATCGCCCGGCCTTGCAGCCGTGACTGTCGTAGCCCAACACGATTGCACACATCTGGAACATCAGCCAGCTCCACCTCCTGAGGCCATTTCTGTCCCATGGGAGCAAGCCGAGAACAGGACACCGCCGAGTGAATAGCCCGGATAGCAGAGTCCAGACTTGTCCCTGGCAGGTGGATCTCAATTTAACTCTAAATAGCAAAGATAAGGGAACCGCGATGATGGCCCGACACGACTCGTGCCATTCTACCAGCTCCATCTGAGATATCAACTAGCCTTAAAAGCCTATGTTACAGGATGATTGTGAACGTGATGAACAGAATGTGCCTCGTGTGCAGGAACCCAGATTCGAACAATGTCAGCGTTAATCTCAGCGGTGGTGGCGCCAGGAGAGGCGGAATCAGTTCCACTCCATCTATCCATCGTGGGAGACCACACACCTGAGCGGACCGCATCAAGCATATCTAGCCGGCCAGAGCAGAAGCCTCTCGTCCGTATCACAAACATCCCGGCACCGCACGTCGGGCACATCCGCGTCCTGGAGCTCAACCGGCCATCCGCTCGCAACGCAATATCCACGGCGCTGCTCTCAGCCCTCGCCGCAGAGGTGGCGGCCGTCCGGACCGCGTGCGAGGGCGTCGCAACAGGCGCTTCGACGAGCTCTGGCCCCACACGGGCGTTGATAATAACATCTGCCGACGACAGGTCCTTCTGCGCGGGCGCTGACCTCAAGGAGCGGGGGACCTTCACGGCAGAGGACACCCGCGCCTTCCTGAACTCATTGAGGCAGACATTCAAGGCACTTGAGGACCTCCCCATCCCCACCATAGCTGCTGTGGCCGGGCCAGCACTCGGCGGTGGGCTGGAGCTGGCGCTTGCGGCGCAATTTCGCGTCGTTTCCTCGACTGCCAGCTTTGCCCTTCCTGAAACGCGGTTAGGGATCGTCCCTGGCGCCGGCGGAACATATAGATTGGCCGCGCTTATCGGGAAGTCAAGGGCGAGTAAACTGGTGCTAACGGGCCGGAAGATTAGTGGGAGGGAAGCATTCGACCTGGGCGTCGCAGATGAACTGGTAGATGTCTGCAACGACGGTGAGGCGAGTGCGAGGGCGATGGTCCTTGGAGCTTCCATAGATTTGGCGCGAGAAATCTGTGAAAGCGGGCCTCTAGCAACGACGAGCGCGTTGCAAGTCATGCGTGACCCCAGCGAAGAAGCCGAGGGCACGGCGTATGAAAAGCTGTTGAAATCAAGAGACCGGGACGAGGCTTTGCAAGCCTTCGCAGAAAGGAGGGCGCCGGTATTCACAGGGAAATGAAGGTTCGCGCGGGGCCATTATCGGCGGTCTGTATTGCCATTCCCATGGTCTATAGTTATGTACGCACCTGTCACCTGTCTAGATGGTCTCATCGCTGTCTCGTGTCTTCATGCCTCCTTGTCTACCCGCTCGGCTTCCACGTCCGCTTTTTCATCTTCCGCCTTTCCAACTGCCGCAGGAGGATCAACTGAATTTTGATTGTGTGGTTGGTCATGCTCCTCCAGAGCGAGTTCTTTCTTCAAATCCGGTAGGAATCGGTCTATTCTCTTCCAGGACTCAGACCATAGTTTCTCTTTCGATGGGTCTTGGCTTGGCGACACAAGATACCCGTTGCTCGACATGAATAAGAGAACGTTCTTCAGGTTCTCGGGAACAGCTTCCTCCTGCAAGAATGAGATGTGAGTACGCAAGCGTTGATACGATAGTTGCACAATGTGTTGCTTACAAGACTGTCTCCTTGGCCGCTGTTCATGAGACGGTCCATGATGTCGATGATCTTGAGCCAAAGATCCAGCATCCCGTCCCACTCGGAAAGGAGGACTAGGTACTGCAGGAAGACCTTGCACAGCAAAGAAGCTGCTTGCACTCTGGTTTCGCTCATACCGTCGCGGTCCGATGAGAAGACCTCGGGCTTAAGCAGCCGCAAGATCAACGGAAACAAGACCTCACCGAAGATCGCGGTCCACTCTCGGTGGTCACTCGACGTCAGCTCCGGCGAGAACAACGCCCTCTGAAGAGAATTGAACGCCAGTTGGCGGATCTCTCGACGCGGATTGGTGCACTGTGTAGTCAGCGCCTCAAAGATAGGCAGCCAATAAGCGGACCATGCTGAAAATCCGTCAGTCATTATAGCTTTGCTAAATAATCCATAGCACTCACCCTCGTTGTTCTCCAGGTGGGACTGCTTCATGAGCTGCGGAATACGAGACGTCATGCTGTAGATGATATTGACAGCTTTGATGCCGCGCTGCACGGCCGGATTCTCACTAACAAGTATTAGCATCTACAGATACACTTCGGTCAATAACACATACCTCGGAGCCTCGGGTTTCGCAGAGGAAGGACGAGCTGGTTTCCGTGAAGGTCTCCGGGGGTCCACCTTGGGTTCTTTGGGCACGGTGGCACTCGCAGCGGATGCAAAATCGTTGAGCAGACCGATAGCGGCTTCGTAGTTGTCCGCCATGATGGCTGTTGATGAAGGACTGACTCCGGTCTCCAGTATCTCGAATACCGTAGGTGCGGACGTCTTCTCGGCTGCCAAATTGCGCAGGATGGCCCAGAAGTCAGGTGAGGTCATGGTCTCGTTTCGTAGTGGGCCCTGCTCATCAACACAGAGCTTAAGGCCTTGAAGAACCAATTTGGAAGTCTTCTTAAGGTTGTCTGGGGAGAAGCTCGATACAGTGTGGAGTAGTACTGGGGCGCGGATGAAGTCGTACTCCTGAACGTCGGGTTGAGCCTCTTCCTCTCTACTTCGATCATACTTCGAGGAACTTACATAACTGGCCTGAAGTAGTCTGAAGGAGTAGAAAGTCGTCCTTGAGACGGTTATGGGGTGGTAACTGCTGATATCACGTAATATGGCCTGTAGAGCGTCGACCACGCGCTTGCCGAGTAGTTGGACTGTGTGGTCATCCCGCAGAGCGAGTATCGTGCTCAATTCCAGGATATAGACGAGCGAAGGATCGTACAGCACGTTGTTCCGGGGTTTCTGGGCCAAAGCAGGAGAGTTCGGAGGGACGTTGTCGGCTTTTACGGTGATGACCACTCCAGACCCACTGTCTTCCGGGATTTGGTCCAGTAGTGCATCGACCAAGGCCTCGAGACTGTCATCTGGGAGATTTCTGGTCTTGTTAGCCGGCGGAGGGCAACGTAAGGGGATTCGGGGCTTACGAGAGATGTGCAAAGATGTCCTCCATCTGACACTGATTAATGCATTCAACGGTGCTGAGTGTGCTGTCCAGTTCCTCTTCAGACGGTTCAGGCGGATCATCAGCTGCGTAGCTTTGGAGGAAATTTGAGAAAGCTTGCAGCAGACCCGTGTCATTCTGCTTGGCGGCACGATCTATTACTTGTGATGGACTTCGCAATGGGATCGGCGACACCGCTAGGCGACTACGATCACTAGGGAAGCCGACAAGTGAGTTTGCGAAGAGATTCAGCCAGATCCGGATGATCTAAAAAAACGTGTTAGCGATCAAATGCTCGGTCGTCTTCTTGTCAATCACTCACATCTTTCCAGCCTTTCCGGATGATATGCTCCTTAGACGTGACAACGCGGAAGAGGACAAGCAATGCGAGCTGAGTCCTGAAGTCGCGTCCTATTTTGACAGCGAGTTCGCTAACCATAACCTTTTTCTCATCGACCTGGACTTCTGTGTTCAAGCTTGTATTTGAGGTTGTTTCCTGTGTCAGGGTCGTCATAAGACTCAACGAGTAAATAATCTGATCCAAGGCCTCTGTGATGTTGTACTTGGAAGCGATGCGGGCGCATTCATCAAAGCCTGAGACAACCCTTGCGAAGACTGTGTCGTCGGTAGCAGACATGAAGACGTAAGACAGAGTTGAAACGATTGGCTTCCACGTTGCAGCAAACATGTCCGCATCGTAAATGTTAGTATCACAGATTACAAGAGGACCTGCGGCCTCTGTCTTCAGAAGCAGCTCCCTCCATGCGTAGTCGAACGCATGCTTGTTATCGTGTTCATCGGGCAAAACGATCTCGTTCGTTTTGATGGCGTCGAATATCGCTTGCAAGTATTCAATGGCGAAGTTCTTCCCTCCATTCACACCACGTAGGTTTCGAGCAAAGTCCTCAACCGTCATGCGATTCGCAGATTTGAGATTAGGATTGTGTTGATCGGTGTTGAGCATGATGATGGCATAAGTGAGAACATAGACAGCGTCCTTATCTGCTACGTCTTCAGGTATCGAATTGGCACAGTACTTCTCTGCGAAAGAGGTCACTATCCTCTCAATCAGTGGAGCTTCGCCTGGTAACCGGAACGATTCGAGCATGGACCTCAAGGCTTCGTCGACACGCTTATTTTCGAAGTCGAAAGAGTTGATGAAGGCATCGAGGATTGCCTCATTCCCTCTCTTAGAAAGATACTCTCCCAGAACCTTCTTCGCCACGAGAGTCGTCGATCTCAAAAACCGTGCAACGGCCTCCGGATCAGTCGCAGACTCGATGATGCCCTTGTCTGCCAGAAACGCTAGACCTCCCCGAGGGCTTTCGTTGAATTTGCTTGTGCCTTTGATGATGAGTTTCTTTTTCCGCCGTGATTCTCTGAGATCCGCTGCGTCCATGAAGCCGGCCGTTCTCGGTGGTTGATCAAGTCTCTCCGCAATGAAGGAAATGAATCTCAGTAGTGCATCCAGGCACAATGGCGGGACACTGGTAGTGCTCCAGGTGGCAGAATCTGGTAGGGCGTTGCGTGACAGCATTCCAATCATGTCTTCGCACAAGTCTGCCGAGTTTGGATCGCAGTCGTAATTGACGAATAACTCTACCATGAAGGTAGGTACCCTGGCAAGCACGCAGATGTTTTCCACCATGGCTTGCCTTGCATCTGGCTTTCGTGCACCACCCTCCAGTCCAAGTTTCTGCCGGTCCTTGATCGGTACTGGAGTAGAACGACCACTACTAGTTTGCGACGGCGGGGGTTTGACCAGTTTGGGGGCTTGAGGGATGCCAGCGTACAGCGATGGATCGATACCAGCTTCGCGTGGGATCTCAAAGGACAGATGGAGGCAGGCCACCAGATAGGATAGGAATTTCTCCTGCTGTAGCTTTAAGACTCCCCTACATGTTGACAGTAGCGTCCCAGCAACCAGGAGGGACTCCTGCAAGATCAGCATGTTGTCGGAGCGCACCAACTGGAATAAGTAGCAACATAGGCGGTCCTCGGCGATGGTAGCAAGAGCTGGATGTTTCGCAATGGAGGGGCCGGCAACCTCAAGGGCAACGTGTATTATTCGGAGCGCCATTACACGCATTGTGTCAGGATGCCTGCGGTCGTGCGGGTCCAGGAAGTTGACGAGAACTCTGAACAACTCACGAACTGATGGCAAAGAGTAAGGTCGCAAGTCAAGTGAGTCTGCTGTTCCAGCTTCGGATGCTAACGTCGCCTGGTCCGCTTCCGCTGTGCCCGTCGAAGGAGCGCTTCCGGACTCAGAAGACCGTGGCTCTGCACGGTTTGATTCTGGTGTGGGAGTAGGTGCAACTGTTGCTGGAATGTCGGTGCCGTTCGCGGATGGGTCCATGCTCACTGTGTCCATATCGCCGTTCGTCTTCTTGTCTAGTGCGTCTATCTCTTCCCCAGCCTCTTCTTCAAGGTGTTTCAGATCCTCGAATATGATCTGGCACATCCGTACCATCGAGGCCTCTGCTGTCTGTCTTAAGACCTCTGAGAATCTTGGCCGTGAGCAAATAGTGAGGCCGCGACCCATCATGTCACACACGCTCTCGTCGCTGAGTATATCGCCGCCTGGTCCTGACAGCATGTCCTCCATCAGGTGCAGAATCATCAACAACACCACCTCTTCCTGTGGCGCGTCACTTATATCGAATTGACAGTGCGTGATAGCGGCCGATAAAGACTGCATCGCGACAGCGAAGCGAGGAGATTCGGGGGAGATGAAGCCGTACGCGAGGAACTTCCGTATGGCTCTCAGAGCAAGAATCGTGACCGGAGCAGCGGTTCCTTTTGTCTGGATGATCTGCAGGAACGGGTAGAGCATCGTTAATGCGTCAAAGTTGTGTATGTCCCTAACGCCAGTCAACTCATGCCGCAACCTCCCAAAGCCAGATATCAACGGATTGTCCTGCATGCTCTTGCCCTTCTTTCCACGAAGGCCCCAGCGCACCAGATCGGCTGTACCGTCACCCATGATATTTGCGGCCGAATTCTTGCCCCTTGACTTTCCCAGAGACACTGAGTTCGAGGACCCCAGTTGCACCGGACTGGGGCCGCCGCCCAGAATGGCCGCCACAGAGGAATGAGGAGATCTGGCATGTTTCTGGATCGCAGAGGTGATTGCTATGCATTCGGCTATGACGAGGGACACTGGATCTACCGCGACCGACACGGGGCGACTTCGGTACTGCATTCGAGGCGAGTGGTGTTGCGCCCGACGGGGGAGAGGAGTGCTTGGCCTGGAGGGCGCCGGTGAGACCGAAGGCTCCAGAATCTGGGGAATGCGGGCATCGTGGCTCATGATTACGGGTGTCTCTGGAGGCAGGTTCAATGCTGAGATGGACAGATTAGAGGTGTACCGTTGTCGCCTTGAAGGATACCAGAGCAGTCGCTTCGAAGATGATGCACGCGTTCGTCGATTCCGGCCTGGGAAGCTGGACTGAAAGGCCGGGAAGGATTCGCTGAGAAATTAAAAGAAACTCAAAAGCATCTCTCACTGGGACACAAATGGAGAAAGGGGAGGACTCATGGAAGGAGGCGACAGACAAGCCGGCGCGTGAGCTCGACACGAGGCACAGGTAGATCTTTAGCTGGCCGGTCGATTGTTAGGACACATGGAGCTTCCTCCCAGGGCGGCCAGAGAATAGGTACGTACTCAGCTACTACTGTACTGTACATAGCTAGGATACCACTAGGAGTGACGTTCGGGAGGTTGGCGGCCGGCAGGCAGCTGGCCTGTGCCTCCCGCCATACGCTGCACATAGAGTCTCGAGAGACATGTCCCCCCCTCTCCTGCAAACCAAGGCCAGTGAAATACGCTGAAATTAGGAATTTGATTTGCATGTGGATGTGAGGTGCCATCGGGCAGTTTTGCTCTTCATTGAGATGCAAGGTGAAGAGCTTCTCGCAGTAGGCAGCTGAAGCAAGTGCAGCCAGAGAATTGGTTCAGCCAGCGAAGAGGATAAAGCAATGAATTGATACGTGGAACCCAGGGTCCAGGTCAGAACGAGTCCATTCTGAAGTTCCGCATCCCATCATAACGCCCTTGTTGATGTGTCCCCATAAACGCTCTCCCGTCTACTTTACAGCATGCGAACATCAATGTTTCCTTTTATCTTCCAAAGCAATCTCCTAACGCCCAAAGGTATCTCCATTCGACCCGCTTTCCGCTCCCCGCCGTCGCAATATGTGTAGAAAGTCGCCCAGACATGAGGGAGACAGCGTCCAGTCCTCCCATGGCGAGAAAGAAAAACAACAAAGCTTGGAATGAATGCAACAGAAGTCTATCTGCGACTGCCTCCACAACAACATCTCATGTGTCACTGCCATGGGAGACTTTCTCCACCTTGTTTGCGGGCTTCGAGGACTTCCGTGGCTTTTCGGCAGAGTCAGCGGCCTGGCGTTCCTGATTCTTGGCGATAGTCTCCTTGTCCTTTTCCCACTGGGCCTTGGTATCACTGAAGCTGAACCCCTCCTTGATCTTGGCTTCCTTCTCCTTCTTCTTCCTCTCTTCTTCCTCAGCGGCTTTCTTCTCTGCCTCCATTTCCTGCACTCCGAGTTAGCTTTTATCGTTCGAGTTGTTTGATGGCTGAGCAAGACTAACCTCCATGCGCTTGACATCATCGACGCTGGGTTCGTACAGATGCCAGATAGTGTAGTGCGGCAGACCAACGACAGAATAGTCCATGCGCCTGGACATCTTTCCGAACCCCTCGGTCTCTGCATGTTTCTCAAAGCTGAAAGCCGGGAAATGGACGCCAGATCGGAACACACGAGCCTTGGCCAGAATACTGACACCTCCTACTCCATCGATCTCCATTTCCATATCTGGATCTCCGTAGGGGTCTCGCAAGTAAGCCAAGTGGGGCCGCCATGTCGCATACTCGGCGTATCCTTCAACAATGACAGCATCCTCGTCCAGTGTGTCCGCCAGGGCCAAAGCAGTTTCCGACTCCTGCCATGAATTGAGATCGTATGGCTGTTCTCCGCCGAGCCATTCTGGAAGCGGCCTCCAAACGTCTATACTATAGTCAGCATCAGGAACCATCACGTGTGACCTAGCAACACTCACTTGGAACGATGACGTCCTTGTTGTGGCGCATGAGATCTTCAAGGATGGTGAAAGGGGCAGTCTCTACATCCACGTCTCTCCAGTAGACCCATGAATGGTAGGGCCGCAGGGCGGCACTGAGAAGCCAATTCCTCGCCTGAGCCATCAATTTTCTCCTGCTCGCCTGTGCTGCGAAACCGTGTCGGCTCTCAGCATCCTGGTTGACACTTTGCCCAAAATCCTTCTCAATGACAGATATTTCGCCGTATGGCATTTTGGGGTCCTCCTCAGCCTGTAATGATTCCAAGCTTTCCGTCAACACTTCCAGAGTTCGATCTTGCGAATCCGAGACCAGAAAAGCGAGGTCTATCAAATGATGCGGGTATGTGAGATTGTGTAGATGGGAGAAGAACATCGGCAGGTGGTTCTCGGCTTCGCGGAGGGGGACGCATAGGAGGATGCGCTCTTCGCGCTCCCAACCGCGAGCGGTCCCCTGGACGTTGGACAGATCGTAGTACCGCACGGTTTCGAGTTGGAAGTCCTCTCCTCCAGACAGCAGGCCGAATGAGAACAGCGATGCGAACGATACACCCCCGCCGGGCCATACAAATATGCCGAAGAGAAACGCAACTGCAAGTATTATACCGAGTCTTATCAATAGTCGTCGTCGCCGCCGGGCTGCGGGCGTCGTCCCTCGTGGTTGAAATCTGGCATCAGGGCACAAGTTAGTCAAGTTGAGTGCGACGTGTGCGGCAAAGCAGGTAGAATTGTAGGATGAGAACCAGTAAGTACCGATGTGGTGACATGTCGAACGAGAAGTCCTTGTTCCTCGGATACCCATTGCTGGCAGCATATCCACCCGCATGGTGCCTCGGCACCACCTTGGAGCCGGAGGTCGAGTATGATGGCAGCATTGGGTCAAAGGGTTGAGGGCGATTGCGCGGAAGAAGGCAGTTGGACTCGAACGCAGTCTCAGGATGCGTTGCAGGAGTCCAGGGACAGGCTGGCCCGTCCAAGCTCACTGGTTGTTGTGGCGATCTCCGGGAAGTCGCAGGGCAGTGGTGTTAGATGGAAAAAGGTTCATAGTCTATCGCATGGCGAAGGGACAGAGGTCCTGGAGGATTACTTCGTGTTCGAGTACTACGGACAAGGGCGAAGGTGTCCTGTGTCAACCTCGTGAATGCGAGATGAATCAGCGTGTTGCGACCTTTAGTTGGTTGCTTGCAGCTGGTCCCATGGCGCTAAGGCCACCTACGCGGTACTTTGCCCTCAACGCGGGCCAAGTATCTCGGTGGATTTGCAGCGGCATTCCAGTGAGTAAAGTACATCAGGTTACGGTTTCAAGTGTCACATTTCCTATGCCCAAGATCCAAATTGACGTCTGGGGTTCATCTGCACGGACCCACCATTCAGTTTACCCCTTGCAGCACTCTTGATCTTGAGACACAGTATATTTGGTTCAGCTATAACTACAGATTTAGCGAACCAAGCCAGCAAAAGCAGGCACCGCACGCATAAACATGTTGGCGTCCACAACAGATCGCAAACCTAGTCATCAGCAGCATGACCTAGCACTGAGCGACGCATAAATGCCAAATATTTTATGAGCAGTAAACACGACACTGAGGACCTCTGGCGGTACAGTGTCGGCGTCAAGGCCTACACATCAAAAACACTTGTGGTGCAGCCTGGCAGGAAGCCCCAGCTCCAGAACCCACTCATTTACCTTAGCATAAGTCGATCACATTCGAACGATACACTGGCAGGAGTTAAAGCGGCCACGAGTTACCTAGTAGCGTGTCAGTGAGTGCGAAATGAGTAGACACGAGTGCTCGAAAAGAGCGCCTGCACACACGTCTCAGAAAGCCGTTAAACTCAGCTGTACGCGCCGGCCCTGATCTGTCACACCCCAAGACGGAGCATAGAGATCGCAGGCACTGAAGCCAAATGACATCCCCCGAGGGGAAAGACTCCACTACTGGTCATCACAGCACATGACTGCTCTAGTGCGGGAGGATGGCTCGGCTTGTACATATCGTTGAATGGATAAGCTATTATCATCATAAAAGATGACGTGCGCAGGCGAAAGGAGATATTGACTGACCTCTTCGCAGCATGTGCTGTCGTTATCGGAGCCGATATGGTAGCTAGCGTTGCAAGCGGTTGCACCGCGTGAGGCTCTGGCGGTATCTTTGTTTCTAGCCTTCCTATGGGATCGCTTGTTAGCTCGTGAACACTCAGACTAGCTGGTGGATAACAGGAGACGTTGCAAGTGCGATGATCAGAAAAGTTTTTTGGTATAGGTTGTGTCATCAAGTATGTTCAGAAGCAGAACTGAATAAAGATGTTTTCATCATGAAATCGCCGCAAGTGAAAAAAAAAATGTATGCTTACAGGTCAATACGATGAAGCAAAGACTGTGATTCATATTGCAAGTTGCCCTATGGTATTGTCAGCAAAACTTGCCTCGCGTGTGAATCAATCATAGCAAGAGGCTGGAGGCTGTGCTTCAGATGGTGATGCATGTTTGTTCTCGCTCATAGAGTTCGCGCGGAACAAGTGGATAAAAATATCATCAAGAGCGCCAAACCCAGTCCAAGCTCGCAAATGGTTGAAGGGAAGGTATCAGGGGTTCAAGACTGACCAAAACGCTGGAGCGTCACCAGAGTGAAGCAAGCTTCAGTCACGTCACGCAAGCAACAGCACTCGCTGGTTGCGGCGCCATGGCTGGCTTCACGGGCGTGCAGAGTCAGTCTCTCCATCGTCTATTTCGACAAGTCGGAGACTGCTCAAATACCCCTTGTGCGCAGCGCAGTCCCAAGACATGTGGTCGTGCAGTTGCCGGGACTTTCTGTCGAAGGTTGTGAGGTTGAAGTTGTGCAGGAAAAGGCAGATCCAATTCTGGCAGAAATTTTGTAGCTGCTGGAGGTGTGGGGACGCAGAGCTCGGGCCACATTTAACTCCCCTGGGGCACGCAACCTGCGGCAGGCAGGGAGGCATTGGATTTCGATTTCGAGTTCATCATCCAAACTAAGTCTTTTTTAAGTCCTTTCTTTGACTGCAGCAGACCCTTTGCGAGAAATTGCCGTTATTTGTGGTAACGAGGTCACCTGCTCATCTAAGGACCACACTCAGTTCAAGCCACATTGAAATGGCAGACAGGAGGCGGATCAACGGTCCCGTGGGCGGCACCTTGCCCCCAGTTTTTGCTGGTGACGAGACGACGGTCTTGACAGAAAAAGCGACAGCCAGGAGCAGGCCCGTCAACACAGCCCGACCAATATGTGAGTGTTCTTGCTACTCCCGCCGTCGCTCCTTGGAAAAACTCCTGACTGTGTTTCAAAGTCCTCAAAACTGGCGTCACTCCTTCGGCGTCTGGCTCTGCATACCTTGAGGTCCAGACATCAGCAAAGCCTGGAGTCTCCGGTCTCAAACTGAGCTGCACAGTTCATGGACCAAGAGCACTACCAAGATCAACGCCCTTCTCGCCGCACATTATCCTCACCACTCACGTCAAGTATGCGCCCTTCGCAACAAAGCAGAGACGGGGCTATCTGAGAGACTCGACGGAACGTGATCTGAGTATCCACCTCGAGACAGCATTACGGGGAGCTATCATCGCAGACCGCTGGCCTAAGAGCGGTGTCGACATCATCATCTCAGTAATCGAAGGGGATCAGGACCGGAGTCTCAGCCTTGGCAACCACGACGAGGCTTGGGACACGATGAATGTCCTGGCGGGATGCATAACGGTAGCATCAGCCGCTCTGGCTGACGCCGGCATCGACTGTGTCGATACGGTCGCAGGAGGCGTGGCAGCTCTGGTGAGCGGCGGCGAGAGCAGTGACTCAAAGCCGGAGATAGTGGTCGATCCTCTGGCCTCCCAGCATGACAACGTCCTTGCAGCTTGTTGTGTTGCGTATTTACCAGAACGGGATGAGATCACAAACCTGTGGTTCAAGGGAGACTTGCCTGCAACAGACGCCACACTGTACACGGGAATGGTTGAGAAGGGCGTCCTGGCCTCTCAAAGTGCTAACCGTGTGCTGGTTGGTTGTTTGAAAGATGCTGCAGCTCAAAATAGCTGAGTTTCTCGGACTCGGTAAGATACTCAGTGTCACGAGAGTTTGGAAAGGCGGCCGGCCCGTTGAAGTGGGAGGTACTTCTCGGAGCCAAGAGCTTAGCAGCCCACCAAGATTTCTATCCAGGGCCCAACGATGATCCTGAAAGTGGTTGCGAGACATAGAAAAAGCCCAACCATGACTACCTCACACCAGCCAGTGTAATATCAGCTCAAGCACGGATTCGCCCCGAATATCAGGGGAGAGCGCTTCAAGCCCTCACAGTCATCTTCAGGTGGTGACTGGCTTTCGACAGACTCTGCTAAAGCCCTACACTATAGCGAAATGGTAAAGAAGGGACGGGTAGAGGCGCAAGTGAATCACAAAACAGAAATGTGTGGCGCATAGATGTAATGGAGGACATCAATTAGACTCCGTAGACACCTGCTCGACTTGGACGGCGACATTGAGTTTGACCACAAATTCCAGGGTATGGTCAATACAGCCTGTATCTATGGTCCCAGACACAAGGCCATCATAGATCAATGATCTCTGTGTGGTCTGCTTGTAAATATTTCCATGCAAGCCTCACATGTCAACTGGATCAAAGGGGGTGAAGTCCCATTTCTGTCTAGCCTCGACAGCTCAGCAGCTACCCCTGCCAGCCTGGAGTTCAGGGACTCAAGTGGTGCCGCCTGCCCCACACGGATCGGGCATTGCACCATTGCCGTCATCCCGTCAACTACCATTCTCCCATCTGGCGTCTTACATGCGATCAGCATCACGCTTGCCAGACAGGGTGCAGTGAGCCGTTTCGCATCATGCATCCGTTGTCTGGCTTCTCTCAGATAACTTGATTCTTCATTTCTTTCCGTTGTACCTCCTCAGCCCCAGACATTTCGACCCGAACGCGAGCATCCGACCTGACCTCACTTCCCACGTGCCTCCGAAGAGGCCGCGGCCCGAACGGGCTGTCACCAAGAGCCAGCACCTGGAGGGACAAAGATCGCGACAGATCGGCCCAAGATGGAGCACACGGTGGAGGCTCTCACCCACCGCCAGCCGGCCGCCACGTTCGATAATGCGAGCATGTGGCACAACCTCACCTCCTGGACATCGTTCAACGTTTCCAGATATGCTCCCTCCTTGGAGGATCTCGTCCTGGCTGGCCCTCGAATGGTCATGAAGCTCGGGAAGCTCGGCGGCTCTTATATTTCCTTCCCCGATGCTATAGACGGCTTCGGCCAACGGGTCGTTCCTGAAGCCACCGATTCGGATATATTCTCTACGACTCCTCCCGGTTCCGCCAGTATCATCTCCACTGGATCCAGCATTGCCTCCGCTGCTCCCTCTAACCTCGCCGAACTAGACCCGACCGCTTCGGTATATCGATTCTCGATGGAGGGTGCAAAGGGCATAGGGAGCGTGTTCAGCTACGCCACGAGCAAGTGGGCGCTTTGCTGTATCGCGATGGCAGTGGTTCTGAACAGAACACACATCTTTGCCGCCACTCGACGGCGTCTGCGACTTAAATGGCACACCCGCTTGATTCTACGAATTGCGCCTATCGTTCTCTTCTTTATACAAGCTCGGAGCATACTGCAGTCCATACAATGTCAAACCTCGGCTGACTTTTCCGAGCTACGATGGGGGAATGCAAGCAAGAGTTCGGACCTTATGTTCTCGCAACACAACACACTGCTCCACGGCGTGAGCTCCACGCTACTCTTTGGTGCCACGGACGAGGAGTCTTGCCTAGCTGTGCAAATGATACCGTCGGGTTACGAGGAGTCACCGGAGCTTAAGGGCTCTCTGTCTCTGCTATGGCCTCTCTTCGGCACCTTTTGTCTCAGCCAGATACTCGAGACTATATCATGTGCCGTTCAAGGACGGCCAGTGTCTGCTGAGACTGGTATGACGCTCTTTGAGCATTCCCTCGCATTTGCTGAGGCCGATGCTGCTATCAGCAATCAGCTCGGATGGGGTTTGTTCAGTTCTGGGGCTGCAAATGCCACGTCGAAGGCGAGTGCTGGTGCAAACATTGCCATAAGCCGATCGATGATCATGAAAAGAGTCAACACTCCTCCTGAAGTCTTGCTGATCGCCTTCTTCTCGGCGATGAGCCATATCACCAGTCATATCCTCGGGGTATTCGGTAAGCAGGCAAGATTTCGCCTGATAAGTACAGGGCTGTGGGCGTCATGTTTCATGGGAAGCCTTGTTTGGAGCGCCATCACATTCTCCTTGGAAGATCCCTCCCGGCAAGGGCTACTCAGGTACCCTACCGTGTGCATCATCGGCTTCATACCACATGTGCTGGTCTTGGTTGGCATCATAATTTGTTTCACAATCTACTCTGTGGCACTTGTGTTGTCTGCTCTGGCGACACCTGCAGATGCAGACTCGGGACAGCATCTAGCATTCAAGCAACGACTGGCACTCGCGCATGCCAACATGCAGGCGAATCTCTCATTTTCGGACCTGCGGATTACGATGGAGATGGACTTCTACACCGCATTGCTCCGGACTGGATTTGGTGCCATCACAATGGCCTCTGAAGCTGTCTACCTCAATGAAGACAGGCAAGTGGGTCTCAAGCGTACGACGTGGCTCGAAGATGAGCGGTACCGAGAGATTGAAGAACTGAAAATGAATTGGATGAGCTCTGGTGTTCCAGGATCACGGTACGACTCAACAGGTGTCATAGGGCTCGTTCCTGTCAAGGACGGGCAGCTCAGGGCAACGAGTGGGTATGCTCGCGAGAGGGCTGCTCAGAAGCTATCGAAGTCCCGGGCTGGTGAACGCCGCAGCATACGAGACGGGGTCGGGGCGGCAGAGCGCAGCGGACGCTGGCTACTGGCTCTGGACTACTTGATGCACATCAACAAACTGGTTCTCACGACTTGGGCGATGGCAGTATGCAAGGTGCTTGCTAGTGTCGGGGTCCAGAACCCACCAAACTGGCTTAAGAATTGGTCGAGGCTTCCGAAATCTGGCCGCCCGGAAGAGAAACGTTCAAGGAGCGGCAGGCCGTACGAGGCCATCATCGCAGGAGAAGGCTCCATTGGCCTCACCGAGATTCATCGTGCTGATACTGTTGACGTGGAGCAAGAGCTTCGACAAACGTACAACGACAGAGAGGCCTGGCCTGATGAAAGTGCACGTGAACGCTGGATGGATAATAAGTTGTATCTTTGGTGGCTGTATGGAGGCTGGTGGGGGACCAAAGACAGAAGCGGCGACTATCGGCCAACAGCAGAAGAGGAAGACTCAGATTGGGATGCCACAAGTGTAATCACGACAGCCGAGTCCGAAGCGTCAACAAACGATGACAACGAAGACGACTGGGAAGACGACGACGGCCAACGAACACCAACACAGCGATCCCCTTTCACATCCAGAGAAAGCACACCTGTTTTTGACAACCCCATACAACCGTCTGATCTCGCAGCCCTTCTCCACCCCCGCAGCTCCGAAGAGCGAAATCAAGCACGTGCGCTCGCCGCACACCTTGGCTCAGATCGTATCCTGACGCGGTCGGGCTACCGACGACTCGAGCAGGCTCAGCGCTCACGCGTGATTTTCCCAGGTCAGCACGCGCACACCATCAAGAAGATGACAGCCGAAGAGGAGGCGGAGGTACTGGAGCAGATTCTGCTGGAACGCCGGGCCGCGGCGGCTCCAGATGACGGGGGCGCCAGCGCGGGATCATGGGCCACGGGGGCGTCGGGCATGGGGCCCGATGGTCCTCAGTGCGTGGTATGCCACAGCTCGCCGCGCACAATCATCGTATGGCCATGCCGGTGCCTGAGCCTGTGTGACGACTGCAGGGTGGCGCTTGCGATGAATAACTTCGACAAGTGCGTCTGTTGCCGCCGGGAGGTCATCAGCTTCAGTCGCATCTACGTGCCTTGATCGAGGGGAGCAGAGGAGGGCAGGGAGGACGGGTATAGTCTATTCGCCTACTGGGCACATAAGCGAGGACGGGCAAAGGGCACGTTTGGCGTAATTGGCGTTATGGCTTCTACTTTCGCTTTTGTGTATCACTTGTTTCTTGAACACTTTCATGTACAGGTCTCACTCATCAACGTCGGACAGACGAAAGGCACATACAATTAGAACAGGAGGTATCTATGCTCATTTCTTCCGTTATACCAACTTCTATCCTGAATATTGCCCGTTCACAGATGCAACCGACGAGCCGAGTCTCGAGCTGCAGTTCCTACATGGCAGCCCACTCGAGCGTAAACGTCCTCACCCTATCTTCATCAGCATCTTGTTGGCTTCCTATTGCCTCTTCTGGTGGAGCCTGGCCACCTATCAAAAACCCCTTTTTGACACCAGTGCCCAGACGACCACCACTAACAAGATCTAGCAGAGTGATTTCTTCGTCCCACCCAAAGCTTGTAGCCATGAAGTGTGCATGGTACCTGAAGGGATCACCAGGATAGACACTGTAATCCGCACCGAAACGTATGCCTGGAGTGATGTAGTAGCCTCTTGAGTTGAGATGCTTGTAGAAAGGGTAAGAACGGGGGGCCTCAACAGGTACGCTGTAAGCTTTGGGTTCTGACAGCATGTCAACACTGGTAGTCGCCGTCAGATGACGACTTGTTGCAACTACAGTGGAAGATGGGGAGGCAGTCTCCCCTCGCCCTTGCTGAGAAGACGAGAAGAGCGACTCCTCATGATTTGCAGCTGCTGTGAATCGCACCGAGGCCGCGTCTATCTTCTCCGGCGGAGGGGACAAGGGCAACTGGATTTCCTCGGCGACTGGTGGGCTGTCAGACCTCACAGGGATTCGCTTGGATTTTTGCTTTCCTCTCATTTTGGCGCCTTCAGCCTTCCTGATAGCGTCTTGTTCGTCTAGGACTCGCGAGATATTTTGCCGTCGCGTCCTCAAAGATTGTAGGTAAGCATGCTTGGCGGTGGTGTCCATAGATGTCAGGTGAGCCAGGTGAGATGCGGCGTCGTCCACGACATAGGCGACGCCCTTGTCCACTAGTAGCTTCGTCTCCTCAGGAAGAAGCTCCAGCGGAAGTCCAGAGAAAAGGTTTTGGGTTGGGTTTTGCGGTGTGGTACCGACCAAAACGGCACAAATGCAGTGGTCACGGCGCAGAGAGGCGACATCTCTGACCTCGAATACGAGGTACCGATCACCTACTTTGGTGATGCGCATTAGCTCTGACATCCTAGATGCCCGTGCTCAGCCCCAGTGTTTCTATCGCACAGAAGTTAGCTCGACTCTTGTTGGAAGATTGCTGAGCTGAGTATGCAGAGAGGCAAGAAGAGTCATAAGTTTTTGACACACAAGTGTTATCAGCATTGAAAATCTCAGGGGATTGACAGATTAAAATGTTTATTTAATCATTCGAATTTTATGCATGGGGTTGATATGAAGACTGAGGGAATGCTGAAACATACCTGTGCTGTTGAGTTGTGATGTATGTTGAGTTGAAGTTTTGCGAAAATCTGCCGGTTTTATAATCAGGATTGGCAGAAAGTTGGAGCCCGTGGGCGGTGTGAACCTTGCAGGGCTAGAGGTTGGGGGAGGGTGTAGTTCAGACTCCCCAGGGTTAGGTGAAGTCGAAGCGTCAGGAATGGAGTGCCGATCAGAAGTCGATGCCGTCTTTGACGGTGCTGGCTGGTGACTTCTCCTTGTGATCCTCCTCTTCCATTGGAGGGAGTACATAGGGCTGAATAACGAGGCCCTTGGTGCCACTCAAATGGAACGAGAGATCCTCGCGGAAGTGGTTGTTTTCGGCGCCACCACCACCTTTTTCATGGAAGATTGGCAAGCTGTGCACCCTGAGTATGCCCTGACTCTGCTCCTGGACTTTCGATTCACTGCTGGATGACGGTGGATTGGCACCAAGCTTTGGTGGCAGCGGTATCATCTCGAGGACTCCGTCAGACAAGAGTTCCACCCAACGCGTCACGCCATTGCTTCGGGGAAACAGCGTAATTGGCAGTGTGATGATGGCAGTCAAATTGCCACAATACTGGCGCATAAGGGCCCTCAAGGCGTGCAGAAACTGAAGCACCTCAGCAGGTTGACAGGCCCCGGGGGAGTAAAACGTGGGCGATAGGAGGCTGGGTATGACAGCTCGGTGAATCGTCGACGGCGGAGAGTTCCGAAGCTTTCCCTGCAAGTTTCTGATAAATACTTTGAATGGCGATTGTGATTCCTTCGCTTCGAACGAGAGACCCTGAGGATTGGAAGCTGGAGTCGCGGAGAGTGTGCCTTGAATGGAGGCCGGGGCCAGCCTCTTGGTCAAGTCGAATGCATGACAGAACACAGCCTTGGAACCGTCTACGTCTACAAGAGAAGTTAGGGAGCTGCTCATATTTTCAATGTGGGAAAGGGCCGTGCCTGGTCTCTATACCTACCATTCGCAGCGGGATTGGGAGCGTTCCTACTGGCGAGGCTCTCATACCTCCAGGCAATCTTCATCTTGTCATCTGTCTGGGTTGTTGTCTTGGAAGAAGTGCCTTCTTGCTTGGTGGACACAGCTGGCAGTTCGTGCTTCCAGGTTTCCGGATAGCCCAGCACATGAACCTGGTGGCCCTGGACGAGCCCCTCGGCAGCATAGTACCTGAGAAGATTGCCAGCGAAGTCTGTTGTCCCTTGTTCTTCTATGAGAAGAGACGATCCAAGTGGGAGACCGGCGTGGCCAGCAAGGATCCCGTCCAGAGAGGCAGTCCCTGTGGAAGTTGTAATTCGACCATCCAGAGGCGATGGGCGTAGGCCCGGCGCAAGCTGTGCTCCGGATCGATTCTGGGCAGCAGCTTGCGAGGAGGGAGACGCAGAGATTACTGCATTTCTCTTGCGGAAGGACATCTCGGATCGGCGAGCACAGGGCCTTTTGGGCGAGCTGTCTCCTTCTGCTCTGTTGTTTTCTCTTGTTTCCACGGTCTCTTTGGTGCCTGTTATGAGTTTTATGAGAGCATGTACGTAGCTACCCCTCCAAAATATTTTGGGCCCTGTAGGTACCTGGCTAGCTTCTGCCACTACTAGCGATGAGTGCTTGCTACCTACCGCCTTCCTAGTCAGGAAGCTTTTCGCGTCCGCGGGGACATCAGATTACTGCGGCCGTTGGACATCAGAGCGCCTCGGAATGCTCCCAAATTTTTGGCTGGCCTGCATTTCTGCCCTCCTCAGTCCTCGACACACGACGATACAAGCCGCCTGGACACCCCTTTTCTTCCCCTTTGTCGCTCAGTCCGATTCATTTAGTCATCATGGCCGAGCCTTCCAGCGACGCTCTCCTCTTCGAGGAGCAATTCGAGATTACCAACGTCGATCACAAGAAGTACGACCGAGCAGCACGCATCACCGCCAGCTCTCTTGACCGCGCCACCAGTCTGGAACTCGACATCAATACCGAACTCTTCCCCCTCACTGCTACTGAGAACATCGAGGTCGCCCTGGCCACGACTCTGAACCTGGACGGCTCAAGGGATGACGAGAAGACCTGGCGCGACGTTGCGAAGCCCGGAGTGCAGACGCTTGCCGATGGGTACAACTACGTTTGCTACGGAAAGGTCTACAAATTTGAGGACGGAAAGGCGGACAAGACTCTGTATGTACTGCACTTCACCACCCGAGGCTGTCACGAGACACGACTAATTGGACGCGTTTGCAGGAAGGCTTACGTCTCCTTTGGCGGGCTTCTCATGGCTTTGGAGGGACCTGACAGCAAACTCACGCCTCTGCGAGTGGACAACGTCTACCTCCTCGTTAGGAAGTAGTTGGGGTCTTGTCTTACCACATCAGGGGATGCCGGCGTTGCAAAGATTGGGTATTAATTCTAGTAAAGTTGCCGCAGAAGGAGTCTATCTGACCAACAGGCAGTCGTCCCCGAACCCCCCATAAAAAACTCACTACCGATGGCCCAAAGCCCTGATAAGAAGTGCGATTTACCGCCCATGCTCAAGTCACCACGGTGGCACAAGGCATCATCGACTCGCCGATATTCGATTTGTCGTCAGCCGGTCCACTCACTCTTGGTCTACTCATGGGCGCTGTACTTGGTTCGACTCGGTGCCCAGCATCTCTGGTCTCTGCTATTCTTCATCATCGTGCGGCCCTGGAAACGGCAACTGTCTACGCAGTCTCGCTTCGATGTTGTCGAATTGGGGCTCATTCTTACGGGTCAATATACCCATGCGGATGAAGAAATCGAGCATGATAACAGCGCAGTTTGGTTTCCACCTGCCCGCTGCAAGTTGCTCCTTCACTTCATCAACAGTGCAGAGCATGAAAGACTCGACTTCGCCGTCATTCGGCTCAGGGATAATATCATCAGGTAGCTCAAGATCATATACCCATTGGCACTCGGGATAAACATACCCATCGCCGCCTCCAACTCGTGTGTCGTTCACATAAATATACTTGACGAGCCCTGCAAGCCTCGCGCGCTCGCGCACTATCTGCTCGGGAAGGCTTGCCTCTTCATCAGCCTCGCGAATGACGCACTCGGAAGGGATCTCGTTCGTTGTGAGACCCCCGGCCACCGTGCTGTCGAACATTCCGGGCCATGAGCTCTTGGCCTGGCTGCGTTTTGGCACCCAGATCTTGATGCCGTAGGGCGCTGTTGGATAGTGGACGTACGCAATGAGATGTACTCCGTATCGCATGAACCCAAAGAGAGCAACCGCAGCCCGTTCCATGCTGAAAAGAAGTTCCCCGTTGCGGCCGTACACAGGCCATAGCTCGCTCCTCCAGCCTTTCAGGATTTTGAAGGTTTGGTTGAGGCGCAGATAATGCGTCGTGGCCGCTGCGAGCTCCGTGCGCTTTCTCTCAGTGGCGGGCTTATGGAACATTTTGACAGTCTTTGCAAAAGGGTCGAAAACCATATCGCCCCTGATTGCAGGGGGCACCAGCTTAAGCTCGTCGAAGACGCTCTTCAGCATGTAGCCAATGGGAAAGACACCCTCGCTGTCCTGCCAGACAAGGGTGTAAAGCTTATCCATTTGTCTTGCATATCTCTCCGGATGGTTGCTCACGTACGGAAAGCTACAAAAGCGGTCAGTATCCTTAGCACACGACACTACTGATGCGTTCGACCATGGACAAATTCGCCGCGATCTTGAAACAGACAGAGACCAGGCGACCCCCGGCGGATGCTTGCTTCCGAAGTTGCACGGGGCTCGGAGGCCGGCCTGCAACATGTTGCTGCTGTTTCCTGCCCGAGGACGGGACGAGAGGCAACAATGCATATATGTCTCGGGCCAGATGGGTGAGCGTCCAACCAAGAGAGAAGGGCTTACCCGTCACAGCGGTCCAACAGCTCCTTACTTGTGAGCCTCGGTGCCATAGTTGCCAGATTTTCTGCTGCTGCTACCGCTGAACTGGTGGTATATTTTTGACTTGATCTGGAACGAGCCGGAGCTGCATTCAGATTTGTGGTGGTGAGTGAGGCATTCGCGAGTATGTGTCAAGAGAGAAAGGACTGGGTGAGAAGGAGGCAACGACAGGCTAGTCAGGCAGAGGCATAATCTTTATAGCAAGCCAAGGCGGGCGACCAGAGGGAAGAGGGAAGAAGAGCCTCACATAATCTTCCGGCACAGACGGTCCCTCTCAACCATAGTAGATATGCCTCACCAGGTGCCTCCCAGAATGCCCGCGGACGGGAGAAGGGCCCTGTCAGATTAAGGGGCCGCATGTTCATGGGACAAAGGGCCAACCCTTCCCCCAGTCGGGCTGCTGTGCTGCTGCCAGTTGATTTGCCCGGGCTAGCAGATCAGGTGCTTTCTTGGTGCTGCCGGTCCAACCCACAACGGAGTCGGCACTAGGGATCTAGTAAGCTGTCCGGGGTGCGTGGTGAATGCGGTCCTGGTCACTGATTGTGTGTGCTCAGTGGTCCTGCCATGTGGGCGCCAGGATCCGAGGTCAAGAGAGCCCACGCAGCCCAGCCAGGCTGCCTGGGGCCCTGGGCCCTGGAGAGTTCCGAGAGTGGGTTTGAACAAGGGTGCTCTGGCCAGCGAGAACCGGCCGGAACGCTGAGGCTCCGATGCTTGCTGCTGAGTCGGCCTCTCACCGTCAGTCACACACGCGCACACAGGCTCAGCTCCGAGAGGGAACCATTAACGACAAGAGAGCGCCCCGCGGGTCGGAGAGGTTCCTGGGCTTCATCTGGAATCGGATCGAGCGACTGGTATTATGGAACGTTGATGTGCGGGTACGCGAGCCTTGTTTCGTGCATGGTGTGATAGATTCCGGTGTCACGGCGGCAAGGGTAGCAGCGCGGTCAGCTTCCCCCCTCCAGGCTATGGCCCCAACGGGATCCCGCCTTTCTCACCATTTGGTGCCGGCGCAGTGGCCGTCATGAGAGCCCAGGCGCCGGGGGAGGGACGAGGGAGGTTGGCGAGGGTGGGAAGGGGAAACATCCAGTTGGCCGAGTTGCTGCCCCGACATGCCGCATCCAGTCTGGACCACCTGTATTGTGCCGTGCGAGGCAGCAGTGGTGTGTGCAAGGCCTGCCGAAGGGGGTCGAGCCCGCATTATCTCGTGCGCTTACATGTGCCTCAACAAGGTCGAGTCCTGCCATCGCACCTATTGTTCGCGCAACTAATGGTGCGTGTCACAGCTTGCTTGTTACCACCTGCTGCAAGTTGCTTTGTCCAGAGGCCGCGGCAGGCTACCTGGGAATGGCCTGCCCTGCCCTGTGCAAGCCAAGCTCGATGAAGACATCGACACACTGTCGTGTCTGCGTGTCTGCGCGTCTGTCTGCAGGAGCGTGTGACGCTGCCCCTGGCTGGAAATAGCCACATTCGATCGCAACCCCAGCCGGGCAGCAAATCTGGTGGCCAGGCTTCTGACCGTTGACAGTTGTGATCGGCGGCGCCCAGGGCCCAGAGCTCGGTTCCATTGGTCTGGGATGGCAGGCCCAGGCTTCTTCTCGCGTGTTCTAGAAGGGGGCTAGCGCTCGTGAAGCTTCCCATTTCCCACCCCTCCTCATCTGATCAGGGCATGGGTGGTGCTGCACGCCCAACGCCCACATCCGTACTCGAGTCGAACTCACCACTAGCACTGACTGACATTTGATGCACCGCAGGGTGGCTTGTATAATCCTGATATCATTCCAGCCCTATCAAGCATATATAAGCAGACGACATCGTCGAACCTGCTGTTGGAGTGTTGTTACAACAATTAATCGCCTCGCAAAATCCTACCACACAGGCCTAGATGGTCAATTGCCCCGTCCTCGCACAGCAGCAGAGCCCTCGGGGTCACACAATCACAGGCACAGACGCTGCAGGAGCACATGCTCGAGGGTCTCACTTCAAGCTCCGGGCACACTGCGAGGATCTGCCAACCGTTGCATCCGCCGCTGCAATCGGGTTCCAACGCTATTCTCACCGACGTCAAGCACTACCTCACTGGGTGCCACACTATCTTCAACAGCACCAACACAGTAGGCATAGCTTGACTCGCCTATCTGTAGTCGATCCGTCATACTGCAAGTTCGCAGACGCGGACGCACAGGCACAAGCACAAGCACAAGCATAAGCACGCGCACACCACATCCCAAGGAAGAGGAGAGGCTTACATAGCCTGCCCTCTTTAGAATTTTCAGGTCGGTCAGACAATCAGGCTCGCACACCATGTCGCAACCACTCTTCGGTCTCGTCCCGGCAGGCCTGCCTGTGATCACCCAGCCGACTGAGACCCCTTCGCAAACATCCTTTATCTACGGCATCCCAACCTCGCCAAAGTCTTTCAGCCACGTCGTCATCTTCCTGCTGCCGGGCATCGTCCTGCCTAGCGACACCGCGGCGGCAATTTACCTCGTTACCCCGCCCGACCGCGCGCAGGGCCAGGAGGTGCCAAACTCAAAGTTCCTAGGCGGCATTGGCCCTGGAAAAGAGTCGGCCATCTTCAAGCTCAACGAGGCATCCGCTTCTGGCGGCCAGATCATCCTGGGAATCAGCATCGAGGACGCCGGCTCAGTGGCGAGCCGCATCACCGAGCTACAGGCTGCCAAGTCGTCTTCAGCTGCGTCCGGGTCGCTCGCCCTGGTCCCCGCCGGGGCTGCCGCAGGCCAGGGCCACCAGCAGCCCAGCACGCTGGTCCTCGCGCAGAGGATCATCAAGAACGCCTTCAACTTCCTGACCAGCTTCTCGGGCCAGGCCGGGCAGGTCGAGGTCGTGCCGATGAAGGCGTTCGAGGACTGGTGGAGGAAGTTCGAGAGCAGGGTGCGGAGCGACCCGGGCTTCCTGGAGAGGGATGACTGAGCCCAAACCGGGTTAAAGAAATTGAGCCTATGCGTGTTATGTGTGCGTGAAGCGGGAGGAGGGAGAGAAGGATGTGGCCTTCCTCGTCTTCGAGGGGCCAGGGGCAACGTGTTTAGCCTCGCATGTGAACATGCATGCAAACACCCGGCCGGCAACTGCATCGCTGGCTTGCCCGCCCTGTTTACGTGTCTCGTGATACCTGTCGTATAGCCGGGGTGGCAGGCTGGGACTTTTGAGATTTTGATCTACGGCTTTGCTGAGTCAGAGACCAGCATCATTCTCGGAATCCGTCGATGCAGTCAGACGAAAAGTGGGCGAGCCCCCGTGATATGTCTGTGATGTGTGCTGCGATGTCAGATATCAGATGTAAGATATTGGGAGATGCTCGGTGTTTGCCGGGAAGCCAAGGCTGTCGCGATACCGTGGACTTTTATCTGAGCAATTGGAGTGTCAGACGCGGAGGACTCACGCTCAGTCGAGGCTGGGCATCGTCTGGCCCCCACCAGCAGCCCTCGGATGCGTATCGCTCGCCGGCTCGGTCTTCAAGTCTTGTCGCTGACCCTGCAGCATTGAGCAATGGGGCAAGGACCTCATGAAAGAGCGAAGCTAGTCACAGCAGATGGATACAGCCGGAGTGAGGGTACGGAGATGGTCATGTGTCAGATAGAATAGACTACTAGCGAGAATATCCTGTAGCTATGACGCAAAACGTGTAGTACAACACAGCCTACGATGAACTCCAACACCTGTGGATCTAAGCTTTCCCGCGTGCCGTGCACAACTCCAAAGACCGTCGATGTGGAATCCTGGATGAACTTCGCCCTGCCAACGCCTGCTCCGGTTAAGAATGCCTCTAGCCCTCGCCAAAAGGTATTAAAATCATATAGTGTCTGAAAAGCAATGGTCGGTATGCCGTACATCAAATCCTAACAGTGGTATCTCCTGAGCTTCGTAAACATTAATCTTCTTGCAATGGTGCCATCAAGGGGCTCTTGAGCCTAGTAGGACTGCCGGCCCTGCTTCGTCGCCCTGCGTTGTTGAACATGCTAGGCGGCACAAGCCTCTCTCTGCTTTCCGTTCGCACGACCAATCCGGCTCGGTCAAGAGCAGAGCCGGAGTCGAACCGATCCATGGTCAGCTTGGGAGTGGCCAGCCCTGAGGTCCTGCCTAGCTTCGAGCCCTCGCTGCTATCGGAGTGCTCGTTCTCGTCCGAGTCGAAGTCGCCCAGCTCGAACTGACTCGCTTCGCCCTCCTCGATGACACGTTCGTAATGGGCAGAGTTCCTGCCGAAGAGCTTGTTTGTCAGGACTGACAGACCCCGCCCGTTCTTCTTGGGGCTGCCAGGCTTCTTCCATCGCCCAGTAAATCCGCCAAATCTGTTGAGGAAGCGCATCCTGCGATCCCTCTTCCGGAAAAAGTAGCCAATCAATAGCAAGATCAGAATGAAAAGAAGGAAGCTTGATGATTTGCTCGGTTTGGCATGGTCGACCAGGTCCTCGATCGCGTCGTCCCAATCGTCGTCGTCGTCATTGCCCGTCTTGAAGCTTGAACCGGCGTAATTGAAATCATCTGGCACGCTGTTGGTGTTACTGCCGAAGCCGACAGGCAGAAACTCCGTACTCCTAGGAGGGATCTGCCCAGCAGCATACAGGACCATGGGTCCCAAAGTCCAGCTGACCTCGATGCCGTCGATCTTGTCCACCGGCTGGAAGGGGTCCAGGAACCCTTTCTCCTTGGCTTGTTCCAAGGCGCTCTGCGACGCGTTGACGGTGGGCGTGTGGTCGAGACCTAGGCGAGGAACGCCAATGCCATCATGCAGGACGTTGATCAACCAGGATGCCTTGAAGCATGCCTCTTGGGCATTTTTGGAATGATCCTTCTTCTTCCGGGCATCGACTTTCGTATTCACAATGGTATCCCAATCCGTGGTGCAAAAGTCCTCCACCCTGCTCTGGTATGTCTTCAAATCGTACGCAGTGTCGCCTTTGCCAAAGACACCGTGTGTCGTATGCCAATACTCCGACACACCGACGAAGTGATTAACATCAAAGTCAATGGCGGGCACATGTTGGCCGTTCAACAGACATGGTTCATCCACACACGGAGTGTCTTTTCCCAGCAGAGGGAACGTGTGCTTCAGACAACTGGTAAAGTCCCCGGTTCCCAACAAAGCCAGATCCGATGGAGAGGGAGCATCGACAGGTTCTCCGGATGTCGTAGTTCGAAGCCCCTTTGGCAGGCATGGATCGGGAACTTCCTTAACATCGGCATCGTACATGTCCACAAGCTTCTTGACATAGTTCTCGCGGGCCTGATTGACGCCAAATCCGAGCCATGTCGCCGTAAAGACCTTGTATTCTGACCGTTCTCCGTCCAATGTCCGCATCCGCAAAAGCTTCAAATCGTTGGCATGCTTCGCGGCCTCAGTTGCATTTGGTGCGAAAGCGATCTGTGCCGAGGCACCACCCATGTCGAGGAAGCCGTATGTGTTGTGGCCCTTGCCGTGGTTGTGGTCTTCTGGACGGTCGAAGCCGCCCAACAAGTAGTTCGTCGCTATCCAACCGTATAATCCTTCTGTTTCACCCGGGATGACCTGGATGTGCAGGTCGCAATCGGGAAGGGAGAACTCGGTGTTGGCACGGAGATAGGAGCATATTTCGCGGGTGAGGGCCGACTGTTGAACCTTGGGAAGTAGTCGCATACCGGCCGTGGCCATCAGGAAGATGGGCGTGTCGTCGACCTGGTCTTTCGGGATAACATCGAGAGCGTGGTCGACAAGGCCCTTGAGGTGTTCAGGGCCAACGGCGGTTGGGTTTTCGCCGTAAGTCGATACGCCTGGGTGTATCTTTTTGGTCCATTTCTTCTCCGTGTGCAGTTTTGGCAGGCTACTTAGTTCTTCTTTCGAGGCGTGCTTCCTGGCCTTTGCGGGATCTTTCCACTTGTAGATGTGCAGCCGCGTTCCCGAGGAGCCAGCGTCCAGGACGATGCCGTACCGCCCTGTAGTAATGACAGATTAGCAAAAATAGGCGCAGTGGGTGAAGTTTGGTTTCAGGCGCAGTACATTTCTTGCCCATTGGGACGGCGCGGCGTGGTCGCTCGTTGCCGAGATTTTGTGCAGTCAGTCGATAAGCCTAGGTCGATGCCGCGTCGCTTAATCGGAGGCTGTAGTTTTCGATGTTCGGCAGAAGAGAATCATTCGGGAGGACACGATCCAGCGAGACGAGATAAGGACCGATTCGTGGAGGCCTGGGAAAAGGGTGACTGACGTCGCCAGGGCAATCGCGAAACGGGGAAGGGAAGATCGCTGTCCCAAATGAGGAAAAGGGTGATCGGGGGGGTTGCAGATCAAGGGGACAAGGAGGACGGGCAGGTGGTCGTTGGTCGTGGTCGTGGGTTGGGGATTGCAATGCACACGCAACGACGACGACAACAACAACAAAGAAGGCCAAAGTTAAATTTTATTTCTGGTAGCGAGTGAAACGAAGTAGATTGCGACGAGGTGAAGGGTATCTATCGATAGCGAGGGGATCGACCGAGTCGAGTTTATGCCAAAGACCAAAGTTTCCAAGTTGGTGAGAACGGAGGCAGACAGACGAGGACGAGACAACGGCTGGGCTGCAGTACAGTATGTAGTCTCGGTCAGCCCAGGCAGGTGGAGCGCGAGTTGCACTCGCACTGTCGGGCTGGTTGGCACATCTCGTGCCGAGCAGTCTCACAGCACAGGCACACGCAGGTTGGCTTTCCCCCGTGGGCTGGGAACATCCTGTCTTTGGCTTCTAAGAATAGGGGCCGACTGACCAATCCCCTGGTATGTTTTAGTGGCAAACTGCGCCAGCCGTCTGGATTCTGGTGGCCGCCCGCCCGCCCTGACATCCAACATCCCATTGCGACGGATCCAGCAGCACTCAAGCTTTCCAGGTCGAGACCCGCCAACACCAGCTATCAGACGAACAGTGTGAGCCGCAGGCCTGCAGGCGGCCAGCCACCGGCCCTGGTAATCTGGCACTGTGCAGCTGTTTGGGTGGTTGGCTGGGTCGGCGCAACTGACAGAACTTGCGACGAGTCCGCGTAATCACACACCTGGGCGCCCCTCTCCTCTCCAGTCCTCTCCAGTCCTTTCCAGTCCAGCCAGTCCGGTTCGGCCCAGTCCTGCCTTGCTAGTTTCCTGCCCGCCCGAGGGAGTGACAATAAGTGGATGGCCTCACCTCGTGTTGTTTACGGCTTCATGCACGAGACCATCACCTCACATACGAACAGCCCCGCGTTTCGACTTTATTATGGGGTCTCCCATGGCCAAGCCATGGCAACTGACGTCCCGCAATCACATCATCGTGCTGCTTGCACACAACAATCTGATCGATCGTTGGCGATCATAGTCTGGGTCCAACAAACCTGCCAGACTTGCACACCTGCACTGAGCAAAGCTTGGTTTCTCCGGCACTAGTTTTATCGTCTTTGCCTCATCCGCACAGTCAGTCCGTCTGTTGAGTGTGCTCGTGGGCGGATCTGTCCTAGACATGGAGCTGCTTCGGGCCAAGTGTATTATTTGTTCCAAGGATGCGCGCCATCAGTTCTACCATTACATTAGATCAAAGAATTGCCGCACTATTCATGTTGTCTCATACAGTATACATACTGTCTCCGACCCACCCGCACTCCTTTTAGTTGACCTGCAACTTAAGAGTCCCCTTACTGTTGAAAGATAACGACGACAATAAAACAACCAAAACGCCTTGCTAATGAAAGACAAAAAATAAATCAAAACACATCTCCCACATAGTACCAAACCCGAGTACCAAGCGTCTTCCCTCAATGTTGGTTTTTCCCCCCCACGTGGCGAGTTACTTCAACGTTATTTTCCCAGGATTCCCACCCGTCTCTTCTACTAGACCTACTCAGCGGGATCTTATCGTGACATTCCGCTCGGACGTGCATCCAATTGCTCATGTTTCTCATTTACGGTCGCGTCTCCGGGCTAAGGCTTTTCAGCAACGCTGCCCTGCAGAGGCTACCTACAGTGGCACATGTCAGGTTTGATGCACTGCTCCAGAAGATTTTAGTATTCTAGGCCTTCATGCCGCTTTGCAGCAGCCTTGGGATGTCGTGAATATCTCGAGTTGACAAGAATTCGACGATCTGGGCCGGTGTGGCAACATGTTCACTCCCGTCAAAGTTCGACTTGACCAGTTCCCAGAGCAAATTCAGAGCCGCGGAAGCGGCTTTGCATTCGCCTCTGGCGCGGTCCAGCTGCTCCTTCACGATGATATCTCGAGTGATAATTTCCTGGAGAAATGCACACATTTGCTGATTCTCCTGCTTTAGTTGGCGGTTAGTCTCAATAATGGGTTCATAGTCTGAAACAACGATAGACGGCAGACTGGCCTCGCTCGCGTTGTCTGAACTCGTATCCTCTAGCTCGTAAACCGGATCAATAGATGACAGGCTCCCTTGAATTGATGCATCCAGTTCATAAACGGAGACGATAGATGACACACTCTCTTGACTTGATGCATCTAGTTCATAGACGGGGCCGTGATCACCATGCGCCTCCTCCGCTATCGCAGGCAGTTGATGCTGGAGTATCGCCTTCTCCTCCTTGGTGAAACCAGCCCTACGCCGTCGAGACCTGGAAGCACGACGCTTCCGCGCAGGGAACGGTGGCTGGCAGCGAAGAGGGTCAGGCAACCCTGCCGGGAACGGTGCTGGCCTGCTAGATTTAGAGGGAATGGTCAATATCGGATTGCCAGACAGCTCACTTACGGCCGGAAGTTCAGATCTCCTTGTCGCCCGAGCAGGATGCTGAGCGATGCACGATCGCAGGTCTGAGATGGCTCGCTTCCTCTTTAACTTGGGCGGAAGAGGACTGATCAAAGGATACACCCGCGCTAGCACCGTTGGAATATTGTTAAAAGGGAACATTTTCACTGCAGGCCTCGTGGCTGCTGTTGAACCCAGCTCTCCTGTGACAATTGCGGTGTTGTGGTGAAAGTGTTCCTTAATTAAAATCATCACCTCCTTCGCTGCGGCTTTCGAAGGTCGACTGATCTGTGCAGTAAGTCGAATACGAGATCGCTGATTGCCGAGCTTTAAAAGGCAAGCAAGTGTTTGCAAAGGCAGCAGACAATAATAGCCTTCAAAGCGAGTGTTGAAAAGAAATTAAATGCTTTCGGGCTCTGAACAATCGATTATAATAGCGGCCTAGCCTTAAGCTACAACCCATTCAAAAGCACAAAGAGCCATATCAAAGCCTCAACTGTCTATAAAATTGAAAAGATACAAAGACATTGCTCTCTGACCACAATAGCATTGAATCGAGTACAAAGATGAGTAAACCCATGTACTCCTGATCTTCATTAGCGATACTCAGGTCCAACGCCTTGATGTGCCGTCGAACCGAAAGCTGGTACACCGGGGCGGTGCGCTACTAGAAACATTGTCAGTGTCCCAAGAACACAACTCAGCAAGGCAAAGATTTACCTCGGGGCCGCACCGGGGGAACAAATGACCCTGCCAGTCCCTGGCTCGTTTTCAGATGAGAGCTCAATCCTACTCCTGTGAGGCTCTCGGTGTTTGCCCGTGGATTGTGCTGCATCTCACGCAAAGGTTGCCGCACTCGTCCCGACCCATGAAGTGGTACTGGCGTACCTGACACAATTCCGGGCACCGCTGACAGGCCGAGACCGTCAGCGCCCGGTCGTTGTCGATGTGCTAGAGGCGTCATTGGTGCATCCACTGCTTAAATGTTAGAAGTTTAAGAAGCCACAGGTTCTGGCTTATCACTTGCCCCTTGGCATCGCCGGCCTAGTCCAAGCTCCAACACGAGGGTCCGACGCCATCATCTGGGGCTGAGCAGGCAAGGCTCCAGGGCGCTCCGTTCTCTCTACATACTGTGTTGGACGAAGCGGTGTTGCAAATTGATGTTCGTAGGCTCCACGCTCTGCCTGGGCAGCCTGCTGGGCAGCGTAAGAGGAACCACCTTGGAGGGTTGTGTCCACGGCGTCAGACGCGGCGTCCTGTATATGGCCGAGCATGGCCCTGCGTTTGAGCTTATCGTATAGTTCTTGCGTCTGAAGCAGCTTTCGGTTCTTCTCCTTGTATGCCTGGACCAATTCCTCATTCTTCCTGTTAAGGCTGTCATGGTCGAGCGCCATGCCTCACGAATGTCAGTTATGCCTGCAGCACGAGATCCGTGTCTCCGAGACTTACTGGCCAACTTGTTCTGAAGGTTTGTGAGCTGGGCGTTTGCATCACTGATGATGTTGTCGAGGGAAGTACTCAGCTCAGAGTAGCGGCTGGTGAGGACCTTACAGCGGTGGCTTTCCCAGGTCCTTACACACGGTCTCGTTAGAACGCGCGAGGATTCATATGGCTCGGTTGGTGCGGCGGGAGGACGAACAGATCCTGTGTCATCTGGTACGACCAGAAGCTCAGTGCTCGTCCTGCACATTCCATGATGGCCTCTGGACTCAGGCCACTGAGAACACTGGTCTTGTAGTCCTCACTGGGGTTGAGATTGGTGATGACGGCGTCGTCAGGTCTCGGCAGTGGTGACTGACATGCCGGGCACCTCCGGTGTTCAGGGGCGCTCCCATTAAAACCGGAGCGACTGACGCAGTCAACGCAGAATATGTGACTGTTTCGTGGTTGACGACTTAGCAATGTTGATCCGTGCAATGGAGAGGAAAGAAGGCTGCGTACCTGCAGGTAGTTACCAAAGCCCGCTCGCGCAGTTCCACCCGACATTTGATTTCGTTGCACCTGAGGGCATGCTCCATGCTTACTGAAGCCGCCTTGGTGTATATCACGCGTTGAGCGTGCGTGTTGGGGTGAATTTACATGTCCGAAATTGGGTAAAGTGTTAGGCAGAACCTGCCCAGAATTTCCTGGATCGAGACCCAAAGATTGAGGTGGACTCCCATTGTCATTAGAAACAGGTAGCTACCTAAGCAAGCTACTAGACGTGAGGTTCGTGACAGCAAGAACGGTCTGCTTGGCAGGGATGAAGCTGCGTGGGTACCTTCTGCCTGGCTCTTCCCCACCTGCCCTGCCCCTCCTGCTGTGGCTGAAGCTTAGCTTAGCTTACCTCACCCAAGCTTATGTTGACTTCATTCCAAGACAGTCTGAGGCCGAAACACTCTTTGAAGCAGGCGGGTTGTGTTTTCGAGGCAGACGAACAAGCTGAAGGGAAGCCTCCAAAGTTAGTCTTTCTCATTTCCCTCCTGTCCCGAAAATTATACCGTGCAGAAGGATGCTAAAGACTTGAGTAAGATGGCGGAAATCGTGGCAACCCAGACACCACCCGTCCTCGACGGACATGTGCCTTCAGAGAAGGAGAAGAAATATGACCGCCAACTTCGACTATGGGCGGCGAGCGGCCAAGCTGCTCTAGAGTCGGCAAACATCCTGCTTTTCAATACGGGCTCAGGTACCGTCGGCGTCGAGGCCCTCAAGAACCTAGTGCTACCGGGTAAAGTCATGCCCTGAACACCCGCCATTCATATCAAAGTTAACCTTCAACTCCAGGAATCGGCCGCTTTGCGATTATTGATGATGCCGTGGTGCAAGACGCTGACCTTGGTGTCAACTTTTTTCTCGACGAAACTTCCCTAGGCAGGTCACGGGCTCAGTCTTGCACAGAGCTCCTTCTCGAACTGAACCCGGAGGTCCAAGGGGAATGGTTTCCAAAGAACCAAGTATGTGGTCGCTATGATCCCTCTGAGCCAGTGTGATACTGTCAAGGTGGCCCTACTGATCGTGTGTTGCGAGCAGGAGCCGTTGGAGCTGGACAAGATCCTCGCGGCATCGCCTACTTTCACAATGATCATGTACACGTTGCCAATCGACCCAGCACACTTGAAGGTACTGCAAGGCTACGGACAGAGTCATCTTACACCTTTGGTCGCCATTCACTCGGCAGGATTGTACTCGTACTTCCGCGCGAGCCTCCCCGGCCCATTTCCTATCGTTGATACTCATCCGGACCAGACCGCCACTACTGACCTGCGACTCCTCTCTCCGTGGCCTGAACTGCGTGAATTTTCTGCGCAGATGACGAAGGATTTAGATGCCATGGACAACCATGAGCACGGCCACATACCATATGTGGTCATCCTGTTGCATCATCTTGAGCGGTGGAAGGATGCCCATGGTGATTATCCCAAGAATTACGCCGAGAAGACCCAGTTCCGCAAAATGGTCGCGGATGGGGCAAGGAGGGATAACGCGGAAGGTGGCGAGGAAAACTTCGACGAGGCGGTCGCGGCCGTCGTGAAGACCGTAGTGCCCACTAGTCTTCCATCGAGCCTAAAGGAGGTGTTCGACTACAGTCTCACTCAGCCAGTACGTTCCATTGAAGATGTTAATGCAGTCGATAGCGAGAGACGCTAATGTGGGATGGTTCAGATCGAGCAAAGGTCGAGCTTCTGGATCATCGCAGACGCAGTGAGGCTATTCTACGAGAGACATGACTGTTTGCCACTGCCGGGGAACGTACCAGACATGAAGGCGCAGTCCAAGGTGTACATTCAACTTCAGAGCATCTACAAGGCCAAAGCTCGGCAAGACGTGGCTGAGGTGCTGGGCATGGTCAGACAGCTCCCAGGTGGCGAAGATGTGGATCCCGGAGAGGTCGAACTTTTCTGCAAGAATGCAGCCTTCGTCAAGCTCATCAATTCTGGAGCCACAGGTGCTGATCGTCTCGCCCAAGTCGCCAGTAAGCCTTGTCATTGCATAGACATGCCTCATAGCCCCACATCGGGTGGAAGGGAGGTGCACGTGTGCTGACCAGCGTTGCAGATGAGGAACTAGACAACGACGCAAACATGGAGGCTATGATGATGCCTTTGTCCTTGATCCCGATATACCTGGCCCTCCATGCGACGTCACACAACGCTCAAGCGTCGTCAGAAGAGATCCTGGAGAAGATCGGAGACACTGTCCCAAATGCTGTCAAAAACGAACGACTTGTGAAGATGTCCAAAGAAGTTGCTCGTGCTGGCGGCGGAGAGTTGCACAACACATCTGCTCTGACTGGTGGGATGGTGGCCCAAGAGGTCATCAAGATCATCACGAAGCAATACATACCAGTCGACAATACCTGTATCTTCGACGGCATCAGCAGTAGATGCCAGGTACTTCGCCTGTGAACAGACGAAGCGATGACGCTTTGCATCGGCTTTCTCTCAAAGAACCTCACAGGAATCATTCAAAGTCCAATGGAAATACAACCAGTGTACTTTCCTGCCTTCCCGCCCCGGCGCTGGACGACTATGGCTTTGCCAATGGGAGTCGGGAATAGCTGACGGGCGCTTGGAAGGTATGGGACCTGACGCGGCCCTGTTCAGACATCAGCAGGCACGAATATTCCAAAATGGGAATGGATCCCTTGGCCAGAGAGCTTGGTTCGATCTCCCGTCATCCGGACCGTGGCATCCAAACCAGGGCAGGTCTTTACAAATAGATGACGAACTTGTCGGGCCGCAAGTCCTAGATTGCTAGCAGAGCCACTGCAACCCTGGAATTGCTCCTAGTACAAGGTGCCATTAAGCAGAATGCGGCCGTGTGGCCTGGGAATAAAATTCACACAGTTGCTACCAGTCATTAAAATAACTTACTCGCTACCGATGGTAGAGCCGGTAGGTGCAAGGACGCCCGCGAGAGATAACGCAAGTAGCCGCTGTGTCTCTGGCTTGCTTCGGCATGCGTGACAACTGACATCACCGAGTCTTTCGACTCAAGAACATGCCACGAAGGCTGTGAGTATGAAATTTAAGCCGCGGAACCGGGTACTTTCTTCATTTGTCTCGACTTTGTTGGTCCATGATGCTCCCGTGCGGGTACCTCCGTACGAGTACCTCCAGTCCCAGGAACCCAGAGCTGGGTGTTTTGTTCCTGGATTTTCCCCTGTCGATTAGAACGAGCGGGATCATATCCGTAAAACACACTTGGGCTGACAGGTGTGGGTGGGCCTAGGTTGCCGAGACTCTCAGAAAAACATGGCTGGAATATCCACGCACCCCAGGCATACCTCAGGTTTTCCCCTGGGAGCATGAAAGGCGAGATTGCGGTCGGTTTCGAGACGGCATAATCGATGCTCTTATTGGGCGGTATCAACACAGCCCCGGCTACAAGCATCGCTTAGAGAAGCATGACAGCTGTCTTCCACCAACATGGACTGCCCGTGTGGCAGCTCGGTTGGGCTTCGAGGTCAAATTTGACAGCTCCGGCACGGTAGCCGGCAAGCATGACGAGATGAACCGATTGTTGCAGATGTATAGCGCTGGGACCCGCCTCGTGCAACGACAGTCGGCTAAGAGCAGGGCGTCATCAGAAAGTGTTGGATGCGACATTCCATCGCGCTCCACTACCGATGATTTCAAGGCTCGCCTATTTGAAGGGCCAGCACATTTGCACAAATCGGCCACTTATCATGTGGACATCAAATTTGGACAGTGATACTGCATTTGGAAAATCTGGCCGCCTCGCGGGCCTCAATGCCGTGACTATGCCTCTGATTCGGCACACTTGCACAAATTCCTCAAAAGCAGGCGAGGTATATGACTGGTATCGGCGGTGTCGCCGCCCATTGGCCTGCTCGGCCGCCGCCCTGTCCATATGCGGAGTGTCCTACTGCAATGTCAGGCTGAGGATTGCCTTAATTGGGAAATCCGATATGGGTCTCGCTATGGCCCACTTTGTTTGAATCCGCACTTCTTATATCCAGACAAGTCGAATGTGGGCGGCAAAGACCACTTGAAGACGCCCTGAAGATGAGTCGAGTCGCCAACACTCGTACAGCACAACACCAAGCCCCAGAAATGGGCAGCGAAGGTACAGCAGGGGGAGCTGCCCAAAGGTGTTTCAGATCGTCAGGACACTGGGAATTTCCAGCAATTACCCGCGACCTGACGGATGATTGGGTGGACAAAATCGGCAAAGAGACAACCCTGCTCATCTGATTTCTAACATCTGACCTGCACATCTCTGATGATCATATGCAAACAGGCTCGCTTGCCTAAAGGTCCATAGCACCTGCATGCGGCCCCAAATCACCCTACATACACAGCGCGGAATACTATGTACACGATGTGTGCAACATGTGGGGAAGGCCAACTGCGACTGTGACTGGCTGGGCGGCTCGACTCCTCCGTCAAGTGTCGCCGAAAGTTCTACACATCACAGTTTACCGGCGAGGCCACAACATGTTGCACCCCACCAGGGGAGTGCTACTCCCATAGCCTGCCCCTTACTCATCAGTACCGGGACGCCAAGCCGCTACCGCCTTTCAACCGCCATCGCCTCATGCATGCAGTGGACCTCGTGAGACAAAGTTGTACCGCGATGGGATGTGGGGACCGAGGCGCCGGAAGGGGACGGGAAGGACGCGAGTAGCGGCAGGCGGAAATCCTTCCTTTGGCGCCGAAGAACAGGACACGCACCCATCACCTAGCAATGCTTCAGTCCGGGGTACACACCTAGGCGAGCGAGTCTTTCGAGGGTGTCAGCACTTGATGCGCGTCACCAGGTGTTTCTTTCTGGGGTCTTTTGCGGGGTGAACGGGACGATCGCGGCGCCAATCCAGGGACGACGAGTGAGCGGCGTCAGGGACCAGCGCATGTTGCTGGCTGAGATGCTCATCGCAGACAACTGTGCCCAGACGTCTGGCCTCTGTGCTGGTCCAGCCGAAGTCTAGAAGCACTCCACAACCATCGAAGGAAGGCCTTCTGGTCCCCTGCGAACGTTGAGGAGCCCATAAGGAGTGGGCCAGCTGCAGAGTACTCCAGAGGAGTGGCTTTCCCACACCGACTTCGCCCGAGAGGCCACTTCAAATGGTTCCCCAGACAGGCTTGCCTTAACGGGCACTATCCCAAGAATGGGGACGGGCGCGAGAGGCGACCTCAAGTCGGCTTTTGAGCGCTTCGGGCTTGGGCCGAACCACACACATTGCATGTTGAGAGCATCGTGGTTCGGGCGCCGTCTCTCGGGACCCATCACGCTGACTCGAGGTTGCTGACGCTAATGTCGAATACGTCTTTGAAGCTTCACATCATGGGACAAGACGCGCAGGGCCGAGATTCCTGTGTCAAGGCTGAGGGCGCCGTCGTGGTGAGCTACTCGTCCATGGCCCAGTCGAGCCGCCTGGAAGCGTCGCGGTGGCTCGAAGTGCTAGTGACTAGGTCCCAGAGAATGGCCATTCGCGGGCTCCGCTTCAGGCAATGATGAACATCTTGCCAGGGCAGGAGGCATGCCACTCAATATCGAGCTGTCAATTAACCGACGCTGGCCACGACCGAAATACTGCCACTGCTGTGACCATGTAAGGTATGGTCCTGTGGTCAAACCAGAAGCCCAGGTCAATGGCGCCGTGCAGAGGCTACCTCTCCAGATTGCCGTGGGCGATTGTTCCACTGATTGGCCCAGAACGTTCGATCATCCATTATTCCCCATCATTTCCATGGCCAAACGCTACCGCAGTACATGCGGCTTTCCCCACAATGTTGGATTCAACGTCGTTCCCCCTCCACTACGGCGTGTGCAAGTTACACAGCGCACGCTGATGTCCAACAAAGATCGATGGAGATGGCGATCTCTCGTCATGAACCACTTCACCTCCTGTGTCACTATTACAGTTGAGCTTGTGCCTGTCCATCCTGCACGGCAGCCTGTCGGAAAGACGGCCATGTCCTGTGACTCAGGGACGGCATCTTGCCGGCCCACACTGCAACGCAGTGCAAATGTGTGAGTGGCGCTGAAAGAAGGAAGTTCCAGCCCATGACAGTTCAGCACAGGTACCCATGTTCACACGTTGATTAGAGTTTGTTAAGGTTGATTCCCTGCTCTACATCGGCTCACCCATGCTCGTGCCCCAGTCCTTGTCGTGCCACATCCCCACGATCCTTGCCTGTTCCTGTTTTGCGGTACTCTTATGCCTCCATCGTCTGTCTGCTACGAGCTTGTTCCTTTCCGTTCCCCCTCACTGATTTCCTGCCGAAGCCGACCCATGCTCTTCCAGCAGTCAGCCGACCTGCGTGCCACCCACGGTGCTAACGGGCCAGTGTCATGTAGGTACATAGCGACGTCTTTTCTGGACTGGCGAACGGGTGCAAATCAGGTATCTACGGCTGGGACATGGTGGCGCTGTTCTTCATCTTTGCTCGTCTGGCCCTGACCACGAGTTGTAAATAGGCCCTGCTGTGGTACAGCATTTTGACAGTACAACTGCGAGTACAAGCTGTCTCCGAAGCTGCTTGGGCTGGGACAAACTGTGCAGCCATCAACGGGCTCCCCTGCCCCTCTCCTTTTACTGTCATTACCTGAGTTTTACTCACCTGTTCCTCTGCCCCTTCTAAATTCTACTCACATTTCCCTCAAGTTCAACCAAGATTAGCCTCTAGGGCCCTGGCGGTTGACCGTATACCCGTTGGGGTTTACTTTGGGACCGATTCCTGATTTCAGCGGTCTGGCTCGTGAACTTGTCTATTCCAGACGCTTCCTGGCCAGTGAAATGCCCTGTTCTTCCTTTTTTGTCTCTCACTCTGGCCTGGACTTGACCGAGCATGGGGAACTCGGCATTGACCAGTCCCCTTTGCCCTTCGTCCTCCTCTTCGTCCCCCCCCCCCCTTTTGAACTACCTGAGGTACAACACATCCCCCTCCACACCAGGTGGATGGGAACTAGGATTAGCACTGCATAGTACCTATCGCACACAAGGTCCCTTGCCAAGTTCCACCTCTCACGGCCCTCGGTACAACACCGCGATGTGAACAACTAAATTGTTCTCCATTCTCGGCCCCTGTCGCCCTGGGTCCCCAAGCTTCTCCGCAGTTCTGCACATCCCTGGCGATCCGTCACTCAAAGTCCCATCCCCACAGTCTAATTTATTGACCCTTGCTCACCTACACTGGCACGCAAGGTCAGTATATAACCATTTGCCCCCATCCTGCTTCTCCTCGATTTGGGCTACCTGAGGGCAGAAGAAGTCCTCGATGGTACTCTCTGTGATGGCCAAGCTTTAGATCAGCTTCATTCTTCTGTTTGCTCTTGTATATACCACTTGTCTATGATTGTATATGCTTTCACGATATCAACACCCGGACTACTCCACGCCATCAAACACTGATCTCCATTTCCCATCATGGCGCCGGCCACTTCAACATCCGCCCAAGGTGGCATGTTTCACACCTTCCAGGGTGTGACTCCCAGGAAACCAGCTTCAGAGCAACAACAAGAGAACCCCAAATCTAGCAGTTCTGCTGCGGCAAAGAGGATAACAACGCCCCATGCGTGTGCTGAGTGCAAACGCCGCAAGATGTCAGTTGCCAAACACGTAGTCTACAACACTTGGGCTTCTCGACTAACACGGCTTCTACCAGTCGATGTGACGGCCAACAACCTTGTGGCCAATGCCTCTCGAGCCGTGCTCCTAAGCGTTGCTTCTACGACAAGCACCGCCAACGCGTGATCCCTTCACGCAAGTAAGTACTCATCGGCCACCGCAGCAGAAAGGTCCTAACCAGTACAGAACCCTTGAGGCTCTATCTCAGTCGCTGGAAGAGTGCCGGTCAATTCTGAACCGGCTATATCCCAGCCACGACGTCCAGTCTCTCCTGCCACTCTCGCGGCATGAGCTTCTAGATCTTCTCGACCGCCCTTATATCGACACATCTCTACACGGACTTCCATCACCACCCCTCACATCGCCAACTCTCAATGGCGAGCTTGATTCACCGATCTGTTCTACCTCAGGTGAGACCTTGTCCAACCTCGAGCAGTTGCCTGGCCGCGATACAGAGTGGGACGAGGAGCGGAGAGGCAGGGAACCAATCCCAGTGGAAGCGGATGATGTCAACGCCCTTTCACTCTCTGTCGACCGACAGACCTCCTACCTGGGAGCGTCCTCTATCAAGGCTGCATTGATGGTCATGCTCAAGGTCCAGCCTCAGCTCCGAAATGCTCTAGCCGCACCCCTCAATACCTCTGAAATTCCACACACCTTTCCCGCAGCTCGAACCAAGTCATCGACGCAAAAGGACCCACAAAGGATCCCGTGGTCATGGAAAGGCCAAACTCTCATCGACGCCTACTTCAAGAGGATCCACGTATTCATCCCGATGCTTGACGAGACGTCTTTCCGGGCCGACTATCTGGAGGGTCAGCGATTTGACGTTCCCTGGTTGGCTCTTGTCAACATGGTGTTCGCAATGGGCAGTATCGTGGCGATGAAGTCAGATGATTACAACCACGTCAACTATTATAACCGAGCAATGGAGTTCTTGCCTCTGGATGCCTTTGGAAGCAGTCACATCGAGACTGTACAAGCCCTGGCCTTGATCGGCGGCTACTATCTCCACTATATCAACAGGCCAAACATGGCCAATGCCGTTCTCGGCGGCACCATCCGGATGGCAAGTGCCCTTGGTCTTCACAGAGAAAGCCTTGCGCAGAGCACCAGCGACGTGTCTGCTGCTGAGACCCGGAGACGCACTTGGTGGAGCCTGTTCTGCTTGGATACGTGGGCGACCACAACTATGGGCCGCCCCTCATTCGGCCGCTGGGGATCTGCGATCAACATTCGAGCTCCTGAATTTGGAATTAACTCCTCCCGAGACTCGTCCCAGCACGCAGGCATCCTGCCTTTGATTGAGAACATCAAGTTCTGCAAGATCGCAACTGCCATCCAGGACACGCTGGCTGTAGCGCCCCTCGTCTCAACCGAAGACCGCCACAGCCTGGACGGCCAGCTAGTCAACTGGTACAGCAGCCTGCCCTGGCTCCTGCGGACCACAGATCCCTGCGCGGAACCGCTCTACATCGCCCGCTGCATCATGAAGTGGCGCTATCAGAACCTTCGCATGCTCCTCCACCGCCCGGTGCTCCTCAGCCTCGCCAGCGCCAACGCACAGGAAGCGACAGACGTGGACATCGCGGCGGTCGAGACGTGCCGGGAGCTCGCCAAGCACACCATCGACGACATCGCGCGGGAGTGGACGCGCAACCAGATGCAAGGGTGGAACGCGGCCTGGTTCCTGTACCAGGCGGCCATGGTCCCGCTCGTGTCGGTGTTCTGGCAGTGGAACAGCCCGCGCGTGCCCGAGTGGAACAAGCAGATCGAGACGGTCATCGAGCTCCTGGACGCCATGGAGGACTGGTCGCTGGCGGCGCGCCGCAGCCGCGAGGTCGTGTGGCGCATGTACGAGGCCAGCCGCACCATCGCGCACACGCGGTCCGAGGCGTCGTCGGCCGCCGCGGCCGCCGCGCCCCTGACGCCGGGCTCGCTGCACAGCCTGGCCATCAGCACGGACATGGGCGCGCTCCTGGCCGGGTCGCCGGGCTCGGAGCTGCACATGTCGCCGATCGGGCTGGGGCCCGACGGCATCCCCATCATGGACATGCTGGACCAGCAGGGCCTGCTCATGGACCACGAGGGCAGCATGTACTGGGGCCAGGCGGCGGACGACATGGGCCTCGACCCCTACTCGGCGGCAGGCGTCCACGACGGCGGCATGGGCTTGGGCCACCAGCAGCCCATCGACTACGGCATGCTGACGGGGGCTGGTGGCCACCCCGGCTCGCTGGACGGCGCCTATCCTTTCGTCCACTGAGCCCTTCGTTGTGGGTCACGGCCGGGAGTAGCAAAGCGGTACCGTGTTTGGTTACATTTTCCGTTTCCCGGCTGATACTCTGCCATGCGCTAGCGGGGATCGCGGGTCGGATTCTTCTTTTTCCCTTTCTCCTTTTTTTGCCCAGTTGAGCATGGTCTCATCATTTTTTGTACATACCCTCTTTTTCCACTTCTTCCTGTTATGAGCGGGCTTGCTTGGGTGCTTGCTTGCATGCGCTTTCCTTACGATGTTGACGAATCACAAAAAAATAAGGTCATGGAGGCAAATTGTGTCTTTCAATACACCGAGGGAGGACACAAGTCCGAGAGACATGGCTGAGAGATGCCTCGGGATTGGCTACGATTGTACGTATGGGGTGGACGGTTGGAACACTAGCCCCGGCCGAGATGCAGTGAGCCGGCCAAGGCAGTACAGATACTTCACAGGGACATTGGGGGAAGCAGGTGTCTGAATATCGATAGGAAGCAGTTTGATGAATAGTCAGGCCCTCGAATACTATCAAGTTCTCAGGTCGCACACACACCCAAGAAAAAAAAATAGGCCCAAAGCTCAGCCAGGCAAGGATCGCAAGTGATGGAACAAAACACATTGAGCCTCCACCTGAGGTGGTGATTGTATTTTTCCGGACCACGTCACTCACACCCTCTTGCTCGGATATTGCGAGACATGGCCGTGGGCGCGAGGCGCAGGCGATCGATCATGTACCATGCGTTTTTCTGTTGAACCACAGAATGCAGGTCCGACACCTGCTGTGTGAGTGTGGGGAGACGTGGGCGTAAAGACATTCTGGCTTGGCTATTTTTGATATAGCACATGCGGGTTCTCGACGCCACCGAGAGGAAGAATGGGAGTAGGAGGGCAGATGGTGTGTGCCCCGCTGCCGCTCCCCATGGGGAAACTGTGCATGTTCATATCGGGGCGGGATCTCTGGTGTGCCGTCCCGCCGGCCCCCCACCCACCAGACATAGGAAAGGCAAAGAAGTAAACAACCACCAACGCCAGCCGGAAGCGAAATTGCGGCGCGGCTACAGGAAAGGACTTCTTCCTTTCGCGAAGCCCGTTGAATGGAGGGACGTGCACAAAAAGGAAAAGATGGCATCCTGAACCCTGACAGACGTGGGCAGGTGTCTCCCTGCCTCGTCTCGTCAGCATTTTGTCATCGGCCGAGGGGGAGGGATATTGGGAGGGTGGCACAACGGTGCGTTCGATGATCGCACGCGTGAGGGAGGCGAGCCTATCGTGCAGTTTTGTTGGGCAGAGGAACTTTACCTGGCCCCTTTCATCTAATTAGTGGCAAATGTCTGCTTTCCCGCGTATGGTGCAGTCCAGACAGGCATGGCATGGCCTCTCGTCATGGGAGATCTTCTGCTTGCTGTCCTCATGGGATCAACCCCGTCTGGCAAGATCAGCCTCCATGTCGACGCGTCGTGGCGCTCAGTCGGGGACGAGGGCTCGCCTCCTAGCAACCTTGCAACCCAGTACGGCGGGTAGCAGTGGCTGAGTGGTAAGTAGGCCACCATGTCAGAGAGTTATACGTGTAGATAGGCCAAGGGTGGTGGAGATCACAGCCTTCCAAGACAGACTGGGAACTGATCTCCCCCTGGTGTTCTCGAGGGAAGTCTATCGATCCTGCCCACAGATCCCCTGTTGTGGCCTTGGCTGAGGGTCCCGGCCGGCAGGAGCTGGAGGGAGGATGCCGCAGACTGGCTGACAGGCTGGCTAGCTGAGTGACAGGAGGGGCGATGGAGAGGGAGCTCGGCGCCGGTCTGGTGGAATCCGGAGACACCTTCGGACGGGAGACATGAGCTGTGTGTTTCCTGATGGGGACCCATGACTCAACGTGGAGGCTGGCGAGTGCCAGACGCCTAGTCAGTGCCGTTGGGTAGTATGGCACGTCATGGCGACGAGATGGATGGCAGGTGACACATTTGGCGCCCCTGTTGTCCCTCTCAGTTGTCTCCCCTGGGTGTTGTGCCAAGTGTTAAGCACCGTTGCTTTGAGTAGCACACGATGGACTTTTACCGAGAGGCATGGAATTCTTGACGGGTTTTCGATGGTATTGGCAGGATTGGGCGTATAGGCAGGGGTGCATGACAGGCCATGGTCAATGGCAGGTCAGACAGGCGATCGGCATGAAGGAGGCTTAAAGGTAGCATGCGCGTGCTGATCACAAAAAGAGCTTGGCCAGGAAAGGATGGCAGCTGTGGGGCGCGGTGCGGTGCGACTGTGCGAAGGGGGGGGGCGCCTGGCGCCTTGGGGAGCACTGAGAGGTCCTCGGTGGGCCTTGGGGTGATGTGTGGTGTGTGGTAGACTATGTGGTATGTGGGTGCAAGGTTTGGCTAGAGCACCGAGGGTCCCTCCACCAGGCCTTCACCAAGGGGCCCAGGGGCTCTGCCAGTCCAACTTGGCAGATGGGTAGGTTTCCCGAAGTTCCTGCTGGATACCACGATACCCTCGCCTGACTAGGCCTGATTATACCCAAGCTCGAATGCAGGTCCTGAAAAAAAAGGTTGGTCTGTTGGGGTAGAGTTGGAGAAGGAGGGGTGGGGACAGCTCTGGAAGGTCTGCACGGCGCCTGGAAGACTTGCGATTGGAGGCGGTACCTGGTGAGGGGCTGGTGCTGGGGGGAGGGCTCTCCCAGCCTTTGGACGATCGACAGGGAGCAGGGCCAGATGAACTCCTGGAGCAATCTGGAGTTGCGGCCCGTCGCGAGACGTGGATGCGAGGTCGCCTGTACCTGCATTCTGCAGAGTCTCTGTGCCTGGTGCAACGTCTCCAAGACATCCTACCCACCAGCCCCACCCTCTGAGCGGGGGCACCCTTGCCGCTGCATGGTGTACATGCATCAGGTACAGCCCCCATGTACCCTGCGGGGCAATAGGGGTAGCATCGAAGGGACAGGAAGGGCCAGGAAGGGCCAGGAAGGTCGCAGGAAGGCCAGGAAGTCGCTTCGAGAACAGAGAAGAAAAGACAACGCCCCACCGGCTGGACTGCCCGACTAGGCTGGTGCCATCACGACTTGCTTCTTCGGCCTAACCGGCAACGGCACTGCACAGAGAGAGACTGTGATGATCCACAGCTGACGGGCATACGGAAGGGCTGGAGGCTCGAGCATTACCGAGTGTTATGGGTTCTCAGCTGTTCTGTCGGTTAAGGTGTCGGGGAGTTAGGTCAGAGGTCTGGCTTTCAGGCTTCCTGGCTGTCTTGCCCAGCTTGCTTTCTGGCTATGTGCAGGTGCCCGCATGACCGCCCATTCAATGGAATCTCGGCCCTGCTCCAGCCTGCAACAACCCAACAGTGAAACCTATAACAAACCCTTCCTATTATCATATGCTGCAAGACCCAAACAACAAGACCACAGCACGCGGGGGCAAACTGACAACTGACCACTGACTACTACCACCACAAGTACGGACCTCGGACCACGGACTATGGGCCATGCGCGAGTCCCTCCGTCTAACCAACCCACTTGGCGAATGCCGCCCTGACGCCTTCAACCCAATCGCATATCATCTTTGACAGCCACCACCATCACAATCACCATCACCCAAGCGGGTACGTACAGCACACACAGCCTGATCCACTGTTCTATTGCGGCACAGCTCCACATGTCCAGCACAAAGCTACTGACCACTGCATAGCAGCGGCCGCCTCCGTTATTCCCCTGCCCGGCTTCAGTCCGATCCGGACAGAAGAGCCTGCCTCCCAAGCACCTTGACTCATTTTCGGCTTTCCCTTCTTCTCCTTTAATCTGGATCAGTTGGTCGCATGTCATGCCGGCACTCGAGGGGCACTTGCGGTCGGTCCTCTCTTGACCGGTGAAGCTTAATGGGCATCGGTCTTGCATCCTGAACCATCCCTAGCCATGCCGGCACTCGACGCCCTGCAGTTGGGGTTCTCGGCGGAACCCGACAGGGGCCACCCATTCTTATGGCTATGCCAGGGTGCTGCTGGCTTGCTCCGTCACTCACTCACCTATGACCCGCTCGCTTCGCCCATCCTGCCTTGGCCAAAGCTTCGTGAGTAGCTGCCCGTTCTCGCATAGGGTTCTGGCCCCAACACGACGCTCGTCGTCAATATGGCCTCGCCAATGGCAGTGGTGCGGCAGTAGGCAGCAGAGAGGGGCGATTGCGTGGATAACTGCTTCTTCGGGTCAGGGGTGGCCGATTAGCCAAAGTGCGGGCAAGATGGCCTCCTCTCGCGACGGGGATCGCGCACCAGACAATGGTGGAAATGGTGTTTATCCAGCGGGCTACTGCACACACAAGGCCAAGTTTCCCGCTCCCAACACTGCCATCTGGTGCTGCTGTCCCCTCCCAGGCGAGCACCCACCTGCTTCTTCTTCTCTCTCAAGCGAGCTGTCGCAGCCACGCGCGCACCGCATCTGGAGGAACATGTGGCTTGCATTCGGCGTCAAGTTGTTCCACCAGACCGGCGTGGACGGCGTGGAGGCTTAAATCAATCTGACACAGGTCAGCCAAAGCGTATGTATGCAGTCCCCGACAGTCCGGTTACCCGTGGACCCAGGTAGGCGCCAACTTTCTCTCGCCTGAGACCTTTCCTGCCAGGGGTGGGGGGTTATGCACCCTCAGGCCGGGGTTCTTGGGAGCCGCACTAGTTGCGCGGCTTTCTCACCACCCGCAGAACCTCATTTTAAATGCTCAGCCCTGGATCGAAACTCTGAAGGAATTCTTCGGAAGACGTGTATCATGTAGAAATAAGGTGTTCAGGGGGGACAATCAGGAATCGGATGTGCTGGCTTGGTCAAACCGATGGCATCCGTATCGCGCCGGCGGGCTATGCACGGTGCAAAGTATACTTTGACCTTGTAGCGGCTGGCGCTACTGTTACAGAAAATGTCGCAACGGTCCAATTGGCTCTGTTTTGTATAGTCCATCAACCAAGTCTACATAGGCTCGACAATTGGTGTGTTGTAGCTTCGTGTAAGCTCAGACGGCATTGTCTTGTGGCGAGCGGTCTAAGAGTTAATTTCGCATGAGAAATAGACCGCGATCATTATGATTCGCGCCTCTTAGTTGATAGCTAAGGAGTCGGCCAATTCAATGCTCGCTTGACTTTTGTGTGAAGTGGCACGATGCTTTCTCACAGCCCTGGTACGATTGTTTGAACTCTGGTGTGCAATTGGCTCAGTACACTGGTGAGTCTCTCACTTATGCTGAGAAGGAACCGGTACAAAGCTTCGCAATTTAAAATGAATTGAATGAATTCAATCCTATCACATGCGTTGATGCATAAGATTCAGTATCAATATGTAGCGAGTTGGCACTTTTGAGTACAGTTGCTTGATAAGTGCTAGGAAAGAAATGTTAGCTCATGTTGAGGTAGATCCCGAAACAAAAGCACAGAATGTTGGGTATATTGACGAGGTTTCTGAGCTAAAAGAGCCATCCCTGATCAACTGTACAGGTTGTTGTGACGCGCTTGTGGCAGCTCTCATGACACCGGCAAAGCAAGCAGCACCCATTGGCACTCAGAATCTTGTACAATTGTAGCACAGAATAATTGTACACCGGCACGAGCTAGATCATGTCACAAAATCAGATTAGATCAGCCATCTCGAGGGCTTTTAGTAATGGCGGCCCTCGTATCATGAGAGACAGACATCATTACAAACTTAGAATCAACGAGACATATCCATCAATGTTCAGTCGCGTACATGCGGTTTGGCATATCCTCCTGAGAAAGAGCTACATGATCAAAGCTGGCATGTAACTGGCACTGTCATATTGTGTGCAACGACAGGTGATAATCAATTGATGCATCCCACAAATGAACATCGTGTTACTGTTTTTGCCTAATTTGACCAGTTGAGACATAATTGTACCTACTGACACGTTGAAACTTCCCTTTGGGTTTTATCAAAAGGGCCTGTTGAGTATTGAACATCTGCACCTGCATGTTGATTTGTCAATCTTCGAGGATGTCGATGAGTCGACAAAGGTACACATATTTTTGCGTGGAATCATGCCACTATGAACATTTTCCAGCCATAAACGTAACCTCATAGCATATCGTGACGCTTGACGTACTTAGGATCCATGTTTTGCTTTGGACAATGTATCGATTTGAATACATCACCGATCAAACTTGGGGCAGACCTGTTTAGGCTGAAAGTCATCTCCGGGTTTTATTTGAGAATCTCAGCAAAGTAGCTGGCCTTTGATGCCTTGAATACGATACAATCATCAGGGGTATCCCATATTCCGTACATGTTGATGCAGATACGCCGTACATCCCGATTTTGGACGCCTGAAATGTGAAGCACAGAGAGACACTAGACGGTGGTCTAGCGCTCACCAGATGACTGAGATCCCACAATTCCAGTGGCCGCACCCTTCTCAGCCCCCCGCCGCTCGTTCTCCGTGCGGATTTGCTCGTCCCGCTGGTCTTCTAGTGAGCCTCTATTGCGGCGGTATGTCCCCACGGTAAGGAGCACACCAACACCTGCAATTATGGCACACACTTCCATCGTCTGCGTGAATGAGTCGTTGTAGGCCTTGCGGACTGCAGCTCCCTGAAGGGGGATGATAGTGGGATGACCATTTCCCAAACTCGACACCACTGACGAAGGGACCATCCCAGCAAGGTGCTTTCTCTGCTCAACTGCCAGGATCGCTGATGACATAGCTATGCCAATGCTTCCTCCTAGCATTCGAGACTGAGCAACGATACCTTGGGCGGGAGCTAAAAGAAACGCCTTGTGAGTTGTGCTTATGTTACCATGTCGGGAGGGTTCCATGCAGACTTACCATGCTCGGTGATAGGGGCTTCTGTGGTTGTGAACATAGTTGCAGAAGCCGTAATCATGCCATAACCCAGGCCGATGAACACCAGGAAACCCAGAAATTTTGGCTCGAGCTCGACAGAAGCTGACACCGTTGTCTCAAGAGCCAGGCCCAGTGTCACCAGCACAGTACCGACCGTCATTGTCTCGGACAGCCGGTTTCGTTTCTTGCTTAATGCACCTGTGAGAGCACTCCCAATACCGGTGCCACCAAGCATAGGGAGCATCATAACACCGGCAATGACCGGGCTCTTGCCATTGACGACCTGAAGGCGAAGTGGCACAGCGAAAAGTGCGGCGAGGTAAGAGAAACCAAGGAATATGGTGTTCAAGATGACTGCTGCAAACACACGGTTGCGGATCAGGACGAGCGGCAACGCCGCCATCTTCTTGCTCCAAAGTCGCTCAAATGCGCCCTCCCACGCAAAGAGGCCGATCCAACTTACGAGACCCGCCACCAGCGGTCCGATAAAGGTCGCCTTGGACCATGGGTTCTCCACCTGGCTATGCCCGGCGTCCTGGAAGGCAAAGACTACAAGTACCGAGGCTGCTACAACAAGTAGCGATCCCAGGAAATCCAAGTCCTTCCATGATCGCTTGTGGATGTTAGGGACGTATGCAGCGTCAGGCCACGAGGCGTAGAAGAGGATCATCGCCACGAATCCAATGGGGCCACTGGAGATCAGGTTAGGATCTGAAGATTGTAAATTCAGTGGAGCACGTATGAGTTAAGAATACGCTCACTTGATCCAGAACACCCACCGCCAAGTGGCGTACTCAGTGAAAATACCACCGAGGATCGGGCCAAGCACGCCAGATGTTGATATGACCATTCCGATAAGAGGAGCTATAAAGTTCCTGGCCTTCGGTGGACTCATCTCAGGGAATATGATCATAGTGACGGAGAACAGGCCAGATCCACCGATGCCCTGGAACGCTCGACAGACAATGAGGGAGTCCATGTTCTGTGAGAAGCCGCAACCGAGTGAAAAGGAGAAGAAGATAAGGAAAGCGGCGACGAAAGCATTCCGTCTGCCGACGATGTCGGCCATCCTCGAGAAGAACACAGCAGACCCAAGGAAGGTCAGCGTGTAGGCCAGTGCGACCCAGTTGATACGTTCCATGTCGTGAAATTCTACACCGATGGTGTACAGACTGGTTGCGACGATGGAGGCGTCAACCATGGAGAGGCCGAGGCCGAAGCAGAGGCTATGCAAGACGTCAGTCATGAATACTTGGTAACGTTTTGCTGGGGGATGGGGGTAATAGACCCAACACAGAGAAATGCAAACCGCAATGGAGGGACATTTGACTCTCGGAACAGATTCTCAGCTCCAGGGTCGGGCTGGCTGTCAGCTGTAGGAGGCAGGTCTCGGGGTGCCATCTTGTTGACAGACCCGCATTCGAGTACAATTTGAAAGCTGAAATGCAGAAGAGGAACAGCACAGACTTCAACAAGTTGCCGGAAATATGGTAATTGTTGCACCGTGGAACGTCTAAGACGGGTTGAAGGAGTTTGTCTCGGATAGCTTCGTGAGGAGTGAGACCTCTGCGGGTCGTCAAGGTCTGTATCCGTGAAGTAGAAGGTTAGTTGATATAGCACACGATGTCTGGACCAAGTCGGAGATCGGGACAACCAACCTATCCTTTGGCAACAAGGAGGGGCTTTGGATTGGCCTTGCTTTGTTTTGCTGGAGTAAGCGAGGCCCGACGGCAGCAAGCTAAGTGGACGCCAGTCGCAGCTACCATGACGATGCAAGTGAGCCCAGCCAGACAAATTCCCTTCTTCTCCTCAAGCCACCTGCAGTTTGATACAAACAGCAGAGAATCTTCACTTCTCTTTGACTGCCAACACATTCGCATGCCAAGCCCATGTCACAGCAGCCAGATTCCTCCAGAGACAGAACAGCGCTGTTTGCCATTTCATATTCAAGACTGCACACAAATGCTGCTGAAAGGCGCCTCGTCAGCTGGGGGGAAAGTACAACAGCTAACCTGCAGGACGGACATGAAAAGTGCCCAATCAGGACAGAAGGGAGACCGTAAAGAGTAAAACACGTTGTTTGTAGCGGGCATGGGAAAGCCGAATGCGCAAATCATTTCTTACTCGCACTCGGACTCGCTTGCACTGCTGACATGCCTACTGACCTAAGCGCATTGCGCCTAGGCTGGTGGCACCTTCGTTTGCTGGAGCGCCTCTGAACCGAATGCAAGCTCATATTCCAAACATCTTTCAAAACATTCAGGGAGTAGCTTTTGTTCAAATGCGAAGGCAAAAACGAAACAAAAAAAAAGCCATACCAGGCCACCGTGAGGGGCTTGATTGGGCACCTCTCTCAACGGCTTCCTCCCACCGAACCCAAGAGGAACAGCTGGATCTCGTGAAACTGACCTGCTGCGGTAAGCCGCCGTGCCTGACCACCGGCACTGCCGTACGGTTTGCCGTACGGACTGCCGTGGCCACTCGCGACACGGCCGTAGATGAAGTGCTTCTCGCCGCGCATGTGCTCACTCGGTGCCACGGCCGTGTCACCCTGGGCGCGCCCACCGTCGAGGCGGCTCGCAAGACGAGAAATGTGCCGTTGCCCAGCCCGTGGAAGTTGAGCCGCGCTTGTGCGCCCCCAACTCGCCTTCTGGGGTGTTCTAGACTGTGCACTTTGTCTCAGAGGACGAGCTCCGACGCATCGTTTGGTCAGGTACGCGAGCGTCTGCAATGCCACGGTACGCGGCCGGACATAGCTCTGGTCAAAGCTGAAAGCTCGGTCTGTTTGAAGTCGAGTTTACGAAAGCTCCTCCCACAACAAGACATCTTGAATTGATGAAGGGCACTCCCTTTCGCAAGGCCTGTCCCTCGCGCAATGAATGCCTGGGACATCGGTGGGTATTGGTAAGGTCTGCCGTGCTTAGAACAGAGCATGAACGAGGAGACTATGGGGGGGGGGGGCCTGATCTGAAGAACAAACGCGATGATGGTAAAGGTACCACAGCGCTGTTCATGTCCAGTCTTGCACGAAATACAGCAAGCACACAGACCCAAGCTCATATATGCCGTCCGGCCTCCCTCGTGTGGGGCCGATATGCTGTTGCCGTGAGACCGTGGGCAGCTCCCGAGAAGAGCACCGACTTCGGCACACTTGCCAGAAGGCTTGCCCGGGAGCTTTGAGCTCCTGGGATTTGGCGGGCGTTTTCGCGTGAAAGCTTGCCGACTCAGGAGAGTGAGGGGTACCTCTGGAGCTCTCAGTGCCCTGCTTGCTGAGCAGTCATTGACATGCATTATGGCGGGGTAGTAGCTTCAACGGTGCCCAGATATCTGCCTCTGATGTCGAACCTTGGCATTGCGTGCTTATAGCCGAACACATTCTTGAGGGCCAATAAATTACCAGGGCAGATTTCCGTACTGTGCCCTCTTCACCCCCGGATACAGTTCTTCTCCTCGTTCGCAATCCTGAATATTTGAGAGACCTATGTTCTTCCAGGCACAAACAACATTCCGAACTGTTCAGCGCCTACTGTCGCGTCCCCAACCTATACTCAAGCTCCGCCTTGCCCCAAGCATCTACACAAGAACCATGGCCTCCGCTGCTGCTGCCAAACGCCTCGAGGGCAAGACCGTATTGATTACCGGCGCTAGCTCCGGCATTGGCCGCAGTACCGCGTTCGAGTTCGCCCGGACGGCGCCTAAGAACAACCTCAAGCTGGTCCTCACGGCGCGCCGTGTCGACACGCTGAACCAGATCGCTGCCGACATCAAGAAGGAGGTCGGTGACGGCGTCAAGGTGCTGTCGGTCAAGCTAGACATCAGCAACCCCGAGGAAGTGCGCCAATTTGTGCCCAACCTGCCGGCGGAGTTCAAGGACATTCACGTGCTGGTGAACAATGCGTATGCATGAGATCTTTCCAAGACGCAACTGGGAAACTCCAAAAGAGGCTAACAACTTGCTTCCGCAGAGGGCTGGTGAAGGGAATGGCCAAGGCACCTGAGATCGCCGAGGAGGACGTCAGCATCATGTTCGCCACGAACGTCACGGGCCTTATCAACATGACCCAAGCCATCCTGCCCGTCTTCAAGCAAAGACCCAATGGCGGCTCAGGAGATATCATCAACATCGGCTCCATCGCAGGCCGTGAGCCCTACCCCGGCGGCAGCATCTACTGCGCCACCAAGGCTGCCGTCAAGAGCTTCACGGACGCCTTGAGGAAGGAGACGCTCGACACAAAGATCAGGGTCATCGGAATCGATCCTGGCCAGGTTGAGACGGTGAGTCTTTGCCCTGGGGGCGAGAGGCGTCGCGTTCTCGTGAGCCCGCTGGCTAACACAGATGGCAGGAGTTCTCTATCGTCCGTTTCTACGGTGACAAGTCGAAGGCAGATGCTGTTTACGCGTACGTCACTTCCTAAACCCCCTCTGTTCATGATCGCTGAGTTGTTTGACTGACTGACGGATTCTATAGCGGCGTGGACCCATTGACCCCTGACGACATCGCCGAGGTTATTGTTTTCTCCGCCACGCGGAGGGAGAACGTGGTCATCGCGGACACTCTGATCTTCCCTCAACACCAGGTGCGTTCTTCCTTGCATGTGAGACCAGCGCGAATAGGTGAACTGACAGCCAACAGGGAGGAGCCGGAGCCATGCACCGAAAGTCATGAGAAAGCTTGTTTAGTATTGCGGGAAGGGGAACAGAGAAGCCTTTGGCGTAAAGCTAAAGTCTCAAGCATCAATGCGACTCGATGTTCAGCTAGATTTTTAGACGACTCAATATGTCTGCGAGTTTGCATCATACCCGAAGAGGGCAGTGATCGGCTCGTAGCTATGGAATACAAGCTTTTTTGCCTGACTCGACATGGTCGCGTGGCAGTTTGCGCAGTACATTACTCAGTAGAAGATGTGAGACTATGCATTGTGATATGAATAGCTGCTACTCAATGTTGTTGACAGGTACCCCGGCGACATGCGCAACACTCCTGGTCATCCAATAAACGGTGTATCTGGAGTTCTGTGCGAGCTTTCTAATGTAGGTATGCACAAAGGAAGAAACATGCCCAGTTTTGAAGTTGAGAACGAGCAACGGGACCCTGAGAGGCAGCTTTCTTGCTTAGATATTGGGATATTCAGACTCAGTAGTAACTGCCTACATGTTTCCACCGGGCTGATCAACAATCGTAGAGCTGACCGGCCGGCCACTGTGTTTATGGGAGCTTTGCATGAGCTCCGCAGCTTGTGGACTGTGTCTGTCATGATCTACCAGAAGTTAGGAACGATAGTGAGTCACAGGACTTAGTGACTGCCTTTATCAAACATTGAGAGAAATATTGAATGTGTGTCACTTGGTCACAAGTCACAGCCTTTTCCAGACATCGAGAGAAATATTGAATGTGTGTCACTTAGTCGCAAGTCACAGCCTTTTCCAGACATCGAGAGAAATATTGAATGTGTGTCACTTGGTCGCAAGTCACAGGCCCCTCTGATGGCTGCCAGGAGACTTATTTAAAGTCTTACTTCTCCCCGGAACTCAACTGTCCTCTCCTCTCTTCCACTCCCCAACACTCCAACAGCTGGGTCCCTACACTTATCCATATCCTACGATCTCGTACAGCTACTCGTGGACTGTCTCCATCAAGCCTCAGTCCCAACCTACCGCCAACATGGCGACGAATGCCTCAGAGCCCTCTGTCCCTGAGAACGAGAACGGGTGGGCTATGCGAGTGAAGGCTAGCTACACTCCGAGCGTTTCATTGAAGGCCAAAAGCGCTCTCGAGATCACCCAAGGAGAAGATGGGTGGGCCTTCCTATCTACCAAACAGCCAGATGGTTGGGTCCTTTGCCAGATTGGTATCGGGAAGGAGGAGCACCAGAGAGTCGGTAAGATCAAACTTCTACTTGGCATTTCTTTCGCACCCTAGGTATGCCATGGGCACTAACACATCACAGGCTGGGTACACATAACATACATAATCGCAGGCAAAGAGCGGATGAGGCCCCTGCCTATTGACATGCGACAGCCTATCATTGCTGTCCAGGACCCGACACTTCCAGGAAATGCTACGTGCCTCGAGAAGACCGTCCATGGCTTGTGGAGAGCGATCCAAGCTAATAGGAACACGATTGAGACAGAGTTGCCTCTGTCACCTGAGATCAGCTTTCGACTCTTTGGCCCCAATACATCTCATTACCCCATCGAAATCATGAGAGGTATGAAGCCCCTCATATTTGTTAAAGCAGAAGTTGACTAACAAATAATATAATATAGCTCTTGATCCTCCAGCACGGGCGCTTATGAGCAGCGGAAATTTCCACCCTAGACAACTTGCTCAACTGCCAGCTATGAGCAAGACGGATTGCCCAACCAAGCCGGGAATCTACATACGAGTCTATCCGGGAATCGAATCTCCGAATTACTACATCTTCGGACGTCGTCCAAAACCCCCTGGAACAGGACTCTATACTGGTCAGACTATTGGAACACAGTGGCCGCTTCGCTTTGACAAACACGAGAGGGACATGGCTTCGAGCAAAGCCATGCATTACCGGCTGGCGAGAACTTGCGATACCGAAAATGTATCGATGATACCTATTATTCTCTTTGATGAGAATCAGCCTATGGTCAGGGTTTTGACTTTAAACTCTTGCCTTAGTGCTGCCGAACTTACCATGGTATGCCTCTTCAAGAGTTGGCATCCGCTTCTTCTTGGCCCTACTCCGTTAAATGCAGTTGCGGCCTACATCTTGGATTTCCAGTCTGCCAGAGTCTTTGGCAATATTATCGACAGTGTTAACACCGGATGGCGGCCAGCGCAAATTGTCGGCTGCAACTGGCAGACACCCGTCATACGTGACCAGGATCGTGAGCTTACATGGTGTTCATGGTTTGATTATGAGAAGGAAATGAAGGTCTTTCGATGCGCTCGACGTCTATTCATCGAAAAGAACAAGGATGGAACCCCTGACAGCGCTCGGCTCAATATTACCAATGGCAACGATCTCTTTATCCCTCGGGAGGTGCTGAAACAATCCGCTGGCAGCCTTACGAATGGAATCACAGTCCATGTAGTGGTGGAATTTATGGGCAACGCGATGGATCATCCATCTATGTTTGTTCGGTTTCCACGAATCGGTCCAAACTGTGAGTTTAAGATGCTCCGGTCAATGGCCATCCGATTAGAGTGGACCGATACATCAGGGCAGTGGTTTACATGTGCTCTTACTCGACGGCAGGTTTGGCACTATATTGACAACGATTCGACAAAAGTCCCGTCTATCTACCAGGTTGGAATGAAAGTTGCCAGAATTCTTCAGTGTATCAACTACACTGGAGCTCGAGTTCCAGGATGGCTCACTGCAATCGGAAGAGTGGTCGTCAAGGAGTTTAATTATGACCACCTGAAGCAGGAACTTGTCGCCACTAATACCCAAAGCCGGGTCAAGCAGTGGCCAGCCGACAACACTATACAGCAGAATACTGCTCGACTTCAGCAACTCATCAGTTCCAAAGGATGGTCAACTTCCATTGGCGTACGCCCGGATCGCATGCTGCATAATCGTGTGGCGTGCGATATATGTGTTTCACAGGCTACAGTAAGTATAATACTCATGAACAGGCTCATATATATGCTTTATTTTAGCTAACCATAGTATAGACGACTCCATGTTTTGGAGGGAAATGCAACTTTAATGCTGCGACAGGCACGTGTTCAGCGTGCCAATCACTTCGCCGACCCTGCACATTCACAGACGTGCCCCAACCTGTCGAAAAGCTTCAGACAGGTGCTATCTACTCCGAATTGGGCATGACAACCAACGTCTATTACATGACCAACGAAGCAGATATTCAGAAAATCAACGCGCCATTTGACCCCAAGCTGGATCAAGATCAGGATGAAGACCAGGATGGTTAGAGGACGGGGGTTTGATGGATCAGTTTGAGTTGGCACAGGTGTAGTGCAATACCTTTTTGGACGAGAAGTCATCCAGAGACTACCTTAGTTTTGAAATCAACATCGCTGCTTTTACGTAACTTATTTGCCCGTATGTGCTCCCTAAGTGGTTTTGTTCTCAATCCGTGTATAGCCTCCAGTAAAGCTATAGGTGGTCCCTTCATACCTAGGCACAGTAAAAAGACCCAGATTTAAACAGCACTCAATGCCGATAACAGCGAGTTTAAAACATTATTTGGCTCGTGTCCGAACCAACTGTCACTAACATCAAATGTTGTTATCTAACGCTCGGTCTTCAAGTGCTTATCAATGTATAACGGGGCCCGCCTACAACTTGATGTGAGTACACAGATTGCACACAAGACCACTTCAAGACGATCCCACCCCATCTTTATATGCTGCGTAGTATATTTAGGCGGGCAGATATTCCAACTAGGCGTCTCCATCGATCTAGATTGTCGAAATCATGTTCATTAGGTGAAATCGCTCTGACGTTCACAAGCACTTACAGCAAGAGAACATGGGCGGCACTCTTCACTATTATAGGGATGTGTCTCAGGACTTTGTTTCTGGTCTTTTGCAGAGCTAATATCTTCTGTTGAAGCCAATTCTCAGTAATTATCATAGTGACAAGGCTGGACCTTAATTTCTCAACGAGGCCGACATTGTGGTACGCCGATAGGGCATGGAGCAAGGTGCTTAGAGGACACGCCCCAGACAACACAGCGAAATACTTCGTATCACACGTAAAGTAGTGGGTGGTTGAAAGATCTTTGGGTCTATTCCTATGCATTTCAGAACCTAATTAATTGCCTGTCAGCTCTATATCTGGACTTCATTGTAAGTTGGACGTCGTCCAAGCGTGGTTACGGGTAGCCAGCAGCTGTCTGCGAACAACTGAGAGCTCAGAGGGCTTAATAGACTCGGAGCAAGGTTGAGACGCATGAAGGCATACCAAGAGAGGGAAACCAGTCAATTTCGAAGCTATTCCAGGAGTTTTGTGTGTTGACTGGACCACTGCGGTACTGTGCAGCTGTTATCAGTGTCGTGTGTGCCATGCTCCCACGCAGGGTAGCCACACCTTCCCAAACAAGGGTGGAAGAGAGCACCACTACCCAAAGTGGCAGTCTGCAACCGTTCCTTCCCAAATATCATGGAAGGAGCGCAGGAGCGCAAATCATACAGGACTGGGGTTTTCTAACCCCAGAGGGGATGTTACAACCACAGACCTCGTCCCAGCGCAGCAGCAGCAGCAACAATCCTTTTTTCAGAGAATATTTGTACCATTTTGTTGTTGAAAATGCCTAAAAAGGCACGCTGCGAAGCGCTCTGGGCGCGCATTAAGTCCCTCCTGTCCCCCTCCTCTCCCGGCCTCGGTGGAGGCACCATGTCGAAGAAGCGCATCAAAATGATGCAAAAAAAGGCGCCTGTATGTACTATTAATCCAGTCCAGCTGTTCCCAGATTCTTTCCATTACAAGGTACCAAGACTCTATTAATTAGATTCTATGGACGTCCTCCAACGACTTCCATTGCTATGTGTATTTCCTGCTACTCTAAGCTGACAGTAATGTGTGTAGACCGAGCGCCCACCCTCTCCCCTCCCTGCCGCCTGCCTCCCCTCCCCTGGTGTTGCGTCGTGGGCCGACGCATAATTTTTCTCTTTTTTGTTCTTTCCTTGTTTTATTTTTTGGGCCCCCGTCCTGGCTTTTGCTTGCCTCCATTCTATTGTGCTCCCCGGTGGAGCCAAGAGGACACAGCATCACCAAGATTGACCCACCAAGTATCATTATCAACATAATTACCAACCAAGCATTCTTGTCCCCAATAATTACGCTCAAACTCAGGGGTGCAACGATGAGATGCTACCCAGCTGGCTCAAACCCGGATGCTATTTCATTGCCTCAACAGCTAGGCTCCACGGCAGCCGCGGCTTCCTCCTTCGAACACTGTCTTCCTCGGCAGCCGCAGCCTCGTCCTCGAAAACTGGCGAGATTCTTTCCACACAGCTGTCCCGGAGCTTGACTCCATCTTACGGTGCTGGCGCCCTTTGTTCTTCTTGCAGTCTACTCTCGACAACTGGCAACCTCTCCTCTACCCTCGGGTAACTATCCCAACGCTTGCCTCTATACTACGGCGCTGACATCCTCTGCTTCTTGACAATTAGCACCCCATTCTCCTGCTCCATAGCTGGCCTAGGAGTAGAAGCTTGCCTCTCTTCTACAGTGCTGCCGTCCTTTGCTCTTCAACAGCTAGGGAGCTCTTCTCGACAACTAGCAATCTCCTCTCCCCTCCTCCTCGACAGCTTACCTCCGATTTGGTGACCTCTTCCATCTGATAATCAGCATATCCTCCTCCGCCTCCTCCACCACCACCACAGTTCACCTAGCTACACCAACCTGGCCGCTTGCCTCCATTCTACGGCGGTGGTGTCCTCTGCTTCTCGATAGCTAGCCGAGCTGCACCATCCTGGCTACTTGCCTCCATTCTACGGCGGTGGCTTCCTCTTCTTCTCGATAGCTAGCCTCACTACCACCAACCGAGCCGCACCATCCTGGCTACTTGCCTCCATTCTACGGCGGTGGCGTCCTCTGCTTCTCGATAGCCAGCCTCGCTGCACCATCCTGGCTACTTGCCTCCATTCTACGGCGGTGGCGTGCTCTTCTTCTCGATAGCTAGCCTAGCTGCACCAACCTGGCCGCTTGCCTCCATTCTACGGCGGTGTCGTCCTCCTCTCAATAGCCAGCCTCGCTGCCACCAACCAAGCCGCACCATCCTGGCTACTTGCCTCCATTCTACGGCGGTGGCGTCCTCTCCTTCTTCTTGATAGCTAGCCTCACTACCACCAACTGAGCCGCACCAACCTGGCCGCTTGCCTCCATTCTACGGCGGTGGCGTCCTCTCCTTCTTTTGGATAATTGAGTTGGATGTCACTAGTTTGGCTGCTGGTTTCCCATTGGGGGATACTAGGGGACAGACATGCCATGTTTAGCCCCACATGCCATATTGGTTGACATGGCATGTTGACCAAATAGGATTGGCACAACGCAGTGTTTGAGGTTATAGCAGCGGGGAAAGGAAATCTGTTAGACCAGTACCTCATAGTGTAATGGTGAAAACAAGCAGTTTCAATGTAGCTGTTTAACAAAATGGCAACATTGGCGGTTCGAATGCCGGCTTGAGAGTGTTTTTTTATTTTTATTTTATTTTATCTATAGATATCTGTGACGGCAGAGCTATATAAGACTGCACTGTATTCTAGAAGGCGGTTTGGAATTCTGACCTTTTAGTTTCCTTTGTTATAGTGCAGCAGTGAAGGCGTTGTCTTAATTCTAGAACAAACAGAGGCTCGTCAAAACGGTTGCGAGTTTGAACCCAGGTAAAGCTGAGTTCAGGTCTGTTTATATAGTATTGTGGCTGATTAGCAAACGCTGCCGAGCGAATTCGGTTCCAGTCCCTAGGGGAGGATGGGCGCCCAAGCAAAGGTCAGTGGGCGGGCGAATGTGCCTCTAGAAGCATAATCCTTCCTCACTAGAGCTCCAGATTCCGTTTCACTGGATCGAACCTTTAGCAAGTGAAGTATAGGGGGATGTAACGACACAGCTATGTAAGACTACACTGCATTCCAGATGGCGTTCTGGAATTCAGACCTTTTGATTTCCTTTATCAGAGTGCAGCAGTAAAGGTGATACAAGCTTGACTACTGCTGCAAATCAATTCTATATGCCGGCTAAAAAACTATAATAACCAATCGCCAGATTGGCTATTCAGCAGTATATAAGAGCTGTACTATCACAAAAAGCGCTGTTTTAATATTTAGCTAATAAAGTAATACTAATATATTTAATTAAAATATTATAGTAAATTAATAAATTAAAAGAGAATAGTATAAGATATTACTTATATATATATATATATATATATATTATAAGCTTTAATATATTATATAAATTTATAAAAGAAAATTAATTTATTTTTAAAATATTTAATTAAAATATTATATTAAATTTAAATATTATAATAAATATTAACTAAGTTATATATTTAAATATAATAACTTATAATAATATTAATATTAAAGTTATATAAATAAATAAATAAAAGTTAAAAGCTATAATTTATAAACTATATAGCTAAGCAGTTAAATAACTACTAGCTAGCTGCTAGCTGGCTTATTATATAACTATTACTATTTACATAGTAAAATTTAATAAAATATTATTTATATATAAAAAAAATTAAAAAAAAAATTAAAAAAATTATTTTTGTTGTAAGGTGTAGGTCTGGAAAGTTGTTAGCTTAAATTACTTTTTAAAGGGAATATAGAATTAACCCACTCTACCCGGGTTCGAACCGGGGACTCGGGAATTGAACTAGAGACTCTGGAACTAAATTCTGAGTGGAAGTCAAAATCCCGCGTGCTAACCGCTACACTATAGAACCATGTGCGGGGTTGACTTGCAAACAAGCACTAAGGCACTAGCATCACCAGTTTTACAAAATTTACATAAGATCCTTACCCCCCAAGCTAAATGCCCCTTGCACTCAAATAGCTTTTTTACTAAGACATATATAGTTTAAACTATTATATTTTAATAAATAATTAACTAATATATATAAAAGCTATTATATATAATATTTTAAAAAGTTTATTATAATAATTAAAAAGTATATTTTTATATTTAATTCTTTTTATAAAATTAAATATTAAAAAAAAAAGCTAAACATTATATTTTAATAACTTGCTCTGTTTTTTCTTTTTATTTAAGAAGCATACAGTATGTGGGTAAACAGTAGGGTTCGTATTTGTAGTCTGTAGAGGAAAGAAAGGGCAGCGAAGGCTGTGGGCTGCAGAGGCTATAGGTATACTACATTCCCTGGACTTATCTCTTATCTTATCTAATCTGATCAGCTTACCTAATCACAAATAAGCTGCACTGGGTGTCCGTGCGTCGCGTTGCTCAAGACCCACCAACTCCAAAACTGCAGAACATCAACAGCAACGTTTCCTTCCTAACACAGAAAGCTATAACGTGTATTTAGGATTCACTCAAGCTTCTTAACACCCACAGGAGGTTTTCCCACAGGAGATTATCCCACAGAAGGTTATCCCACGGGAGATTATCCTATAAAAGGTTATCCTATAGGAAATTATCCCACAAGAGATTATTCCACAGGAGGTTATCCCACAGGAGGTTATCCCATAGGAGGTTATCCCACAGGAGGTTATCCCACAAGAGGTTATCCCACAGGAGCTTATCCCACAGGAGCTTATCCCACAGGAGCTTATCCCATAAGAGATTATCCTATGGGATCCTAACTTGACAAATAACCCCTGAAAAGATTGTCCAATTTATCCACGATCAAAGCAGCGACTTTTACTGAGATAAAAGTAGCCACCACCAGTGCGAGCCGACCAAGAAGCAGATTGCAACACGCCAAGAGACACGTCCGCTTCAACACCTCAGACACCTCAATAATATATCGGCTCTCAAGCGCACCATGAAATGATTGACCCGCTTGCCGTCTTCATGAGGAGCTAGTGGTGGTTACATCTCCACGCGAGACCACTCAAAAAAGACTGTGCCCTGTTGGGTTGGTGAATCGAAGGATGGGAATCCGAGGTCTCACAGCATCACTGAGGCCCTTTGCTGCAAGGTCAGAGTTGGCTGGCAGGATTGTCATTGACGGCCCAGCTCTCGCGTATCACATATTGTTTGCTTGCCGCTTGGAGAGCCGGGTCTCGACTGTGCTCAAGGATCCGTCGTATTTTGCCCTTGGTTCAAAGGCAATTCAATGGCTCGACGACTTGCAGTCTCATGGATGTCAAGTGTATTAAATCTGCCACATTCCCTGAACCTATTGTCCATATACACTGACGGTTCTCAGGTCAGCGATCTATTTCGATGGATACCTACCAGCCTCCAAGAGCGTTGTGCGGCTCGACCGTGTGGTCGAGACCTCAACTGCATCCAATAAATACTTCTTGTCCACAAGTTCTGGCATTGCACTTGATGGCGATAGTGAGCCTGCGATTCGCCAAGCAAACCCTCGAATGCCCATACCGGCTTTTATAGTCCCAGCAATCCTCGATGCCTTGAGGACATCAGGACGATACAGCCATCTCACTCATCTTGTCCCGGGGGAGGCGGATTGCTTCTGCGCAGAACATGTTGGCCGCGAGGGCGGGACTCTTCTCACCTCAGACTCTGACCTTCTCTTGTATGATCTGGGCCAGGATGGCAGAGTTGTGTTCTTTAATGACATCGAAATCAACAATGAAGAGGCCGCCCAGCTGGCAGCTCTAACATACAGCCAGCACGCCATATGTGAGAAGTTGTCACTCGAATCAGGCCAGCAAGGCATGTTATCGCTCGCGTTTGAGATCATGATGGATCCGTACCGGAAGGTTCCATCTTGTGTAGCGCAGTCAAAAAAGAACCATTCGGCCAACGCATTCCCTGTCGACTATGCGAACTTCATCTCCGAGTACGTCAAGGGCCCCGAGTCCATACTGGCAATACCGAAATACTTGAAGATCCTGGACCCTAGGGTGTCAGAATTCGTTCTGAGCTGGACAAGGGACGCGGAGGGTGGGAATTCAGCCCTCGACAACGCTCCGAGAGACGGATTGATCTTCTACCTCCCTCTGCTTCTCGACCGATGGGACCGTGAGAGTGCGTGGAGTCCAAGCATGTGGATACGACAGCTGGCGTACAGCCTGTGCGGAGATACTCAAGGCACCAAGTCGATGGTTTCGGAGTACCGGCGTACGATGTCTCGCAAATCTAATGGACAAGCTGTCGAGTTATTAAATGACCACGATGTGGCACAGACGGCCCGCGGGTTGGTGAGCTCATTCAGTTCCCTCATCGATACAGCAGCGATTCCTTCCTCTCTAGGGTGGGCAACCTTTTGCTTACAGCAAGAAATCACACATGCCTCGGAGCACGGGAAGGAGTCACTGGCACTGAAGCTCTGGCAAAAGGCGAGCAAGTCTAGAGGAAGGCTAGATCCCGGAAGTTGGGATACTGTCCACCTGGCGGCACAGATCCAGGGGACACTCTACTCGCTACGAATACTGCACCAAGTCTTGAGATGCCAGATAGGGCCCCTCGTCACAAGTGCTGGCCTGCAGCCACAAGTGGCCAAGTTGGTGGACTGCCTTTCCACACTACCATCCTTCGCAGACTTCCTGAGCACCACAGATGTCGCGGGTTTGTTTGTGCGACTACAGGAGGCCGGGGTGTTGGATGTCCTGGCGGAGATCACTGGCCAGCAGGCACACATCTCATTTGAGAAGACTGGAAGTAGGTCTAGGAGGAAGAAGAGACAGGCGGACAGGCTGGAGCAACGGAAGGCCAGGCCTCCGCCCTCTGCAAACCCCTTTGACGCACTGAGTTGAGCTTCTTGACGTGGGATATAGACGGAGAAAGGATAATGGATAAGTGTTGACTGGAAGTTGCCCAAGTTGATTGTACGTACTTCCACAGAGTCAGGCAGTCGGGCAGCCAGTCAGGTCCCGATGGGAACGAGCATGATCCGTAACGAGTAATCGCAATAGATCTCAGTAGTTCCGTTTTGGCGTGGTCGTGACGCTCTCCTATTCGATGCCCATCTGGGCAAGAGTAGTCGAGATCGAGTCATGAATGAGTGCACGCTTCAACATATTCTAGCTTGTCTTTGCGGTTTGAGGACTGGAGGTTGGGCTACGTTGGTGGCTACTGACCGTCGACCGCCAAGCACTGTGTAGGTGCAGGTGGTGCGACCCGACAGGGGGCCAGACGTTTGGAACGGGCCCCGCACTAAATCTCTGCCAGTGTTGAGCTCCGCCTAAAATTCAGTTGAGGACCCCCAAACCTACATTACCTTCCAACCTCGCGCACTTTTTCTTCCCTCCCCCAACTACCTCCCGACACGATGCGGAACACTCTGATCTTCGCGGGCTCATCCTGCCCGGTTCTCACAAACAAGATATGTGAGAGCCTGGGCATGCCGCCTGCAGAGGCGGAGCTCTCGCAGTTCTCTAATGTGGGTGCCAATCGGCCCTGCGCCTGTCGCTGGTTCTGAAGCGCGCCGTTTGCTGTCGCCGCGACTGCGACCACGACCGCTACCAACCTCTGTTGCAAAGTGACCTGGCTCACCATCTTTTCTTCTCTGCAGGGCGAGACGAGCGTCAAGATTCTCAACAGTGTCCGAGAGAAGGATGTCTTCATCGTCCAATCGGGCAGTCCGACCATCAATGACACCATCATGGAGCTGCTCATCATGATCTCGGCCTGCAAAGGCGGCTCTGCTACCAAGATAACCGGTCAGTCTCCCCTCCGTTCCCTTACCTGCCGCCTGTCGCCTTACCCTTGCGCTGACCTCGAGCCACAGCTGTGCTGCCCTACTTCCCGTACAGTCGACAGTCCAAGAAGAAGTCACATCGAGGCGCCATCACCGCCAGAATGCTCTCCAATCTTCTGGGCGTTGCCGGAGTCAAACATGTGATCACTGTTGATCTGCACGCCTCCCAGATGCAGGGCTTCTTCAAATGTCCTGTTGATAACCTCCATGCCGAGCCGCTCATCGCCCGCTGGATCCGTCACAACGTGCCCAATTGGAAGGAAGCCGTGGTCGTTTCCAAGAATGCCGGTGGGACAAAACGTGTCACGTCTCTCGCCGATGCTTTGAAGCTCAACTTCGGCATGGTCACAACCGACCGCAAGAGGAGCGGTCCCGGTTTGACACACAGTATGATCTTGAATCAGCTGGAGAAGCTGGAGCCGTTGGAGCCGGCAGCAAACCGGATTGCGAGGAACAGCTTCGCCGAGCCACTGACGCCGACTCCGCAGGCTGCGCGGTTACGCCGCAGCCGTCTTCAGGCAGCTGAGCAGAGTTCTCCACAGCGCGCCAACGGTTTGCAAGTGCTGACCAACGGCCAAGCGGAAAGCGCAAGCCCATCTTCGTCGGCCATTGCTGTTGAGGACCACGCCGACGTGCCTGCCGAGGCGCAGACTGAGGGTCATGATTACAATGATCAACGAGCTCGAGAAGTCACACACGGACGTCTTGTGCAGGGCCACATTGTGCCCGATGATTTCCCGTCCCCAGCCACGTCGGCTGCAGACACAACCATCCCTGATGAAGATCCTATGGCGCAGTCCCAGGCATCGTCCTTCTTCTCGCCAGATGGGCACGCGCTGGGTGGGTCTGGTGATGCAGAAGCCAGCTCCGATGAGGAGGAAGACAAACTCAAGGACCCCAAGATCGAACACATGATCACGCTCGTTGGCGACGTACGGAATCGTACGGTGCTGATCATCGACGACATGATTGACAAGTCCGGATCGTGGATCGCTGCCGCCGAGACCGTCGTGAAGCGAGGCTTTGCCAAGAAGGTTTACTGCATTGCGACTCACGGCGTCTTTGGAGGTGATGCCCTCCAGCAAATGCAAAAGTGCGAGTGCATTGATGCCATCGTCGTCACCAACAGCTACCCCATCAATGAGGAAGCGGCCAGGAATGCGTCCAAGCTTACCGTGCTCGACTTGTCATTCCTCCTGGCTGAGGCCATTCGACGCAGTCACTACGGTGAATCAATCAGTCCGCTGTTTCAACATATACAAGACTAGGATTCATGATTCGAAGATGGCACATATTCTCGTGCGCAAAAAAATGACCAGGGTTTTCTCCCCTGCGGTATCATGGGTAGGGATGGCAACTGTAGGGATGTTAAGCGAGGCGTCACGGCAGATTTTAGGAACCCAGGAACAAGGCGTGCGAGGCAAGTTTGCGGTCGTTATTGCTAATTGACCATAAAATAACAGGACAGTCGGGCAATATAAATTCATATGGCTTCCAGAGCGCGCGGTCTCCGTGCTGTCTCATTCCCAGTCAGAACAATTGCATGCAACTCCCTTTCCAGCGTTGCTACCCTTTGGTAGCAGGGGCTCATTCCGTTCTTCCATGGATGAGTCCTTAACGGACCGTTGGCAGATCGACCCGAACCAGAAGGCCCGTTGTCATGATGTAATGTCACCTTCCTCGGAATGGTAGGCAATGGGCAAGATAACATCTCGGAATATACATTTACCTAGTTGAGCTTCATTGAAGTCAACCAAATCCATTTATTGCTAGTTTGAGGCAACCGTTCTCTCCTGACTCTGAACTTGAAGTGCTTGGACTGATGCTTTCAAAGCCAAAGTGCTTTCGTTATTGGCTCGGATACGTGCCCGTCATCACGATCCTGAGCGACTGTGTGTAAAAAACATGATCTACTGGAAGATGGCCCTTCCTCCTGTTCAATCCTGGACCCCATGTATTCCTCCATCTAAGATCCACTGAAGCCTTGCCTTGATCTGCAACGCTCGACGACGGAAGCCCAATAGTATTTTCGTACGTGACCCTTGGGAATGTGAACTCGGAGGCCAAGAACTCATTAGGCACCATCGGCTGATAGTGGAAGCCGTCGAATAGCAGGAAAATGTGTCTTGCGTTGTAAGAACCCTTGGTGCTGACCTCAGTCACCTCGGGCCTAGACAGCCTACTACCGCTGCTAGCAGACCTGGTGTCCCTGATTGTATACACCACGATGAAGAGGTTGTACAGGTCCGCGGTAACGTCGAGCATGTCCAGCGGCATCCAGATGTTAGGGATCGAGAGGAGCTGGAAGAAGTTCGCCACTGTTGCCACTTCTCTCTGGCCCGCCGATATTATTGTATCGTAGTACTTTTGGTTCATCCTCTTGTACAGCCGATGCCGCGGATGGTCATTCCAATCCAGAATTTCACTGTAGTGGTACAGATGTTCGGCCTGCACCCGCTGGTAGAACGTATGGTCGCCATATACACAATACGACAGGGCTTTGAAGAAGCAGGCAGACCGCGCGCCATCGTAGTTTCCGGGGCGATAGAAAAGCACATCTCTGACCATGGGAAAGCCGCGGAGAAGTGAGCTCTGGAAACTGTCCCTGGTCCAGTTCCTACTGACCGCCTCGTCAAACCCCAGTGGCGCTTCTGACATGAACATCGCACGGTCCCAGGCCGGCTGGACGTCCTGCAACGAGTTCACGTTGTTTGCCCAGCCCGTGTCGCGCCTCAGCTGGGCCATGTCGAAACCAAGTCCGTTCTGGCGCGAGGGGTACTTGTTCGCGTCGAACAAGCGATGGTCCTGGTACCGAACCATCGCCATGGCCGTTGTGGTGTCGGCGCCCTGCTGGCCGTAAAACGCGAACATGTTCTGCGGCGGCCCATTGCCTTGGTCATCGTCATCGTCGGACAGCACCACCACCGCAGAGGGATCCGGGCTGGCGCTCGTCACTGTGGTGTCTCCGCGGCTGGCGGAACGGGCTGCGGCCTGCCCCGGGGCGGGCTGCGCCCTCACCGTGACTGTGATTTGCGTGAACCTGTTGGGATCGACCACTGGCTGCGCTCGCCGGATAGTCTCCAGGTCCTGGAGCCAGATATTATACCTATCTGCATGGTTTGAGCCCTGTCACGCAAGAAATCAGTCACTAAATTGTGCCTAGGTAGTCATGCTACACTCTCTCACTGTTACCATTGCTGCGTTCGAAGGACTCTTTCGTCCTTACGCGACTGGTTGCGGTATTGTCTTAAATCGTGTCCCTATTGCGGTGTCAGCGGCGCTGTTTCCTTCACCCCTTTTGAACGGAAACTCCAAATCGAGCTGGTCTGTACCTTTGCTTCACTATTCTCTTTTCCGGAAATGTGATCCCAGTATCAACCAGTGTTGAGAGCTATGAAACGAGAATTCCGAGCATTGACTTTATCGGACAAGTTAAACCCTTGTGCGTCCCTCATTTCACTATTGAACTACACGAGACAGTTGCTGCTCGCTGACGGATCCGGCGCCCCTGATGTTGTGCCAACCGAGAGGACAAAGACTTGATCAATACTCCCGGCAATGTAGGTGATCATTCTGTTCTTTACGACCCGGAAGTAATCAAAGAGGTGGTCCTGAACGTGAATCAGGACGAACCAAAGGAAGGATCAATTGAGTCAAAATTAACTTAAATGTATAAATGTTGGTGGGATTATGCGACATTGACTGCACGCGGACAATGCGACTTTTGCGACGAGAATAATACACACACTTAGATGAAGCCTTACAAGTGGATCAGGGACCTCGAGAGACGTTGGTCAAATGAGATTCAGTCTTGTAGATCTGTGAAGTACTCTTCCACAAAGCCAATAGAAATAGAGACACCTTGGCCGAATTGACCGACAGACAACACGGTCTTCATTCTTTATTATTTCAAATGTATAGAAGGTGCATGTTTTAATCCATTCTGAACGGAGTAATACATGTTGATGGTGCTAAATTGCAGAGCTTCACTGTCAACATTGAATGTCCGTGTGGGCTAACATGGTCGAGGATGGTCTCACTTGCCCTGATCAACTGCTCGTGGCGGACGAATGATCTCCACACCGAACTGGCGCGTCTAATGAGACCAAGGATTGAGGAAGACACTTCAAACCTCAAGATATAGCTTCTTATGTTCTTGGGGATTCTCATGAGAGCTTAATAGCGGGTTGTAGAATTTCACATGATTAGCGCATTGTGATCGGTTGCCTTCACTCGTAGCCAATGAGACTTCTCAATGATGACTCAGTTAGGGCTTTTTCAGAAAGAACAGTATGCAAATGGACGCATTTCAGAGGTCCAGAGTCAATTTCGAAGGGCTCGATATCTTCGAGGGTCTGATAGGGAAGAGAGAGTTTCGCTTTGCAGGAAGGCTGCCCGACACACCCTAATGACATTACGCCGTAATGGCAGATTTGAGCATTTAGTGGCGAAGACAAATAATCACAGACTTGAGCAAAAGTCAATAGAGGTAACAAGCTGGTTCAAACTAAGAGCTATGAAGCCAAGAAGGGCCGAAGCTGATCAACTGATACGAGGTGCAAAAAGCGAAAATGCATCGAGTCGTTCTAGAGACCCAATGGGCCATCACCCCTCATCAGACACACTGCAGACGTCCACTCCCAAGTAGCAATAACATCGCTTGCCTCTTACCCGCCTACCTTCCTTGCATCAGCATTTGGTGTCAACATGGCTGACGCGCCTCGTCCTGATAATCTAAATACTCCACGAGGAATGTCGCCTGTTCCAACAAGCCATCCGATGCAAGCGAGGTTTGTAATACATTGAGACACCATCCATTTGCAACCTTGCTTTTTTGAAACCTCCAACGCCTGCAATCCAATAAAGCTGCCCTAATTATGCCTTCAGTCGAGTCCACACTTAAGAAGATTGAAGACCGTGGATCTCGTCAATGAGTTCCGCAAGAGAAGTTTGCTCAGCCTTTCTATCAAGTGAGACATCCTGTAAGAGATTCTCCTGTACTTGATGTTTCCCAGCATTCCTGATGATTCGCCAAGCTCTGCGGAACTCATCACGGATAGACACAATTCCGTTGTGGGTGACAGTGCGGGCCACGTTGTGGTCTATCTCAAACGGATCTTCAATGGCGAACAGGTAGCGATGGCGCACCTCCTTGACTTCAGGTTTGTTCCGGTCATGAGGTACCCGTGATGCTGTGGCGGGGTCTTGGGACTGTTGTGACTGCGGGATTGTGGTTGAAATACTGTTGTCTTGTGTTTCGGGTGCAGGATGGGGATTCGCTCTGGGCATCTCAGGCTCGACAGCCGGAGGCTTATCTGTTGACTGGACTTCGAGGACTGTCTTGGCTCCGGTCCAGCCTTTGTTTTGCTTGCTAAGAATACCGCCACGAGTTCGAAGACTGATGACGTCCCTGCCCCAGTCGAAGCCTCGCATGTGTCCTGAACTGATCATGTTGCCCTGAGCGTAATACTCGAAGAATCCGCGGAGAAGGTGGCCAATAGAATCTCTGTTTTGTGTGAGGCTGCCCTGTTCCGCTGAGGCCTTGATCTGATCTGCATCTTTCCAGAACCAGACGTTCAGTCCTTTGCACAAGATGTTGTTCTCGACTTGATCGGGGCTGAGATGCGGATCCACTGGCGGGGCCATTGCCTGAAGATTGGGACATACGAAAGGATGGGCAACGTTTATCAAGTAGTGGAGCACCATGAGGACATACCCATAGCTGGAGAGCGTCCCGCGATAAGATGTGTTGATACCTCTAACCTTCGCCCAGTGTTTGACGAACAAAACCATTGGTCTGACGCGAGGGTCCGTAAGGGAATAGCAGCGGAGTAGATGAGTATTGTGAAGGGCGAGCTGGGCCGAAAAGTTGATGTCGCATTGGACACCGATACCTGAATTGGGGAATTCGAGCTTATCTCTATATGGGTCTCGAGGCTGGTTTGGTGACATACGGGATGGATCTGGTATTCCGCGAATCCGTGCCACGAGATCCTCGTACTCCGGCGTGATCGGTAGTACGGAATCGAAATGGACATTTTCCGGAGCGTTGCTTGCCATCGGCCCCCGGAGGAATTGGACATAGACCTGTATATCTTGAGCGACTTCGGTGGAGTACAAGCCTTTTTCCAGGGCCTTTTCAAACTCTCGAGCCAGCTGCAAGGACTTATGCCGTCTCGCGAGGGCTCTGAGAGTTGTCGAAAGGTTGGATTTGAGCCAATCTGAGACTTGTGCTCGAATCCCGAAATCATAGATGCCCTGGCTGTACTGCCGAACAACGACAGGCAGAAGTGGTGACTGAGTAGATGGCAGATCATTGCCTCCTAATTCGGTCAAGAGTCTGAGAGTCCTGCTGTGGTAAGAGGCAGCGGTCTCGAACTGTCCTTGCTCAAGAAGTAGCAAACCGATCGAGGGTATCTTCTTCAGAAGTTCGGTCGCTGATAGTAAGTCCTTGTTATAACCAAGGGGGTCTAAGCCGAAATTTGGCCTGTTCTGTAGCTCTCTCCAGTGAATGACGCGGTTCCTCGCAAGATGCTCAAAGTGGTCATTTTTCTCCAAAACCGTGCGAGACTCGCTTGCCATGACCAGTTTCTCCCCCTCAATCTGCGCCATAACACCAAAGATAGAGCGATTGTGAGGCACAGAAGCTGGATCAAAAGCAAGAGACGCATACCCCTCGAGGCGAGCCCTCAGAGCGTCGTCCGCCAGACCGTGAACAAAGGCCTTGCAAACATCATTCAAGATACGGAAATCCTCATCACTGAAATTTGCTGCCGTGGAATTGGTGATATCCTTGCCGCCTAATTTTCGCAACGTCTTTTTCGCAGCGCCATAATAATTTGACAGGGACTTAGTACCCTGCTTCAGCTCATCAAGCGCTGCTTGGTACTGATCGATACCGTGCTCATGGTTGCTGCTAACAGCAGCACTGTTGTCGGCTTTGCCGTCATCAACCACAGGAGCATGGTCGTCCGAGCTGTTCTTTCCAATCTGATGGCCCTGATCGGTAGGACTTGAAGCAACTCTGCCTTCTGCTTCATCATCTTCCAACTCGTGCTCGTCCTCGACCCCTTTCTCCCATTTCTCACGTTCCTCCAGGAGATCTGAGTAGAGTTTATTCGTAGGCTTCTCACAGACCTTGATTATAGGAACTCTTGTCTTGCTTAAAAGACGGGCGCCTAGGCGCATGTCCAGAAAGGTCTTCTCGACAAGTCGAGGAATGAGGGAATCAGGACTGTCTGGTTGGGGATGAGAGAAGGGCGAGAGGAGACCCAGATCCATGTCCGAAGATTTGGTGGCAAATCCAGATGATAAGCTACCGAAACATCGTAGCTGGACCGACAAGCGAGGAAAGTTGGCCTGGCCGTTGACAGTTGTCTCGTACTGGGTTATTGCATCACGGCAGGCTTCTTCTATGATCAGACGAAAGTGCTCCTTCTCCTGGATCTGCTCAAATGCTATCTCGGCGTTGGCGAGAATATCCGCAGATAATTGCTCCAGAAGGGCGACCTGAGACCCAAGATCCTCCGTCCGAGGGTAGTAAGGTCGTGGGTGATACGGTGAGCCAACTTGACTGGTAGAGCTCCTGGAGGCATGGTTGGGGCGTGAAAAACCGGGCTGGGCTCCTGTGAAGCCATTCAAAGCCCCGCTGGGTTGTCTCCAGTCAAAAAGGGTGGGCTGAGGCGAGAAAGCTGGAAGGGAAGGCGAGGGCTGGTGTCTTGCATGGCTGTTGCTCACATGGGGAGGCTGGAAAGCCGCGGACTGAGAGCGATTGGTCCGGCTTTGATGGTTGATATAATTTTGACGATGTTCATGGCCGGCCCATGACCCCTGAGACCGGTTTGGGTGAGATGTGGTTGCGCGAGGGTCAATATCAACTGACAGCTGCGACGACATCTGGCGTCGTTGGGCCTGGTTCATGCGCTTGCGACCGGGCTTCTGGTTTGGTTTGGGCTGGTCTTGGGCGTCCTTTGGAACAGTGCTTGCCGGTGAGTTTGTAGAGGAAGGGGTAAAGGGCTGTGAGGACGATCGTGGGACGTCGGCAGGGGTACTTTGAGCTTGTGCCGGGTCCGAGTTCTTGAGGATGAGGTTGCGCATCCGCGCCTCGAGCGACACATTGTCCTCTTGGCTGGAGCCTTGCATGGTTGCCATGGTGGTGTGACTTGCCGCGTCAACGGCTGAGTGGATGTGTGTGATTTGAGCTCGGCCTGACTGGAAGGGAGGAAAATTGAAGTTGAGTAGAGTGATGGTCGCACGGGTGTATTTCATTCAGGGTCTGTGTACATATGAGAGGCGGGAACGAAAGAGATGGGTTGGATCGCGCTGCTGAGAGAAACAAGATCCAATCTCCACGAGGTGGCCAAGTCCGAGGTGACGAACAGGTTGGGACCCAGGTTCGTCGTGGGTGTCGTAGGTGCCGCAGAGGCTACTGAGAGAGTGCGGGCGTGACTGACTGGTTACCAGCTGCGATTCATCGCGGCAAATGAGCTGATGTAAAGGTGACAGCCAAATTCGTTGCTCTCCGTCTGTCTATCTGTCTGTCTGCTCTCTGAGCCAGTGGCAGAATCCACGTATCCGAGGCGGCAGAGAGCGTTGGTGATTGGTGTTTGAGGCCCGGACCAAGCATACAAGAGACGCTCGTGGAGGGTAAGGTGGTAGTACTCCACAGTGCACGGGGCGAAGGGAGAACAGGAAGATGATGGACTTCGTTCTCGTCTTCTCTTGTGCATAAAAGCCGATGCGCCACAGCGCAGCCTTTATCCAGTTCTGTTGGTCAGTCAGGTTGGCAGGCCACGTCCGTGTTAAGGAAATGCCGAGGCTGAGGAAAGCATCCGTTGTAGACCAAATATTGAGTTTGTTTACTGTCTGACGATGATTCCAAAACTCCAGTGGGTCAATCAGCCGACCCACCCGCCTGAATTCTGGATGGTGTGCGGGCTTGAGGCTCATTGGCTCTACCAGCCGCGAAGCTGCACAGCACCGCTCCTAGGCATCCAGGCGCCAACAGCACACAGTAGACTACTGTAGGGTCAGATAGCCGCAGTCTATTTTGGCAGTCCCAGCACAATGCCTGCGACCACAATAAGATCAACATATTGTGAATAGATGTCAATGTTCTCAACTTTGTAATCACAGTGCTGTGCTCACTTGACTTGTTGGCAATGGTTGTGTCGATCAGTTGACAATGAAGTCTTTTTTTTGTATTTTTCTGAGGTGCCGAGGTAGACCTTCCAAGGTCGGCAGCCTGGAGGTACCTAGGTACCCAGGTACCTTCAGCGCTTCCAATTCCGCTCAGACGGATCCGTCAGCCTTCCAGCCTTCCAAACCTCTGTGCCGCAGCTGCTGCGGAGCTCTTCTTTGTCACCGTCACTGCCGACTGACCACCGTTCCTGAACTCACCACAACACAACGACGACAACGAGCCCTGCGAACACGCAACTTGTCAAAAACATACAGCACAGCATAGCAAAAGGACTCGCGGTCGAGGAGTCGCAATAATCTGCCCCAAGTCACCCTTCCTTTGACGCCTTGCGAGCGCCGCCAGGAGCGTGCCTCGGTCGGGCCTGCATCCAACCCGACTTGTCAACGCCGCAGCCTTTGCGCCCTCCCTCAATGTCGCCTCAGCTCCAGTAAACCTCAATTCCAAACCGTCAACTCACCCAACCCTCCTGGTCTGGTCAACCCATCACCATGAGCGCACCTCCGAACGGCGTGCCCAACCCCAACGGCGCCAACCCGCCCCCTCCAGGCGCACCGCCCCTGCGTCGCAAGAAGAAGACTGCTGATCCGCTGGTCGCCCGCAAGAAGCCCATACCCAAGCCTCCACCGCCCAAACCAAAGGCGAATGCAGGCACTTCCAAGCCCACCCCGGGCAGGTCGTTCCACACCCAGCCCAACCTCCTCGGTGTCCAGGCTCCCAAGGTCGACCAGAAGACCCAGGAGGAATGGAAGCAGCGCCGTCGGCAGAATGGTGGCTGGTGGGATCCTCCCCCAGCAGCTCCCGACTTCAAGGAATACCCCGTGTACATCACCAAGAAGGATATCAAAGAAGGGCTGCGATCTCACATTATGCGGTTTGCCAAGGCTCGTGGGGGTGGAACAACCGACATCATGAACGATTCCGAGTTTGCGCGTCCAGTTACTCTTCATCGGAAGGACGCTCGCAGCCTTAACGTCGCGCAGGCTGCAAAGGAAGAGAGCTCGAGTCCTACGCCAGTGGACCCGGTCGAAGCCGAGCGGCTTGAAAAAGCCAAGCTGGAGAAGGAGGCCCAGCGAGCGAGCGATCAAGCTCAGATTGCACCCGTCGCCGCAAAGGACCTTGTTACCAAGAAACAGCCTCAGAAGCAAGAGAAGACCAGCACCCAGACATTCTATGCCAAGAGAAGCGACGCGCACAAGAAGGAGTCGACAATTCGCTACGAAGAGTCCCTGCCCTGGGTCCTGGAAGACGCCGATGGTAAGAGCACTTACGTGGGCGCTTACACGGCTGCACTTTCCGAGAGCATGGCGGCCTTGCAATACGAGAACGACAAGTGGCGATTGATCCCGTTGGAGAAATTCTACAAGTTTACCCACAAGCCCCCCTTCAAGACGTACTCAATTGAGGAAGCCGAGAAGTTGATGGGCAAGAAGGTGGTCCAAGGCCGGTGGGCCATGCGAGACGGCGAGAAAGACAAGCTGAAGGAGGAGATGGCGGCCACGAGGAATGTTTTGACTGGCCGGGCAAAGGTCAAAACGGAGAGTGATACCTTTAGGGCAGCTGCGCGATCCGAAAAGCAGGATCATGACGACCTTGACATGTCAGGAGACGAGTTTCAGGATGACGACGAGAACCCGAATATGGAACCGGACAACGATGAGGATGTCAAAGAGTCTCGAGAGCGAGTCCGTCGTGAGCAGTTGGGCGCGAACAATTTCGGAACCGCCGATGAGCAGGCTCTTGAGGCTGAGCTCAGGCGGGAGTTGATGGAGGAGGAAGCTAGACGCATTCATGGCAAGGGCATTGAGAAGAATCTCATCAAAATCGACAAGAACATGCTCTATAAGCAAGACCGAGAGGACTCGGACAATCTGCTTTCTTCGGTAAGATAATATCTGCGCAAAGCTGTGTGGGCTCAACTAACCGCTTCCCAGTCCGAAGACGATTCCGACGAAGACAAGGAGGTCAAGCAGGAAGAAGGCGAGAAGACGGCCGCGGACGCCGCTACCGCGGGCGCCTCGAAGGGAGCCGGCACCACCTCGGCTAAGCCGAAGGCCCTTCCTGACGGCAAGAAGGGCAAGAGTCTTAAGCGTCCTGGCTCCCCGAACCTCTCCGAGATGGAATCCAGCGGCAACGAGTCCTCCCGAAAGAGGGCCAAGAAGCAGGCGACTGGATCTGTGCAGGGCAGCCGCTCTTCTACTCCCTTACCTAGCTCTCAACGCGCCAAGCTTGCCGCAGGTGCCATGAGTGATGGTGAGGCAACTGGAGGAGAGATGTCGGATGCTGGCCGTGCAAAGAAGAAGGGCCACAAGGTCACGGTGGTTAGCGGCACCCATGGCAAGGGTACTCCTACGGGCTCTCGAGCCAGTAGTCCTGCCCCAGCTGCGGGTCAAGCTCCTTCAGGTATGTGTCTCCACGCCAAGCCGCCATTTCGTAGTACGGTGTTGCGCATCAAAATCATATTGCAGTCTTGCTAATGGTTACGGTGTTCAGGTTCCCAATCACCGACCCGTCGTGTTTTCGATTTCTCCCAACCCCAGGGACCTGTCTCTGTGGGTGACGTAGCCTCGGCTATCCTGCAGCAACAGCCTCCAGGTGTTCCGATAGGCAAGCTACTCACTCAGTTTGGCAATCGCATTGGCGACGGAAAGAATCAAACTCCTCGGCCGGTCTGGATATCGTACGTCAAGCAGGTCGCCAAGTGGGGCCCTAATAAACTCCTGCAAATCACTCCGCAGGGGAGAACATTTTTGCCTTCTTGATGGGGCGACGAGTTCGGCGTGTCGATCAGGTAGTGTCAGGGATACGGTAGCGATTCAGCAATAGAGAATAGTTGCTCATTCATCACTTTACCAGGCTACACTGGTTAGAATGCTTTGATCTTTCATAGAAGTATCAAAAACACCATGAGCCCTCGGACGCTGGCAAGTAATCAAGTATTCAAGAGGCTTTTACCCCTGATCAAATTGACAATGCAGTGCACATTTCCCTTGCAACAGCGGGTGATGAGTGGGTGGAGAGACCAAATAGTTTTAGCATAGCTATTTCGTCCAAGGCCATTCTGTGCTTTGGCTCCAGTATGCGAGACAGGGCCTGCGGATTCTACAAGTCCTCTGCCTGCTCATTCATCCATCTGCCACGAATACTCCAAGCCTTTGTTCCTTTCCCGCCTGTTGATGGCCTTGAATCTCTCCGCCTCGAAGCCATTACTCCTATCAACGCCATCCCACCTATAACCGGGCCGTATTCCATACCGGTTTGGCGGCGAGGGCCCCTTGTACACCGGCCTCCTGCTCGAGCTGCCGCCTGCCTTCGCAGCAGCACCGCCCCGGGCGCCTCCCGATGAACCACCACCTCCTCCACCTCCACCGCCCCCGTCCGCCTCGCCGAGGAACCGCGCCATGGGGTCATTCCACCTCCTCTCCTCCTTCAAGGCCCTGTTCATCTCCTCGTCGTCGGCCGTCCTCGCGAGCGTCATGGTCCTGGCGTCCTCGAGCTGCTCCCGCCGCCGGCGCGCCTCCTCGGCCTGCACGTCGCCCTTGAGCGCCTCCTTGGCGGCGCGCTCCTTGTCCTCGGCCTCCTGCGCCGCGCGCCGCGCCTCGGCCCGCTTCATGCTCACGTCGACGCGCCGCCCCGTCGCGTCGCGGTAGTACGTCTCCTCCTCGCCGTGCTTGACCAGCCCCGCCCGCCGCTCCGCCTCGAACTGGTCGCGCTCCTCCTGCTGCCGCCGCTCGATCTGCGCCGTCACCGCCGCCGCCGACTGCAGGCCCGCATGCGTGCCGTCGGCCATGCGCGCTGCCCCAGCCTGGGGCCCGTCGACCATCGTCGGGCCGTCGTCCTCGGCTGCCCGCGCTGCGGCCGTCTCGGCGGCGGCGGAGGCGAGGATGGCATCTGCTGCTGCTGCGGCATCTTTGTCCTCTTTTGATGCTGAGCTGCCTCCTCCCAGGGTCTTCCAATTTGCTTTTGTGGTCTTGCGGACATCCTTGACCTGGCCGACCGTCACAGGGGCGTCGTCGTCGCCATCTTGGCCCCTGTGTCTTGATTTGCTGGAGCCACCCCAGTTCTGGTCGTCGTCGTCTTGGATGAGGAGCCCGGCGCCGGAGGATTTGTCGTGCTTGCGCTTGCGCTTCTTGGAGGAGGGTTTGGTGTCGGGGGTGAGGTAGTGGGTGGCGAGGTAGGAGGAGAGGTCGGAGGGCATCGTGAGCGATTCAGCAGTGGCGGTGTGGGGTTGAGAAGCCACCCTGTGTCTTTGATTCTTCCTGTCGATCAAGTGATATGATTATCCCCAGGCTACGCTGGGCATGCTGGACGCTGGTCGCCGCCTCGTCTGAAATTTGATCGAGATGCTCAGCCTTACGGCCGAGCTACCAATCCAGATCGGCGGTCGCATGACAAGACTGCCCCAACGGTGCGCAGGTGCTGCTGGTCTGTGCATCTCCCCAGGGCCAGGGGTAGGGACGGCTGGCTGCAGGGTGGCCCCCACATCCAGAGAGGACAGGCGGCGGGAATCGCGATAGAGTAAGGCGGGTACTGATAAGGCCAGATGACATCACCACGGGGGACCAACAGCAGTAGCAGCAGTAGCAGCAGCAGCAGCAGCAGTGGCAGCGTTCTGCCGCCGGCTACCTCGATCTCGCCTTTCCCCCTTTCGCGGGGCGCCGCTTTCACATGGTCACAGCCATCGCACCGCATCATATCACGTCGCAGGGTGAGCATGAGCACAGGATTCAGACAAGCAGGCAGGTCCAAGGCACCGCTGTGTGTGTGTGTGGGTGCCACGTCGTGCAGTCACCGAACCCTCGCATTTGAGTCAGGATTGATCTGGCCTGGTCTGAAGCACTGTTCTTGTGCACAACGTCTAGGCCATCCTCCTCTGCGACAGAAACTCCGGAATGACGTTGTCTCGAGCTTGCAACAGAACCTCAACCCCGTCTCAAGGGTGGCCCCTTAGGCGAGGCGGCATCACGCACTCGGTTCCAGAGGTGCCAAGGATGGTGTCGAGATGGCCGTAGCCCTGCCGAGGCACTGCTCCTGCTGGACCGACTGATGACGGTGATCCATCCAGCTCCGTCAAGCTCACTTCTCTCGGGTCATCAGCTTTCTGGAATGATACTCCACTTAGATCACCATTTCCGGCAGTCAGGATCGAGCTATTACGGAGTCAAAGAGGGCTGGCACGGGCCTCAAAACTGCAGCCGCACCTCTTCTCTTGGTTCTGAGGTATTCCACATGCGGGGTGGCCTCGGGAGAGTCGGTTTCATGCAATTAGCTCCCAGGCACTGTGCTGCGTAGCTGCATGACATGATGGAGAAATGCATGCGTTTCTGAATCACCACCCGCTTTTGCACGGTCGGCACTGGCGATTGTGATTTGACGACGACGCCCGTACAAAGTGCTCCTCCGCAGACCCGAGGCGCCCGGCCAGAATGGCCAATCTACTACTGACTGACTGATCCTCAGGGTTTGGTGGAGACAGACAGCCGAGCTTGTTTGTTGCTGTTGGCGGGACGCTGCGCTGCCTGATTACGCCGTTTGCCAGAAAGCCTGCTTCAAGCCGACATTACTAAGGAGCCGAAAATAAACACATCGCATTTCAGAGGCCGTTGGCACAGGTTGAAACAGCCTGCAGGCCCAGCTCGGGCCCAAGCCTGGGACCCGTATGGCCCGGGGTGAGGACCTGTTTGGCCTCTCGCCATTCCATCATCTATGAGGCAGCAGGCGTCACTGCCCACCCACCTTGTTCTGCCCTGCCCTGCCCTGCCCTGCCATGCCCTGCCATGCTACCAAAGTACCTGGGTAGACTTGCGCAGGAGGCCAAGCTGAGGCAGGCCCAATGATAGCAATGGTGCAGCCACGGGAAGCCAAGCTTGGGAGACCGTGACGGAGCAAGAGGCCCAGAGAGACACGCTTAAATGGTCAGCTGCAGCGCAGCAGGCGTGGGATGACCCATTCTGAGGCGAGCTCCCGAGGTTGTGCTGTCATTGCCAGAGGGAGCCGCAGTGAGCCGCAGGTACCTCCCGCGCGTGGCTGTGGTGCAGGATGACTTGTGACTTGGTGTTCTCAAGAGAGACGAACCCAGTCATCCGGTCTCACACGTCCTGTTCGGGAAGTGGACACAACCATGTCACCCTCCCACCCAAGCAGCGCCGAAGCTTTATCAGCGAACCTGGGTCCGTGATCCCGCGCGATAAGCTAGAGAGCCGTAGCCTTCCCAGCAGACAGGGCCGAGAACGCCTCCCCCCTGGCGCACGTATACTTGGGCCTACGCGCTGCCCCCGATCTCGTTTCCCTCGGGCTTGCTGCCCATGCTTCATAACATCACAAACAAAACACCAAGCTACTTGAAAGAACAACATTGTTGGTTTACTCCTGATCATTTTGTTCCCCCTACCAGCCTCTTGCGTCACCCCGGACTCCTGCCTGCGGTCTTCCATCATCACGCCGAGCCTTTGTACCGTGCCTATCTTGCTGCATTATCGTGCCTCTTTGTCTCTGAGTCACCCCGGCGGAAACAGCCTCTCGCTTCCCATTAGGAAGCCTAGTACTGCCTGCTTCGGCCCCAGATCGCACCAGAACCCGCAAGAGCCACCATCGAACAAAGCACGGTCAACTAGACGGCCCTTGCCTCTTTCCCGAGTGATCAGCAGGAACAAGCGCGCTCACCGTCTGACTGACTGACTGAGTGCCTCGCCTTCATCCGGCCCCTTTTCCTTCCAGAAGATCCCAAATCGCTGGACTTTTCACTCTTCCGCAACCCGTATTTCTGACCTAGGAGTCCCACCTCATTTCTGTATCAAGTCATATCCCACAGCACACGCAACGTGTAACCTTTATCTCTCCACCTCACTTTCACCGAGACCAACACATCCTGTCCTGCAACACCAGCATCATGGCGGCTTCCATCCAGTACGAGCGTGACCTTCGCAGCGCAAACCAGGAATACAAGCGCGGCAAGGATGCCTCTGTAAAATGGTCCTTCGGAACCACGGCTTCGCCCTCCTGGTGGAGCTCGAACGCGCCAGAGCCGGAGACCGAGAACTTCAAGGCCCGGCCCCTGGGAAAGTGGAGTGACCAGTGAGCTTGCCCTTAACCTTGACTTCACCACACGTTTGTGTGTCTTGACGCGTCCTAACCAAGAGGCAGGTTCGGCAAGGAAGATAAGGACAAGGGCAACATCAACAAGTACACCCGCACAACAGGCCGCTTGAGGGACATCCCCTCCAAGCGAGTGCGCTCCAAGGTATCTGCCCAAGAAGAGATCGAGGAGGCGGCGATCACGTCACGGTCGGTCCTAGACTACCTGCCCAGCCCCGTGCGCCGCCAGAACTCGGCCGTAGACAATGTCCTGTACAGCTTTGACCGCCAGGACTCGCCGGGCAGGCCACTGACCCTCGACATCTTCGTCAAGAAGGGCGGGCGCGAGACGGAGCGTTTCGTTGAGAAAGAGTATGAAATCCTGGACGTCAACGGCGACGCTCTCAAGGGCCGAAAGGCTCGGCGTAACCTGCGACGGGGCGTGACGAACGGGTCGAAACTTGCGGACGACGACATGCCCGAGATGGACGAGGACGGGTTCGAGCTCTTGTAAGAGTTGACTCGGAAGCGGTTCGGCACGCGCTGGGTGGTCATACTCGACTGGCGTGTCTCGCGACCATGTCCGTGGCTTCTATTTGGTTGTCCCCAGCTCTTACTTGTTCACTTCATCCATCATGTCTACAACCTTGACCTGTGGGCTTGTTAATATTGTTTTTCGTCTGTTTTGTGTCGATCGGTCATTTCGGCCGGTTCGCAGGAGTTTTTGGCAAGGGTCGGTGGTGGGATTGCATTGTGCCGTCGCGTGATGTCGCAGGGAGTCGGTGTCTGCTTTGGAATCGAGTGTTGTACATCAGAGAGAGTCGCTCGATTGTGGTATTGTGCTGTGGTTCTTCACATTAGTTTGAGCATTGGTTACCTTCTGCAGAGGCGACAACGGCCATTTCGGTCGATTGTCGCCTCTACCACCTACACCACCTGGAAACAATCCGTGGGTTTGGATGGCTTGGAATGATGAACAGAGTAGCATTTTCCACATAGCTGAGCAATCAAACACAGCATCATATCGCTGGTCCATGGCCTTGGCTCGAAGGTGTTGAGCGAAGGGATTGATTGCAGCAGGTTCAATTCAGTGGCAAGTTGTTTTGTGGGGGCAAGATTTGCTCGAGACTAGAAGGGTCCCAAGGGTCAATTGAACAGTCTTCGCTGCACGTGCAGACCGCCGTCCGCTTTAGGAATGCTACCCTACGCGGTGCATGTACGCTACAGAGTGCCAAAAACCTCTTTTCTTCCATTCAATGGCCACAGATCCTCTGTCAATTCTGCAAACGAGACAAGATGAGAGACTGTATATTTTTATATGGTACCAAAATCGTGAAAGACCCTTAGTGTTGTCAAAAAGCCAATTCGGTACAACAGGGATCCATAATTGAGATGCTTAAGGCGCAGCAGGTATGCATCCACCTCTGCATAGTACGCTCGTCACAGGTGACTCACGTCGGCGAGCATACTGAAAGTCTGACTCCCGGCCTCGTTTTCGGCTTGCTATCCTGTGGAACTGTTTCTGCAATTTACGCAACTGCATGATCGCAGGTAGGACAAGGTAGGCCACGCCAGGCAGGCCAGGTAGGATCAGAGCTGGACTCAGCCGCTCTCTTCGACCCCGTACAGTCATCTCATCTCATCGCCCCTTGTTCGTTCTGTTCTCTCACTGCCTCAGTGGGACTTCGTAACAAGCAGCTACCCTGGATGCAACTCAGAGGGCCTGCATGCGCAAGTGCATATAATATTCTTGGACTGAAGTTGTTTGACGGCCAGTTGACCTGGAATATCAGTCATCCACGGCAAGAGCCTTACATCGACATCAAACCCGACATATTGTCTCCAAAGCGGGCTGCTGTGGAGTGATTCTCTTAGACGAAGACCATCAGTCAACAGGAGGGAGCATAGCTGTCGGGAGGCAGACTCCCCCGAAAACACTTTAATTTTCTCAAGTATATCGCAGTCGATTTTTTAGGTCTCAAGACTATCATGGCGACTTCCACGAAACTGTCGGTGACATCTCGTGATACCGCTTTATGTATCATCCCCCCAAGGAGTCAGTGGTCCAAGGTCGACCAGTTGAGGTCCCACTACGACAAAGCATACGGCAAATGGCCTCCACACATCAACCTCGTCTACCCCTTTGTCCAGCCCGATGCCCTGCCCCGAGCGGTGGAGGCGGCACAGTCAGCAGTAACCCAGCAGGACCGGAAGCCATTCAACGTGTGCCTCGACGCGGCCGGCGTCTTCGAGCATAGACATGACAACACTGTCTATGTACACGATAGTGACGATAGCCACTTGAAGGATCTGCGGGCGGCCGTCCTTGGAGCTTTGGGGCAGCACGATGATGGAGCATATCGCTCGCATATGACTATAGGCCAGAGCGAAGATAGTACGTCGTTCCCCAGAAAGAACTGTCTCCCAGCAGATGGGAAGCGGACAAATAGACGATCACTCACCAAGGGGCTCAATCCCGTGAGGCGTTTGAAGGTGTCGAAAACATTAGCGGTTTCGATCGATGCGCACGGGTCTCCTCAATAACAGGTTGAATGGTTCACTGACTTGAAAGTTGGCAGTGAATGAGTCGTGGCACCAATTCCTTCTTCAGAAGGCACGATGGCTTCCCAAGGTCGAGTGGTCTGTAGACCGACTACATGTTCTTGTCCGAGAAAGGTCACCAACTGGAGGCTCTGAGATGAAGACCTGGGCAACCATTTTCTTGGAAGACGGCAGCATTGGCAGGTTTGAACCGCCGAAGCCATTCTTCGACGAGCCGCCATCAGCTGTAGAAAGTGATGGAATCCCATACTCGTATCTTGGGGACGGCTTGTGGGGTCAGTCCTCGCGGAGTGATTATTCGATATCTTCATCCGCCGAAGTGTCGACCTTGACTGTGTCGACATATAACGTGCTCGCCGAATTCGACTTCCCGCCTTCACAGTCACGCTATCCATTGATTGTCAAGAACATACTATCAGACCGCGCAAGGTCCGATGTGCTCGTTCTTGAAGAGGTTACGGACGACTTTCTGGTCTTCCTCCTTCAGGAGCCTGACATTCAGGAATTTTTCACTTTCTGCAGCTGGGGCCCACCAGATCAGGAGGGCGTTCAGCCGCTTCCAAGCCACAACAATATCGTGGTGTTAAGCAAGCATGCATTTACTTGGGAGCACGTGCCGTTCCATCGTGAGCACAAGGGCGCGGTTGTCGTCCAATTTCAGACTCTCGGACAGTGGGACGATGCAGACTTTCAGCCATTGATCCTGGCTGCTGTGCATCTCACGCATGGTCTGAAGGACGGCTCAATTGCGGCCAAGAAGACAGAAATCGAGACCATTCTCAAGTTTTTGGACGACACCTACCCGGAAAACCCTACTATCCTGACTGGAGACTTCAATATCACGACGTCTTCGTATTCCATCAGTCAGGCTCTTGAGAAGAAGGCTGTATCTTCCCAGGCGATCACACATCTCCAGAATTTCGACAAGACGATTGCCCAGGCTGAGTTTATTGATGTCTGGACAGAGTCACAACTTGAAAAGGGCACGGCATCTGACGAAGACCTCAACGCAGCCTTCGAGGGCGAACAAGGAGCCACATACGACCCAACGACTAATGCTCTAACAGCAGAAATTGTGGGTAGTGGCTTCAACATGCGACCTCAACGATATGACAGAATTCTGGTGAAGGGAGAAGACTATTTCAAAGTTTTAGATTTCAACAAGTTCGGCTTCATTACAGAGGAAATTGGCAAGTTCGCCAGTGATCACTGGGGTGTACGAGCGGTACTGAGACTCGGCCCCGAGGCGGAAAGCCCTCAACCACCTGGCGTTGCTGCAAATGTTACGCCTGTTCAGCTGAAGGAAGCGAAGCATTTGTCGGAACATGGAGAGAGCTTCACGGAATTGCTTCAGCAAGCGCAAGCCATCCCCTCTAAGGAGGAAACCGAGAATTACGCCGCAGCCTTCAAACTTTTGCGCGAGATCATCCTCGAGTCCTCAGCGCCGACGGCATCCACAGACAACGGACGATCAAGCACGCCTCTCGTTGTCGTACCCGTAGGGTCGTATGGACTCGGCGTGTGGACGTCTTCTTCCGACATCGACTGTCTCTGTGTAGGGCCGTTCAGCTCGTCGACATTCTTCTCCCTGGCGGCTCAGCGGCTGCGGAAGGCTGCCGACAAAGGCGTGAAGGTGCTACGCCGTGTGAAGGCTCACACAGGCACGATGCTCGAGCTGGAGGTCCAAGGTATCAAGGTCGATCTTCAGTATGCTCCTGCTGGGGCAGTTGCAGAAAAGTGGCCGGATTGCCTCAGGTTGCCTTCATCAGATCCCGCTTGGATGTTATCGGCACAGACTCTAAACAAGCTGAAGCCGATTCGGGACCTTGACTACGTTCGCCGGTCGGTACCCGATATCATCAAGTTCCGGTTGGCTCATCGCTTTATCAAGACTTGGGCAAAGAGCAGGGGCATCTACGCGCTGAAATATGGTTATCTCGGCGGAATCTCCATTATCGTTCTTCTTGCACGGCTCCAAAAGCTCCTGGCTCACGAAAGCGCAATTGTGTCGTTGTCCGACCTTTTAGTAACGTTCTTCAATCATTACGCCAGTTTCAACTGGCGAAAAGACCTCGCTTTTGATCCCTTTTTCCACAAGCAGCTCAACTACAGGAGGACTGATCGAGAACCCCTGGTCATCTTAGGCTATGCTCCACCAGCGCTGAATACTTGTCTAGCCGCATCCGTGCCATCGGTTAGGACTATCACTGAGGAATTTCAGAGAGCGGACAAGTTGCTGTCAGAAGAAGACATGACATGGTCGAGACTGATTGGGACCGACGGGTCGTCTGACTTCCTCAAGTCGTTCAAAAGCTACATCAAGATCAACATCCAGTTCTGGGGCGGCTCCCTCACCAAGGGCAGAGGTCTCGTCGGCTGGCTCGAATCCCGGTGCGTTTCACTGCTCGTCGACCTGCACAGGCGCCTGCCAGATCTTCACGTCAGATTCTGGCCCGCTCGATTTGTCGAGGCCACGGAGGGGGCTTCGATTGAAGACGACAAGGGCGACTATGAGGGGTTCTACCTGATTGGCCTCGACAAGCTTGACGGTAGCACAACCGACGACAAGACGATGCAGGAAAAGCTGATCGACGTGTTGAGGAAGTTCGAGGACCAGATCCGTGGGGACCCCAAATACTTTGACGAGCGGACCTCCTGGATGGAAGCCAGCGTGATCAGGCGCGCAGCTCTAAAGTCACTCGAGGTAGACGCCAGGGAATGGGGCGAGTATACCGTCGGTGATGACGAGTCCGACGACGATGAGGAAGAGGAGGAGGATGAGGAGGCGCAAGGCTCTACTGTTTACGACGACTACCAAGCTGTCCACTCCGCGTCAAAGAAGGGGAAAACTACCAATCAACCGCGCTCCGTCGTCGTCTCCAAGCCACAAGGGGCGGGCAAGTTCCGGACAGCATCTGATGTGCTGAACCGGCTTCGCTGGGTAAGCACACACTCACACTCATACACATACCCATAGCACAAAACCGTTCTTCGCGAGACTCTTCAGCAGCTATCCCACCTCACTATCAGAACAAGCCATATGCTAACTACAGACCCTCTGCAGGACCCATCTCTTGACAGCGGAGACTTCATCGTCGGCTACGAGGACCGCTTCACCGGCGCGATGGAGAAGGCGCTGGACACGTGGAAGTCGGAGCAGACGGACGAGGAGTTCATCCCGCAGCACCGGATCCTGTACTTCAAGCGCAAGAGCGACAGTACCGTCGTATGGGAGAGGAGGACGAGGACCGACCTATTGTTCGGTAGTGGTGGCGGAGGTAGGACATCTTCAGCCTGAGGAGCGGGAGAGTACCTGCTTTGTCGTCCGAGCATTGCATACGTAGCATAACGTTTTCGATTGAGATTTTTTGTCTGCTTATGACCGGTAGTATCCTTTTGCTTATGTGCATGATCTCCCGGCGCGGAGAGCCCATTTTCTCTGACGCGGTGTCGCTTTAGTTGCAGGGGCTGGCTGTCGTAATTGGCCGCACAGATGGGCAAGGGAAGTACGCGGCCTCGGTGGCTTTACATGCCTACGCAGTCGTCCCAACTTTCGCTGGGACGAGCATACCCATTCGGGCAAAGCCGACGTCTGAATATGCTGAGACGACTAGGTATAAGGAGGCCCCAGAGGTAGTGTTTACAGAGACATTCATCCTAGTAAGGCCGCCACTGAAGACGCCACTTTGAAGCGGAATTTCGCGAACAAGCACACACACCCACAGGCACACATATTTACAGAGTCATGCAAAAATTCTGCTTATTTCATCAAGATTATCCATCTCTCACCCACCAGCAGAAGCTATCGTCATTACCCCGGACTAAATGACACAGTAATAGAACAACATACGGAAGTGGTATCGCTGAAACCCTGGGGAAGATACTCATGTACTTTTGCTTGCTCAAGAGACAGCAACAGCACCCTCAAGTGCTATGATGAGATTCGCGGCAAAAATCATCGCGAAGCAGGCAAATGTGTTTACTTTTCTTCTCTTGTCCTTTTATATGTGCCATGCCATGCCTGCCAGCCTATGTGAATTGAAAACCAACGCCAAATGCATGAGCGAAAATGCCACCGCTAGAAACAAGGCCCTGCCCTATATCATCGGTCCGGCAGGATGCTGATGAGGATTCGCACCCCATAATGCTGCGCCAACCACCTGTTGTGTATTATCAGGGCCACGCCGCGCAGGCTCGGCCGCATACCCTGTTGACTGGAAATCTCGCTCGTCTGGGCTTATATGCTGTCTCGTTGGACTCGACATTTGGTGGTAGCCGTCGGCGGAAAGCGCATGAGTCTGTACAGGCTGCTGACGGTCTTGGAAAGCAAGTGTTTGCGAAGCGTAGGATTCGGGCGCTTGCTGGAATCGCGCAGCTCCTCGATATCCTAGATCGGACTCGTAAGGTTGGTCTTCTTTATAACGGTCATACGGATCGTGGGGAGGATTACTCGACGGATCGTCTTGGGCGTGGGCAATCAGGCCAGCTCCCTCCTCATGGCCCTCCTCATGGATGGGACTGATACCCCCATGCGCTCCTGGATGCTGGTTCATGCCAAATGTACTTCGTCCTGAGAGCAGTCAGTATTTAAAGTCTTGAAACCGCATTTCTTTGCGAGCGTCGGTGTGGATAAAATGGGTGGTTGAGCTGTCACTTTTCGCAGCTCCATGATTATGCCTCAAGTGGAAAAGCAGCTAATTCATGTTGCTGGGGTTTGCTTACGAAACTCGGTCGCAATGGGCAAGTGGTCGGTGCTCTTGCCCCCAGGCACCCGATCATATGGATGTAAGGGATATGACGTGTCCTTACCATCCATGTTGATGTCGGCGTTCTTGCGGTAGCTGGCATCCTCGCGGCGGCGCTTAGCCCCCACGAAGAGCCAACGCATGCCGCGACCGAACGCCTTTATGACATCCCATAGGTTCAAAGCGTCCCAGATCGCCTTCAAACCCACCGCGCCTCCGGCCGGCGGGATATGCAAATTCTCTTGTGGTGGTGCAGTCGAATCCTTGGACGGCAAGGGGTAGAATATCGGGGGTGCGTCCTGTCGATATGGTCGCCAGGGGTATGCCCATATGTGCAAAATGGCAAACAGTAACATCTCAATGCACAACAGCAGGGATGGTATACCGATTGCTATGTCTGGGTAAGAGAGCTTCGCGCTGGGAGAGATGATGTCGAACTCGGAAGTCCCCACAGATATAGCCATCGTCTGCCAGAAGCTGAGGAAAATGACACCCTTGATAGCCAAGACCTTGAGGAAAGGCTTGTGGGAGGCGAGCTCATTCTTGAGCTGTACGTAGAACTGGATAACACAGTACATGGCGATAGTAACGGCGATACAGTTAACGCTGACGACCTGGTGTGCATAGCGAATGTTAGCTAGATGGGATGCGGAATGGTGGGAGAAGTGCCGGGAAGAGGACTCACCCAGATATGTGCAAAGTAGGGACTGTTGGAGCTTTCACAGTAGCGGTCGTACTTGTTGGTCACAACGGCGGTGATGGTCATGGCGACACGTATAAAGCAGTAGTGGTATATTCCAATCCAGATGATGTTGAACCATGTAAGACCGCTAACGGGCGTGCGCCACGGGCCCCGATCGCCTCCGCAGCATTTCTTGAACCAGTTGATTGGCCAAACCCATTGTTTGACGGGTTGCAGCTCTCTGAAGAATTGTTTCTGCGAATGGAGGTCGGCCGCCGTGTATTGACACAGCAACGCAAAGAAGGATGAGATGGCAAAGGCCTCGTAGCAATCGGAAATGACTGCGAAGTAGACAGACTGGTGGTAGTACCTCAGCTGAAGGAAGGCTGAAGCAGCGTAAATGGGTATCATGAGAAGGATACGGATGATGCTGGCGAGTTGGTCAGCACATGATCAGCCGGGCGAAGATCCCACTTCGAGCTGGGGAGCCGGGGAGACAGGGGATGCGCACTATTTCTGCTCTTCTGGTTTCGTGTAGTTCAACGCATGCATCCATATTAAATAGAAACTGGTGAACATGGCAAGAAGTGCGGTTGCGGCGGATACGATGAGAGCCAACTCGTGGAATGTGAAGGGGCCGGCCATGGGGATCTCGGAGACTGGCGGCGGTGGAATTAGCATGAATCAAAGTTGCGCGACGCGGGCAAGGCCGCGCAAGGCACTCGAGGCTCACTCTCCATTTCCTCCACCGTTGTGTTGCAATATGTTAAATTCATCTTTGTTGACTTGGACTGCCAGGCTCAACCATGGGCCACGTGCTGCCTGTCGAGGCGCCGAGTCGAATGTGGTCGGCGGGATTGGATGTCGGATTTCGTAGGTCCCGACAGCGCAGTGAGCCGTGAGCCGTTGGCCGTGGGCCGTTGTTGGCGGCGACGGCCTCGCTTCTAATCGCTCTCCTGTGGAATTTGGTCCTTGTGAGAGCCTGTTCCAAATCTAATAACCCCAGCTCTTGTTATTCAAGTGCTCTTGAGCACGAGGCCTTCCCTTCAACGGCGGCTTGCTCGAGATGGCTCGGCTTTTCGTCTGCAGCTGAAATCCAGACAAATTGTCCAGTCGGGTCAGATTTGGTATTTTTGGAAAGAGTCCACCAGGTGAGCGGCCAGCGACGGTGATTAGCAAAGGATATTGCTCGAGTTGGTCACAGGGGCGAGGCGGTCGGGTTAGTTGGTCGCGATTGTAGTCGTGCGTCTCGTTGCCGAAAGGTCGCAATTTCGGGGCCAAGGAGATGGGATGGTGGTCGGCGGTGACGGCGCGTTGCAGAGAAGAGAAGGGGTGATTTCGACGTTGTCCAGCAGCTGAAGCGAAAAGGGGTCTCCTGGCGTCACCGGAGAATGGCGCCGGTGTAGTTGGAGAAGGTGAAGGCAAGAAAAGGAGGAGGATCGGACGGAATGCAGCCAAGTTCGAGGTGCGCCTTGTCGAAGGCTTGTTGTTGCAGTTGGGGGCTCCTAGGGAAGGCTTGGTTCCCTTAGTGCAGGCGGCGCCCTCCCTCTCACCTCTCGTGCTCTCCCACGGTGGCACCCCACCTCAGCTCTCACACCCACACGCACCCGCACGCCAACACACCTGCACACTCCAGTAGCAGCTGCAGCAACCAACCGGGTCCCCTGCCCAGGCGTGTGGCAGGTCTTGTCAGGGACTTCGGGAGCCACCAAGGGCCCGCATTACGGAAAGACAGGGCGACGAGGCTGAGCACGCTGAGGAAACCCCCGTCCGTCTCAAGTCGCTCACTGGCTCGCTGGCCAGTTCCATCAGACGAGCGAGCAACACAGCAGCAGCAATACGGAAATGCGCAGGACCCTCTTTTGATTTCTGGATCGACTCTCTGCCAATCTCGAGAATTCGCAGCCCGCGCCCGATCACAATTTAGCCTCCAGCACAGCACCGTACAATCTAATTACCTATACACAATCCATATGTCCTCGTCATCTGTCATCCTACGCTGTCCGCAATCAAAACCAGACAGAGGCAGTCAGCCGGCCACCCATCCATCCATCCATCCATTCATCCATGCATCCATCCAGCCAGCCAGCCAGCCTACAGGCCCGATCGGCGACCCACCCCCAGTAGCCGCTGTGTCTGACGAGAATCGACTTGTTTTGGATTCTGTCGCTCAGATCCAGAGGAAGCATGCGTCGAACGCCCAGGCGCCATCCCCAACCACCAGCTCACTCCCCACCCAAATGCGGCTTGAGTGCAATCTTACAGTCCATTAGTTCCACCGTTTGCCTACGTAGCGGATGCATGATGAGGACATTAATGGATACACTATGTACATGGCCACTATGAGAGAGCCAGAGGGGGCGCGCGACGCAGCAAGGTCTTCGCAGATAGGCGCTGACGACGCTTTTTGAGAACGCCAAGGCTCGGGCGGTCTCCGCACCCTGAAGCCCAGAACTCAATTCGCCCGAGCTCCTGTGCATCATCTTCGAGGGTGCTCGATTCGAGCTCCCGAGTCATTCGGCGACGTTATTGGCAATTTGGCAAGCGGGCTCCCGACCGTGACAACCTCGGCGCGCGCCGCTCCTCCGCTCCTCCGCGCTTCCCGGCCGAGATTCTTGCAGCGGCCCCCGGATCGGATTGCCATCCGCACTTCATGGATCTTCGCGGTTGACTGCACCGCCCCACACGCCGTCCCCGTGTGTGCGGTCCCCCGATCCCGCACTATATGCTACTTGAATATGCATGCTGTCCGTATCGTAGAAAGCCTTGACGGCCTATGCCGACGTTCTACGTCGGGAAAACCATTGTCATCCTATTGAAGCACAGTCTCGTCTGAGACGAAGCCCGGGTTGGGCACGGCGGCATATCAGTTCGACCACCCTTGTAGCTCCTTCTGGTTGGCGTAGCCTCTTTCTTCTACAGTAAAAAGTCAGCCACTAGAACAGGGAGGCAGTCGATTAGGCGAAATCTTTGCTCATATAACTCACCTCATCCTTGTTTCTCGAGAATCTGGAAGATCAACCAGGTGCTAATCACTGAATCTCATGGCGTGGTTCCGTCGAGATTATGATTCCGATGTTTTGCATGAGGTGTTGAAGACAGCTAGATCATGCCAAGTGTTGAGACTTTGCACTCCTTCACCCCCCGCCACCTAATCAGCCGAACCGTTTCCCCATGAGCAGTTCATAGTAAGCCTTCTGATCCTGCTCACTCCCTAGAAAAGGATCTTGGTCGGGCGGTTGTTCCAGCGGTTCGGGGTTGAAGCTCATGTCTAGGAAATCCTCGAGGGTCTCATTTGGAGCGAAACCAAGTGAGCCTAAGGTTTGGGTGAATCCAAGAGAACTGCGATTGGGTCAGCAGGGTAGCGTCAAAGACTGGTACGAGTCTGCGACTCACGATCTTGCGGCGTCCTTTGCCACTATATCAGATAACGATATTGACTCTGCTCTGGGTCTCGGCCGACCACTCATGCTGTGCTGCCTTGGTCTGCTGTTGCCATCCTGGGAAGAGGGAGAAGGGGTTGGGACGAAGTTGAAGGGGTTACTGCTGTCGAACTTGGGCATGGGAATTGTGTCAAGCTGAGGGGTTTGGGCGAGTTGTGGTACTGGCGGCCGGGAAGGTGATATAATAGAGCTTGGTGCAGGCGGTATGGGATCCGGAGTCGGCTCAGGGTTTGGAAGAAGTGACTGTTGCGGTAAGGAAGGCACCGCGCCAGGAGCTGTAGAGGTAGGCGCAGCGGCATCTGGTGTGATGCTTCGTTTTTCCCCTGATGCCTCATCGCCGAAGAAGGTCTTGAACACGCCGCTCTGTTGCCATGCCTGAATGAAGAACTCCTGCTGGGCTGGATCCCTGATGGCCTTGACGAGCCTCTTGCCCTCGGGCTGCTTCAGGTAGCCCTCAACGACCGGGCCCAGGCTTGGGATGAGGTTGAGGGCGGCGCCCCAGGCGGCGGCACTCTCCCTCAGGGTGTGCAGAGCACTCCGGTAGCCCTGAGCAGGGCCTCTTTTCTTCTGGGGCCGAAGGTACAGACATGACTTGTTGTGTCTCTCGCAATAGCCACACCGTGGCTTTGCATTGTCACAAGGCTGATGGTTCACGTGGCAGAAGTCACAGCTAGGAAAGGACGAAGGTCAGCCTGGCATCCAGGTTCAACGCCAGCTATTGTCAGGGAAAAAGATAGTTAAGGGAGAGTGAGGGTGGCTGGGAGGGCCGGGCCATAACGGAAGAAAGCGAGGCAGCACCGAGGGCAAAGAAACAAAGCAAAGCGCGCAAAGTTGAGAGTCTGATGAGAACGAAATGCCGGCAAGGGACCAGGAGCACTAACGCGCGTGATGACTTCTTGCGCTTCCGGGGGTTGACAGGGGCGGCGGCGGTCGAGTCGCCGGCGACCGAGGCAGCCGCATCTGCATCTCCGGGGTGGGCGGCGGCGGCGGCGGCGTCGTCCCTGAGGTCGTCGAAGTCGGACATGGCCGCGGTGTGAAGCCTGGAGGAATCAGCAGCAGGTTCACAAGAATAGGGGCCAATGGGTGCAGGCTCCAGCCTCAGTTCGTACATGCCTGTGCCTGTGCCTGTGCCTGTGCCTGAGCCTGAGCCTGAGCCTGAGCCTGGTGGTGAGACAGGGCTCGGTTGCGCGGCAGTTGTGCCCTCTCTCTCTGTGACCGTGTCGTGTCTGACTCTATGTCAGCCAGATATGGCGCCCAGGAGCTGCGACGTCACAGTATAGTGCAGCGAGTGCAGACAAGAAGGGCAATGTGGAGGCGGAGACGGAGATCGGAACTCTTGACGCAGGGCAAGGGCATCGGCTGAATTGACCAGCTTTAGCTACGGTGGGCTACTTGCTCCTTCACCAAGGCCCGTCGACGGCTAATTGGAGTTGACACCTCGGGTTTTGGGGTAATTGTCGGGATTATCTGGAGACAAACCTAATTCCAGAACCAGGCGAGTCGAGTCCAACAGTGGACTAGACCTGGAAGCTTTCCAAGGTGTGTGCGGTGCGGTGCGGTACAGCGCGGCGCGGCGCGGTTGGGCGAGAGCTGTACTGTACAAGCAACGAGTCCTGCATACTGTGATACTGTACTGTAGTAGAGTCGATGCGGCGTATTATAACGGTGTTTACAACGTATTATTTGCTGCTGGTAAGCTACGCAGATTCCCTCGCCCTCAAGCTTTCATCCCTCTCCCTCTCTCCAAGCGGGGGTGGGGTATCGATAAGCACCTTGCTGGAATGTTGCTCATTGAAAATGTCTGGGTAGGGCAGGCATGTGTGGCATGCTGCATAATGGCGCGTGGGCTGTACCAGAGCAACGGGAAGAACAGCACCGAGTGTGCCCAACATATGCAATGCAAAGCAGAACTAGACTACATGGCAACCGAACATCTAATCTAGACTACCTGATGGGACTGGGACAGGATAAAGGTCCAAATAAGAGCAAGCTGGCAAGCTGGTAAGGGACGGTCTTCGGCCTTGAATTCGAGTTTCACATCTGCCGACGGATTATCAATCAAGCAATCAATTGCTCTGCCTCCCAGGAGGTGTGGCCTAGCTCCACAATAGAGAGCAACCGGCGGGGCACTCTGCCTTTCTGTACGCTTTTTGCCAGAAGTCCCGGCCTGCAGGCCTCTTATATAAGTGCCGAGGGTACGTACCCTGTCGCAGCCCTCCACACCTCCCGACGCCGGCTCCGACCGACGAGGCAACCTTGAGAGGCGGCCCGGAATGTCCTGACGACCTTGGATTTCTGTACCTTGTCATGGACACAGCGAGCCGATCTTCTCCTCCTCATCTCGTAGCTCGTCTTTCAAGTCGCTCAAGCAGAACATCTCCTGCGCATCCATCAGATTCCATCGCAGTGGCCTACTAAGCGCAGTGCTGCTTATGCCTCACCTCCCCTGCTTGGAAACCTCACATGAGCGTTCCTCACATCATCTGGGAAGATATCTTTTCCGACCTCACCCCAACCAAAGAGAACGGCTCATACAGCCAAAAAGTCAAACACCATAACGTCCTTCAATCGCCCGACTCTAGACGGCCATCATCATTCAAGACAGACACGATTTTGAAATCACTCAGGCATTGTTGTTTTGAAGGTCTCCTGGGAATCCCTTTCATCCCCTATGCTGGGATGCTGGAAGCACCGTCATGACCGTCGAAGATGCCATGACGTCTGCCCCCCCAAATGAGCGCATTTTCCACCCAGACGCCTCAATCGTCCTGGTGGGATGTCGAGGTGCCGGAAAGCGCTCTCTTGGCTTCATCGGTGCTCTTCACCTGCGACGCCGTCTTATCACTGAGGACTACTACTTCCAGCAGGTCACCGGGCTCACCCGCATGCAGTTCCTCAGCCAAAAGGGCAAGGATGAATTCAACCGACGCAATGACGAGGTCTTCAAGCGCATGCTCGATGAGCATCGCCACAAGGCCATCATCGAGTGCGGCATGAGCAGCTTTTCTGACGAAGCACAGAACGCCTTGCGCCTGTTTTCAGAGTCGAACCCTGTCATATATATCCATCGGGAGAAGGAGGAGATGCTTCGCCTCCTGGATTCGGCCGATGGGGAGCGTATCCTCCGCGCAGATCAGAGGCACAGGACATGCGCGAACCTCGAGTACTTCAACCTGTACGATCATTCCAACTCCAAGCCTATTGTAGCTAGCGACGCGTCATCAGGTGGATGGGACATGCACATGGCTACACCCTCCAGCCTGCTATACGCCAAGCAAGACTTCACTCGCTTCATCGATTTCGTTACCGGCCAAGGCCTCACAAAGCTCTTCCTTGAGAGCCCATTCGCTGTAAGGGCCATCCCGCCTGAGTTCAGACAGTACTCTTACGCTCTGCGACTGCGGCTGTCCTACCTCGTCAACATGGACCTTGAGTGGGAGGACCTTGAGGCCCGGGGCGATTGCGTGGAACTTATTATTGACCATTGGCCGGACGACATGTTGAACCAGATCGCTCGAATCGTCGCCCAGGTGCGGAGGAAACTGGTTGTTCCAATAATCTATCATGTTGAGGAGAACCCAAGAGAGGAGCGGCGCAGAACCCCTCAAGAGAAGGCCAAAATGGACACTGAGCTCCTTGAGCTTGGTCTGCAGCTCGGCGTCGACTACTTGAGCCTGGACCTGCAGAGGAAAGACATTCCGCTGCGGAAAATACTCGCCAATCGCGGTCGGTCGAAGATCATGGGCAACTACTGGAACGTGGGCCTGATGTGCACGCCGTGGTCTAGCGATTCCCATGTGCGAGATTATCAACATGCCAAGGACATTGGGTGCGACCTCGTGCGCATGGTCCGATTTTGCTCCGGCGACAGCTCTCGTGAGATGCTCCAAGATTTCCGGAAGAAGATTGCCAGCACTATCCCAGACCCGAAGCCCCCGCTTGTAGCGTACGACTTCTCAGTCCTCGGTATTAGAACGCCTATTCAGTCACGGATCTTGACCCCGGTAAAGCATCCCGACATGGAGAACGATCGGGAGCACCTGGCCACTGTCTGTACGGCCAGCAACTCCTTCGAGGCACTTTTTCGGCAATTTGAGCTAGAACCACTGCAGTTCTACACAGTAGGCGCAAATGTGTCGTACTCGCTCTCACCATGTATGCACAACACTGCATATGAATTCGCCGGCATGCCCCATAACTTCTCAGCAGAGACATGCTCTACCATGGAAGATCTCAACAAGATATGCAGCGATGCCTCCTTTGGTGGAGCCTCGCTGGCAGCACCTTTTAAAGTCGCCATTGTGCCTCATTTGAAACTCAAGAGCCACCATGCCACCGTCATCGGGGCCGTCAATGTACTTTTACCACTACGCGGCAAGACGAACTTCATCTTAGACCACGCAAACTCCCGCAACAAGTCGGGTCTCACAAACGAGTTCTATGGCGATAACACCGACTGGCAATCCATATTCACATGCCTACAGAGGAATATCAGTCCTCGTAACTACGTGCGGCCCTCCAAGACGACAGGACTCATCATCGGGGCAGGAGGACAGGCACGAGCTGCCATCTATGCCATGATTCAGCTCGGATGTCGGAATATTTTCATCTTTAATCGAACCGTCGAGAACGCACAGGTAATCGCTGAACACTTCAACCTCTGGGCTCAGAAGCAGGGCATGACTCCTGGAAAGGGAGGCATATCCCAAATCTGTCATGTCTTGTCGTCCATCTCTATTCCGTGGCCAGAAGGCTATGAGCAGCCGACGATGATCGTGTCCTGCGTGCCAGCCACAAGTATTCATGGAAGCCTGCCGGCGGACTTCGAGATGCCCATGCAGTGGCTCGCAAGCCCTACTGGAGGCGTGGTGCTAGAGGTGAGTTGTACACCGGATGTACCCTTGTCTTGCTGCCCTTGACCAGTCATCCCTCAATGCCTCGTGAGGCCATGAAAACTTAGCACAGCATGCTGATACTTGACCACAGCTGGCTTATGAGCCCCTCATCACACCACTCGTAGCCCAGATGCAAGTGTACAGAGACACTGTCAATCCCTCATGGGTAGTAGTCGACGGGCTCGAGAACGTAAGCGAAATGGCCATTGTAGCCTTCGAGCTAATGACTGGGCGGTTGGCGCCCAAGAGACTCATGAAAGAGGTGTGCCGGAAGACGTGGGAGCAGCAGAAGAGAGAGATGTCATCAATGTCCTAATTGGCGGAAGAGTATTGCCCGTGGTTGAGAACACCACACAATGTGCAGGAGTAGGCCATATTTAGAGGACGTTTGTAAGCACGCTTGGGATCTCCGCGATTGGATTGCATCAATCTACCTGCATACTTGCCGGTTGCCCAGTGAGTGAGATACGCAACCTTCTATGGTACGGACAGGAAGTCTGGGATGCTTGATAATTTGGCAGCAGTTAATAGCGGGCTTAAGCAATTGACTTTTACAAAATCCAAAGAATATCAGGTCATGGTACATACTGCTGATGTCACGCCTGATTTCAAGCTGGAATCTGCTTAGTATAGCGCCCAGGGCCCCAAATCTCTATTTATATTCTAAATCGAGCCACATGTAGAAAGTGGACCTGTCCTGACGCTGTTATTTGCCTGTCGTATAGGATGGGTATTTCCGTATATAATGGACATTTTTCGTTTACACACCGATTTTTCGTATTCGGCGACAAGCTGGGATAATTTTAGGCACCCAGCAAGGTTTGCCCGTCAACAACAGTATAGCTCAGGCTTTTTTGATGGGCAATACAGCCTTGCACTTGTATGACCATCTAGTCAGTTGTCATATACACCCGTCGCTGTCTGTGGGTTGGGGCTGTGCCATACCTCATGTCGAGGGAACGCGCTCGACGACTGGACTTCAGGAGAAATATGACACTCAGTTCAACTACAACCCTTTGCGATGTGCTCGATCACCTTTTTGTTTCTCGCGCATTGCATTTTGTAACAGGATCTCGTTGACAGGCTTCGAAGACTCCCGTAACAAATAAGAATCTTCCTTGATTTACGAGACAACTCATCGAAATACGTATCGTCAAGGGTCCAAGCGACTGGCTTCTCATCATCCAGTGCCGAGATTCGGTCACCCATCGCATAATGGCGGACGAAAGACCATTACAGCAAACAGAGAAAGATATTCTCCGTGCCCAGCGAGAATTATTAGCCAGGGAGTACCCGCCAACGCCGACCTCTGCCTCCCCCGAGACGCCCACCACCCCGAACGAGGGCCGTCCCGGCGCGGTGAATAGCTCCGGGGTCCATCCTTACCTCGACCTGCCACCGTACCCGGGCCCATCGAACGCGCTTCAGCTGGACCTGGCAGCGTCCACTCAGCAGCAACAGCAGCCCTCCCAGCTGCAAGATTACCCGGGCCTCCCCCGGCTGGACTACCGCCTCTACTCGCCACCGCTCTTCGAGCTCTCCTCCAACTGCACGACCATCAAGTCGACGGCGCCCTACCTCTCCAGCACGGTCGAGGCGCTCACGGCCCTCGTCCGCGCGCAGTCAACCGTGCCGCCCAAGCCCCAGATCCACATCACCGGCAAGAGGGGGAGCAAGGTCGACTTCGCCATCAAGCTGAACCTGCTGCCCCTCCTCGTCCCAGAGGCCGCTCCAGGGCGGCAGCAGCAACAGCAGCCGCCGATGAGCTACATACGCTGCGTGGGTTCCGGAGAGACGGCGCTGAGGGGCGGCACGAAGCCCGAAATGCTGCCGGACCTAGGCGACCATGCCGGACTAGAGGAGTGGGCCCGCAGATTCGTCAACGACCCGAACCAGGTCAAGGCGTTCGTGCTGGAGCGCGTCGTGACGAACCTCGATACGAACTGGATCTCTAGCCAGATTCGGATTCTCGTCAATTCGTTGAATTGTAAGTGCTGGTTTTGCGTTGCGAATCTCCCCCGACTCGCCCCTTGTTAGACGCCATAGGGCCATTGCGCTCCCAGTATCGTATTGACACATTATTAGACAAGGGCGTCGTCACCGTTTCCTTTCCCGTGACACACTCCAAAGTGGTGGTGCAGAGCCCGGACAGGGTCAACAAGTTCTTCACGGGGATCACGACGCTCTTCACAGGGAAGAGGACGTACGAGGTCGTCAAGGTGGTCTGGCCCTTCGCAACGCGTGAGAGAACCGAGCCATCAACGGCGGCCGAGGGGGCCCCGAGGCGCTGTGTGGTCCAGAGTGAGGACCAGTGGTGGAGAGAGTGGGCGCAGCCCATTAGGTACGCGATTGGCACGAAGAGGAATGGATGGGTCACGAATGAGGACAAGCTCGAGGCCATCATGGAGGGCAAGGGCAAGGGCTTGTCAGCTGTTGACTGGTCGGAAGAATTTGACGGGGCGGCTTGAGTCTGTATGAACATGGTCCAGCACTGATTAGCGGATGTCAGCGCAAATATTTGCTCTTCGACTAATACCAGGAGATTACTCAACCTTGTGAGATTGAATATCTCCAGAACTTGAGACACTCTTTCAGAAACGCTCCTACGCCAGCCACCCAGGCTGAAAAGCCCTTTCCGCCTTGATTTTGTGTACGGCCATTTCGCAAATTCTACAACATCACGCGAGTAAAAGCACTCTGGCGCTGAATAGCATCTCTTCCTCTTCTGTTGGTATCATGCACATGATGTTATCTTACACAAAGAAACCTGGGTATATTGCCTTGCCAATGCGCCGCCCGAGAAAGCAAAATGAAATGCACCTAATTCAATAGACCGCCGAAGACGCCTAGCTCGTGAAAATGCACTCCATCCTATGGATCTTGGGATCCCAAAAACAACGTGTATAATTCTTTGGTGCACTTGTGATGTCTTTACGATGCATATACGGGTCCGGAAGATAGGAAGTCGTGGCGCGGCTGACTCTTGTAACATATGAGGTAGATGGTGCGAAAGGCCTGGGGACAAGCTTCGACCAAGGAATGCCTGCTGCCTTTATGCGTTCTGGGCTTTTGAGGGAAAAGTGAGGTCTCCATTTTTTTTTGATTTGCGTAAGAAGCTTCTCGCCGTAATTCCAGCCTGGGCGTCTGTCTCTTGACGCTTGTCCGCAGCGAAATCGATATTTTGATAGTACAACAATTCGCCGAGCAATGTGCGGAAATAAGTAAAGTCTGGCATGATGCTGCTTGAAGTCCGCCCATTGCAAATTTGTTCTCAATCTGGTTGTCTCCTGAGCCAAACAGCTCGACTCTCGCACCGCAAACCACCCAAGTGTCGATTAATGAATACTGCGTCGTGCTGTGCTCTTGCAAGTCCCTCGTCCCTTTACATCTTCAAAGACGGACCATAGGGAGGACGCTTCTAACGTCGCGGTCGCTTGTCTCTGTCGCTTTGCGGCATTTCCGAAATGTCACTCCTCCGCTTCCTGCCCGAGTTTCGTTCGTCACCACGGGGATCTCGTCGATCATCACCAAGCCGTCCCGGTCCGTCTCTGGGTCCGTCTCTGGGTCCACCTCGCATCGATCCTCCTCTGCTGCTACTACCCCATTCATCATTTGGTCTTCCCCCACTGCCTCCATCGCCTCTGCTACCGTCGCCCCGATGTCGTGGTTCACGACCAGGGCCTGAAGGTTCCCTACCACCACCAGGCAAAGAGTCGCGGTTGCTGTTATTAGGAGCAGGTTCTCGAGCAGGTCGTCGAGGTTGAATAGGTTCATGGTTGGGATCGCGGATACGGTTGCTGTCAATCCCTGGTGGTACGCCAGATCGTCGATCATGGCGCTCAGTCTGCTCACTCCCACGCGGTTCTTTTATGTCTCGATCACCACGGGGGCTACGTTCTCGCCCGCCGTGACGACCAGGCCTGTCGGGCCTTTCGCGATGGTCCCTTCGTCCACTCCGTTCATGCTCACCTCTACTTCCAGCAAACTCCTCGTGCGCATCGCCTCTCGAGTCACGAAACGGCATGCCACCCAAGTCGTTTCCAGGGGCAGGGCGATCCTGATTCAGGTTTCTCCGTATGGGGTCGGGCCGCTCCTGGACCGGGGTCGAGACTGGTGATGCGCCAGTAAGTATTTGCGCATCGGAGTCCGGCATGCTTTGCCTAGTCCTACGATGATCATTGTCACGCTTGCCCGGGGTGATGTTGTCTTGGAGCTTCTCAAGTTGTCTTCGAATGCTACCTCGCTGCCGGTCCTTGCTTGCGGATGGGCCCGTCGGAGCAGAATGCGGTGCGTTTTGTTCCGCAATAGGGGTGTTAGGGTGGCTGCTCTGTCCTTGACGTGACGCGGATGGCCCTGTGGGGGTGGTCAAGCGGTCATTCGTATGAATAGGAGGCACTTGTGGACGTGAATGGGAAGGCTCGCGCGGCGGCGGCGGTGGCGGTGGCGGGACGATGTGTCTCATGCGGTCAGGATGCATTGGCTGCTCAAACTGATGAGCACGGTCGGAATGCAAGCCGCCAGCAGGCGCAGGGGGAGGAGCAGAGGAATTCGTCGCATGGTCAAACTGGTTCGATGGCGCCCTGCGTGGCCTTGATGACGACGGTCCAGTTGGAGGTTGTCGATCCGGCGATGGTGCCCGATTCGCATCTGGAGGTGGCATTCGTCCATCAGACCTAGGTCCTGATGGCATAGACGATATTCTAGATGAGTTCCTCGCGCCGCGTCCACGAGGCCCTTGCGGAGCTTCTGCTACCGTCGGAATTGGGTTCAGGCGGCCGTAGTTCGGGTCTTGCTGAGGCGGCCGGCCGCGATCCGATTCATGAGATCGAGGAGGGGGCCCATGGAACGACGCATCCCGGCTGCGCTCGTTAGACTGACGATCTTGCTCCCTGGGCTGCTCAATATCTCTCGCCGGGGGCTGAGATGGCTCTGCGTGATGTCCATTACGACGGGAGTGTCGATCCTCACGAGAGTGGCCTTCGGAGCTTGTGGTCGCACTGTATCTATCATCTCTCCTGGGGGACTGCGTGCGCGATGAGGCCCGGTCTCGCCCACTGTCCCTTGGGGAGCGAGTCGAAGAATGAGATTGCTGCGTCTGCAGCAAAGCCGCGCGTTGCGGATTGATCATCTCGGGACGCTCATCACTTTGGAGGAGAGCTGCCCTCTCGGGATTAATCGGCGGCTCAATTGGAGGCGTCTGCGTGCCCTGAGGTGGCTGGTTTGTCACAGCAGGCTCTCGAGGACCACGGCCATCGCGAGTAGATGTCGTCGGGGCACGATCTCGAGGGGTTCGAGCGTCTCGGTCTACCGCCATAGGCTCACCGCGTGCTGCCTCGCCCCTCGAAGGCTCTCCTCTTGTAGACTCCCCACGTCGCGGGGAAGGGTCCGGCCTGTTGGACCAGTCACGTTCTGAGAGCCGGCCCGACTCACGAGGCACGCGCTCGTTCGCACGACGGTCTGGATCGTGCTCTCGCCTTTCGCCACGACTGCTCTCTGGTTGGCGGTGCTCCCTGGATTCTCTGCCGTCACGAGATTGATCCCTCTGATCTCGGAGCTGATCTCGGAAGCGCTCTCTTGGATCTCTCGTTTCACGAGGCGGCTCCTTTTGATCCCGAGGTTCTCGAGTCTCTCGGGTGTCTCGGGGCGACTCGCGACGGTCCTGTCCATGTCCTTGCGGGAACAATTCTGGACGGTAATGAGGTGGAATCGGAACTTCTGGGCGACTGGGCAGCCCATGAGGTACTCTGTCGCCCCTTGAACCTACACTTGCCGTCCGTGAAGTCTCACCGCGTCCACTTGGGCCGGGCAGAGGTGCCGGCGAAGGTACGACAATGTTTGACTTTGGTGTTGCCGGCCGACCGATCGGCGCAGGTGCCCTTTCCTTCAATGCAGAGTCTTTGACTGCGTCCTTGTCTTGGCTCGCAGCAACACCAGGCGTAGAAGCAGATAGAGGAGCCTTGTTGTCCTTTCCGTCCTTGACTTCGCCGTCCTCGTCCTCGGCCGGAGGGGCAGATGTTGCACTAGTTTATGTCAGTGGTTTTCTGTTGACTGGCCGCACAGAGGTCATGAGAGCACTGACGTATTGGATTGTTGAGGCTTGAATTCTGCGGCCGTTGGCCGCAGATCAGACTTCGCATTTTGGCCAGTCATTTCCACGTCCTTCGGTCCATCTTGCGGCATTCCGGACTGCTCCAAATTAGTCAATGCTGTTAATTGTGGTCTTGATGGTCTCGATTAGATGCTCACCATGTTGGGACGGAAAGCTGGGACAGCAACCCATTTCGACTCCCGCTTTTTCAGCATGGAATAGACAGTCAGAGCGGTAACGGCAAGATCAACACGATGTCCTTCTTCTGATGAGCCCTTCGTCACCTCTTCACGCGTCTTGATCTCATCGAGCAGCTTCAAGAGCTGGGTTCCCATGAAATTGACGGCCGGGAAGAAGTTTGAAACTGCCTTAAGGACTGTGAAAGCGTTCCTGATGTGCATCCACTCCTTCGTGCCTTGCAAGCAGGCTTTCAACGCTACATTGAGGTTCTTATGCCACTCGTAGTGAGAATCTCGGAAGAACGGATGCTCAACGAAGCTTGTGGGATTGCCCTCGTCATCGATGGCTGTCGCAAATCCTAGGAGGTTTCGTTTAGATTTGCCAAATGCCTCCTTCTCATAGGTCGTCTTGTCAGCGTGCCACCTCGCTAAGTCCTCGAGTATGCACTTGATGAAACGTCCTAGGTGCTCCGCTTCGCGAACCGTGGATGAAAATATCATTGCTCGAAGTCGGTTTGCGTTGAAGAATCGTTCGTAGAAAGTGAATAACTTGAAATTTGGCGTCTGATTTTCGTGGAGGAACTTGATCATTCTGAAGCAGTATTCCGTGTCCAGAGATGAAACGAGAAGCCGTGGGAGTATGCAGTGTTCAAGCAGAGCATCGGAGGTCAGATTTGCCTCAGCAATGGTTCCTGAGAACCAGAATTTAGACTGTCTGGCCAACCGGAGCTTCGTCTTGTGGTATCGCTCGATGTGCACTGTCATCTCCTCGCGAATTGACTTGGCGAGTCCCAGAAGTGATTTCTTCTTCTCCGCTTTCTTGTTCATGCCTTGTCGTGTCAGATCGGAGCGATCTTTCATAACGTCTTCTGCTTCCTTGTTGAGTCTTTCATGTTCAGCCTCGTAGTTGGACTGTGGAACATGCAAATCACCCAGTGATAGCGACCAGAAAATAACGTAGAAGTCAGGGCTTAGATGTTGCCAGGTCTCTGGAGGTAGCATGTCTTGGATAGTGTTGACGAGCGGCTGGAGAACATCAGCGATCGGGTCCGACTTCCGCGTATCAGCCGCAGTGGGCGGCGATGGTGCAGCAGAGGCGTTTTCGTCCAGGACCATCTTATCCTCATGCTCATCCTTTCCGGGATCTTCCTTGGCGACCACTGAGTCGGAACTGCCGCCCTTCATAGCCAGGTCGCCATCAGTATCAGCTCCTTCTTGGGTGAGCTGGTTATCGCTACGGTCGTCCTTGACATGGGATAGTGCCGCCACCTTGCTATTTGCCATGCGATATGCTAGGCTAGCCCTGCCGACCATAAATGCTAGATCCACATCCAGACCATACCCAGTCATCAACTCGGCTATGCTAGGAATGTTGGCGTCGAACTGATCTGGTGATAAGTTGCTGCGCAAGAAATCAAGATATTGTGTCATGGCCTGATGTACTTCATCCATGATTGTAGCCAAGTATTTCACGTGCGATTCGTCTTCGGGCAATTTGTATAGAGCCGACTGGCGGTACTGGGCCAGATTCACAAGAAGCCTTCCCGCGAGCTTCGTATCCATCAGAGACTGCATGAGGCGTTCTGCGCCATGCACAGACACGTCTCTGCGATCTCCCAAGCTGATGAGTGTCTGTCGGCGGAGAACTTCGCCGCCTGTCATTGCTCGCATTTGGACGTCGGTAAAGTCAACGTCAGGGACCACGCCAGCCATTGTTGAGATGAGCTCTCGAAGGATAACCAGGTCCGTTGAGTTGCCTTTTGACAGTTGGTTGTTGACGTATTGTAACACAGGTAACGGTTTCATATGCTGGTATCGCTTGAAGACTTTCCCAGAGAATCGTGAAAGAGCCTGGAGCCACTTGCTTGTGAGCAGTACGGATGTTTCTTGGGTTCGACTCCTGGCTTTGCCGCCCAGGGCACTCATCAGAGACCAAGTCAAGACGTCATAGCCAAGGTCTGTCAGATATCGGGCACACTCAACAAAAGCCTCGATCAGATTCGGGTAAGCCTCGATTTGGTCAAAGGCAGTCTTGAACACCACGCCGGGAGATGCGTAGGCAGTCTTCGCTAGTTTCTTAGCCATGGTAGACAAATTCTCCAGTGACAGACGCTTCAGAATACCGTTAGTCTCTGCTCTGGTCTTCGCAAAGGCTGACTTGATTGATGAATTACGGGACGTCTGTCCCTGGAACCATTCCGCATAGATGTTGTACCGGGTGGTAATAGGATACAGCTTCAGAAGATCCCAAACAGCCTGGACCGTGAATGAGTTGGCTTCAGTCATGCTCAGTGCGGGAACCAGTAATCGCTTCAGCAGATCTTGCCAGCGTCCCATGTTCTCGGGAGACTGATCTTCGGCCAGGCTTGTAGCTCCGATGGCGGCAATTTTGGCGAGTAGCGCCGCATCTTTGCCGATGTTTACCCCCGAGAAATTCATGAGAGTGTCGCATAGCGTTAACACATCTTCAATGGTTTGACAGACCGGGATGTTGTCGGCCCAGTCATCCCAGTAGCAGCGGTACAGCATGTTGTCCTTCTCGCCGTCTGGATGTGGCCAGCGCAGTGGCCGCTTGGAATTGATCTGGGTAAGTCGCACGGACCCCTTCGATACACCTGCCTGATCAACATCTGGCATCCTCTTGAGCGGGATCTCCAAGTGACTGCTAAGCTCGCCGGACACAGTCCTGGTCTCTTCGAAGACCTTCTGTACCGAATGTGAAATTAGGCGGTTGATGAGCTTGAGAAGCTCAGGAAAGGCTTCCGTCAGCCAGGGGAAGCGAGTCAAGATAAACAGGGCATCGGGAAGTGCGCCAATGGTGAGAAGTTCAGTGACTAAGGAGAACTTTTGGTAGTATGTGGGCTTTTCTTTCCTCGCCGTCTCAGGAGCAGAATTGATCTTGGGCTCTGTGACGGCCTTGTTGGGTCGGGTCGGGTCGCTATCGTCGGTTAAGGCCCCAGCCAAAGCAAGGGCACCGCGGCCTCTGCCTGTTTTGGCCCTATCTTCCTCCTCGAGAATTCTCAATCTCGTTTCTCTGACTTCTGTGTTCATTTTTTCATCGGTTGGAGAGAGATGCGGCCACAGGTCAGCGAGTGAGATGAAGCCTATCTTGATAAGCAAAGCTGTCATGAAGAAGAGGTTGGCAGGAACCACTTCTTCTCCAGCAGCTGGAGAATCGTAGAACCTCAACTTGAACCCAAGTAACTGTGCCGCGACTCTGTTGCCCTGTGGTGGCAAGGTCTTGGTAACCACCATCCACTGCGCCAGTGGGTCAAGCTGAGACATGCCATCGTCAGAGTCAGTGTTGGCATCAAGGATAGCCTGCAGACGGTTGAGCTCGGCTCCCTCGACTTGACGTCCACCAAGCTCAAAGTAGGCGTCAAGGTGCGTTTCTCGGGCTCTGGCCCAAAATTGAGAATCGCGCTGGCGACGCTTTTCAGTGATGACTATTTGTTCTTCCGCACTGATAGTCCAGTGTGCTGACTCCGGAAGCGCCCACTGGGGGAGCCCTCCCCAAACATTGGCAGACTTGTTATGGCTGCGGGGCCACCATGAGCTGATTCGGAGGAACTTGACGAAGAAACGGTTCTGCTTTATGAGAACTGATGCAAAGACGTCGAGCGTCACATCCAGAACACGCCCTACGTCCAGATCGAACGTTCCGATGAGACCCTTTACCCTTTCAAAGGCATTCTGGATGGCCTCTGAAGTTGGAGGTTCCGTGTTGGAGGTTGTAAAGAGTTCCGTAGCAAGCTTCGCATATCCTTCAGTTTCCTCTCGCAGAAGATTGTAGTTGGCTTGTTTGTAAAGGATGTTCGTGGCTTGTCGAATACCCATCTTGGTGAATGTGTCGCGGATAAGTCCTAGTTGCTCTAGCAGAGCTGGCTCTAGTACCCTTCGCATCAACACCGGGTCGACGCCCGTGGCGATCAAGAATTCGCGCAGATTCGAGTCGTAAGAGCCAGATCCGACATCAACATAGATGGCGAGGGTATCAAGGAGTAAAGTGTGGGTATCGAAGGTGCGAGGATTGGTGTCTGCATCCTCAGGTCGAGTTCCGATGATGTGCTTGACAATCTCACCCGCCTCCGATGGCCTCAGCCGGAAGTCCAGACATGACTGCACAAGCTCCTGGAATATTGTCGACAGCTCCTGAACGTCTTCGTCATTCCGTGACTGTATCCCGTGATCCACCACTTCTTGGCGGCCGGTCTGTGACCAGGTTTCCAACCGCGCATCTGTCACGACTTCGTAGTGGAATCCTGATTGCACAGGAGAGGGCAGCGCCGACGGGGGCAAGTTTGACGCCATCTTTGTGTTCAGTGGGGCGACGGCAGGCTGGGATGAAGCGCTGGAAGGTCGAGGCATGGTGGGAGAATTCAAAGGCGAGCCAGCGGCCGGCGCCGTTGACGAGGCAGTGTTCTGGAAGGAATCGCGACGCTCGTTGCGCCGTGTGGATCTGCCACCAGGACCAGGGCGGTTCCTGTCGTGTTGGCCGAGGGGAGTGTTGTCTGGACGGTGAGGCGAAGGCCGGCCGCTGCCCGAGTCGTTAACTCTCTTGCGCTTCGGACCCATCTTCAAGTCGACACCTGCTATGGCTGTACCATTGACGCTAGCAGACTATGACAGACGGGAGTCAATCTGAACAAGTCGGTGGTGAAAGAGGCCGAGCGGCACGGTTAAGCGCGGGAGGCGGTGCTTTGTCCTCGCGCAAAGTCCGCGAGCGTGTCGGGCGTGTCGGGCGCGAGGTGAGAGGTCTCTCAGGTCGTGAAAGCGGGAATGAAAACGGGGAAAAGAAGGTCAAAAGGAACAAGACGAGTGAGAGGGTGCTGGTCACGAAGTAGGCCCAGCGTCGGAGTAGGGAGTGGCATGGAAGGAGGGCGGCAGTCGAGGTTGAGGTTGAGGGTTGTTGGTGTTGGTTCCGCAGTTGGCAGAGCTTGGGTGAGGATCTATCGCAGGTTGCAGTTCACCTGGCGGTTGCTCACCAAAAACGACATCCGAGCTTGAGTGGAGCCTGCCGTGGAGCCCTTCCTTGCCGGGTTGCTGACCACCCGATGAGGCTAGCGCGATGTGGGCGCTCAGGGCTGCAACGCCCGTCCTGGGCCCTGGCAGTACGGACCGAGGTGGGCTACTATCAAGTAGACTATTAGTACCCAGGCGTGCCAGGCCACATCAAAGTGTCACTGCGACCGGGCTGCAACTGCTCGACTTTAGAGCAGGTTCTGTCATATCCGTCACCTGCCTAAGTAGTTTCTACGTGGCACTGGTTCCTCCAAGATGATTCCATACCAGCACGTTACAATCCTTGCTTTGCAGTGCTGATGATAGGCTTGGTAGAAGAATGCAATTGATTCCAGCCCTCCTGATATGCGGCTGCGGGTTACCTGGGTACATGTAGGTATTTGCCGCGGCCCCACCCACAACACCAAGTACCCATGTACCGGACTAAGAGAATGAATGACTCTTCAAAGTTCAAGTCCCAAAGCTCTGCTCTCCATGACTCTGTCGCTTCTTGTACATTCAGTACTTTCAACTAATTGCCAAGCGAGGTTATTCACACCCCTTTTTCTCTCTCGTTCCTCTGCGGCCGGACGAGCACCGGGCATTGTGAGTGCACTGGGCGTTGATCTCTAGATATCATCTTGGACAGCGGCACTGGGAGACAATGAGCTCAGACGCCACAAACGGTCAGGCCGAAAGCGGCAGATATGGTGAGTGCAATGCCCCCTACACCCACGCATTATCAGCTCCAGACCTGCCATGGCATCCAGCAGTGCCGCAAGACCAGTGACTGAATACGTCCAAGAAAGAACCAATTCGCAGGCGGAGAACCCGTTCGCGAGTTTGATCCCAGACCAGCAGATTGCTGTCATACCCTCCTTCACCCTTGAGTCTGGTGTAAGACTCCAGAATGTGCCCGTTGCATATACCACCAAGGGCAAGCTGTCTCCCAACGGGGACAACGCTATGGTTATTTGCCATGCCTTGACAGGAAGCGCCGATGTCAGTGACTGGTGGGGCCCGCTGCTCGGTGGCGACGGAAGAGCCTTTGATCTGTCACGCTTCTTCGTGGTCTGCATGAACAGCCTGGGTAGTCCATACGGCACCGCCAGCCCAGTGACGGCCAAGGATGGGGACATTAACAATGGCCGATATGGCCCTGAGTTCCCTTTGACCACAATACGCGACGACGTCCGGTACGTCGTGTTCGCGCCCCACCGCAAAGAATTGGCACTGACACTCCATCAGGCTCCACAGACTCCTTCTCGACGACCTAGGCGTCAAGCAGGTAGCCGCTGTCATCGGTGGTTCGATGGGTGGTATGCTAGTCCTCGAGTGGGCTTACTTTGGAAAGGACTATGTCCGCTCGATCGTGCCCATTGCGACGTCGAGTCGTCACAGCGCCTGGTGCATCAGTTGGGGCGAAGCTCAAAGACAGAGCATCTATGCCGACCCCAAGTATGATGATGGTTATTATCCATTCTCTGATCCGCCGACCACCGGGCTCGGGGCTGCCAGAATGTCAGCTCTCTTGACATACCGCAGTCGCAACTCTTTTGAGACCCGCTTCGGCCGCAATATCCCGGATCCATCGAGGCGCCAAACAATCAGGGATATCCAACGGCCCAGCACTCCATCAGAGACTCACTTCAACATCCACAATGACGGCCACAAGATCAATCGACCAGTGAACTCTCGAAGAACCAGCCAAAATAGCCAGGCAGGTGAGAGTGGCCCGGCAAAAGTCGCCGCCGCCGCCGCCGCCGATGCAGCGGAACAAACGTCAGACCCTCAATTCCACGGGCCGAAATCCGACGGTCTCACCGGCGGTGATAGTGTGCCGACGTCGACGTACTTCTCGGCGCAATCTTATCTCCGATACCAGGGTAAGTGAATGTGCTCTAAGGATTCCCTTCGATATTGTGCTGACCACATCGCGCAGGAGAGAAATTTGTGAAGCGGTTCGACAGCAACTGCTACATAGCGATTACCAGGAAACTCGACACGCACGATGTCTCACGGGACCGGGCAGCCAGCGTCCCGGAAGCTCTGGCTCTGATCGAGCAGCCCGTGCTCGTCCTAGGCATTGAGAGCGACGGCCTTTTCACGTTTGCCGAGCAGCAGGAAATCGCAGAGCACATCGGAAATTCCAGGCTCGGGAAGATCGACAGTCCTGAAGGCCACGACGCCTTCTTGCTACAATTTGAGCAAGTCAACAAATATATCCTCGAATTTCTCCACGAGGTTCTCCCCGACATCATGCAGAAAGGAGGTAATACTGCGGTTGCGGAGGCGTCCGTTGGTCAGCTCACCAAGAGCAGCACTTTTGGCGAAGCTGAAGTAGAAGACATTACTGCATGGTAGCGTTGGTCTGTGTACAGGCCTGGGTGGGCCCGGATCAGCCGGGAAGTGTGTGAAAGTGCAGGTGATTTAACATGTTCAACTCGTGTACAATCAGCGGTTTTTTGGGTTTTGGGGGAAATTTGCATACAGGTTGGTGCATTTGGCGTTCAACTCGCCCGCTCTGGCTTTGGGGGTTTAGATCTTGTCAAATATTCAGATACTGGGTTTCAAATGGGAACAGTGTAAAATCCCGTCAACATCTAGGCCCAACGAATCTCAATGCTCCGGGTCGCTGTTGAAAGATAGTCTACACGGCGAAGAGCCTTGTTCTCGGCTCCATAGGTGGTGAGCTTACTCAGTTGGGCTTGCACACACCTTTGATGTTACGAGTGTTACGAGTCGACAAAAGCAGATGTACTCCGTGTACTAGCACTCCTCTGATAAACTTTGTGGTTTAAACTTTCCCAGTGTCTGGGACGATGCAAACGCAGGGGCAAAGCTTGTGAGCTAGTCCACATCATGCCGAGTCTACCACCTGGCCCAAATGCGGGATGACAGCGGCAGCACAGTAACTCCGGTTGGGCTCGAAATTTGATACCCTTTTGATGTTATCGTCAAGCCCAACAGTGTCCCCCGCGCACAAGAGATCCTCCAGCTTGTGGCGACGTCACCGAAAAGGGGCAGGCTGCGCACGTCGTATTGTCTATGTTTCGGCTAACAAGTAGATTGCATGTCGAAGAGTTGGGCCCAATGGGGATGCAGAGCACGCATTGGACGGCCCAGGGCAGCATCCCACGTAAGACTGAAGAGACCGCGCTACTGGCTGCCTTGATCGCTGGTGGTTGCACGATGCGACTTCGCCGCAGGCTACCAAAGTACATCGGCCATCTCACAGGCGTCCCAACTCCAGCCAGCCTCAACGTACACGAGGAAATCCTGGAGGCCTGTATTGCCTTCCCACTACCTCCCACACTTCCGGCATGATCAGCCAAGTACGGGCGATGAGGGCTTGATTTGAGAGAACTCTACTCGCCAGCAGCCCTATATAGACCGTGCGTTTCGTTCCGACGTCTCAGCATTGCTTAGCATTAAAAGTACATGATATTAAATACCTGCCCGTTACGCAACCCGCCTTTCCCCTCTGCAGACTAGCTCTGCATCATCAGTGTCAGCCCTGTCCCGCCCGCCCAACCGCAGTATAGTTTGCTGCTGCAGCAGCCCGGATCTTATAAGCCGACCAAGCCGCTAGCTCTTACAACTGCCACCTCTTGGGCCTTCTAGAACTCTTCTGCACTCCCCCTCCCACGAGCCAGACGACTTCAAGCCTCAGATCTTCCTCTGGGCCTTAGATATTCAGTACCATTTCGCCAAGGTCGAACCGATCGAGCTGAGGCGAAAAAAACTCTAAACTACCGGTCTTGTCGACCTCGCATTCATGGAGGGTACCGCAGCACCGGCGACGGCTTGACTAGTCAAGTAGACAGACCATGGAGACGCTGCCGGAGCCGACGATTACTGCCCACCGTCGCACGTATGGGGGCAACAATGCATTCCACAACTTCGGTGTGTATTGCTACTGGCACCATAGACAGACGTATGTTTGCATATCGGATCGCCAAGACTGACAGATGGTAGCAAATGACTACTCCCACATACAAGACCCCAATCTTCGAAGGAGACTCGCGCTGTCCGAGATCGATAAGACACCTTTTGGTTCATATCGTGCGTCTTCCCCGAATTCTGTTTCCATTTTCTAGCACTCCGCAGCATATTTCATTATGTTCCTGAATTTGGTATAAATGGCGGTCTCTGGGCTTGTCGTGCTTGCTCAACAGCCTTGCTTGGGAGCCAGACACTCGCAGAGCAACTCGAACAATTCCTTCTCGATATGGACTGGGACCAAAGTGATGACAATTATTGACATGACACGACAGATGTCAGAGCCGTATTGATAGCGGGCGTGGGGTTTTTCATCGATAGCTACGAGATATTTGCGATCAATCTCATCACGATCTTCCTGGGCATGGTGTTCTGGCAGGGCTCACCAGAAGACTCGCGAAATGGCTTCGGCGGTAACAACGGCCATCTTCCTACGTCGGTCAACCAGGCCCTCAAGGCTTCGACGAGCGCGGGGATAGTCATCGGCCAGATCCTCTTCGGGTGGCTGGCTGATTTTCTAGGACGTCGGAAGATGTATGGCGTCGAGCTTGGCATTATTTTGGTGGCGACGATGAACTTCGCGCTGGCGAGCCCAAGCCAGTCGATGAACTCCACGGCCTTGTTAACGCTTCATCGCGTTATAATGGGTGTTGGTATTGGTGGTGATTAGTGAGTTGCCATCTCCAGTACTCCCTTACATTTATCTCTGGGTCGTCCCCTCTACACGCTGAGCATTCTTCATCTTTCCATTGTGTCTGTTGCATGACTGTGCTGTAGTCTAACTAGTTGTCAAGCCCATTATCATCAGTTATAACATCAGAGTACGCACCCACAAGGTTTCGAGGCGGAATGATGGCAAGCGTCTTTTCCATGCAGGGTTTTGGCCAACTACTGGCTGCGATCGTCGCCCTGGTCGTCACAGTCGCCTTCAAGGAATCCTTCATCGGCGTCGCAGACGTGTCCGAGTGCGACACAAACTGCCAGATCGCCGCCGACAGGTGCTGGCGCATAATAGTTGGCGTGGGAGCGCTGCCAGCAGTATTTGCGCTGTATTACAGAATCACCATCCCTGAGACGCCAAGGTACACATTCGATGTTGTTCACGACGTGGAGAAGGCGGATTCCGATATCAACTCTTTCCTCAGCAAATCAAAGGGAGAAATAGATACTGTGAGGCAGGCTCGCCTTCTGAAGGTTGCCGGGCCATCACTAACGACGCCGGCGGCTTCCTGGCGGGACTTGGGGTCTTACTTCGGACGTTGGAAGAATATGAAGGTACTGCTTGGCACAACACTCAGCTGGTTCTTCCTCGTGAGTTACTTCGCCCATCGGAGTGGCCCATCTCTCAATGACTAACTCCCATCGAAGGATCTCGCATTCTACGGGCTAGGGCTGAACAATTCCATCGTCCTCTCCGCGACAGGCTATGTCAACGGCGAAACCCTCTACCACAAACTCTACAACAACGCAGTAGGTCTCATAATACTGTCCGTCGCCGGGGCCCTTCCCGGCTACTTGGCCGCGGTCTTCACCATCGACACCATAGGCCGAAAACCCCTTCAGATCGGCGGTTTCCTTGTCCTCACCGTACTCTTCTGTATCCTGGGCTTCGCATACCACCACCTCAAAGCGGGCTCCATGTTTGCGCTCTACATCATTTCAATGTTCTTTTTCAATCTAGGTCCCAACACGACCACCTTCATCGTACCGGGGGAGTGCTTTCCCACGCGCTACAGAGCTAGCGGCCACGGGCTATCCGCCGCTGCAGGGAAGATAGGGGCCATCATAGCCCAGATTATATCCCTCCCACTCATGACCAAAGACGGGGGTGCCAGGCTGGATATCCTCTTGCAGATCTTCGCACTATTCATGCTATGCGGGCTGTTCACATCATTCCTTATCCCCGAGACAAAGGGGCTTACATTAGAAGAGCTGGCTGGCGAACCGCCGACAAGCTACAACTCGGGACGCAACGGGAGCATCTCGTTTGACTCGGTGCCAAAGCACCGTTGGAACCCCTTCGGCGGCGGGAAGCCCGCAGGGTTCAATTACTCGCGCTCCAGAGGGATGAAGAGGACGTGGAGGCGGAGCCCAACGGTGGGCTCGATGAGCAGTCCCGAGATGGCTGCCGCGGCGGTCACGTCAGACCCGGAGACGTGCAAGCCGGCGCCGGTAAGGAGAGAATGGTGGAGGAAGGCCAGGCGGCAAGGTTCCGGCGGCAGGTCTCAGAGTGGTGATTTCGGCATGAGCAGCAGCACCTCATCGACGAGGATGATTGGTGTTGATCCCCCAATATCTCCTCCGCCGGGCAGCGTTCCTGCTTGGAATGCGGGCTGGGGCAGGATTGATCGGGGCGCAGCGCCAGATCAGTTCATTCGTTTACAAGACGTGGGAGGCTTAATGGAGTAGTATGTTTCGTCAATATATCCAAATCAGACTTCTTCACTTCAAAAACGAAAGATTGGGAACGTAGCGGCGTTCTCTCAAAATGCTACGAGTAGTAGATCGCAGAAAGTGGTCATCACGTCAAGTCTGACGCTCCTGTCGGGTCTTCACCAATGCAAAATGGTCCCAAGCAGTATACGCGTGAGTCTACAAAGTGCAAGGCTCCAGAGTGGTCCAATAGTTTACCAAAAACTGTATTTCGAGACCAAAAGTTAGGGATAACAGCCAAATCAATAGTATACACACCGCTTATGCTTGCTGCTTAACAAAAGAAGTTTCAAAAAATTAACAAAAAAAAGGTGCTCTGTTGGCTTGTAGGGGTATTTTCCGTACTGTTTTCCTCAAAAGATACTCAGCCGCCCGCCGTTCCGTCCTATTGCCTGTAATTAACTTTTCTTGCCAACAACCGACTTCAGAACCTGCAACTTCTCCTCAGTTATCCTGATTGCTTCCCTAACTTCGCTCTCATCCATGCGATCTTCTCTCAGCTTCTCGGCCATAGTGCGAGGTTCAACCACCTTCTTTCGTGTGTGCATTTCACCGCTGTTCAAGCGGTCCATGCCGACACGCTCTTCGAGCCACTCCCAAAGCTCGCTCTCCTCCCGCCGCCACATCTCCTCGTAGGCTGCAAGACGATCAGGATAGCCATAGAAGCCAAGTTCAGAACCGTATGGTCTGGCAGTTGGTCCTGGGTTGAACCCAAACCCGAACCAGGCAGCAACGAGAAGGCCAACAAGCAGGCCATAAACAACATTTCCTGTGAGAATTGGCTTGCCGATATCCACCACAGGGCCGAGGAGGCCATGAAGTGGCTCGAGTACGCCCCAGTCCTGCTTGGAGGAAGTTTTGGTGACCTCCTCGGTATCGCTAGTAACGTTTGAGACTGCGGCTGCCTTGCCCTTCTTGCCCCTCTTCTTGCCCTTTCCGGCCCCGGCGGTGAGCGGCTGGCGAGCTTTCGATGACACAGCTGCCTTCAGGCTTGCGAAGAGATCCTTACAGTATTGTGTCTGGCCTTCGTTGGCACCGTTCTCAATGGGGCCTATTTTCAGTTAGCTTGACAGACCTTAGAGCGCACAGCTTTTCAATGGAGCTTTCTTTACCTTTCAGCCAACTCTTGCCAGTCCATTCCACAATGCAGTTGATCTGGACCCGAGTTGCATTATTTTCGGCCCAAGAAAGACAATATTTGGTTTTTACGCTGAAGATGTTGCCACTAGGAACGTCTGGGTTTTGCGTGGTAACCAGAATATTGACAGACTTCTCGAGATCCAGGCTCTCCAGGTTTTCCGATACAATACACTTAGTCTGTTTCGGGCCAATTGAGCCACTAAGCGGCTTGATATATGTGTAGTTGCGTGTTCGGTTGTCCAGAGTGAGTCCCTTCTTGTCTTCCGATTGTAGATCTGTGCATTTCTGGTCTACAGTAAGCCACTTTGACATCCAAGTGACTGCAGTCGGACCGAACATCAAATCGTAGACCTTTCCGAGGGGGGCCGGGATGACATCGTCTCCCACGATCTTTTTGTAGTGCGCGTCGGCGTCGCCGCAGTCCGTGGGAGCATGCGTAGCTGGACCAGGGAAGTCTTGACTGGGTGCTCCTGCTGGCGCGTCCTTTGGCTTGTCGTTTGGTAGACTAGCGGTGACAGCTCCCGAGGGTTTGCGGGAGACTGATTTCTCCAGAGCAGATTCCAGCAGTGGCGGGTCCGCCACTTGGCTTGGTGCAGGCAGGTCATCGTCATCCTCGTCTTCGTCGTACACATCTTCACCGTCGTCACTTTCGTCCTCGTCCCCGTCCCCATCCTCGTCAGCGGAGACTGATGCACTGTGATCGCCGCCGATAATGGACTGTGCGTCGACCTTCTCCGTCTTATCGCCACCCGTCTCATCGAGACGCACTCCATTCAGGGAGCTCTGCAGTTCGGGATGTCCAAGCTTCCAGATCTTCACAATCAGATCATACGTGGAATCTCGGCTTGTGAAACTGGCGAAGATATGTTTTGCGTGAAGCGTAGAGATCATCAGGCCGTTTTTGAACAGCAGAGCTGTGCTTCTCTTCTCGACAGACACAATCTCATCGAAACTCATCACCAGCGTGGTGACCCAGCCGAGAATATTGCTGCTAAAGCACAGGTGACCTTCAGACACATACAGCCGTCCATGAGCCAAGATCTCGCGCTGCAAAGCACAGCTATAGTCTTCAATGAGGTAGTCATCGTCAGGAACGCTCTTGAACAACGCATGAAAGTCACGATTCCGCTTCTTGCTCGCGACCGCAAACCCAGTAAGTTTGGGCGCATTCGACACGCTACCGGGCTGTGACAGAGCAGCATTAGCTGAAGCGAGAGCGGCGCCTATCGTGTTCCCAGTGCCCCCGGTACCGTTGGTGCTACCGCGTTTCCTATTATGGCGACCGATCGCGCTCCTGATACTGCCACTCCGATGAATGCCAGTGCTGTCCTCGTGCAAACTGGCCGGTGGTGGCGTCTTGTCGCCGTGCGATGGCGGCTCTGAGCCCTGATAGACAGACTGCGGTCTCTGCGTGTCGTCCCACGGAACCTCGCCGCTCGTCTTGACAGGCGTCGCTTCCGCGGGGGCAGACTCGGATCGTGATCTGTTGACATCGATTTGATCTGGGAAATTGGGCTTTGTGGGTGTGGTTGACCTGATGGTTGGCTCGATGCCCAGGTGGCTCAAGCTCAGATCACCCGTGCCGAGGGTCTTGACGGCGGGCTCGTGCGACTCCATTGCTTTGCCAACTGATGCCTCGACAGATGGCTCGACCTCGACTTTGTCGTCCTCGACTTGGATGCTCTGCTGGCTCTGGGTCGAGTTCAGGCCTCGGTTTTTTGTAACACCAGGGCTGATATTGGTGTTCTGGATAGTGCTGGTGAGAGTGTTGGCGGCGTTCTGTGCGGCGGAGAGCACAGATCCAAAGAAACCAGAAGCTGGATTGGCAGGCGTGGGAATGCCGTTCTCTGGGGTTGGTGTAAGTGGCGCAGAGTAGATAGTGGACAACTTGCTAGGCACTAAACTTGCTGAACCTGATCTGCCACGTCTCTGGCTCAGCGTGGTATCCTCGGTAGGGCTGTTGTTTTGCTGCGGAGACTGGATCTTGGGTAGTTTGGGCCTGCTAGAGTCGGTCGGCGTAGGGGGTGTGTTGACGATGACTGGAGTGCCCTGTTCCGAGGCACCAGGTGTTCCGGGCGGCGTGCTTGTGACAACCGTCTGGCCCCTAGAAAGACGGCGAAAGCGCTCCGCTGAACCTCTGGTCTGTTGTTCCGTCCTTGCTTCTACGACAGCATTCTTCAAGTCTGAGTCCGAGTCGGTCGTCAAGTCGGTCTTGGAAGGATCGGTAAGCTTAGGGGCATCCGCAATGTCGGAGGATAGCCTTGCGCCTGCAGTCGAAGGCCGCCGCTCTGGGCTAGATGCTCCACTCCCGCCCCCGGACAACTTCGAGGAGCTTTTTTTGGACCTGAAGACACCCTTGAGCCGTCCCACAGGCGACGGTGACCTTCTGCTGGACTGCGATCCTGGAGGTGCAAGTCCCACCGGGTTTGGTGACCCAGAAGGGTCGGAAGCTCCGAGATGATCCGTGGTGACTGAGCCTTGAGAAGGCTGGGAGCCTTGCTGGTAGTATTCGGATTGTATGAGGGGGGAGTTCGTGGTCAGATACCCGATTTGGGACGGGTGGTTAGAGATCGTGGCCGGCCGTGTTGTAGCAGAGCTGTGGTGGACAAGATCAGTACGAGGCACAGGAGGGCCGACACCTTGGTCGGTGGGAGCTCAGGGGGGTAGCTCGTGAATGGTCTGGGTTAAGATGGAAGGTCTGAGGGACAAAGGAAATTGGCAAGGATGGTTATTTTGGGCTGCGGGCTCATGAAAGATGAGAGTAAGAATTGGCAGTTGGGAAGATCATTGCAGTGGCACAGCAATGGAGACAGCAATTGACAGCGTCAGCTTTGGTCAAGTCCTTGTTAGATTGCTGACGGTGCTGGTGCTGGTGTGCTGGTGTGCTGGTGTGCTGGTGTTGGTCCAGGTGCTGGTGCGGCGCGTGGCGTATTGCGTATTGGAGTGGGACGGGCGGGCAGGAGGAGGATCGGCTCAGTGATCTCTCGCCCTTCCTGCGAGTAGGGGTCAGGGGGGCCGCCTGAGGGGGCCTAGGAGGGGCCAACATGTGGGAAGGTCTCAGGGGCGGCGCTAGGAGCACATCGCAGTCGCAGCATCAAGATGGGCGGCCCCACGGATTGGCATTTGGGGTCCAGCGCAATTCGCACGCTGCGACTCTGGCAGGGCAGGCTGGACCTCTCAGACCTCAGGCCTCAGATCTCAGACCGCAGACCTCAGACTTGGAGGCTCTCGCACGCACAGAGGCTCCTTGTGCCGGGATGTGCCTCCGAACAAACCTCGGCCATGCGACGGGCCATGCGACGGTGCCAGAGTCTGGGGTAATACTAACGTGCAATAAGGAAACGCAGATATAGGCTGATTACCACTTACAGGTCATGCTCTTCTGAGTCGTAGGATATAAGGCTGGGATCCTCGTCCTCTGCCTCTTTGTCGGGTCGGACGATGTGAACGGAAGACGTGCCATCGTCGGGCTGGCTGTCCTCAAAAATGTCAGACGTGTGGCTGCGTCTGACGCTGGACCGCCTGGAGCGACCTCGAGACAGCGACAGCGTAACACTGTCGCTGCCAATGCTGTTGCTGTCCGCGTCCCCGTCACCGTCCACAGAGCCGTGTCTCCCGCGGCGAAGAGACCGAGACTTTCTCAGGAGCTTTTCCAGCGTCCTATCCGCCATGTTGGGTCTCCGGTACTGTGCGGCTTGAGCCTGAGCCTGAGCCTGAGCCTGAGGCGATCTAAAACAACCAAGCCGTTTCTCCCCACGGCTGGTTCATGAGTCGGCTGGGGATCCCGTCGTTGTCGTCGCGGTGCATCCAGTTTCTCGGGCCTGTGCCAGAATGCTCTCACGCGACTCGTGTCCGAGGGGACTTGTGCGGGCGCAAGTCAAGCCAAGTCAATAAAGTCGGTGGGTATCGTGTTGCTGCGGCTCGAGGGTCCAGTCCAGGTCGACGTCATCAGGTTTTCCCGTTCGTGTCGCCAGGTTGTATCTCGCGAGATGGGGCGTTTCTCGTGTTTCTCTCGAGGAAAGTAGTGGTAATAGAGGGGAATTGAATTGTTACAGACGGCAGCAACTGTCTTCGGGAAACTGTAGCGAAGGGAGGAACCGCCTGTCTATTCCGTCCACGACAACACCAACAGTATTGGAAGATGAATGCGAAGGGGGTCTACTTCGGTGTGGCAACCTGGGTCTCCGGCTGCGACGGCTTTGAACAAGCCACCAGTCCCGCCCGTTTACAGTCTGAATGACGGCACAGTACCTAGGTAGATACATAATCGCCAGGCAAAGCTGGCGGTCAGCATGTCTTGAACATGTACCGTACTTGCTCGTGTTTATTTAGGCTAGAGGCAATGGCAATTTTATGGTCGGCAATGTTTCACGTCATCTTGTCGTGGTTGGGACCAAGACAGCGAGACAAGACTTCCCGAGGTTCCAACAATGTGCCATAGGCTCCCAGTGGCGCTGGCGCTACCCACAAAGTAGATAGTCACTACGCATACCTGCCTAGCTAGACCTGGTGGGAAAGAATGGAAGCAGCTTAGCCTCTGGGCAGGCACCCGGACAAGAACCTCCGTCGATGCCGACAGCCCGCTGACTAGACTCTGTCCCATCAGCCTAGCTAGCTCTGTACACCCATGTGACGAGGCTCAACACACGACCGCCTATCAGCGAATCGCACCGCCTTCACCTCACGATCCCGACATCCTGAGCCTCATCTCGAGCATAAAACGAACGGCATTAGTGCACAAAACCTTTGGACCCCTCAAAACGAGTTGGCCATACCCATTTGGTTCCTTGACCGCGCAGGCGCATATGTAGCCCTCGTTCGCGGCAAAGCAGTCCGTGTCATGCGCCCGCGACACCCACTGCGAGAGACCACGTCTTGCTCGACCTGAACACCATGGACTCTGCGCCCCTTATCAAGGCACGCTCATCTGCCCTCCTCTGTGGCAGCAGGATGGCCCATGCTGACCGAGGCTTCACAGGCGCATGACCATGCCAAAGCTGCCTTGGAAGCTACGCAGACCGCCGACTCCACCGTCGCTATCAACGAGCACACCCTCGCCGCAGGAGAGTTCTCCAACGCCGCAAAGGCCACGTCCAGCGTCGAGGCCCTTCGGACCCTCAGGCTTCTTGAACAACATCATCAGAAGCTCTCGGAGCTCATCAAGTTTTCGGTAGACCATCCCGGTAAACATGCGACTTCGGAGAAGCAGGATACCGAGGCAGGAGAGAAGGCCCCCGCGCACCAAGACGGCTCTGAAGCTCCGTCTGGGACTGTTGCGGGAAGTACATCAAAGACACCGGCGACCATACCCGGCTTGACACCACAGCGCCGATATCCCCCATCCCGAGAGCTGTCGTCCTCCATCGCGAGCAACTTGGCCTCTGCACGGGGCATCCGTGCCTCACGGTACCGCTTCCAACCACTTGCGCCCAGCGTTTCGAACGACCAAGCCCCCGGAAATGTCGATTCGGCCACTCGGAATAGCGGTTCTCGAACAAAAATGCAGCACATGCTCGACAGCAAGACCGGAAAGCCGAAGCCGAGTTGGGTGCCACCGACTCAGCCCCTGTCGCAAAGCTCACGGCCTCCTTTGATCGATGAGGCTGTTGAGAACGACTCTGCGCCTGAGAACGCCCCTGCCGATGAAGGCTTCTCTCGGTTTTACAGCACTTTCGGCAGCATTATTAACCGCCTCTCAACACCGTTGGCTTTTGCCGGGCTGCCTCTCATCACCGAGGAATCCAACGCGGAGCAGCCCGAACCCGAAGTTTCTCCACAGAAGCGTAACCGTGGCAAGATTGTACCTCCTCCAGGCGAGGAACCAGACCTGTCCAAGATCTACTCCAAAGCTGCCTTGCGGGCCGTGCATCGCGACGGACATGCCGTGAATGATTCGTTCTATGTCGTGCCCACGAGCGGTCATACTGTCTCGTATGCCAATATATTAAACTTTGACCAGAAGGAGAGGAGACGTGCCATCGCAGCGTCGCTTCACGATGGTGATGTCGAGGCGGCTGACGACCCCGAAGAAGATGATTTCGTGGATGCCAGGGAGTCACAGGTGTCCGTCTCTCCGAGCATCAAACGCCGAGTTGGTAAGAGCCAGACAGAAAGGGATCTCTACAATGTCATCGAGGAGCTCAACACCGAGAATGCTAGCCTGAAGAGTATGCTCGACAGGGTCACAAAGCGCTTGCAGCTATTTGAGGCTAGCGCCCAGCACTCTCGCCTCGCACTGGCGGACAGCATGCGCATTGCTAGACCCGGATCGCCAATGTCGCATAGTGGAGGCGCGCAGGGTCAAGTGGTGGATGAGGCACTCAAGAGGAGGAACCAGGAGCTGGAAGAGGAGTTGCTCACGGCCAGTAAACAGTTTGAGATGCTTGAGAAGGACAACAAACGGCTCAGACACAATCTAGACAAGTATCGCGACAAGTGGGAGTCTTTGAAGGCAGGGGCAAAGGCGCGGAGAGATGCTGCTCAATCGACCGACACTTAGATGTCCAATGGGTGTGGTGTGGTCGCTCGGGCGAGTAAGCTTTCTATTTCATAGTTCGGCGAGGAATCGATCAGTTGCTCCTGAAGCTAGCTTGTGCTTGCTTTTCCAGCCCACTCTCAACTCTGGACGTAGATCATTATTCGGCCCACGACGTGCCCATCGTGTGGCTTTTACCTGAAGAGAAGTGCGCCAAACACCTTCCTCCTGTCGCACCTGCCCTATACTTTAGCATATTTCATCGAAACACGGCCATGACACTTCACTGCAAGTCTTACCCTCTCAGAGACCATAACAAATAACAAAAACGAATTCTTCATTTCTTGGCCAGCATTCACGAGCCTCCTAACGTCCAGAGAACTCCTCCTCCTGATCCAAGCAGAATCGGAGATATTTGCAAGCCTGTTCAAAACGCGACTCGTCATTTCATCAAAACCGTAGGCCCCATCGGACAACGTAACCAGAACGTGTCGAGGGAAACCGAACCCAGGTGCATGGTATGGCGAAGAAAAGGGGTGGAAAGAAGGCGAGGTCAAAGAAGAAGGCAGCCAAAAAAGCGAATAGAAACAACCAGAGAGACGTGAGCCACAACATCTCCAGTAATCAGGACACCGCGCGTGGTCAAGAACAAACATCCCATGCCGCTATGGACCGTGACGACAGACCCGAAGCATCACTTCGAGGCAGCGACGTTAGCCTAACGTTTGAACGCGGAGCACGATCCTTCAATCCATCGATAATCAATGCGCACGATGAGGGAGACCCCGATGTGACTCTGTTAGACCTTTCACCAGCCAAGGCTGGCGAGGGAATCAGTCCAATGTTCGACGATATCTTATCCGTCGAAAGCCGCGGGATCAACATCTTCAAAATCGTCTCCGCCCAAGATCACTCGAAGGCTGAGGAAATCGAATCGGATGCAGCAAGCCAAAGAAGCCTTGAGGAGGTCCTCACCGACAATCCAGACAAGAGACTTTTCAACCTTGATGATCAAACGCTGGCCTTTGCCGGCCTGGCAGTGAAGCAAGTCGTTTTGGAAGCGACGTATGGATTCTTTCAGAAGTGCATCTCAGAGCCAAAGCTAGAGAAGCTATGGGACCGGATAATCGGTCCAGGAAATGTAGCAGCCACTGCCCAACACTCCATTTCCGTGCCAGACGGTATAATGGACCTGAAAAATGGCGTGCGATCTCCATCGACATTGATTAGCAACTGTGTCGGCATACTCTCGCAGGATTCAGCAGTTACAAACCAAAAGACTCTCAGGCAGTGCTTGAGCCGGGCCGTGACCCTTTGCGACGCCCTAGGCGATGAACACAGGAAGCAAGCCTTGGAGAACGCTACACACAAGCTCGACTGGCTCATGCTGGGACTCGACTGCAAGACCATGGAGCTGTATCGCAACGCGAACAGGCGACTAGACAAGGTCAACATGGAACACCCTGTCGTTTTCGGGGCGGCCGAAGGTCGCGCTGAGGCACTGTGTGACAAACGACGACGGGAGGAGCGTAATATACTCCAGTTGATGAATCGGGAGTACGAAGGAATCCGTGAGCCATTTCGGGTCCTCTTTATCGAAACTCTGCAGAGTCTACTCGCCCTTTAACTTTGAGTTACCAAGTCAAACGAAGGGTATTCGCATTATAGAATTATTGCGTGCATGCGAAAGAATTATCTCGGAGGGGCAATGTGCGTTATTCATCAGCCAAAAACCAAGTTACAGACCCTGATCAGACAATAAATTAGCAACGTGTGCGCAGGCTCCTCCAGTGACGATATCTCAAGATGGTGTCCCGATCTTCTCCTATTGCTAGAGACCTGCAAGGAGTTGGAGGTACAGTGATCGACGGAACCAGCTAGTGGTCTTGTTCTGAACTAAAGAGAGAAAACGACTATGACGTCTCGTTAACGGCTCTTGGTAGCGATGATGCATAGCTTCCGACTTACCCTAATTATCCCAGGATAGCAAATGTCTATCCCCGTACAGTGACCTTGATCCTCACACCTGACCACTTGGGCTGGCAATAGAGTCAAAACCTGGTACATGAGCAATAAGATGGCTAATATGATCACCGGAAGTTGCAACTGTGGCCGGCATGTCTACACCATCCCTAAGCCCACAGACATGAACCTATGCCGTGAGTAGAGATCCGTTGGTTGCTGTACGTGGAATGACCGCAGGAGACTTGATCCCCAGCAGCAAATCTGAACATCTTCTCCATCAGACTGCATCGAGTGCCGCAAATGGGCCGGCGCAATGTAAGGATCAGCAAGAAGCCCTGTTCAGCACGAGACTGTCCCCGCCTGAATTGCCACATCCGACTGATATTGGGTCCCGCATGATCTAGGCACTCGGCCCATCTGTTTGTGAAGACCGCAGAAATTGAGACAACGAGTCCCGAGCCAAAGACGTACACGCAGAAGGCGGACAGCGGGAACGAGATGACGCGCGCGTGGTGCGACGGCTGCGGCGCCGGCATCTGGCTAAGGTCGGCTAACAAGCCTGACTTGACGTTCCTCAAGGCAGGTGAGTTGAGAAAAGTGCTAAATAGTCTCATGAATGTGCTTTTGTGACCAAGATTTGGACTGAAACTAAGATATTGTGGCAGGACTTTTCGAGCCCGGTGATATACCCAATCCTACCATGGAAAACTGGTTGAAAAACATGGAGCCTTGGGAAACACCGGCCAAGGGGACTCAAAAGACAGCTCAGGCGGGCTTTGAATGAGATTGGCAGACAGACTTGATTACTTGTTTTGATGGGAATGAAGGTGGGGCTTGAAGCGGGTGTTATTCTAAATTTAGGCCTTTTCTTTTTGAGAAAATCAACTTCCGAAGGAAATCCAAAACAAGCAAAGCCGAATTAACAAGAGGCTTGCGTAGATAATTGTTAATTCAAATCAATTGAATTTCAATGGTAAAATTTAAGTATCTAAAGAATCTTGATGGGAATTCTGCTTTATATCTTTTCCCTTTAAACTCTTTAACATCCTCTAGAACTTTATAAATCTTTTCTTACGATATCATTGCAAGAAGTAAAACATTTCCCATCAGTCCAGAGCCACGTATATTTAGTACATTGAAGAGCATCCGGCAGTCTTGCGGCAGAGAATAAAAAAAAATCAAGCTCAAGGTTTAACGACAAGGAAACCAAAGGATACCTCAATCTCATCTATGCCATAGTCTTCACGAGGAACTCAGCGAGTTTCTGGGAGTACGGTTCGCGCTGTGTGGAGAAGAATTCCTTGATTAGCAAGAGACACCATAAGGTCCCATAAAGCAGACTCCAGATGAAGCGCAGTAGCCGTCAGAGGCAGATAGATGTGCAATAGCACAATCACAAACACCAAGCAAAGCCGGGAAATAAAACTCACCATCATGGAGAAATGATGGGCCCCTTCAACCCTGTCAACAAATATGCGCCTCTCGCTGCCAGGGAACAATGTGCCCCAGCCACTGGCTCCGAAATCCGTTCGCCGTTCCAGCAGAAACTTCATCCCTTCAGTGTCATCAGGATGAGGCGCAAGCTTCGGCAGGCGCGGGTTGTCGGCAATACAGGCAGCCGCCCAGATGATACCCACCTTCGGGATGGGCACGTCAGACGGGAACCGGCCGGACCGCATAGGCGCCGCGCGATACTCGTGGAGAAGGTCGATTGTGGCGTTGAAATGGGGAATAAGCCACGCGGGCGCGGTAGCTCCACCGCTGCCCCCTCCGGATGAAGACTTGTGCCCGAACAGGTGAAGGCTCTCACAGTACTCGTAGAAGTGCGGCGGCAGGCGGTCGAGCCCGTGGAGAGGCGGCGGCGAGTCGATCAGGCTCAGGCTGAGAACCTGCTCATGGCGGCTGGCAGTCAGGACCTGGGCAGCGCGGTAGGCGAGCACACCGCCGGCAGACCAGCCGCCGAGGTGGTACGGCCCATGGGGCTGACGGCGCTGGATTTCGGCAAGGTAGCCGTCGTTTATAACATCGTCTAGACGCGCGGCGCGCAATTTCTCGGCTTGCTTGAGGAACGGCGAGTTGAGGGCCACAACGCATGTATCTGCACCGAGCGTGGGGATGGCTGCGTACGAAGAGGCGGAGCCACATCCGTCGGGGAAAAGGAAGAGTGTCTTGGAAGCTGTCCTTGGATTCCCCTGCAGCACCAGGGAAGTGGCACGAGGCACGGCGATGGAGGTAGACTCCAGAAATTCAGACTCGTCGATGTTGGAGGAGACTTCTGAGGACGAAGGAGTAACACTGATAGAGTGTACGTGGACAGTCGTGCCAAAAGCCTTGTCACTCATCGCTGCAACCTTCGTTGGGATGACTTGAATCTCCGTGAATTCTTCCGTGTCTGACGACACCAATGATGATTCTCCAAGCAGGCAGGACCTCAGGTCGGCAACAGTCGGGCAGTCGACAAAGAGAGAGTCCATTGGAATGTCCAGCTCCAGCTCCTCGCGAAACCTGCTGACGATCACGAGCGACAGGAGTGAGTCGACGCCAGTGTCGGCGAAGTTTGTGTCGTCCGTCAGCTCGTCCACGGCAATTCCGCTCTCCTCCGATACAATCTCGAGTGCGCGATTGAAGTCGAACCCACTTCCTTCGCCGTCTTCGCTGGTGCTTGTCAAGATCTCCACTGGCTCCTGGCACATGTTCGAAATGAGCAGTGGCTCTTCCCCTGCCTTAGCCACAGATGATGTGGAATGTGCAGTAACAGGTGGCGCAGGGCGTCCCTCGTCAATTCTGGTGTCGCGAACTCCAGCAGGCTCAATAAAGCTCTTCAAGTCGCCAATGGTTGGATAGGAGACAAACATCGCGTCAAAATCAAGGTCCAGGTCGAGCTCCTCCCTGAAGCGAGCCGAGATCGTCAGACCAAGCAAGGAGTCGACGCCAAGGTCAGCAAAGGCACTGCTGTCAGTAAGCTCTTCTAAAGCAACTCCGCTTTCCTCTGAGATGATTTCCAAGGCGGCAGATGCTTTTGAAGCACCAGACACAGATGCTTGAAGAGGCGTTGCGGGAAGAGTCCGTGTCTCGACTTGAGTCTCCATGGTCTGTGATACATCGATAGTCTTGCTAGCCGTTGGGACTGTCTCAGCTGGCGCAGGAGTAGGCTTCTTAGACTTGATACCGCTCTCTAAAGAGAGGATAACCCGGAGGACTCGTCGTGGTACGCATTGAATGGCAATCTTCTCGAACGCAGCCACAATCTTCTCGCCATCGAAGATCACCACGTCGCCATACCAGAGCTTGTCCTTGCCCTCAAACATGCGCGTGTACGAGGTATAAGGACGGTCAAAATGCACTTCTTCAAAGACCTGGAATCGGCCCCAGCCGTGGTTCATGAAGACCTCGCTATCCAGGTTGGTATGGTCATTGCAGTTCATGGCGAACCCGCAGGACTGCGTGAACGCGTCAATGATGGCAGGATGCAAGGCAAACTTTCCGCCCTTCTTGATCCCTCCAAAGCTGACAGACGCCGAGGCCTCGAGGGTGTTGCTGTCGAGAACAACTTCGTCGATGGCGCGGTAGTCATCGTGGAACTGGGCGAGCGGGCGAATCATGCGGTAGACCATCGGTCGGGTAAAGCGAGCGGCTGTCTCGTTGGCGATACCTCGGCGGAGATCCTGCATGCGCATCCTGATCGCGGCGGACTCGTCCTGGAGTTTTCTCAGGAGGAGTGCGCGGTCTGTGAAGAGGAGCGTGCATCTGGCGTGTTCTTGCGGCTTGCCCTTGCCATCGAAACTGACAAATTTCATGGAAGCTTCATTCTTCGTCCAGTTCACCTCAGCATGCCCTTGGAGTGGCTGGGGGCCATGCGGTCTCGCTATTAGCGCTTTGAAAATGGTCATGTCCGACACGTCGACCTGCTTGCTTCCGGTCCCCATCGTCTGCCGGCGACTGACGAGATACCTGCCCAGCGTGAGAGCCATGTCAGCATAGACTGATGGCGTGCACAGCGGGATGTCATCAACCATGTGTCCCTGAACAAGCGGGTTCAGGTCAGGCCGTGCAATATCTGCCTCGACGACGATGTGCTGCTTTGCACCGCCCTCGGATGACGAGTCCTCGACGACACGGTGGATCGTGGTGCTCTCTAGCTTTGTCTCCTGCTCGTTTTCGCTTACTAACAGCGGCGCGTCTCCTTTCCGCAGCGACCAGTCGTTCACATACTGTATCCAGTACGGTTTAAGGTCCCAACTGTAAGCTGGCAGGTCGGTGATCACCTTCTGCGAAGACTTGAAGTCGTCATGGTATATTGCCCACGCGATGTCGGCACCAGCTTGATAGACCACCTTCAGGGCGTCGGAGAGCACGTCACGCGCGGATTTACGATTGAGTGCCGAGATTACCGTCATATTCGAGCCCAGTGTTGCCTTGACCATGCCTGAAACCGCCGGATGGGGGCCGACCTCGAGCAAGATGGACTGCTCGGTCATGATTCCCTGTTGGCGGGCGGACTGTAGAGCCTGGAGCAAGTTGACGGGCTCACGGCAGTGGCGGCCAAAGTATGAAGGCCCTATGGCTCCCTCGGCGGTAATGAGGGTTCCGTTTAGGGGGCATAAAATTGGACACTTCGGAGTGAGGTATCGGACAGAAGCGGCAGCCTTTTCGAAGGGGGCCAGAATAGGATCGACTTGAGATGAGTGAAACGCATAGGGGACCTCTAGCCTCGTCGTCTTGATACCGGCATCACCAAGAACCTGAGTTGCTGCGGATATCTCGTAGTCCGGGCCGGCTAGGACGGTCTCAATGGGCGAGTTCATGCATGCAATTTGATGAGGTGTATCCTTTAATGCGGTTCTAATAGTACCAGCAGATGCCCGAACAACCAGCATTGAGTGCGTGCCGCGGGTGCAGAGGTCTTGAAGAAGCTGGGCCCGCGTACCAACAAGGAAGATGGCATCTGAGTCGGACAGAACGCCTGCGACGTTCAGGGCGGCGTACTCACCGAGGCTGTGGCCAACAACGGCCTCGGGCTTAATGCCCCATGATGCCCAGAGGTGCGCCAGCGCAATTTGCATACAGACACTGGCGAGCTGGACCTGTACGGGGGCGAAGTCGTCGAGAGACTGATCCTCTTGGGCCATGTACACGGGCATTATGGAAGGGAAGCCAAGACTACAGGCGATGTGGTCAAGCTGGCGGAGCTCTGTGCGGAACAAGGCAAACGTCTCCATCATTTGCCGGCCCATGCCTGGGAATTGCGCACCTTGTCCGGTAAAGGCGAACACAATCTTTGGTGTCTTGCTCTTGGGCCGCATCATGCCCGTTTGGTCTCGAAGAGCAATGTCAATCTGCGCAAGGAGCTCGTCCACCGAAGAGCCGACAAGCATGACGCGATGTGGGTGATGAATTCGCCGAGCGGTAGTGGTGTATGAGAGCTGGCCCACCGATGTGGCCTCCTTGCTATTTTGCAGCAACCCATTCAACAGATGCCCCTTTAGTAACCAGAGGTTTCCCTGAAGAGAGTTTGCTGTTTTGGCAGAAACCGCGACAAGATTCGCGCTGACGGAGCCATGCTGACCATCGTCTGGCATTGCGGCCGGCGCCTCTTCGAGCAGAATGGCTGAGTTTCCACCTGCAGCTGAGAAATTATTCACAAAGGCCCGCTTAGGTTTTGAGTCCGCAGCGTGCCATGGAACAGCCTCCTTCGCAATGCGAACTTTCCTCTCTTCCAGATCAGTAGGAAATTTGTGGTTGATCTTTGTCTTAATACCGATGTGTGGCGGAATCAGGCTGTTCTTCATCATTAGGAGCACCTTGATTAGACTAGATACGCCCGAAGCGGCCTCCCCATGTCCAATGTTAGACTTGGCCGAGCCGAGATAGACGGGCGTCTGACGAGCTGCTTGCTCCTGTGATGCAAACACGTCAAGCACGCTGGACATTTCTGTGGCATCACCAGCCTGTGTACCCGTACCATGCATCTCGATATATCCAACACTGCTGGCATCGACCGTGCTCGAGTTCAAAATTTTGGAAAAGATGGCTCGTTGCGCACCAGTATGGGGTCGTGTAATACTATCCGCTTCGGCCGAGTGATTCGTGTAGGCACCGAGAATTATGCCCAAGATGGGATCCTTATCAGCCACGGCGTCCTCCAGTCGCTTCATTATTACAGTACCAACCCCTTCGCCGCGGCAGTACCCATCAGCTGAATCGTCAAACGTCTTACAATTACCAGTACGGGACAGGAAATGACCACGGTCTAACCCAGCAGTGAAATCTGGGTTAGTCAACACATTGGTACCGCCTGCAATGGCCGTATCGATATCATGCTGCCAGAGGGAGTTGACGGCCGTGTGTATCGCAGAAAGACTGGACGAGCAGGCCGTATCAACCGCATAGCTAGGGCCGCTGAACTTGAAGAAGTAATTGATTCGACCCGGAATGAAGGCTCGGTTTCCCCCAGGGATGAAGTAGGTGTCAATGTTCTGCGCGCTGTTGGTTTCCATCCAGTCATTACTGGTAACGCCGTAGAATACGCCTACACGGTCCCTCCTCGTTGAGGGAGTAGCATCTGGCACGATACCGGCTTGTTCCAGTGCCTCGTATGCAGTCATCAGGGCAATCCTCTGTGCTGGATCGATCTGTGGCGCCTCGCGCGGAGAAATGTTAAAGAAACGAGCGTCAAACGAAGCGGGGTCGCTCAGCCAGCAGCCATACGGTGTTGCACTGGTATTCTTGCGGGCTCCTGACGCATCGACGTGTTCCTTGGACCAGTGCAGAGGCGGGACCTCCTCATGGACGTCGAGTCCCTCTCGGAGGAGGTCCCAGAAGGCCTCGCTACTGTTCGCGCCGCCTGGAAATCTTCCGGACATGCCAATGATGGCTATCTTGGGTCTGGCCTGGGTTCTGCATTCAGGAACTCCCTTCGAAGCCGATGATAGTCTGTTCATTGAAGGTCGTTGTGTCATTGGGCGGCCTGCAACAGCCGGCTGCCTCAGCGCCGTGTAGATAAGCTGGTCCGCTCGAGACCCGAACAACTCGACCTTGCATGTCTTGGGATCCCAAGAGGGCCCGAGACGAGCTTTGACCGACTCGAGGATGTTATTCCAGCGAATAGGCTGGAGTAGGATGTCTTCCAACGAGGCCCTGAGTAAGTCTTCAAACTTCGTTTCTTCGACCCAGGCACCGCTACTCGATATGACAGGAATTTTCGCGGATGGCTGTGGCCTCTCTTTTAGTCCCAGTGGCATCAAAATTTCGTCAATATCTGATCGTGAATAAAGATGTGGTGCATGGTAAGGAGCGAATACGGCTTTGGCCTTGTGCTTCAACCCCTGAAAGTGCGCCGAGGACACAAGCTCGTCCAGCGAGCTTGGCGGACCGCTCACAGCCAGACCGCTGGGTGTATATGCGCTGATGAAGGGTTTTGCCGTCGTGGGCAGCGCACTATCTTCGCAGAACTTGCGCACGGCTTCGGAAGCAGATGGCCCTGCGACCATCATGGACCATGTCCGAGACGTTCCAGCGGGAGATACGAGACGCATCTTCATGTTTGACACGCACACCCCGATGCCGAACGCGGTCACGACGGCTTTCACAGCCCGGGGTACCAGACCGGAGAGGCTCTGGCTGCAGCTGACGGTGACAGCGGCGAGGGCGCCGGTACAGAGGCCGAGAATGCAGGCATTTTCTGGCTTAGGGTAATCTTTCCCGGTTTGGCTTGATCCATTATGTTAGCATTTTTGAACCTGGATACTTTCATAAAGCAACATACTTGAGTATGAAAGACCCCAGCTGATACACGGAGGTCACCGCCATGTCCAATGGCACGCAATGGCTGCTACCCTCAGGTTCTTTCCAGAGGAGCACATCCTCAATGCTCGTAAATCTGGGCAAGCCTTCGCGGACTTGTTTTGGCAGACGGAATATCTGCATGCGTAGGGCCTCATATGCCTTGTCGAGGAAGTCTTTGAGTACCACATTACTGTTCTTAGCGTCCAACAGCTTGTGCAGGTGCGGCTCCACGTCAAAGGTCTGGTCCCCAAAAAGGTACAGAGTCTCCTGTTGTCCCATGTTGAAGAAAAGTTGGACAATTAGTGAGATTTCGGTTGCTTGTCGATGTTGAGTCGCTACTTCCAGCTCCACGGCAGCCAGATGCACCCTGGGTGGTTTATAACCACATCCCAAGAGCCATCGACAGTGTGAAAGCCCAGATTTGGCCGCTCCATTGCGGAGATGATGCTCAACTCCTAAGCTGTGATGAGGCTGCCCATTTCCATTCCCGTGTTGGGTCCATTCTGTGATGTCCCGGCCCGCAACCTATCCTCCCGTCGGTATCCCGACGTTGAAAGGAGAAAGGCATCCTCCCGGACTAGACCCGGGGCATTAACACGATTATTGCAGAGTTCTTTCGTGAGTAGGCAGTTAGGATTGATCGATGTGACTTAAGCCCGACACAGCGCTCGTGTGCTCGACTACCTGCCTTGGTACTTTTGAGGACGGCGTCACCCCCCACCTGATTAGGGCCCCCAGTGGGACACCGGGACATTCTAAGATATTATCCAGGCGTTAAGCTTTGGGCAAAGGTGTAAGCCGCCACCGCGCAGTTGCCCAAATCCTCACGCAGTGCCACATAGAGCAATCCTTCAGTTTCTCAGACTTAGTGCGCGTGAGCTTAGTCTGACGGCGCACGTCAAGATCGGCTCGGATCCAATGCAAGCTTTCGGGAACGAGATGAAATTTTGGTACAGTTTGCCTTGGCCCGCGGAACTAAGCTTTTCAGGGGCTTGGTGAATTCTTGACGTGATCTCAGTAGGGCCTGGTCCCGTGTGTACGTAGTACATATGGCACGCCGTAGCGCTCACATAATATAGATCTTCAGATAGTCGCGTCTCAGCCGCTTCTGACGACGAGCCTGATCCAGAACTGGAGCTCATGCCAGGACAGATTTTCACGTAGGCCTTGTGAAAAATCATTAGCAACAATACGTACTGTACTGCATCACAGCATGTGGTGATGGGTGTGAGTGACTGTTACCTGTTGGCCAGATCTGCAACCACGGGAGCGCGTGTATTTTGGTCCTCATCCTCTGCTCATCCTTTCTTCAAATGTTCCTCGCTTGGGTGATTCTTCTGTATTTGGGAGCGGGGGCTGAACGAGTCGACAGCTGAATACGCAAACAGCCCCCAAATGATACGGACATCTCGTGCTCAACATGCAAGCTTGACATGGGCTTTTGCATCAATTGGATCGGATGCGGCCTGCAAATTGCTCGTGGGATCACCGCAACGGGCATTGCGCGAGGCGTAGCCAATGGAATCGGGTTACCTCGCGCCTACTAGTGCTTACTTGCATGTCCCTGAAGGTTATACACACGTGGCGAAGGCATTCCAGATATGGGCAGTTCGGACTGGGCGTGCAGGAGCCCGCATGTCGCCCGGCTTGACACGCGCTTCCAGCGTGTGCCTTACCAATGAGTCAATTCCATCTGTCCGTATGACGGTATCTTTCTTACCATTACCGAGTTTATATTCTTCGCCGTTGTCTCGGGCCCGTGCACATGCACAAAGACACGGCTGAGCTGTAAGACCTAATCAGTCTAGCATGATTGCATCAGGACGGTTCGCCAATGGGCATCGCATATACGAAGCCAAGCAGAGCTGAGCCCGCCACCTGCTGCAATTGGCAGATCCTACACCGCAGTGAGACACTCTTAGCACATCAACTCCCTCAAAAACTCGGTGTTGAATCATCCCCAGTAATCGGGCTCCGTCGCGGGCAGTATTAGTAACAACCACATGTCATACAATTTGAGGTTAATCGGTCGAGAACAAGCCCTGAACAGCCATACAATCAATGTTCCTCAGAGCGACGGGCGGTACTCCCGACGGGGGAAACCTGGGGAAAGAGTCAACCATGTCTGCATCACGGGTTCGACAACCACAGAATAAACTTCGTTCCAGTTGCGATGCATGTGGGCAAGCAAAGGTGCGCAACTGATCATACCTACCCCGTCACACTATATTGACTGACATGACATCTCTAAGATTAAATGTGATCGCGGCCAGCCCGCTTGTACACGCTGCATCGCCCAAGGCATGAGTTGCGTGTATGGAGTCTCCCGGAAAGCCGGAAAGCCTCCGCGAAAGAGGCAATCTGATGCTTCGCCGCTTGCGAACACCATTCCGAATCCCCTTCCATCACGTTCCAGTGACCCCGAAGCTGCCAATGTCGAAATGGCCGCCGGCGGCGGTGGCCGTGAAGCCATGAACATCGATATCATGTTCAGCCTCGGGGAAGACACTATGGGTAACGAGTCGCCATTGTCCGGATCAGACGCCGCCTTGCAAACCTGGTTCCCTTTCGACACTTTCTCTGGCCTGGGTTCACTTCCGGGCAGCTCGTCTGATTGGGACACATGTATGAGTGTGCTGAACGGTTCGCCACTGAAGCAGGTTGAAAGCCCGGCAACCACAACATCGACATCAACGTCAGCCGCAGCAGCAGCTACTACACGTCACAGCTGCACCCAGCAGACCAAAGAGGTCATGCGGCGGCTGTACTGTGCCAACCCTTCAGAGCCCATCTCTGACGGCCTGCCAGCCCGTACACTGGACCTGGGTTCAGTCCTGACGCGTAGTAGTGAAGTTTTCGGGCCCCTTGAGTCACTTCTCAGGTGCCCGTGTGCACGCTCTCCACATATGGCTATGCTTTACGCTTCCATACTGTCACGAATTCTCCTGTGGTACAGACAGGCTGCCTGGAATGAGAGCTCTACACAGGTGTCACCATCTCCATCGTTGTTCGAGCCCACGCTGACGGGGCAAGGTACAACACCATCATTCTTTGGTAGCACCTCTCTCAAGGCATTTGACTCGGAAACCACTGAAGATGAAGGTGGCGTCTCAGTGCTTCCAATGCCCGTCATGGTCGGGAACTTCCAGAGCGATGATCAAAACCTGCAGACTGCCTTCACAAGCTGTCTCATTCTGAAGGAGCTGGGCAGAGTGGGAAGGCTGATCGAGACGTTGATATCACTTGGCTCGGGTTCGGCCGATTCACAAACCATGGACCATGCTTGCCCTGCTGCTGGTGATCCCAGCGCCGGCGTGGCGGATGCAAGCTTGTTTGCAAGTCTAGGTGCCTGGCTTCGGACTGAGCATGGGCACATAGTGAGGAAAGCAAGGTCAGGTATATCCATGCTGGATGGGAATCCTCGATTCTGAGCGAACATCGTGTAATACTGTCATATATCAAGCGTGTATTTCGAGATAGACGATTTTGCTTTCTAGTTTAGAAGTTCGAAACGCCAAGTTCTCCATCCAATTGAAGCCCCTCGTCTTATTCGCAAGGGTGAAGCATTGCCATTTCAGCCCTCAACCGAGCCCCTTATCGAACTTGATGAACGTTCGGGGGATTTCGGTGCGTCTACTGATTATCACGGCCGGGGCTAATAAACCATTCTGGATTCAACACAATCCCAATGGCGCCCTAGTCGCAGCGAAATTTAAGCTCGAGTTCGTTGCCTGTAAAGTATAGTCGGGCATTGCCGTACTCAGACTTTACTATGCTTGACCCGACAAGACTCGGATACCGTCCGGGGGATTATGTTTCGTGGATACGCTTAGTTTCTCTTCCTACAGGAGCTGAACCGGGGCACAAGTAGCGGTACACCAAGCCCATCCTTCGCCTACAAGGAAACACGAGAGTAACCAGCCTTTTTTTAATAATGAATGTGCGAGAAGAAAAGATTGTTCAAAAAATTCGACTATTCCCTCAGTCATCTTTAGTCCTTACTGTCGAGGTGGATCTCTTCCTCAATCTATCACGCAATAACATTCACAATGCCTGGATGGCTTAGCAGTGGCATAGGCATGGAGGATGCGACAACACCTCCTCGACTTACAACTTCCCTTTTCCCCCTGGAGGATCTGGCCTGGAAGTGCACCAAAAATGCTATCGCCGTGAGCCAGTATATTCATACTCATGACCTACCTCAGCCTTCGCATGAGGCCGACGGCCCTAGCAGCACTCTTCCCAAGGATGCACCAGCAGAAATCCAGGAAATGCGACAGAATCTCATAGAGTCTGCACTCCAGCTCCTTCAACTTGCCACCGGACCAAGAGAATTCATCCCGAACCTCGCTCCGGGCTTCCAGTACGTGGCTTGTCTATCATGGCTCCTCCGCTTCGACATCTTCCACCTCGTGCCGGTGTCAGGCACCATCTCGTATACAGACCTCGCCGCAGCCGCGTCCAAACGAGCCAATCTTGCCATTGCCATCCCGGAGGTGCGTCTCAAGAGCATCATACGTATGGCCATGACCTCTGTGCTGTTCCGCGAGCCGGAGCCAAATCGCGTCGGCCACTCAGCCACCTCGGCCCTCCTGGCTCGCGACGCGGACATACACGCCTGGGCGTCCTACCTGACCGCGCGCTCGGCGCCAACAGCGCTCTCTATGACGGCCGCACATGATCAGTTCTCTCCCGCGAGCGTCGCCAAGAATGAAACGGCCTACAACGTCGCCTTCACCACCGAGCTGCCCTTCTTCGACCACCTCTCGCTAGACCCGGCCAGCACCGCCGAGTTTGCGGGTTACATGCGCAATGTCACGACGAGTGAGGGTGTCGACGTGAAGCACTTGGTAAACGGCTATCGTTGGGCGGACCTGGGCACCGGGCTGGTCGTCGACGTGGGCGGCTCAACAGGCAACGCAGCCATCGCCCTTGCGAGGTCCTTCCCGAGCCTCCGCTTCATCGTCCAGGACCTGCCCGACAATGCCGAGGCGGGCCGACGCGCAGCGGAGGCAAGCCTCCCGGCCGACATCCTCTCCCGTGTCACGTTCCAGGGCCACGATTTTACCCGGCCGCAGCCCGTCGCCGGTGCAGACGTCTACCTCCTGCGCATGATCCTGCATGACTGGCCGGACCATGTTGCCGTCACCATCCTCCGAAACCTGGTGCCTGTTCTGGAGGGGAGGGGCTCGAGGACGCCAGCAGCTAAGATACTCATTATGGACACCGTGCTGCCGGCGCCAGGGCAGGTCCCCAGCTCGGTGGAGCGAATTGTGCGGGTACGAGACCTAACCATGATGCAGGTCTTCAACAGCCACGAGAGGGATCTGGAGCAGTGGGAGGCGCTGCTGGCGGCCGCGGATGAGAGGTTGCGGTTGCGACGGGTTGTGGAGCCCTTTGGGAGCGCTATGTCGTTGTTGGAGGTGGAGCTTGGCCATGATTCCCAGGAGGGGGGGGAGGAGGAGGAGGAGGAGGAGGAGGAGGAAGAAGAGAACTGGGATATTAGCGGGTGACTAATGGCAATGGAGTTTGTCGGCCGGCGCCATTCGGTTGCTACACAGCAATGCTTGAATTATTGCATTTTTTACAAGCCGTTGTACGCGCTTTTTGATCATTTCACGAAATTCAAGACTTGATTTCTTCTGAAAATGATAAGTGCAGGCTTCTCTTTCATGCTCTTTGCTTAGGTATGCTCGATGGACCTAGTCACCACACTCTATGTACGTGTACAAGTGTAATAAAGAACTAGGCCTGTTCGTATCCGACTGATGATAGAATCGAGGAAATAATGGGTCTAAAATAAAATGACTTGATTTTTTGTCCGTTGATTGTTGTACTCGTACCAAGACTAGAACACAGGTAGGTTTAAACTATAATATTGACAATTTAGGTCCTTGGAATCTCCAGGCTTCCAAAACGGAAAGCGAATGCCCAAGCAGAGCGCCATTACTTCCACGCGAGATCTGCACCACGATAATTTGGCGGCTAATCATAACCATCGATTGGGGAGAGATTATCTAGCGAGCAATCTTTGGCCCATATGCTTCTAAACTAGGTGGCCTTCTATTGCAGAGATACATTTGGGCTCTCATAGCTCAAATCCCTGCAAGACTGAAACCAATATAACCAGCCGCTCCACCTTCAAATACCCAGGTCTGGACAGTCTAAGACGAGCCCTTTTCTACATCACTGCTAGCAGGCGATGGTAATTTCGCCTCAGGCTTGGGCACTGCCGAGCCAGGGCTGCCCTTCTTAACACTCTTCCACTCAAGCAAAGCGGCGGGGAGAGCACTCAAGCACGCCATTATCAATGCAATCTGGAAGGCCTTTCTGAGAGCCAAGTTATAGACGTCGATGACCTCGCCGATGTGCTCAGCAGGGACTATGTGGCGGAATTCCGTGGCGCCAGCGTTGATGACGTCCATGCCGTTGACGCCAGGGATAGCGAGGGCGTCGACGTAGTGCAGCAGCCGGTCGTTGAGCACGTTGTTGGCTGCGCTGATGAGCACGGCACCGCCAAGCCCCTGGAACAGCATGGATACGGATATGCCCATCGGGATATCGCGCGGTGGGAGCACGATCTGCGCCGCGACCTGGGGTAGCTGGAAGCCGCAGCCCGAGCCGAAGCCGAACAGGATCTGGTAGCCGACCCACTTAGCCGTGCTGGTGTCCGGGCTGAGGGTTGTCAGGAGCCCAGCCCCGATCGGGGCGATGATTACTGCGAGGTAGATGAAGGGGACGTAGTAGCCGATCTTGCTCGTGCCGAAGCCAGCGAAGAGGATACCGATGACGTTGGGAAGGATCAAGGGGATGGTATCGATACCAGACTGCAGGGCTGTCTTGCCCTTGATGGCTTGGAAGTAGATGGGGATGAAGTAGCTGAGGAGGAAGAAGGTGCCCGCAAGGCAGAAGGTGAAAAGACTTGAGGCGAAGATTGTTCGTTGTTTTGCAATACGGGGCGGTACTATTTGATGTCAGATATTATTTTTGATGTAGACTTGTCTCTGAGAATACATACCAGTTCCTTGCTCGCCTAGCCAGGCCTGGCTACCGACGAAAGCAATGACAGTGGTGCCAAATACAACAAATAATGCAATCATCTGCGCGCTGTTCCATGCATATGTCGTCCCTCCCCACTAGCAAAAAAGTCAGATACGAATTCACGAGAGGAAATGTAAATATGATACATACCTGTAGGGCGAACAGAAGACATATTATGCTGGGGACAAACAAGACAAACCCAATTGGGTCGAGATTCCACAGCAGGCCAAGAACGCCCTGGTCTTTGAGAGGGTTGGGCTTCGGCGGCAGATGGAGGCACAGGATGATGAAGGCGGCCGAGACTGCGCCAAGAGGGAGGTTGATATAAAAGCACCAACGCCACGAGACCTTGTCCGTAAAAGCGCCTCCGACCAGCGGGCCAACAACAGAGGCGATGCCAAATATGCCACCGTACAGGCTCTGGTACGTGGCTCGTTTCTCCATTGGAGTGATGTTTGCGATGATGATGAGACCACCGCTGGAGATACCAGCGCACCCAATGCCAGCAATTGTTCGCTACGTTTGACATTGTGAGTAAATAAACTTTTTCTCAACGTCGTGAGAATAGCTTGACCACTTACGCCAACGATCAGCATTGCTGATGACTGGGCAGCTGCACAGAGGACAGACCCGACCTCAAATATCAGCAACGCTGCGAGGAAAGTCCATTTTAGACTGAAGAAACGGAATGTTTTGCCAAAAGGCAGCTGGAAGGCTGTATGTGTGTCAATAACCGCCTGAGCAGTGTTTGCGATACCATGGAAATGCGCTGTACGTACCACACTTGGTGAGCAAATATGATGACCCATACCAGCCCACATCCTGCAGAGCTTGGAACTGGTCGGTAATTCGTGGGATGGCCGTTGCAATGATCGTGCTGTCCAATGCAACGCAGAAGAGGGAAATGAAGAGAGCGAATAATGTAAGGGCAAATGTGAAGCCTGTTGGATACGTGGGAGCGGGAGGCGGTTGGGCTGCTGAAGTCGCCTCAGGTCTGAGGTCGTCGCTGCTTGGGACAGCAGAGCCTTCACGGCTGGCCTTGTCTCGTACTTCCGTACTTGTCTGTGACATGGTCGAGTACTACGGTCATTCAAGAGAGATGTGGCGTTGGGAGTAGCTTGATGCCAAGAACCAGATGTGAATATTCGAACAACTTTTGGCACTATTTAACAGTGACCTCTGGACAGCACATTTTAATCTTATAAGAGAGCGTGAGGAAGGAAAGTCCCTTGTTCTATTGTCTCGGGGGGTTTGGACTGTCAACCCGGGATACACAGCACTTCTCTGACCGTGGGGTGCTGACACCAAATTCCTCAGGAAATTTCCACAGCAAATGTCCTTGCTCTCGTGCACGAAAATCAGTTCCGGATTTAATGACCCCGGAGCCGGATGTAAAACTCAAATAAGAATCTTGGAGAGCCGCGAGTGAAAGAATGTATTTAGAGAGGATTGTCCGCGATAGTTGAGAGGGTACTTGAACTGACTAAGGATTCTGGTGGCGGCCGAGGTAGGTACATAGCACGCGGTCACATTAGAGTGGTGAAGCATGTACTTACTCTTTCGGGTATCAAAGATTCACCCCTATTGGCCAGCACTCCTAATCCCCCGGACCCACCAGTACCTCCCTACCGGAATCTGACAGCTCAGATGGTAGCCCGGGAAATCTTAGACTGCATAGATCTACTAAGTCTACTCGGACGGGCAGACGGGTCAGCCCGCAGCGCATGCCCGCTCCTTCAGGGGAATTAGAATCATCAGCCCATCCGGCCTGGACGGTGCCCGGCTCGCATCCAACGACAGCTACCGGTACGAGACACCGAACCTGGACAGCTTCCCGCAGGTTCGTGGTCGGTTTCGAGTCAGCTTGGTGCCTTGAGAAGTCTTCAGCTCGAGACAAGTAGGTATTGCGATGGTAAGTGAAGCTGATATAATAAATATAGGCGACCTTGGTCAGTCCAGACCTTGGTTGCCATCAGTGCCTTCTCAGCCTCTACAGAGAGATAGTAGTGTGTGTATTTGACACGTGAACCATGGCCATCCCTTTTTCTCTTTCCCATTTCTACAAGTTAGCCGCCCTGACTCTTGTCGGTGCGGCTGTCACACTCCTCGTGGCATGGATCAGGCGTGATCGTCGGCTCGACAAGATGCAGGGCCCGAGAGGATGGCCACTCATCGGCATCGGTATCGGACTGCCTCCCAAGTCAGCCGAGGTCCTTGGCCGGTGGGCTGTCCAGTACGGCGAGGTCTACAAGATCAGGGTAGGCTGGTACAACTGGGTCGTCATCAACAGCCCCGAAGCTATGCGCGACATTTTTGACAAACAGTCTGTCAGCACCTCGTCCAGGTCTCCTATGCCCCTTGCCCATGATGTTGCTGTTGGTGGCATGCGCATGAATACCTTGCCGTATGGGAAGAAGTGGCGGGCATATCGTGCGATTGTTCACGGGCTCCTGTCAACCTCCCTGACGGACCAGTTCAACCCGTCGCAGGAGTTTGAGACCAAACAGCTCCTCCACGACTTCGCGTTCAAAAATGAGGACGGGCGCCAGTTTTATTGGCACGTACGGTACGTGTTATATCAGCCCTGGCGACTTGTCTCACTCCTTTGAGAGACCTCAGGAGGATTCTTTTTTTATTCTGTGACCAACAGCTGACATGCAACAAGGCGATACTTCTTCAGCATCTTGATGACAAGCTGCTACGGGTCGCGCGTGGATAGCTGGGAGCACGAGGACGTGCGCAGCGCCATCCATAGTACGAACCTGCTCAGCAAGATTTCAAAGCCAGGCTCGTTCATCGTTGACGAGATTCCAATCCTCGCCGAGCTCCCGGCCTTCCTCCAGCCCGGCCGGCGCATGGCAGAGTCCCTGAGGGAGCCAATCCTGAACGCCAAGCTACGGCTATGGCGGCGCCTCGAGGCACAGATGGAAGAAGGCCGGGCCCCAATGTGTTTTGGCCGCAAGCTACGCGAGAACGACAAGTCGTGGAGGGACCAGGGTCTCACTGACGAGGACTTTGCCTGGATCGTCGGCGGCATCGCGGACGCCGGCTCGGGCACGTCGACCGTGACGTTCAACTCGGCAATCCTGTATATGGCGGCGAACCCCGAGGTCCAAGACAAAGCTTACGAGGAGCTGATGCGCGTTGTCGGCCCGGACCGCACGCCCACGATCCAGGACCTGCCCAACCTGCCGTACATCAACGCCTGCGTCAAGGAGACGATCCGCCTCAAGCCGGTGCCGGTGTGGTGCATCAAGCGGTACGCCGACGCCGACGTGCGGTACAAGGACTTCATCATCCCCAAGGGCACAGTGTTGCTGGGCAACACCATCTTCTTGGGCTCCGACCCGGCCCGGTATGACGAGCCGCAGGCTTTCAGGCCGGAACGCTACCTTGGCTTCCCGCGCTCTAGCTTCGAGTACGCCGCCGGCGACCAGACCCGGCGGGACCATTTCAGTTTTGGCGTAGGTCGCCGAGTATGCCCGGGGGCCAAGCTCGCCGAGATGACGCTGGACCTCGCGCTGGCGAACATCCTGTGGGCGCTCGCCATCCGCCCGCCCAAGGGCGTCGAGGCGCTCGACGCCGGCCCGGACGCGTGGGACGCCACCGAGTTTCAGGCGCCCAAGCCATTTGCCGTGCGCTTCGAGCCGCGCAGGCCTGAGGCTTTGGGTTTTGTTAAGAAGCAGTGGGACGCAGGAGTCGAGGAGGGCTATGTGATGAATGGGAGGCGTGTGGACGTGAAAGGGGTTGTACACTAAGGCTCATGACTCCACCCGCCGTCTCGCCTATCGCAGTGTGTCGTCGGGGCGACGTCAAAGCTTAAAATTGTTTGGGACAACAGGCTTGCCCTGTCTTGCTTGTCTTCTCATTCCCTTCTAGCTATGTTGTAGAGACCTAGTTGTTTGCCCGGAAATCTATTCTTGAAACATCACCCGAGCGAGAAATGTTAGTTCGTGAGCGATGTTTGATTTCTATCAATTTTTCAGGTGACTGGAGGATAACCTCCCGTTGGAATTAAATTCCTGTGAGATATACTCCTGTGAGATAACCTCCTTTACGGGGAGTAAGTTACAGGGGGTTTCGTGATGAAGTGTTACGATTTCTGAGAGTGTGGCGGTGTTGTTCCAATAGTGTATGTGATAAGTGTTGCAGCTTTACAGCTACCCATAAAGTCTAGCTTATCAATCAACACTGCCTGTGCCTTTCTTCCAAAATGCACACCCCTGGCTCCGCCAACTATATGCCGGCTAGACTTATACAGGTCAGCGTTGTTCACCCATGCGAGTCCTGGGCATAATTGAGCCATGTGCAAGCTGTCTTAGTCGTCTGCCATCCCATATGTTATGCTATCTAGCCGCCAGTACTGTGATCCTATGGTTCGCCGTCGGATCGGGCCGGACTTGGTACAGTCCCGAGGGCCGGGTGTACGCGACGAACATGGAGCCAAGAGCGGTGCTTTTTGTCGACCCACAGTATCTGTATAAGCCCATCCAATATATCCAGGCAGAAGCCCTGAGCCGCATCGAAATTGCTCAAGCCACCATTTAAGCTTATGATAACACCGTCGCTCGACTCATGGTGTGGCCTGCTGTTACAGTGGATCAGCAAAGTAGGCGCGGGTGCCCACGAGCTGACGTCTCAAAAACCAGAATGTCACCAGCCAATTAGGAAAAGGGGGCGAGCGCCTACATAGTACAGTAGAAGTTGGGCCCACACGTTCAACTACCGGCAGGACGGCCCAGACTGCTGGCTTGCCCAGTCTCAGCGGACAGGGATATTTTGTGTGTGGAGCCACCATCTCATCGGAATCTACAATACCCAGCAAATCAGCAAATCTGGGGCCTCTCCCCCCCTTCCCAGCCCACCGGGTCCGCGTCTGCGCAGCCAATTCTTCGCATGGTTGGTCTTCGGTCTTGCTCGCACTCCGCTGTTGCATTCTACTCAAATTGGTCCGGCTCCAGTCCTGCCTAGAGATCGCCCAGTTGCTCGGGTGGAAGACGATGTGACCCTCAGCGGCGGGGTCTAGACCATCCATCGACGAACTCGACTTTAGGTCCTCGTCCTCGCTCTCGCTGGTCTTCGTCCTCATCCTCACCTTCGCCCTTCAGTCGGTCGTCGACTGCCGGTAGCACAAACATCAAGCAGCATCTCGCATAGTGCATTGGGCTGTCGTGATGGACATGCCAATTTCAAGAAGGTGTGATTGGGGCGGCCGCGCCCTGTCCGGAACAGCACAGCTTTCGCAAGCGGTGACTCGACCCGTCAGCCTGCAGATGCTGCGGAGCTAGCGTAAAATTGCCCGGGAGGATCACGAACCTGGAGGCCCTCCAGCTGAGCTCGCCTTGGCCCAGGCCCTGGGGGCCCAGGGACAGCCGTTTTGCTTACTCTGACACACCTGTCCGTCTTAAGACCTGGCTTATTCCGATGATATTTTTCTTCTCTCTTTTCCAGTCAGTGCTTTTCGCCGTTCCATGTCGACCTCGGCGCGCGGAACGAGTACGCTTACACCAGAATAATGGATACAGTAAGTCGACCCAGACACCTTGGTCTCGCCTCGTTGGGGACCCCGAATCTGCCTGTCCTTGCACCAGGCTGACGGAAATGCGCCCAAAGCAACAGCAGCAGCAACATGAGCACCATGCTCCCGAGGTAGTCCACCCGGATTACCCAGAGGCCGTTGCGCCGCAGCAGTACCAGCAGCAATACCAACAGCAACAGCCACAATTTCAGTACAACCAGCCCCAACAATACCAACAATACCAGCAGTTCCCACCAAACGCGGCATACAAACCCGAGGACGCCCAAGGCGCATATCCATCAACCGCCTACAGCGGGAGCCAGCTCGACCCAACATCACCAAGACCACAAAACGCCGTCCCAGGCGCCGGTGCGCAGGCACCAGGCGGCGAGAAGAAGAAGAGTACGATATGTGGCTGCACGAGCATCGTGTTTGTGCTGTGCGCCATCATCGCCCTGCTTTCTGCTGCGGTCATTGGGCTTGCTGCGGGCACGGGCGTGGAGGCGAGCAGGGCAAACTCAGCTGAGAACAGGGCAGCCGAGCTGAGCTCGTCGCTCGCCTCTGCCACCGAGGCCGCCACGGCCACGGGCACAGCGGGCTCGTCGTCAGCGACGAGCACATCGTTCGCCGCGCTGGACAGGAACTGCTCGGCGGACCCGACCGCGGTGACTGGGACGACGTACGACGCCTTCTCATGTAAGCTCGGACTTGGTATATGTACTTATGTGTGGATCGAGCCCCGCTGACACAGGACGCAGTATACGGGAACTACTCCTTCACGATCCAGTGCAACAAGGACACCAAGGGCGGGCCGTTGATGGCGCTCTTTGCCGCCGACTTCGACACATGTATGGACCACTGCGCCTCCTACAGCAACTACCTGCCCAAGATGTTCGGCAGCAACAACACCAACACAACCTGCGGCGGCGTCAGCTTCATCCCGCTGTGGACGACAAAGCCCGCGGCCCTCAAGGGCGGCGCCCCGGGCAACTGTTACCTCAAGCCCAAACAGACTGGTGACTTGGACGATCCCAATATCGGCACCGAGTGTCACGCTGCTGTCCTGAACTGAATAGTCACCGGGAGAGCCTTAGCCTGACCTATTGTTGTTGTTCTTCATTACCGCGGCATAACGGCGTTGTGGGAGCTCTTTTGGATACGACCAAGAAACTGGATTTTTTTGGGGAATGATTTTCCCTAATTATATGCATTGCGCAAATATGGACCAATACCCTCGGCAGTATAAAGGTCTTCTGGGTAATGCTTTTGGAGAAGAAGCAAGTCTCAGCCAAATTACGATCGTCTCATCTGGAGGCGGGGGGATGGACGGACTGATGGATATACCACCTCGGAAGATAGTGGTTCTTGCATGGGAGGAAGAGCACGGTTGGGGATGGGGGACTTTTCACTCTTATATTTCTCGCACATACTTGATATCCTGAATGACTGAATGCAGAAGTACATTACTCAATAATTCTGCGCCACGTTGAACCACATACTCTAATTCTGGACCTCATTTCAGTTCTGTACAGGCCTCTGACGGAGTATGGTATGACCTGATTCGCTCCACAGCCCCTTCTGAATCACGAAGGTCTTAGTATCTAGAGGTCCGCAAGATTTACAGGAGACCTCGTTTCCTCCTGCGTACATTCATTTTTCTCTCAATTTCCTTGCCTTACGCTCGGGCAGGCCCACTAAAGTAACCTCGTGAGGCCCCTAGCCATCTCCTCAGCCCTACCCGTCTACCAACAATGCCGTTGGTCCCGCGCCGTTGGGCCCACACCATGGGGCCGTCAATAGCTTAAAACCATAGCGTAGCGCTCTCACTGGTGCTTTGATATCCTGTTTTGCCACTATCGGCATCATGGCCTGCCATTGTTTACGAGCATCAGGCAGCCTTTGGCCCATGAAGACATACGCGCGCTGCCCTGTCTCTGCATGTATTACGCGAGGGGCGGCACCGACAGGAGCCAAGACGGGGAGCGACTATCACAACGCTAGCTTTTGGTGGGAACCTTGCCATTGAAATAGGAATCTGGGTATCGATGATTACAGCATTATGGAGTACAAAGCAATAGACAACCTCAAAGATGAAAGAGCTCTCTGACAAGCGAATGAAAAGACCAGCAAAGCAGACGCCTGGAAACCAATTCGACCTCTCGAAACTCCTCTCCATCTACATGAATGTACACAAATAAACAATGAGCTTTGCACTTGAGAGCAAGCACGGATTCTTCGGACGAGCGATCGATCAGACCATGTGGCTGCCTTGGTGTTGCACTACTCAGGTGTCTCAGGCACCTCCCAGATGGCGTCATCAAGCTGCCGCTCATTCTTAACCCTTGGCGAGGAGGACGCAGCCGGTAAAGATGAGTCAGTCGGCGTACGGGGCGCAAAGGGGATCTGGGAGGTCGGTGTGAAGATGGGCAAATCAGCCCGCTTCATCGGACTCGGTGATCGGAGCGAGGCCGGGTCGAATTGTTTCATCGGCGTGGGAGTAGTATTTATTGCCGCTTGTTTGGCCACGCTTGGTGTCGCCGTGTTTGGAGGAAGCCATGTGAGGGGCTCTTGCGGAGCGGCGATGTTTGGAGTAGGCCCCTCGGGCTGATATTGGATGAAGACATCAGGCGTGGCAGTTTGGGGTGGAGGCGAAAGTGCCGTGGGAGTTTCCTGTCCACTTCTGGGCAGGGGTATCTCCTGTGGAAGGTTGTCCTGCGAGACAGGTCCGTTCAGAGGGCTCGGTTGCCGAACCGATATGGGGTCAGGGCTGGATGAGGGCAAAGGTATGTGTTTTGCGGCATCCATTGCTACGGGCTTCGGCGGTGATACTGTCGATTCCTTCTTTGCGCGAGCTTCCTTCTGCTGTTTCGTAACCAGCGTGATCTTTTTGAAGCCGGAAGTGATCTTGTCAAGCTCATCGCCAGATTTCGGCGCAGGACCTTGGGTACTCTGAGAAGGCTCGCTAGGGCTGGAAGACTTCGGTTTCGACATGTTCTTCGTAGCTGGAGCTGTGGTCTTATTTGGCCGAGCAGTCTTGGGCGCATCCTTCTTAGCCTTGGCCGTCCTGGTCTTCTTGACTGCAAGTGGGCCACCCGCCGTCGTCCTCACGCTCATGGACGAGTCAGGCCGCTCAGTCATTGACGTCGCGGGCCGTTCGTTCAAGGGAACAATGTTGCCCGATGCACCGTCAAAAGATTCAAGGATAGTTGATGCAGCACTAACGCGTCGTCCTTGTCTTGTTGGCGCCCGGTCATTAGGCTGTGGCGTGTTGCTGCGCGAGGCTCCCTGTCGCTACTTGTTAGCATTCAAAATAAGACAAACGCGTGGATGTCGAGCGAAAGGGGAAAGGGTGGACATGGCGTTGAGAGTCGCCTGATGTGGTGCATACCTTCTCAGAAGCGGTGACCGAAGCACCGGCCACGGTCTTCCGTCTGTTCTTGCCGAAGTCATCGTCTCCTTCGAAATAAGTCGTAGGCTTTCGCTCCCGCAGACTCATCCTGGAGGGCGCAGGAGCCGCCGGTGCCGGCGCCGGAGTGCTTCTGCCATTCTCAGGCGGCGGGATGCCATCCAACGCTAGCTGGCGATCACGCCGGATGCGCGTGGCTTCAGCGGAGAGATCTTCCGGTCCGCAGCTTCTGGTGGTCCGATCCGTAGGTGTTAGCACGGCACACAGCCCGTGAGCCGCGACATACCAAGGCACCTCTGGGGGCGGGGGCGTCGGCGGTCTGGGTGGCGGCAGGCCGTTCATAGAGGCCTGCCGTCGAAGTCGTGCGACATCAACCATCTTCGCTGTCGAAGACTGGGTTGGCGTGCAGTATGTCGGGAGTGGCCCAGTGCGAGGAGCCCTGGCCTGCGGTGGAGATGCTACGACGCCAGTCTCGAGCAGATCCAGGTCCGCGGGACTCCACCACGAGGGATCGTAGGGATGAGGCCGCGTCTTCAACTCCAGCGAGTTCCTCCTGTCACCCACAATCCCGGTTCTCTGATTCGCCGCGCCGCCAATCCCATTGGATTCGCCCGTCGGTATGGGATCGCTGCCGGCAAGACCGCTGATGTGACTGAGAACTCCAGAGGTTAACGCCCGATCGCTGTAGCCACCCTCAAGAACACTGATCAGTCTTCCCTCGACACTTGTGCCCTGCTCCTCAGCGATCCTAGTGACGTCCCGAGCGATGCGGGCATAGAAGCCCGTCGGAACGTTCACAACATGACGCTGCATGCCAGCGCCCTCCCACTCACTCGCATCGAAGCCCGCCGACAGGAAAATCGCCGCCTTTGACGTCTGATTCGCCATGCGAAGCCGTTCCGTGTGCGCCTTTAAATACTTCCGTGCCTTCTCGAGCAACACGGCGTATTTGTCCTCGTACAGCTCCCAAAATTCGGCTTCCGTCTTCCAAGGCTCCAGGTGCACGTTCCAAACGTGCTGACCGTGCGCATTGTCTATGCACAAGCTTGCATTCTTGACCTTCTCCTCGTCGCCCATCTCGCAGGGGTACGAGTTGATGTCGTGGAGCGAGAAGTAGCCAATCGATGCCTTCTTCCAGTACGCCGCATTCTTCGCCAAGCCCACACCCCTAGAGTTATGCTGCCAGGTGATCTGCTGGCTCCCGTCGCCATGGTGAAGGTCGAAATCGATAATGGCGGCGTGTGTGAGGCCATGGCCAAGGATTCCATGCATGATACCAACATGGACATTGTTGACCCAGCAAAAGCCCGACGGATACGATGCCGAACAGTGATGGCCCGGCGGCCGCACCGCGACGAATGCGCGCTTGGGACCAGATTCCGCAAAGACAGCGTCAACGGCGTCGCAAACAGCACCCAACGAGCCCTCCAAGGCCTCCAGCGACTCCGAGCACAAGTACAAGTCACCCTCGTGCAGCTTCTTAGGCTGCTCATGGTCTGGGCCGCGATTCATCTCCGGGCGCTGAAGCTCCTTGCCACCGGTCGCAAGCTTAGCCTCGGCCGATTCGCACATCATCTTGAGCTCCTCCATCCATTTTGTGCCGTGCACGTTCGTGACCGTCGGCGATGTTAGGGACATCCTGCGGGTTGACTTCTGTATCCGGAAAGGTATCGAGGGTATGGCGGCCGGGTTCAGACTCGGGTGCAGCACATGCTCTCCTTCTGCGTGCCTCTCGCCGAGCAACACGTATGCTGCGGCGACTCCCAGGACACAGGCCTTTATCCTCTCCGGCCGTTCGACAATGGTACTCAGGGCGGCGCGCGACGTGCGCGGGCGGGCAAACCGGTGCCCGTAACACGAATCGTGGAGGATGACCAGTGTCTCGGCAGCACGATTCGACTCAGCGCCGTGGAGCAGCTCGAGCTCCCCGCTGAAGTGTGTCCTTGCTATGGAACCAGCAGTAGGAGGAGGCGGTCGCGGGGGTTCGGGCGTCGGGGACATGTTGGCGGAACTGGAGCGTCGTAAAGGCGTGACGCCGTTGGCCGAATGGAGCGAGTTCATGGATGCTTTTCGAAGCAGTGTTGGGGTCGCCGAGCGCGAATCGCGGCCATGTGGGGAAGCGCCCGCCCGCGAGACAGTCCTAACACTGAGGGCAGACGGCGATCGGTCAACGGCCGGTCTGTAGGGCGAGCTCGCGCCGCCTGGCGCCGGGTTGGGAGAACGGGGCGAGCGCGCGGGGATGGGCGAGGCCGAGGAGGGCGAGGTTGAGAGGGAAAGCTGGTGGAGGGACTGCAGCAGCTCGCCGTCCGAATCCCTCATCTTGTTTGTTGAAATCCTCCTGGTGGGAGTGGCCTGGCCCTTTGGCGACGACATGGTGAACGAGGGGTTGGGTCGGCTGTCCTCGCCACACACGTCACCGAGCTGCGCGGACAAATGTCGATGGCGGCCCTTGGAAGGCTGGTGTCTCGAAATGCGACAAGACGGGGGAACGAGTGCTTTGAGAGTAAGGGTTGAATTAAGCTTGTATTCCTCATTTGGGGGGTTGATCTTGTTCTCATGAAAAGGAAAGACTTATGCAAGATGTGCGTGCATACATGGTTTGGAGTATCGCTTGGTCAACTCGGGGGGCAAATCAAAACAAATAACACCAGTAGACCTAATAATAATAAGCTTGGAGGGGCCGCGTGCCGAAAGCTGCAGCTGCGCTGCTGCACGTAACCTGACGCGTGAAATGAAGCTCTTTTGCCCCACGTGACGGGGCATCTGGGCCTGGGGGCCCCCTGACGGCTAGTGGCCATCTGCGATTGATCCACTCACTTACAGTATACATACAGCACATTATTGAGACCCCTGAGAAGATGGTCCACTGCGCCATGTGGGAGTAGGGGCCTTAATTGCCTCATGTGCTCATCGCACGCCGGTGAATGGAATTACGGTAGCCTATGTGGCCCTACAGACAAAGGCCACTTACTTCTGGGGCTCAAGCAGCTGGTGGCTTTGTTTGCCTCGGTTACAGGGTGAATCAAGAAGACCGCCTATTTGCTATGTCTGAGGGCTTCCTCATAAAGACACAATGGACATGAAGACCTGCAACGCCTCTGGTTCACCTCAGCCAGTCCGTAGTCAAGAATGATACGGGTCACCTGCTCTGCTGCACCCTCCGCCCTTGAATGCAATGCATGCAGCATTGCATCCAGTCCCATCAGGCGTTGTGTGTTAAACATGTTGCTATTGTGTTGTATTGTACCCTGGTGACCCTACAGAGAAATCGCTATGAAGCCAGCCATTCCAAGGCTTCCCTCCCACTCGCTCTCTAATCCCCCTCTGGCTCTGGCAGCGCAGTCCATCGCTGCTTGCGCAAATCTACCCTCGCCCTCTTATGAAATGGAAACTCCGTCTATTTTCCTTCGCTATGCAATGATGCAGGAACCAATATTCCAGCCCCGGTTATTCCTCCGTCGTGACATGGGCTAAGGAGAACGCGGAACTTTCCCTTGCCATGCTCCAGAGCGACAACACTGTCGAGGAACGCCTGGCAGTCCTTCAGGTAGTTCTGGAAAGCCGTTATACAGCCCCCCGTATATCCAACGACGAGTTCGTCTGGTTTGCCCCTTGATTTGCTGCCAACTTTGTCTACATCAACACTGTTTCTCTTCGTGATCGGCGGCAGATCTTCAGACAAGGTGAGGAGGCCGATTGTGTAGGCAGCCATAAGTCCCGCAGCCCGTACCTCAATAGCAACTGCTATGCGATAGAGCGCGTCGGCAATCTCTGGGGTCCACTCCAACTGGTCGTGGATAGAGTGTGCTGCATTTTTTTTCTTCGCAATAGGGAACTCCCTCTGCAGTTGCTCCACCAGGGTGCCATTTTCGGTGTTTCGAGGATTGAAATGACTGAGGAATGTCGTGCTAAGGGTGAACGGCTCTCTCAGTTTGAGTGGTAGTTCGAATCTGTCGTACCGCAGAATTTTTGTCAAGTAGTCTTCGAATATGATGCGGCCCAGCTCGCCGAGATAACGACCAGAGGTCATGTACTCCAGTGGTTGGAAGCCGGGCTTCTCGACGTGCATATTTAGCCGTGTATCCCACCCAGTTATGAGGCCGTGGCTGCTTAGAGTATTCACTGTGCCGTTAATACTCCATTCGGTGTTCACAGCTATCTTGACGTCGTTCCCAGCCTGTCCCGGTATCACGCTGACTGTCTGGGGTCGTTTGCTGTCCTTGAGGGTGCTGAGTTTCAGGGGTATCGTAGCATTGGTACCTGTTCCGCAAATCAGGGACATGGCAGCTTTCTGGTTTGGTTTTGCCCGGAACTGGTAAATGAACGAGACAAGGCTTGCAACGGCGTCGTTTGCAATAGCTGCTACCCTGATCCGAGGCAGAGAGTTCTCACGGTACTCCTCGTACCCTGCAACTAGATAAGCTCCTAGGTCGACTTTGCAATCGAGCGCAAACCCTTTCCCCATTGGCATAAGAATTGCCTCATGCAGCGACTTTTGCTCCATCGGAAAGCTGAAGGTGACACCCATGGGTAGCTCGGCATCGGGATGGAGGCCCCATTCACTGGTAGCCTGCTGAACGATAAGTGATATGCATTTGCCGATGAATTTGAAGAGGCTGTCTGCGTTCTGGTCCTTGAGCTGCTCGCCGATGGGCCATGAACGTTCCAGGAGCCGACGTAACCGTGGTGGCTGTGATGACTGTGGTGACCCGAGCGCGAACACTGAAAACCCACCCCCGTTGATCGGAGAGTCTTCGTCTGTTGTATCGCCAGTTCCGCCACTTTCACCAGGTTCGCCAGACTCCCCGGCGAGCAGCTCGACAAAGCCAACTCTGAGATTCGTTCCTCCTCTGCAGCCTCTGGTCAGCACACCACTCTGGACCCGTATCGAATCAAGAATGGGCTTACATGTCAATAGCAAGATACCTGATTTTGGCAATTGGTCAGTCCTGGCTGATATAGTGCGCCACGTACAGAGTCAGGGAACTCACCGGCCGCGATCGGCTCCGTCGACGCGCCCGAGAAGAGACTCGCTAATGGGCGTTGGCAAGAACTGGTTGTCTGACTTATTAGACAACCTTGAGAAATCTTCCGTCAAATCGCGCGAGAGCTCGAGAACGGCGTTGTCGGTAATGCGAAGGGGTCGGAGGAAGTCGTCCAAGGACTGGGGCGGTGATTGTTGTCCAGACGCCATTTCGATGAGTCTGCTGCAGAATTGACGAGGTACGTATGCTCATAGCTTGCTGGGGGTATTGGCTGGAACCGCAGAGTAAAGGTAAATGATACGAATAGTGAGTGAATCACAAACAGCCAAACGAGTGAATCGAACGAGACACGATAAAGATTGGATGGGTGTTTATGACCTTGAAAATAAAGTAAAGTACTTGCCCACCTATCTACTGTGGGCGCGTAGGTATAATAGAAGGCCTGACTGAGTCCGTGGCAAGCTCAACTGAGTGATGAGCCACTGGACACATGCGCAGAGGATGCCTAGGTAGGAACGGTGCCTCTAACAGTTCCCCTCCCGACAACGCCGCTGCTCCGATAAGTCGGCTCAGAATCACATAGAAGAGAAGAAGCGTCAGGTCACTGCAACACCCTATCCTCACGACCAGCGACTCCACAAGGTGAGAGCAACCGTGACAACGTAACGTCGAGTCGCACGCGACCACGCCACGGCCAACGTTTCGCTCGAACAGCCCAGATAATGCACCGGAAGCTTGCGCAGTGCCTGGTTGGTACCTTGCTGCACAGTCTGACTGATCCCTGGATTGTTACACCTCGGCAACTGCACCTCTTTCGGTATGATCCTGACTGTGGGATAATCGTTCACCCTTCCGATCTTCAACTTGTCAAGTACAAAGTGCTCAGCCTTGTGACTGTCAATGCGAGGCTGTTATCTTATCCAGCCAGTTGACTATAGTTTATGTCATATGGTAGATGGACGCCGTAGTATACCTCAGCTTCGACGCTCTAGTAGTGTCATACTACGGAGATAGTGCAGTGTTGCTTGTTAGTGGGCACCTCCGCAAGTGGCCCGGAGAAATCCTCAAACTGGCCTACCGGCCTGCCCGGCCAGGCCTTCCTACCTCCGTGAGGACGCTGCAATGCTACAAATAGAATTCCCAACCTGAATCTTGCGCAATCTCCCCCACCGATTGTCACACACACACACACCGGTCATGGCCACCTCGCCGAACGTCCCATCTCCAGAATTTTGATAGGAGCCATTGCAACATCTGCTAGCCTCACGCATTACAGAAAAGCAACACCTGGACCACTCCCAAGATGGACGAGAAGTACGACAAGTACAAGACATTTCCCCCGCGCCCGACGAACCCGCCGATGCGTCCCCACGCGCGGAGGGCTGGGCGGTTCCGGCCTCTGCTGGTGCTGACGCTGGTCGTCCTCTGCCTCTACGTGTACGCGAGGCCGTCGTCGGTCTTGAGCCCGCTGCCGGACATCTCGCGCCTCTCCAACACGTTGCAGCAGAACACACCGCCCGTTGCGGACACGAAGGCCCTGGTGCCGCTCGAGGCACATATCATGTCCAAATGCCCGGACGCCAAGGACTGCCTTCAGCAGCTGGTCCTGCCCGCCATGGTGCGCGTCTTCGACAAGGTCAACTTCACCCTGTCCTTCATCGGGACGCCGACCGAGAACGACGGCATTGCGTGCATGCACGGGCCGGAGGAGTGTGAGTTGGCCCACCCCCCCCCCCCCGGCTCCCCACCGCCACCTTTGTTCACATCCTTGCCGGGATCCGGCCGGTCAAGTCTCGGACATACATAACTGACTGAGGTGTCTCGAACAGGTCTTGGTAATATCATGTTGCTCTGCGCCGAAGCTCTGTACCCCGACCCGAAGACCTACCTTGGGTTCTCCATGTGCTTGATCAAGGACTACCACAACATCCCGCAGAGGAGTCTCATTGAGGACTGCGCTCTGGAGCATGCCATCGATTTTGGGAAGCTGGACGAGTGCGCGAGCAAGGACGACGGCGCCTGGGGAGTCGAAATGCTCCGTAACAGCGTCCGCCGTTCATCAGAGGTAGGCTGTCACTATGCTTGCGGAGACTTGGTTGGGAGGCTTCTCTAACTAACGGCACGATTTCTAGGCTGGCGTTACCAAGAGCTGTACAGTACGCTTAGATGAGGAGATCTACTGCATCCGCGACGGTGGAGAATGGGCGGACTGCCCGCACGGAGCGGGAGTCAACGACCTGGTACTGGAGATTGAGAAGAAGTACCGCGCTTGAGCGGCTCGAATACATCCGTCCACAGTTCGTTAGCTTCTCCGAGCGTGTAACCTAAAGATACCGAGTCCATGCCCTTCTCTTGATCATCGCCCATGCTTTTCAGGTGCTCGATTATGCTCTCCAGCCCGATCGCTTTCCCTGTTGCCTGCGTCGCGCCGGCCTCGAGCGCAACATGAACGATGTGGATGTGAAAGTGATAATACGTTGGCTGGTAGTGGACGTATAGCTTCAGCTGGTCGGACTCGATGTCAGGATATACCTTCTCGGTGGCCTCGATGAACTTGGCTTTCATGTGCTCGAGCCAAGGTATGTGCTTGACCTTGAGGTCTCGCAAGCTCCAGATGTCGCGGCGCTCCACGATGCCCAGCAAATGCAGAGCCTCGATTGTCTTCCTGTCCCAGTTCAGGTCTGGCAAGAGCAGGAAGCCCTCGTCTCCAGCCTCGCCGAGGCGCGTCCTGTAAATGACATCCTCGACTTCCTTGCGGCCCTCGATGATGTTGAAGACCCAGTTCAATCGGCCCTGGTCTCGTTTCGCCTGCATGTGCGGCCGGATGTTGTCCCTGTATATTTCGGGTGTCTCGGTCACGAAGCGGACCCCTTGTTTGCTGTACTTCTTGATATGCTGTTCTGTACACGGGTAGATCAAGTTGATCTTCAGGTCGGCGAAGTCGTCGCTCTTTGCGTGGGCGATAGCGTCGCTGCTGGCCATGTACCAGTGGTATATGTCGTTGGCGCCCAGGTTCTTGAGTGTGCGGAGGCTGCCCGTTATCGATCCAAGATAGTCGTGGGAGCTGGGGAAAGGGGCGCGCTCGAGGACCAGCAAGGCAGGCTGCCCATCAATGGTGCCGCTAAGCGAGGTTCTCCTGCCTGCTTGGTCTGGGGGAAAGGGGGCCAGAGGTCAGATAACAGAGAGCCTTCAATTCAGTGGGAATCCAACGGAGTATTATTCGCCTTACCCTGGTTGAGCAAGCGCTCGAGCTTGAACCTGGGCACGAGGTCCTCGGGCTTCGACATTCTGCTGGCGGGGATGATGGTATCCTAGGCGAGGGGCTTGCTGTGAGGCTTTCACGCAACATGCAACATGCAAATTCCAGGTACTTCAGATCCTCGAGCTTCAGGCTGGAGAAAATGGATCCGAATGGAGCTACCCCGCGGTGAACCCTTGGCCCCTGCTCGGCTCGGGTAGGAAGAGGAAGACCCCGCCACGCCTGCCCACCAAAAAGCCCCAGGAAGGGAGGGCGTACTGTATGTGAGGTACGCTGGTACCTAGGTACTTTGACCCGTACTGAAGCTCGCTTAAGCTCCATAGCTTCTGGTCCGCCTGCAGGCCCGCGTCTCGTCGTCGTGCCTCGCGCAGCAACCAACGTCGAGAAGGCCAAATCGTCGATGCAAGGCGCTGAGCCCTTTGAACAAGTGTTCGAGTTTGAGGTGGCACAAACATGTTGCTCCCGGACTATGACATACGAATCACATACGAATCTGGAAGCTGCCGACCAAGTTGGGTATCGTGCGGGCGCAGTAGGACAGCCGACCTCCTCAGGACTGCTTGCTCCCTCTCGCCAGCCTGCTTGTCCTGACCTCTTTTCTCAAAGTCGCCTCTCTCCTAGATCCCCTTCGGCCTTTTCTTTTGTTCTCCCATTCTTTCCCTTCTCTCCACATCTATCTCTCTTTCCTTCCCATACCTCGCATTGTCTCGCTACTGCGCAATCTGCCCTTCCCCATGTCGAGTGTGCATCTTCCTGCGCTGCAAGGCGCAAGCCGCAGTGACGCTCCAGCTCCCTCTCCCCTTCGCGAGGCTCGAGTACCCATGAGCTATCGCATGGATGCTTGGGACTTCGTGGACCAGCAGGACTCGTCGCCTCTTTTCAATGGCCGTATTCCTGCCGAGATCCGCACTCTCATCTTCGAATTCACACTCGCCGAGTCTACTGTACCTGCATTAGACCGCCCCGTTCCGCATGCTTTCTTTGCACGTGACGACCACGAGAAGCTCGACGATGAAGCCAACATGGAGACGAGCCCGGCTGGCCAGGCTGACGACCAGACAGAAGATGAAGGTGCTGTCCAGACGTCCGACTCCTCCGAGGATCGCCCAGCGCCGGCAGTCCAGATGCCCCCAGCCTCGTTCCTTTTTCGTTCCAGGGACGTCACGTCCGGCTGGGATTGGCTTCGGCCTGGCTTCTCAGGACATAGGAAAGTTCACACAGCCCTGCTGAGGACCTGTCGACGCGTTTACATGGAGACCTACCAACTTCCATCTCAGGGCAGCAAAATCTTCTATACCGCAAAGGGGCCAACTTGGTGCTCACAGTCCCCCAATGAATACCTCTCCGGGCTTGCCCCAGAAGCCGCTCGACACATTCGGAACCTGCACATTTTCCTCGAACCGTCGTTTTTTGACAGCGAGCTGGTGGATCTGGTGACTGGTATGCAAAGGACTCTTAGAAGGTTTGGGAGAAACCGTTTGCCGAGAAACGCCCTACCTATACCCCAGCCCCAGATGCTTAATCTCCCGCCGTTCTTTACTGCCCACTATCATTCTTTTAATATCCCGCCTCAGGCGCCTGCTATCAACCCACCTCCTGTTGGTCTCCTTTACCAGATTCCTCTTCCTGGTAACCCATCGCAGATGCTTAATGTCTACCAACATCCTCCTCTTGGTCCCGGGAATCCTCAAGGGTCACCATGGGAGCCCTATGAACCGCAGGATACAGATCCTGCAGCAGTAATGCGCGCCTGGCACCTAACAGAGCATCTCACAAGCTTGCGTATCTATATGCGTCGCACAGACTGGCCGAGCTGGGAGCACAATGCGCCACTAGTCATCAGTCCCTTCGTCGTCTCGCCATACCCAACCACGCCTCGGCGTATGCGGGCAAGCATGCGCGACTCATTCGAGGCCGACCAAAAGGTAGAGCCGCAGCTACGATATTTATCGCCGAGCATATTCCGGGAGTGGGGATGCTGGGGCCTCTTATTCCTGCAGATGCCCAAGCTCTAGACGCTCAGCATCGACTTCGAGACGTCAGAGGACAAGAAGAGTGAGATGGAGACTATCGTGGACTGGGCTCATCAGCACTGGCGGTTCCCCGTGCTACGGCGGCTTGCTGGTGACTCCCGCGACCCATTTAGCCGAGAATCGCTTCGAAGGGGCCGCTTTGTCCGCCCAGTCAGCCTCGCGTCATGGTCAGAGGACCTTGAGACCTTGACAGCGGCGGACGAGCCGGTGCAGAAAACCAGCTGGCGCGGCTTGCCCTACCACTTTGCTGAGCAGTGTCCTGTCTGCAACGTCAAGTGGGACACACCGAATGGGACGCCTGACTGTGCGGAGTGCAACAAGAAGCATAGACTGACAAGCCTGGGGAAAGGCCCACAGTTGCTCGTGTGGACTGTCAACTGGACGCGGAAAGTGCCGCCCAAAGACCCAGAAGCGCGGGCGAATACCGGAGAGAGTAGCAGAGAGCCAGAGGATCAGCTTCGGCCGGGGAGGGTTCCCGATCCACGGGAGGACGGCGCGCCGGCCAACAGTGAGGGCATCGAGAGTCACATCCCGGCTATGCTTCCCGAAGACGCGCAGCACGGTACGCGCCGTCAAAGGGAGTTGGACGAGCTGATGAACAGGGAGGTGGTTTTGTAGGCTGTGCTTTACGCTTTTGTCTCCCGACGAGGTCGCATTTGCGATTTGTGGTGTCTGTTCTCCGAATCATACGAGCGGCTTAGACTCTTCGCATGAGGAGAAAGTCGGTCTCTACCTACTGAGGAAGGCGACTCGAGAGACCGGACGACGTTGGAAATTACTTCCAAAGCAGGATTTTGGGGTTGAAAAGCCTACCATCACACGCTCTCCAACGCCGTATCGTTCACATGGACAATATCTTCCTCTGACGGGAATAATATCCGCCCCATCGCATGCAAATCTTTTGCGCATGCCGATCATTTCTGGCAAGAATTAGGCGAGGCGGTCACAGTATTTTCGTACTTCCACATGGCCCATTTTCGTCCTGAATCGCAAGTTTTCGAGATTCTCTGCTCATTAAATAACGCTGGTGGTATATGGTAAACCCTATCATGCCATCCGTTTTTGAACCACATGCATCCTTCCAAAATGTTCTCCCATGACTCGGCCGTGTCCAAAAAAAAAAAATCCCGCTATGTGCAATGATTTGTGCCAGAGTATCCAGTCTTCTGCAGCATATCTGGGAATATGCAACGTTGCTGGCTGCGACCCGGGCTTGTACCGTATGAAGCCATGAGGATGTCAAAGGTTGCTTGTTCGTATGATGGGTCTCCGTGTAATCGCGTGAAGGCTCGCTTGATATGAGTCTGGCACCTGCTACCCAACCCAACCCAACTCAACGCAAGACTCCAGAAGTCTGCGAGATCAACCTTTCGAGATATCCGTGCTGTCGGGCCCGTATTCGTTGCGAGCTGTTCACCTCATCATATAAGTTGAGCGCCCCCCCCCCCCCCCACGGGCCAAATGGGAACCGGGGCTCGCGATGTCTCTGAAAATCTGTCCCCGTGCCTGCCTGAGCATGATTTTGAATCTGACTGTCCAACCACTTTGACGCTCGTCAGGACACCGTTTTGAGCGCGCCCATCGCTCTCGTCGACCGATACTGTAATTTTGGTGGCGCGCGACTGTCCTCATCAGTCCCATCATCAACCTCTAATACCGCGCCAGATGCTCCAAATGGGCTCGGCTCCGAATCCGCTGTGAGTTTGTTGCCATCGAATCCTCCGGTAAATAATCTCCCACTCTCGCCACCGCCCTTCCCAGCGGTCGGGTTCGCCGCCGCGAGGCTAGCGCGTCGCATACTTTGTGGGCGGTAGCTCCTGGGGCGAGCTGGTGCCTGACTGAGTTTGGCCTCGAGCGTTTCGTCCTGATCCAACATACGCTGTATTTCCTTCTCCGCCGATGTTTTGGTCCCCGTGAGCCGATCCTTGATTTTGACGATCTCGTCGCTGCAGTCACCATCCCTTAAGAATTGGTGCGCGGCGTGCTCGCACATGGATTGGACGGACTCAAGGCCCTTGTCCAGCTCTTCGAAAACGTCAGGCTGCTGGGAGTCGCCGAAGCCCAGGCCAAAAGAGGAGAATGTGGAGTAACCACCACCAATTTTGGGTCGCGCGGCAGGTATGGAGCTGGGCTTAAGGGCCTGCGAGGGAGACTTGAGGCCGTTACCGTTACCGTGACCATTTGTGGCTATTGATTCGCGTGCGTTGGGCGGCTGGGCGGGGCTGATGGTCGGTGATGGCCCGTTGCCATTGCTCTGCTCTGGTCTGCTCTCGGTAGCACCCTCCGCAGGCTCCCCGTTCCCGTCCGGCAGGTCCACATCCAGTTCGCCGTCTACCGCTGGTGAGACGTTCATGGGACTCACCGTCTGCGGTGGTATGAAATCTGGGTTTGCGCTCCCATTTAGATGGGGCTCCTCGTCCGACGAAGACGAGTCGTCGTCTGGCACCTCCAGCTCCGCCATCTTCTTGATTTGGGCGACCTTGGCGGCCATCTTGGCCTTCCGCATGAGGTTCCGGCTCGCACTCACGAACTTGACTAGCTCCTCGAAGAAGGACTGCACGTAGCTATCATAGTACACCATAACTAGATTGCGATTGCGATACTTGCTGGGCGTGGCACCCTCGACCGAGAGCATCGACTCGGCGGCGGCAGCGCGTTTCTTGCTCAGTTGGGTCCTCCGAAGCGTGGCCCGCGCTTGGGCCGAGGCAATTGCGATCACCTGGTTCGTCTGTCCTTCGACAGCAGAAGGGCTTAAGGGTGGTTGACCATTTCTCGAGTCCTGCTCCTTGTGCGGCCTGTCGACGCCCCGCCTGGATGCCACAGATGCCCGCCTTGCCTCGTGTGCAGCGTTCTTGTTCTCCGCAGGGAGTGTTCTCCCTGACGCCAATACCTCTGGGTGTGCCTCACCATCATCGTTGGGCTTGAGCGACTGAGTGGAGCCGCGATTTCGCACAGATCTGGTGGACTGCGGCCGGCCGTTGGTGTCCGGGCTGCCTGTGGACTGCTGTTCTGCAACCTCAGCCAGGTCGAGCTGCCTTTGTTCAATCTGGCCGCTGAGCTCGTCGAGTCGCGTGGCCCAGTCGGGGCAGTGCTCCTTCAGGTTGCTCAGGGCCTCGATCGCGAGCTGTACATCCTCGGGGACAGTCGAGGCGTGGGGGGTCCGCCGTGAAGACGGGCCCTGCGCAAAGACGGTTGAGGCTGGAATACTGGGCGGCGAGTTGCGGCCGCTAGGTTACTTAGACCTAAGCAGCCGCCGATGGAGGAGTAAAGTTGTACAGGGCTTCCGGGTGCGACGAAGGAGAGCGACTGACGGTCGACAGGAGGGCAGGACGGGCCCAGTCTCGAGCGGAGGCGGGAACGGGTCGGGTCCACAATATGTGATGCCGGTGCCGATGCCGATCGAGATGGTAGGGCGTAGTCTACCATGCACAGTAAGGTCAGAGGACGGCTGGCGTTGAACAGCTCGGGGGCCACACAGTGTATTGAAGCCAGGCCGGTTGAGTGGTTCTGAGAGCTTGTGACGACGGATGGTCGGGTCGGGTCGGATGGGGTTGGGCAACAAACAAACAGCCAGCCAACGTCAACGCCAACGTCAACGAGGAGCTCAGCCGGCGGGGAATCTGTGCAGAGGAGCAAGGCGGAGCGGATCTGTCATTGAGCTTCCAGTGTGTGCCCCAGGTCCGCGGGCGGGACGGGAGGTCAATTGAGGCAGAAGCAATGAGGATGGGTTCTGCATGTATGTGTATGTATGGGTGGATGTGTGATTCGTGGGTGTATCGAGAGGGATGGGTCCTAATTCTCGAGTCGACGCGATTCCATTCGATTTAATTCATCAGGAGACTACTGCTCAGTAGTACAGCATGGTCGTGTGTCTGTGTGTATGGACCAGGAAGAAAAGGCAGTGGGAAGCAAGGGTCAGGCAGGCCAGGTAGTTCCTGGTTGGCAATCCATCCAAGGTGTCAAGGTCAAGGAGCCAACGGAAGCTTGAGTTAGATGGAGGGGAGGAAGTGGGGAGCAGAGCAGGTTGGGAGGGGGGAGGGTCGTTGACGAGGGATGGTTGGATCCTCGGGTCGGGATATAGTGACGAGGGTCTGCCTCTGTAGAGAGCACTGGAATTCCTAGAAGCAGGAGACTGACGACGAATCCACAGCACATTCGTTTCATTCTTGACCCCCAAATCCGACCACCGTCCACCTTCGCAGGAACACAATGCAGTGCACTGACTGTGCACAGCAGTCCTGGACAAAGGAGTGCTTGTGGGTACATGGTGAACAATCTATCGTCCCCGTTTTAGGCGTTCAAAATAATAGTGGTCCTCGTGTAGATTTAGATTTGGCTATATTTACAACCACCATGTTCCATCCGTAAGGACCGCTCTCCCGTCATCGACCTCCAGGCAGCAGCATTCCGCTTCATTCTACGCGATACCAGCTTGACTTGCCCGACCGTGCCGCCTTGCTCGTAGAGCAAATTGCAGATCGATGTCGTCAGCTTATTTCATTTCTTCAAACCTTGTCGTATGTATTGGCTTTGCAGATTTCCTGGATCTGGGCAGACAGCCCTGCTGCTCATCTTGTGTCATTGGGGGGGGGGGGCTGTTGGTTGAATTGTGCCGTTTTGTGCTGTGATATGCTGCGTTGGGACACAACAGTGGAGTCGATTGCGCAAGTACAACAGTGGAACGAAACTGGCTCCCTGCTTCGACTCGACTCTTTGCATGTTTCAAATCCTCCTTGTCCATTCATCTTCTTGAATGATCATCGCCCTTGTGTCTGTATAGAAGCACTACTAAGTTCGTCAACCACGGTACAATGCTGAGAGGTGGGTCAGGCAAGTTATTGATAGACACACACGCCAGCGAGCGCCTTTGGTCGGACACGAGCAAATAGACCATACTATGCAGAAACATAGTTCCCGGCCCTGCGACAGAATTGGGTCTATGGCTGGCTCCAGTCTCCACCGCCCAAAAGCATGTCTGCGCTACTGTACAGCATGAGGTCGGAGCCGCCGTGGCCCCAAATCTCGCTATTCGTGCACGTCGAGCTGCTTCTGCAGCGGCGGCCAAGGAACAGGCAGTTCCGCCTGGCTGCGCGGAATTGACTTGCATGTCCTTCGTAGCATCCATTACGGGCCGTTGAGCGCCTGTGCCCAGTGCCTAGTGCGTGGTCCGACTCGGCATGGCGGCAGTTGATTCAGCCCATACCACCTCGCACGGCCGGACAGCCGTCGTACTGCGTGGGTCTGGATGCGGCCAGCCCCTTCGGAGGGGAGGGAGGGGGAGGTCGAGCATGAAATGCAACGCTGTAAGAGCAACTCTCGGTGCCTTTGTTGCGACTTGGTGGCGCATCGAGTCCAACCTTCCGCTTCTCCTTTGGGGATGTTTCGTCGAGCTGGGTGGGACTCGGACCAAAAGTCAAATATGTGCGCATTTCAATGCTGCCACAGAGCGCTTTAATCATGAACATGAGGCCCGCGCTTTCCATTCGCCGCCTTACGAGACGTTGTGTCTGTATTGCTCTCGGTTGCTATAACCGTTGCTCATGTCTGTTCGCCGCAAACTTTCCTGGTTTCATCACAACCACACACATACCCCTCGCAATTCAAAGACTCAACAGGAAGCCTGATCCGGGCTGGGATGACGCCTGTCGGCCGCCTGCGAATCATCCCATTGCTCGAGCCATTGGCCGCGAGCTCTTTTCTTTTGGCCCCGATGCCGACGTTGAGCCTAATTTAATAATACCGATGTCCAACCCAATTCGTGCTAAGGACTGGATTTCGTTTTCCCCGTCCCCACTAAAGTGACAGGCATGACACGTGGGATGAAGTGTGGGAGCTAGGGCCAAGAGTGGATCGTGAACTGTTCCACCTGCCCGCCTGCAAGAGAGATTGCTCCTTGGCCCCTCAAGTCCTTCCTGAATGACCTTCCTGTCTGGTCCAAGACTATTCCTCGCGACGTCACTGGCACTACTCAGAAGTCGGACAGCTGCTCCTGTGCGACATTGAACAGAATTGTTATAGGCTTGATGGCCCGTGTCGCCTCAGCCCGTCGGTTCCGATTTGGGACCCGTTAGATGGGGGTGAAAGCTGACTAGATTGATAAAACGACCATCTTGGTGGGATTCCGGGATGCTGTGACGGAGGATAAAGCCCGAGTATCCAATGCACGCAAAATGGCTTGTCTCTGAGTTGCCGTCGCAAGAACATCTTCCCGCCGCTAGGCCTCCCAGGTTCATCGAGAGATTGTCTGTGTTCTATAAGCCGAGATCCGATCCGAACTGCTTCAGGACCCCCTTCTCGGCCGTACCCCAGTCCACACCCTTGAGCCTCCCAGCCTTGTCAGCTTCACTTCCAGAGAGCACGTTCCAGAGCTCGTCGACGACAGACGACCTGACGCGCGGCCAGGGGTGTAGCATCAAGGCTCCCAGCCTCTTTCTCGCCTCCGTCGCAGCTTCTCGCCTTTTCTGCTCTAGGATGTCATTTGCCATCGGTGCCAGTCCGACGTTATTCTCGCCTATGCTCGCGATGCCCCCATAGACCTTGACGCAGGCGATGAGCTTCCGCACATTGCCGGTCTTGTAGCTTGCCTTCTGAGCCTGGAGGCAGAGGCTCTTGAAATCAACCGTTTTGGTCTTCCGGTACAAGCCAACGGACAAGAGAAACGCAATGATTTCCAGCGTCGGCACTATGACCCGGTCCTGACCCTGGCGGGACTTCATATTGCGGTAAAGCGAGATACACACGCGGTCGAGGTTCTCCTGGCTCACATCGCAGTATTCGCAGAGTGCGGAGCGACAAGCTATCACTAGGTCTTCGTTGCCTGTGTCTGCTGAAGTTACATACCCTGCCAGGAGCTCATCCATGAACTCGTCAGGGCCTGGGCCGTTTTCGGTGCGAAACGATTCATGAAGCCAATCATCGTGGGTTGTGAGGTTAAGTAGGAAGAGGAAGTAGTCCTTGGACCAGCAAGCGCGTCTCCTTAACTCCGATGATGACCTGTGGCTGCGTCAATCTTCTCTCCTGCCGTAATGTAGAAGTCGGTCTGTGACTCACTTTGAACATAAAACCAGAGCCAGCGTGGACTGGGCCTCCGGTCTTACCTTGTCAAGCTTCTCAGCAGCCAGCCGTATAATAGGTAATAGAAGGGCAGAAGCCGCTGTGTGAGAGGCCACTTCTTCTGGTCTTGCCTCTGGCTCCGCCAGCAACGACCACAAATGATTGGTAGCTTTTATGGCGTGCAAGCGAACATGGGATCCCACATCGCCTCTCGCGTCCGTCGTGTAGTCTTCCAGTGCTTCTGAAATCAGCTTAAACAATGTCTGTACATTATACCTCAGCACTTCGCCCTGAACAAGACTCTCAAGTATCCACACGCGCATATGCACATTTTTGTCCTTTTCCCAGCGTTGCAGCAGAGTTCTGGGAATTATTCCTGCCGTTGGTTTCGCCACCTGTTCCTGCGATATCGATGCAACTGCATGCGACCTTGTGAGAGCCAACAAGTGTCCTTGAATATTTCCAGCTCGTGGTGCGTCTAGAACAGTGTTCGCCCAACCTTGGATGAGTTCATCGCGCTGGAAGGGCTTCAAAAAGAGCAGTAACGTGAGTGCAGCCTCGGATGCCGCGTCGACTACCACTTCTTCCGTCCTAATAAGACAGGCATTCAAGATACTCGGTAAGAGCCTGTTGACCCAAGCAGGCGGGAAGTCTTTCGAACTAGGGCACTCCGCCAGCCGGGATACTGCAGTACTCGTGGCAGGTGTTTTTAAGGACGATAAGAGACGAGGTCCAGACAACAGATAAGCCGGCGTAATGGTGTCGAGACCGAGACATAATGCTTGGAGAACCGGAAATGAGGAGGTAAAGAGTCGGCACGCCGCCTCTGCTATGAGATCTGGGCGCCGAAATGTCGTTGTCTCAATGAACGTAAGGTTTGACTCCAATTCAGACAGCAGTCTCTCGATTATGGGCGCTAGTTGTTGCTGATGCTGTTGAACCTGGCTGTGTTCCACCAGCTCTGGGATTTGGTTCATAATTGAGGCCATAGCTAGCAGGAGGCCGTGTCTTTCCTCAACCTGGCGAGGCTGCAGTATTCGTATGGAAGATATGATACTGCCAAAGGATTGAGAGATGACTTCTGAGCTGTTTGAAGCCATCCGTGCAAGCTCGGCTGTGATGATACCATAGGATGTTGCTGCATATCTCCTAACGCGGTCGTTGGCGTCCCCTAGACCTCGCCAGCCAAGGACAGCCTCCAATATGGCATCTCCGTACTGCGAGTGTAGCTTCGTGGCTTCCAGAGCCACGCCTTGCATCGCTCTGGATCTCAATGCCACAGCATGGTAATCCACTGTCTGTACAATCGCGATACCCTTCTCAACCGTATCAGGATGCCTGCCGATGAGTTCCTGCAAAGCGGCTGAAGAGCCACGCCGGATGTTGCCTGCAGGGTCCAGACATGCTGTGACTACCAGGTGTGTAGCGAGCGACTGCAAAATAGACACATTGCCGTTTTCACGGCGCTCTTCTTCGATGAGCTCATCCTTGACTGCAAAGATTTCCTCAGTGGAGTAACGTCGCGCGAGAGCCCAGACACCGAAACAGGCTGCATCACGAACATTAGCTCCGACAGAGACTCCAGATGCGCTTCGCTGCTCAAACGAGAGACCCAGCAGTAAGGCTCGCACGATCTTCCCTAGACTCTCTGGGGGTGGCGAACGCCGGTATAAGAGATAAGACAGGGTGAGCATGAGCCCATGCCACCCAAGAGGATCCACTGAAGTCAAGTCCTTCGTTGGTGGCTGCCAAGTGGACGACTTCGATTCTGATGTACGATCGACGACACGAACATGCTCGTCCAGCGCTTGTAGAACGGCATCCACAACTTGCGAGGCCATTTCCCTCGACAAGTTGAGGGTGATGACTCCCAAAGCTTTGCTTGCCGCAAATCTGACTGGTGTGTCTTTGTCGGACAGGCTTCCCAGAAGATACCGCACGGTAGTCTCGACAAGCTGAATCCCTGCCATGTCTCGGCTTTCTCTTGTCAATTTCGACACAGCAATCGAGCGCATGACTTTGACAACCATCTTCTTCGCAACTGCAGACGACTTGATAGTGTTAGACGTGTCGTCTTCGCTCCACATAGTAGCATTTACAGTGTAGAAGACCTTGGATGAGTACTTTTCCACATCAGATGCGTCAGCAGATGATAGAACCCCTGCCAGGAAAGCAAGCACTCCAATGAATGTGTAAGAATTCTGACTAGGTTCTCGTTTCAACCCGTCATCGCTTGTAGAGTCGTTGCTATCTGAGCTTGGGTGTAGCGTGAAAAGAGCCCAGTCGATGAGAGCGTGCAGGATGCCAAGTTTTTGCATGTCCCTACGCATGGCCATCCTCACTAGAAGGGCCTTTGCCGCATCTCTTTCTTTGCCTGGTGAAGCAAGATACTTGGCTGCTAGTGGCAAAACTCGCACAGTAATGCTGGGAGGGTTGAACGGCCAGAGGAAGCCCGGGACACCAGCTAGGTCAACATCATGCATATAGACCGAGGATATCGTTGCTAGGTCGAACGGTGCGAACATGAGGTGAGACAGCCACAGGAGGACGACATATCGCTCCTCCCAGGTCCACTGAAGCACATCGTCGTCCGAGCCTTGGTGCCTCTCTGATTCTTCAATAGCGGACAAAAGGAGCTCAAGGTACCGGGTCTCAACATTGAGGAAATTCACAATGACCTTCTCACCGCGGACTTTGCAGAAGGTGTAGATTAGCTTGCATATTGCCGTCGGAAGTGGCATCAGCAACGAGGACGTTGTGGCAGCTTCTATGGTCTGCCTCCGCCTTGTCTGGTGATACTCCAGGAAGGCCGCAGCGAGCATAGGCAACCACTGGGGCAAGTGTGGATCAAGGAGCTGGGGCAATTCTTGAAACGGGTCAAGAAGCTATTTAAATCAGTCAAAAAAATGACGAGCCATACAATAGCACCATTGTTGACTTACATTAGACATAAGATGCGACACTTCACGTGCACGCACGCGAGAGCGGACACGGCCAGCCCCATTTGCTTTGCGCAAAAAGGGCTTGAGGCGGTTGTCAAACTCAGCAATTAGGTCTTTCGACACAGTCTGCAGCTTGATGTCCAAGTCTTCCTCGGGTGCGTCTTCCATTTTGACTCGCTTGGCCGCGACGGCAGGCTCTTGGCTGGTCGGAAATTCTCTTTATGGGAGCAGCCCAGGTGGTGAAGGTGAGATCAAGGGTGGGGTCTATCCTACCACAACTTCCCACAGTGTGAATTGAGTACTGGCAGTTTTGGCCAATGCTTCAATCGTTGTCAAGCCTTGCCATCAGATTGAAGCAATAAGCAGGAAAGCTATCGGGTTGTCTGAAGATCCTGGCCGCAAAAGGGACGTGTGAGGGGAGATATGGGCCGGCGAAAACAGAATGAACCTCCTGAGGACTGGCAGTTGATCATTTGGGTCGGCTCAAACCCTCCAGGGTCTGCAGCCCACAATGCCCCGTTGGGGGGGGGGGTGCGACACATTGATCATTGCATGTGCGTCTGCATTTCACGCTTGTCTCACAAAAGTTTTTCGATGAAGCGAAATGACGGGAATTTCGATGCCTATGAATGATCTAAAAGCCTAAAGTGGTCATGAATCAAGTTCTCATTATCTACACCCCGAGGTTGATAGAGGTCTGACAGCATATAGCCTTCTTCTAACTACCCAGCCCATTTGCAGTCGATATATCTCCGGTGCTTTGGCGAGCCAATGACCTTGAATTCTCTAGCCGTATAAACATTTTCATTTGTGCTTCTTGCCAACTACAACCTCAATCTAGCTTAGAATACGGCCACCGCAGCAACGAGCGTATCCAATGCCGAGCTCTGGGTGCTTGCGTTTGGGGACCCGCCCGCCGAAGGAGGACCCGACCATACGAGGCCTAAGAAGTTGCTGCTATTACGGTCATTGTTCCATATTGAGTCCGCGTTGTCCAAGATGAAATTCCGGAAGTCATCTTTCGGGGCCTCAACTTGCAAGTAGTACAAGTTGCGCACAAATATACCTGGCAGTGTCTGAAGTCAGCTCATCTATAGATATCTTTCCAGCAGCGGGCCTGATTCACTGACCCTTAAATTGAGACCCATCGTTACCGCAATTATTAGCCTCGCAGCTCTCGTGGAGAATACCATCTGTCGAAAGAGCTTCTACTGCAGCCTCCGCGATCGAAGTTGCCTCTGATAAGTAATCCGAGTCACCGGTGGCTTTGAAGAGTTCAACCAGCCCACCAAGTATGACACCCTGATTGTAGCTCCACACAGTGTCTCCATTGTTAGTGCAAGATCCATCTGAGTTGATATCGAGTCCATCATTGATCAAGTTATTGTCGTTGATCATGCCGCTGCCCTTGAACCAGTCCCACTGGTTCCTGGCGATGCTCAAGTAGGAATCAGACTCGCCAGCCCGATTTGCCAAAGAAGCAGCCACGGATAGATAGAGCTCATTAGCGACTGGAATCTCAGGAGTCAGCCACCAATACATTCAAAGATAGTCACATCTGGAACGTAGTTCCCCGGTATAATTGCGTCCAACAGCCTTTCTCATAAGCTGAGGCCTCATTGAGTCCGGCAAAGCCTGTGAGACGATGGCTGTAGGAAATGCCTTGGGGAGGAGGGGGGGTCAGAATTCTTCTTACTGGCGTTCTTATATTTTCTATCCTTGCTCCACCATATACCTCCTCCACAAGTACCATTCACACCACCTTGCATGTCTGCGAAGATACTTTCAGCCATGCTTAGATAGTTTGTGGAGCCAGTGACATCGTATGCCCTTATCCAGGCTAAAGCCCACCAGCCCTCGTCGTCGTAATAGTTGTTGATGAATCCACTGAATCCCCGGGAAGCGAGGCCGGACGTGCCTGAGACTGGGGATGCAGTGTATCTTGATTCGAACAAACGCATGCTCAAACCTCTTACCAGCGTCTTAGTTGCCGTTTGACTAGTCTGTTGGGCTTGAGTGAAAGTATTGGAGAGCACGTCTTCCAAGCCCAAGTCCTCTGCCTCATCAGCGGCCAGGGCAAGAAAGTCTCCCAGAACGGTGAGACAGTTCGCACTGTTCCACCAGCCAGTCGTTTCCCAGAGCCCATCTGGCTCATCGTAGAGGGTCTGTAACGCCTTAATGGCTGTCACGGAGTAGTCGATATAAGTCGCTTTGTCTGAGGCTGCTACGGAGAATCCGAGCAGGCCAGCTTCGGCCAGCCATAAGGAGAGGCTCCTGAAGGCCACCATATCCGTTTTGAGGTATATTTTTGGCCCTGTATTGATATCTAGATCGACCAGGAGAGCACCTAGTCGACGAATAAGATCGAAAAAGCTCTTAAACAACGAGGAGTGGCACACTGAAATGAGTATGAGGAGCACGAGAGCTATGCAAAGTGGTCCAAAATGCATTTCTGGAGGAGCACCTCGACTAGAGCGCTGGCTTCGACTTTTGAACCAAGCAATAGCTGTCTGACAACGCATCTGGGCACCATCGTGTGGGCTCAGCTGAGCCAGCGTTCCCTTGTGGCCCATGGCCACAGCCTTGCAGGTCAACCTGGGGTCATCTCATCTGAGGTCACTCACACCAACCAGAATATTGTGTGGATTGCATGGCAACGCGACGAAGAGCTTGAGTGGAACGACCCAGGAATTGGAAGGATTTCAATGACCGCAAGGCTTTCTTGGTCCCACGTCCGTAGCATGCGGGTCTACTGGGATGGCTTGGTGGAGAGCTTCGCAGCTTCTCGAAGGATGACGCTCCCAGCGTAGCTGACGGGCACCACAATCGGACTGCCGCCCTCGGAACCAAGTGGAGCAGATGACTGGTTCGTCGGATGTTTGAAGCTTATGTTGTCTGGTTGGCTCTCGCGTAACCTTTCCTCCCCCTCTTTGGGGACAGTTGCATCGACAATTGCTCTTGATGGTCAAGAGTCAGAATGTAGACGAATGTCGCACCAGACACGCCGTCACTCAACGGCACTTCCTTTGGGGACTCTGAACCAAAAACGCAAATGCCATTTGAATACCTCTGTTGCTGGAGGCGTCGATTGCTTGCTCATCACTGTATTCTCCGTAAAGAGTTCCTGTCAGCAATTCCGCCACAGTGCAATCTTGTTGCCTGCTGTAGTGGGGATACCCGGAGGCCGTCAGCCGCGATCCTTCCATCATGCACAGCCATTCATAATCATAATCACCAGTAAGTGTTCTGCTTTGGTATTTTGGTCGCCCTGCGAGCTCCTTGAGCACTCGCGGCAACAAGCAAGTTTTCGAGATCTGGAGGAGTCGGTCGGCACTGTAAACTTGGAATGACATGAAGTGGTGACGTGATCCATATTGTATGCAGAAAGTCGTGGCCGATTTGACAGGGGCCTTGCTGGTTCTGGAGTCGACGTCGGCCTCTCAAGAGAGACATTACTGGCCCAAGTTGTGGCCACCGACAACTAGCCACGCAGCAACGATGCGTGCGCTGTGCATCACTGGCGGCACATGAGGTTTGTTGGAGCCATGCAGACGCCTAGTATATGCTGTGTTGTGTTGTTGAAGTAGGACGCCGACACCGCCAGGTGTCACGGGAGGGATAGAGCATGCAGGCCGACGTCAATCTGATGCCTCGGTTCGGACGACAGACGGTCTGGAATGCAGAAGACTGACTCGCCTTCCGGCCGTGGCAACGATGAAACCGAATTCCCCGATGTCAGTGCTTAGCTGGCTGCGGGCCGAACCTCTTTTGCAAATGCCGGAGTGCCTGACTCAATGGTCGAGATGAAGAGATCGGCGCTGTCTCAGATCGTGGTGTCTATTTCACCACCACCTGGGCAATTCCCACGATGATCTTCCACGAGGTGTCCTGCAGATGAGACTTTGCGGTTTCCTAAGACCAGTATTTGAACGGAATTACCCGTGAGACTGGCCTAAAATGAACATGCGATGATGCCCGATCCCCCGATGGGTCCATAGACCTTCGCATCGGCTTGTTGAAGAGAGAGAGGTTCATTCCTGCGGACTTCATTCTTTCTGATCGCCATTGCCCTTCACATCGACGACGACTTAGCCCTAACCCTGGAGACGTCAAGCCGCCTCTCTTTGACCACCCACAGAGTCACCAATATCAGGGCGGCCCTATCCTTTTCAACAGACATGCGGCATCAATGGTTTTCTTCAGCCAAGTCGTTCCTCCTCTCCAGTATCGAGGCCTTGTGCCAACATAAAACGGCACAGTTGGTGCTTGAGAGGTCGAATATCCGGACATGTCCAGAGCAAATGATGGGGTGCCGGCCAGGACAGAGGTTCTCGGGTCGTGGTATGTAGACAGAGGCTACAATGTGAAAGAGAAAATTAAGAGAAACCAGTCGGCTCATGGACGCATATTGTGTTAATCTAAGGTCTCCCTTGCGTTCAATTCTTGCTCAGTTGCAGCACAGCTCACTGAAATTAGCCGTTAAACAGGGTGTTCCACGGACAAGAATGGGTTCAGACCAAGCCAACGGGTACAAAATCGCCAGCACAAAGTCCGTACCAGGTCTTCCGGACGAGACAGTCTCATTTTGGGATCAAGACTTCATCGAAGCGGTCTGCGTAATGGACTGCCGACAGATCCGGTGATCGCGACCAACTGGTCAGGCTTTTCCTTCTTTGACTCCATGTTTTCCAATTGGCTCATTTCGTTTGTTCATGTCTTTTCTCTTCACCATTTCCCCCTCACACCATCATCTGGGCCAGGACAGAACTGTGAGACTTGTAGCGATAACCAGTGAGACACTCGATTGCAAGAGAGCCGCAGATCAAGTGATCAAGCTCAAGGGCGACGTTGCGCTTCCTCGTGCGTTGGAATCTACCCGCGTACTCATTCGGAGGCGATCAGCACGACGTGTCAATCGCTCGATTTGATAGGACGGCAAGCTGTAGCATGGGCTGTTGACCGCGAAATTACTTTTCCTGTGCCTTTGATCGACTCATCAATTTGCTTTCACGTGTTTCTCTCCATCGCTCGAGCGAGTCTACTATCGCTCATCTTCTGGGCTTTCATGATTCATTTATCTCGAGGCAGTCGGAAACCGTGGGGGCACAATCGACAACAGTTGCCAGTTGGCGTGAAGTTCAGAAGAGGATAAATGTGAGAACATAAACGCTGGCTGAAATACAAAAGTTTGAGAAAATTATCCTCAGAATTTGTCCAAGAAGCCGGTCTGCTACTTTGGTAAACGAAAACCACCTATTGTTATTCCTATCTTCAACTAAAAAGGCACGCGTGTTGGAATATACATTGGCTCAACCTTGGAAGGCTCGCGTATACATTTCGTCTGTGTTCTGCCATCCAAATGACAAGGAATCGATGGTGGGTCACAATTGATCAAGCTCGAAACGGGAAGACTTGCTGATACAGGAACTAAATTAGTGAAAATAAACTAGTCTTGGGCATGTCTATTGGACACAGAGACTGGTACGACCTCGTTCCCGCCACATACATAGCTATACATACACAGTACATGACTATACAGTCACATGCGCTCGACCCACTAGGCGGAAACTACTGTGTAAACCATGTTACAGCGACCAGGTATGACGGGAAGGTCTCATCATGCGTCCACAATTGGTTTACTAAACCAATCTATTGTACGGGTATTCAACCCAGATAGACTGACGCCCAAAAGATGTGGCAACCCCAATCAGCACACGGACAACACCGTACATGGAAGTGGCCGGGGCATGATAACTTTCCAGACATGGCCAGTGACCATTTACATCTAATTTCTTGTATTGCCATGTTTGAGTCCCGGCCGGACGAATATTTCCGGCTCGCCGTTTTTATTGCGGCAATATGCCGCCTTCATTAAGCCCAAGAAAACGCCGATCACGTCGCCGAGCAGAAGCCCCCTTAGACTAGCTTAGACGCAAGCCACCATCTCAATGGCGATGTCACTTTGGCCTAGAATCAAGGTTCTAAAGCTTATGCAGCCCACTGACGTTCCTGGCTAATTCGCTAGTCACCCTGCCGGATCAAGATGCACCTCCCACTTCGTTAGACACACAGCGCCCGGATGACACTGGTTCACTACATCCCGCGGGGAGTTGTGATCTTCCTGCCTCCTAACCCACGGCCCCCAACCATTCACACGCGAGGGCCGGCTCCCTGTCACCGGGAGCCCTCCCAAACCTCCCCGGAGCGCGCAGCCGCACGTCCATTCACGGTATTCTGGGGAGGACCCTGAACAGCCGTTACTTTTCCCAACCCCCTCACCGCTTATTTTCAGATCTGTCGAAAACCTTCCTGATCTTTTTCGCTGGCTTGGTGACCTTCTGGCCCAACGACGCTTGAACGATCTCGGCCGCCGATGGCACGGGTCTGAGCTTCTGCTCCGTCAACCGGGGTCCCGGAGTTTCATTTGCGGGCGGCGACAGCATCCCCTGGCCTTATCACCATGGCCTGACCTGTCTTGATGTTCCCTTTTGCCTGCGGGCCGCCTGGCCACTCAGTCACTCACCACTCACCGCATGTTATGGGCCCTGGAATGAGGCCCGCGCCCGCACACACCGCTAGGGCGGGTGATTGGAATCCGCTCCCGCGAATGTGGCGGATGACAGAACCGCCCACAGCCCTGAAGCCTTGAGGTCCGTGGAGGGGGCAGTGCCAGATCCGGCACTTCCCCGGTCTGGGGCTTCCCCTCCACGATATCAGATCTGCCAAGCGTCTCGTTCCTGCGCGGCAGTGACATCGCCCAATCCGACAGCTCCGGCGCGTGGTCTTTTTCACTTTCACAGCTGACCTTTTTGCCGCAGACGTCACCCTGCCCGGGTTGGCAGGTTGGGCACCGCCCGGGGGGGTATGGCAGCCGCTGCCCAATTCGCCGTGCGGTCTCATCGCTGCTGCGTGGCCCCAGGGATTAGACACTTCGCGAGGCAACCACCCCCGCGGAAACGTTGCGATTTGTTTCATCGCCCGGGCGGTAGATACTTCGGCTGATGGGTGTCAATGATACGCCCGCGCACACGAGCCACCATGCGAGCCTCACTTCGTCGGCCCGAGGGTGCTGCGTGCGGCTTTGGCCCCATTCGTGACCCCCAGATCAGTCCGCAGGAAGCTCCAGTCACGCGACACGTTTCACTGCAAACGAGCACGCAGCAGAGGGCCTAGACAGGGCTGGATCTGCACAGGGTCTCGGACAATTTGGGCCCTGCAACAACACGCGCGCGTTGCCGCTCTTTGCTGGTGGGGCCCCGGCCGGTTTGGAGCGTCTGCTCACAGGTAT